ATAAAACACTCCATCGAATTTGCCATGATTTTAGGCAGCTGAATGCTATATTGGAGCCAGATCTTTATCCCATCCCGCTGATCAGCGACATCTTTGCCACGCTTGCAGGTGCAACCGTCTTTTCGACAATCGACCTCAAGTCAGCATTCCACTGGTTTCCCATAGCGCCAGAGGACCAGTACAAAACGGCGTTTACATGGAATAACACACAGTATGTGTTCCACCGGGCACCATTTGGTCTGAAGACACTGCCATCAGTTTTCCAACGTGTGATGCAGCAACTCTTTGGGCGCATGCCATTCACGCTCTGCTACATCGACGACATTGTCATCTACTCACGGTCAGTTGAGGAGCACAGAAAGCATGTTGTGCAGGTGCTGCAAATTCTCACGGCAAACTGCCTTGTTGTGAATCCTGGCAAGTGTCATTTTATGTCAGCACGTATTCGGCTGTTGGGTTTCATGATCACACCAAGCGGCAAACAAATGGATCCAGAGCGCCTAGTGCAGGTGGAATCATGGACCATCCCACACACGATTAAGGAGCTTCAGCATATCCTGGGTGTTGCAAACTATCTGCGCGAGCATATACCAATTATGTCCATGGTCACAGCACCACTCGATGCACTTCGCAATGCAGACAACCTCACTGCAGCCTGGACGGATAGGCACACAGAAGCACTAGGTGATCTGCAACAGGCCATTGCACATGCGCTTTCACTGTCATTCCCTAATGATGATCTGCCTTTCCAAGTGGCAACAGATGCGTCCAACACTGGCATTGGTGCAGTGCTCTACCAGGTGGATGCAAATGGTGTTCATCATTATCTCTCATGTGTCTCACGTTCGCTCAACCGCGCTGAGCGTAATTATTCGGCTACCAAGCACGAGCTGCTGGGAATTGTCTATGCACTACGCAGCTTCCATCAATACCTTTACGGTCGGCACTTCACGCTTTTTACAGACCACAAGGCGCTGACCTACATGCACTCCCAGGATCATCTGAATGCCATGTTGATCGGCTGGTTTGAGGAGCTTTCATCCTACGATTTTGCAGTTGTGCATCGCCCAGGAGTTGACAACATCCTCCCTGACCATCTCTCTCGTGTGTACAATGCACTTGTGGGGGGTGAAGACATGCCGGTTGCAGCCGCGCATGCCTTGCAAGTATTAATCGATGACCCCACCCAGCGCATCAACCTGGTCAAGAAGCAACACCTGCAGGGGCACTTTGGCATTAAAGCTGTCGCAGGCGCATTACATGCTGCTGGTCATACTTGGCCAGGTATGCGCAGGGATATTGCCAACTACATTGCCACTTGTGTTGTCTGTCAGCGGCACAACAACACACCAGTTGTGCACCATCAACTGCAGACCATTTCGTCGGATACACCATTCCAACATGTTGCTGTCGACCTGGCAGGACCATTCCCAACATCCAGCAATGGCAACAATTACCTACATGTGTTGATTGACATTCACACACGATTTGTGTATTTAGAGGCTATCCCAGACAAGCAAGCTAAGACCATTGCAGCACTCTGGACGCGCATTTTCGGCAATTTTGGCTTCCCCAAGATCATTCAGTCAGACAATGGTGGCGAGTTTGTTAACCGAATTGCCAAGCACCTTACACAAGCATCTGGCATCGACCATTGTCTGATTACAGCATACCATCCACGTGCCAATGGTGCTGCTGAGCGTACAGTGCAGACGGCCAGCCAGGTTATCAGCAAGCTAGTGGCAGGACGCAAGGCGACATGGGACCGCTGTGTTCCTTTCGCACAATATGCAATGAACACCAAGATTTCTGCACGTCATGGTTTTACGCCTTTCTTTGCCATGTTTGGGCGTGAGCCAAACATGCTTGCCGACCACACTGATGAAGAGCTGCTGGATATGGAGGCAACCACTGAACAGATCGAGCAGCTACGTGAACGTGCACTCAGCATGCGAGGCACTCTCTTTACAACAGTGGCACAGCGCACAGCTGTTACCAATGACAAGCAAACTGCACGATTCAAGAACAGGCACAAGATAATGGAGTTTGAGGTTGGAGCAGCAGTCCTTATCCGCGGCGAGCGCATGCACAAACTTGAGGCCAAGCATACTGGTCCTTACTGCATTGTCGCTATAATAGCACCTGGCACCTACAAATTGGAGGATATGACACGTGAACCACTGCCGCGCAATTATACGACGTCACAGCTTATTCCTCTTGCATCAGCACCCGACTTTGATGAGACTCACGCCGAGGTGTTAGCCATCACCAGGCACAAGAACACACGTGGTGGTATCCGCTACTTAGTTGACTGGCTTGATGGCGACAGCACCTGGGAGCCGACAAGCAACTTTGACTCACTGGATCTGATTCAGGAGTACTGGGACAAGATTAGCGACCAGTCTCGTAGGGAGTGATGTGGTGCCCAACACACATTTCAAGCCACTATCTTCCCTTTTCAAGAATCAAGATCGCCATCATGGCCACTATACACATTTCTGTTATTGCTGGCTGACATCAAGGAATACCATGATGTTTACAGCGCTGCCCACACAGCGCTGCCCCCTTTTTCAGTTAAGTAAGTAATTTTTAAGACTTGAATATATCGATTTAGACCCACATTTTTATAGAGCACGACAATCTCCACCATACCTGAAGGAAGTTGTCCATTATGTAGTAAATACCTTCACCGTTGTATGCGTCATATTTCCCTTGAAGCATCAAGTCCTCAAAGATGGTAAATGCAGTAAAGTTGTCTTCCAGGCCCAGGTTGTAGGGGAATCATGGAGAGCAGCGTCTAAGTGCCATAATTGCTGTTGTTGTTTTTTCTTGTTTTTTTCTATAGATGATGAGTGGCACATCTGCCAAAATATAAACTTGTAAGTTTTAAAAATAAAAAATAAAAAATTGGTGATTTTACACCTTACAAAAAAAATATGTCATGCTCTATAAAAATGTGTGTGACATTGCAATAATTGATGTCATGGTATTGGAATTCCGTCTTGCATACTGTAAGATGATTGCAAGACCAGAAGTTTCTAAAGTATCCTTCTCTTTTATTTACCTTTCTTATCTTCACTCGCTGTCTCCTATATAAGAGACAGCTTTCCTCAGTCTCTTCACTTTCTTTCTTCAGCTTAGAACTTTATCTTTTTCTTCCTTTTAAATATAACTTACAAAGCTTCTCTTTGCTCAACCTTGCTCGTTTTTCTCACATGGGACAATCGCAATTGTGATTGTTTATCATCACAATTTCTAATTTTCACTGTCGATAGTTTGAATAGATAAGCGGAGCTCTTTAAGCTCCCTTATAGTGGATTTTGAATAATAAATATATTTTAGACAGACTATTCTTATTACAATGTGGGTCTAAATTAATATACTCAAATCTTAAAAATTAGTTAAGGAACTGAAAAAAGGGCGCAGCACTGTGTGGGCAGCGCTGTAAACAGCATGGTGTTTCTTAATGTTAGCCAGCAATAACAGAAATGTGTATAGTGGCCATGAGGGCGACCTTGATTCTTGAAAAGGGAAGATAATGGCTTGAAGTGTGTGTTGGGCACCACAAACACTAGGTGCAGGGGTGTTGGAGTCGGAGTGTAAAATAACGAATAATAAAATAAATATGCCAAAGTAGGTGGTGGATACTAGCCAAGAGAAAATATAGCAAGTAAAAATAATAAGTAAAAGCGTTATATAAGAGGGGGGTGTGGGAGCACTATTGTAATAGTGTTAGAAAAGTAGGGGTTAAATTATAAAGGATTTTATTACTAGTGTTTATAAAGTCCTATTATCACAGGCCTCGCCTTATATATATATATCTCCTTGTCTTTGTGGCACTCACTAGCAATTGTATGCTCCGTTTGCGAGAACTGGTCCTTATGAAAGTAACCCGGGTCTCTGATATGGCATAATTGGCATGTCTGTATTCTTACGCCCAGCACATGCCCATCACATCCATTTCAGGACAAGCAATATGTCCGGATGGCAATTGTGGGGGCTGATTTGATCCCCTGTGATTTGGCCCATATCAGATCCATCTGTTAGCTGACAAGAACCTGTCTCGTGATTTTCCCTCTCAACATCTACTTCCATATCCTTGGGCTGTGTAACAAAAGTATGCAAAAATAAATGTGTGTGGTGGTGTTACTAAATAATATGTTAAAAATATATTTATTGAAACAAAAGAAAGCTGAGGAGTAACGGCATCAATCGCTTGTATTACTCTACTATTTATATTCTCAGTACTAATGTCTACATATACGAGTAGGAAATCAACTGGTAATTGATCCATTGAGTAGTCACCATGGGCAAGCCGGATTATAATTGTGTCAAGTTTGGTCAACTAATTTAGATGGGAGCTTAACGACATCAAATCCAAGTTATCATTTGGTCAGTTTGGATTGCCTATAAAAATGCAATTGGAAATGCTCAATAAGGAACATTCCTTTTCTTAGTTTTAAATAATAATTTATTGGACTTGTTAATTTTGGACTATTACAACAAAGTATACGAGCTGTTGACCACTTGGGCCAACGATGATCAACACCTTTGTGTGCGCACAAAATAGCAATATGAAGACGTGCGTTCATTGCAATTTCATATTTGTATCCTGCTGTCTTTTTTCTTTAATCTGACTTTTGAATACAATTTATATTTGCACCTTTACATTGGGTTAGAACATAAAAATCACAATGGACGTAACCTTAAGCTAATGTTTTTTTTGCAACGCATAACCCTAAATCTGATCATTAAACCCAATCAAATTAGGAAAAAATTGTTGGCCATTGGATCGACTCGCTGAAAAAAAACAAGCTTTTGAAATCTGCAACTACCACACTGCTTGTACTGAATCGATTTAGGTTGAGTTCAGTTTCAGGAAAGTGCACTTTCAACCTTTTACTTTCAAACTTTGCATTTTGTTGGCGTTTCAATCGCGGTTTTCAGTTCTTCACTTTATTTATATTTAACTCACTAGCCGATCGCAGAAAAACTTCACCATGTCGCGGCCCGAGCATATCGCCCCACCAGAGCTATTTTATGGAGACATTGAGGCCAAAAAATATACAAGCAATTCGCGAATTGCATCTATCCAGGCCGAGATGACGCTGCGGGCAGTTGAGCTGCTCAATCTCGAGGATGAAGGGCCATACTACCTGCTTGACATTGGGTGCGGGTCAGGACTCAGTGGCGAGATCTTGGACGAGGACGGTCATCTGTGGGTTGGTATGGACATTGCACCGTCGATGCTCGAGATTGCTGTCGATAAGGATGTAGAGGGCGATTTGTTTTTGCAAGATATTGGACAGGGCATGGGGTTCCGTCCCGGTACGTTTGACGGGGCGATCAGTGTGTCAGTGCTCCAGTGGCTGTGCAACGCAGACAGAACAGAGAACCGGCCGCGGTACCGGTTGCAGCGATTTTTTTCAACGCTGTTTATGTCACTGCAGCGCGGTGCGCGCGCAGTGTTCCAGTTCTACCCCGAGAATGACACACAGGTCGAAATGATTATGAGCACGGCGATGAAGTGCGGTTTCACTGGCGGTCTTGTAGTAGATTATCCGAATTCGAAAAAGGCGCGTAAGCTTTACCTGTGCCTGTTTGCCGGGCAGGCGGCACCAGGCGACAAGCAGATTTTGCCCAAGGGCCTTGAGGGCGATGAGAAGCCTACAGGCGTGGAATACACAGATACGAGGTAAGGCGCATATGCAGTGCTATTATTATTGCAGTTGAGCTATGCATGTTGTATGATGCATGTATTTTGATGCTACATATTGTTTGTATGAGCGCACTCTATCGTTTGCAAATTGCACACTATGTACTGATTTTGGACTGTTTGCATGGCATGTAGGATCCAAAACCAGGCCCGCGGGCGGAAGAGCAGGAAACCCGTCAAGGATACCAACTGGATTCTGAAAAAGAAGGAACTCGCGCGCAAGCGTGGCAGGGAGGGTGTCCCGTCGGATTCCAGGTACACTGGCCGCAAGCGCAAGCCAAAGTTCTGAGTGTGTAATTACGCGCAATCTCCCGGTTTGGGCCCCCGTCAGCGATGTTGCTGTTTAAAAGGCGCCGACTCCGTAGACTAGGAAAGCAAGTCAAGATGTGCTCCCTTTGTAGCCAGGAAATAGTTCTTTTCTGTTGGCAAATGAAAAAGTAGACAAAAGATACACTAATGATTATAATCCAAAAAAATTCATGATGCTGTGTTCGTGCTGTGCTATGCCTGTGCCTGTGGTGCCTGTGCCTGTGCATGCATTGTCTCCAAAGCGTAGAAAGCTCTTTATGCAGCTGGCGTTGCTCCGCAGGGCTCATTCAGCATGCGTGGTCTGCTTGATGACACCATTGGCATTGCTTGGCCCAAAATGCACCGAGCACTGTAGGCCCTAACCCCAAGGAATTTTGCCAGCAGCAACAGCAGCAACAGCAGCGCAACAAAGCTATGACGATGCAAATAAAGGCTTCAAGCGCAGGAACCGGGTAAGATGTAGCAGACAGGATTTCCATTTCACTTGAGGAGAATCGCCGCCCCTCGTTTTACTGCCCACGCTCAGAGAATGCGGCGCTGCCTATAAAAGCCCTTTTTTGCCCTTAATCCCCACCAATGTCAACAGTACTTTGTTTTTGTTTTTGTTTTCTTTTTGATCTCAACTGCTGCCAGTACACCTTGCCCTATTTATTGCTGCTCCCTGCTAACACGCTTTCTTTTTGCTTTCTCTTCTCTTTCTCTCTTTCCTCTATTCTCATTCTATTTGACTTGACTCTGCCGCTGTCGCTTACACACTTCAGGCCGCATTTCTCTCTCACTTCTCATCTCATCTCGACTGAACACTCATCTTCTCAAAAGGCAGCCCAAACCACCCATGTTGCAAGACCGCCGCCCATCGTTCACCCGCCACAACTCGCAGGACATGCGCTCATCCAGCACTCCCGGAGGTGTGGAGCATGCTGTGCGCGTCGAACTCGACGATATGATCAGCCAGATGCCTGTCGGCCCCGAGAAGGACAAGTTCTGCAAGGAGATGGACGACTTTTACCGCCTGTTCACGCGCTATCTTCACGAGAAGAAGCATAGTAAGCCACTGTAAGTACCACTGGCCCGCGCTAGATTTCCAGAATACCAGATTGCTTGCGTGCGGATTGGCTTGTTTGTCAAGCGCTGGCTCTTATTTTCGGCTCACTTTGTAATTTTTTAGGCCTTGCAAGCATGTCGCTGTCGATCCCTAACCAAAGGGTATTTTCGCATCCATCGCTTGTTGACGCTTTCTTTCGTGCCACTAACAATGTTACCCTTTCATATTACCCCCAACTTGTGTAGCGACTGGGAGAAGGTCCGTGGTCCCAAGCCCGAAGACGTCATCGCATACAAGGATCTCGAGCAGAAGGATCTCAAGGGCGTCGCCCCACTTCTCAGCAAGTTGGCTGTCCTTAAGCTCAACGGTGGGCTCGGCACCACCATGGGGTGTGTTGGCCCCAAGAGTGCCATCGAGGTGCGCGACGGCCAGACCTTCCTTGACCTCACGTCCAGCAGATCGAATACCTGAACCAGGTTTCGGGCGCTGATGTGCCGCTGATTCTGATGAACTCTTTCAACACCGACGAGGACACCAGCAAGATCGTGCAAAAGTACAATAACCATAACGTGAGCATCTGCACCTTCAACCAGAGCCGCTATCCGCGCTTCAAAACCGACTCAACTGCCGCTGGCGCGCACGCCCGACAACAAGCCTGGCTTCTGGTATCCCCCGGTCACGGCGATCTGTATGAGTCGTTTGCCAACTCGGGCCTTCTGGACCAGCTCCTTGCCGAAGGCAAGGAATGGGTGTTTGTGTCAAACGTCGACAACCTGGGTGCCACTGTCGACCCCGCCATCCTCCAGCACATGTCCGACACGGGCGCTGAGTTTGTCATGGAGGTCACTGACAAGACCAAGGCCGATATCAAGGGTGGAACCATCATCGACTATGATGGCCAAATCCGTCTTTTGGAGATTGCCCAGGTGCCCAAGGCCCATGTCGACGACTTTAAGCGCGTCAAGAAGTTTAAGATCTTCAACACCAACAACCTGTGGATCAGCCTCAAGGCCATCAAGCGCCTGGTCGGCACGCAGCGGTTTGATCTCGATCTGATTCTCAACCACAAGACCACTGACGACGGGACTGCCATCATCCAGCTGGAGACCGCCGTCGGCGCCGCCATCAAGCACTTTTCGGGGGCCCACGGTGTCAATGTGCCTCGCTCACGCTTCCTGCCCGTCAAGTCGACCTCGGACCTGTTCCTGGTCACTTCAGACCTGTATCTACTCGAGAACGGCCAGCTGTGCATGAACCCCAAGCGTACTTTCAAGACAGTGCCTGTGGTCAAGCTGGGTGACCACTTCAAAAAGGTCAACGACTACCTCGCTCGCTTTAAGACCCCCCACAGATCCTTGAGCTCGACCACCTCACGGTCACCGGCGACGTATGCTTCAGCTCCGACGTCACCCTGGAGGGCACGGTTATTATCGTTGCCAATTACGGCGCCCACATCGATATCCCTCGCGGCGCAATTCTCAACGACAAGGTTGTCTCTGGAGATTTGCGCCTTCTTGACCATTAGTGTCGCGTTGGGCACGGGCAGCGGGGCAGGCAGATACAACGAGGGCTTTGTGTTTCGACCCGATCCTATATATTTCTAGTTTTTCCTCCTTTGATATACAAAACATCACTCACCCCACCTCCACCTTGCAAATAAACAGGTAGAGCAAAGCAAAGCAAAACAAAACAAAGCGCATGTCGCTCATGAATATAGATACCATCTGTGTCAAGCGGCAATAGGAAACTAAAAAATAATGGTGGTGGTATTACAAGCTTAAAGAAAAAAGGGAATTTGTTCTAGCACAGCTCATAAATTCCTCCATGAATCTTCCATACTTGTCGGGATCCTGGCGCGCAGTCTCGATCAGCAGCAGCAGCTTCTTGATGCCAATGCTGAATGGCCGGCCGTCAAAGTGGCTCTCCAGGCTTGCAAACAGACGGTCGTGCTCTTTCTGGTCGTCAAACAGACAGACGTGTCGGACGACACTCTGCATCGCATCCAGCGTGCAAATATTGCTGACAAAAGTTTCGCTGGAGAAAGTCGACGCCATGTCCATCTGGGTCAACACATCGCGCTCGCTGCTTGTCCCGATAATCAGCAGGCGGCGGCCCTTAGGCGGCTGCTTCTTGATCAAAACCAGCAGGGTCTGCAGCACGCCGTTCGAGAACCGCGGGCCAATCGGGACCCACTCCAGGAGGCGTTCAATATCGTCGATGACAATCAAACTCAGAGGTGACTTGTACGAGTCGTTGAATATCTTTGTGATCTGAGAGATGCGCTGGCTTTCCGATGCGCCGATCATGTTCTCGGGAGACACAAGCCTTACGAACGGATACCCGCTGCGCTGGGCAATGGTCGCGGCCAGCGCTGTTTTGCCGCTTCCTGATGGCCCGTGCAACAAAATACTGACAAGCGGCGAGCGGCTGCTTTGGTGGACTTGTTCGACAAACAGATGCGCCTTCTGCAGCAGCTCCCCGACGCTAGGTGCGAATTCAATGATGCCACTGGCAGCGCACTGCTCAAACTCCTCAGAGGCCACGCCAAATGCCGGCTTGAACTCATCCAGCGCGTTGAAAAAGTCCTCGCGCCGGATCTTCATGTCGGAAATGTCCTGCGTGAGCTCTGCCATGCTCCCCACTTTAATGTGGCGGCTGAACGCAAACGACGAGGCCGACTTAACCACGCCGGCAAGCTCGGCACCGCTAAAGTTTTTGGTCAGCGCCGCCAGTTCAGCAAGGTCCACGTCGTCGGCGAGAATGTTGTTCTCGCGGATCTTGGCAGTGTGTATCTTTATAATTTGCAGGCGGCCTGACTCATCGGGCAGACCGACCTCGATGTGGATCTCCAGGCGGCCTGGGCGCAGCAGCGCATCATCAATAAGTTCTTTTCTGTTCGTCATGCCGATGATAAGGATATTGTTGAGCTGATCAACACCGTCCATCTTGGCCAGTAGCTGGTTGACCACAGTGTCACCCGTGCCTGTACCGTCGTTCTTGGATCCGCGCTGCTTGCAAATGGCGTCGAGCTCGTCAAAAATGACAATGTGCAGCTGACTCTCGTCACCCTTCTCACGGTATTCCTTCTCAGCGGGCTCAAAGAGCTTGCGCACATTCTCCTCGGACTGGCCAACAAATTTGTTGAGAATCTCAGGGCCCGACACGATGATAGGGTCGACTGAGTTGAGCATCTTGCCGATCTGCCTGGCCATCAGTGTCTTTCCCGTGCCCGGCGGCCCGTACAAAAGAATTCCCTTGGCGTGCTGAATTCCGAGCTTGTCCACCAGGTCAGGGGGAAAGATGCGGGATGCAAACGCGCGCCTAAAGATGGTGCTGAATTCTTTGTCAAGGCCGCCGATTCCCAGGTCCTCAAAGTTGAAGTCGGGCTGGATGATCTTGTTGGCCTTGCGGCTGACCGCAGAACCTTTGAGGTTGATGAGCGAGCCCTGGCCCTTGGTCACAGAAATCGTCGTAATGGCCGATAGAACGCCATAAAGCGCAGAGTCCGCAATAAGGGGATCACCGGCGCTGCCGCCCGGCTTAATGTCGCGCAACACATCCAGAGGCACGGCGGCCATCCCAGTCACCACGCCCTTCAGATTGTTTCCGCGAAAGTCAAAGACAAACGGCTGGCCGCGGGTAAAGAGCTGCTTCTCAAAGTTGTTTTTAAGCAGCTCGGCGACCTCGTCGGCATCGACTATCAGCGCCGACTCCTGGCTGGGGGTCAGAAATGAGACCTCTACGTCCATGCGGCTGAGAAAGACGTTTGAATTCGAGTCCACAACTGAATCGCCCATGGCCTCGACAACAACCTCCTGGTTGATCGAAAACTGGCCCCACTCTCTCTGGATTTTGGTGGGCCCGATTTTGCCCGAGGGCAAACCCGGAATTGGCAGAATGTTGAAGATGTACTGCTCGTTGACCCGGACAAAGCGGACGCTCTTTTCAAAGTCGCTGCTGCTGACAGCCAGGTAGTTTGTGTACGTCAGGGTGCTGTCTGGGCACTTCACAGCTTGCATGCGCCGAACATCTCCAGCGCGCAGGTAATTCGCGCGCTGGGCGCCGCCGTAATTGGGCGGGGGCACTGACTGCTGGCGGGCGTGGGGGTCTATCTCGCCGCCGGAATATATGCGTTCGTAATTGTGGGGGTGTCTACTCATTGTATGGTAATTAGTGTCAATTGTAAAGCGTAAAAAATATTGAACTATAAATGTACCTTGTGCAAACAAAAGTAGAGCCAGACAAAGCCCACAAAGTTGCGCCTGAGGCTCATCACTCGCATTCTTGTATGTGGAATATTGAGATTGGATTAAAAGGTTGAAATTAAATATGACGTACGTACACTTTTGGCATGAGTGCGCGACAATCTGAATCTGGCTGCGATTTGACAGGTCTATTTTCTCTCCCAATCTGGCTGCGATTTGAGCACATTGGGTGCAGCTTTCCTTTATCGTTCCTCTTATTTTTCTTCATTTCTAAATAATATTTTTAAAAGCTGTGTCCGTTTGGACATTAATATTGCCTTTTTCTTGTAATCCACATCCTTATAATATCTCGTGACAGTCTACCCGCGCAACTAACAGCAAAATTATCGATGAAGTGTGTTCGTGTTGTCGACCCCGCCGACTTTGATAATATAGTCAATGCTGCTGTTGATGAATCCAGCGCTGTGTTTGTACTGTTTTTTGGTCGCGAGAGCCCAGACACCAATCTTTCATGGTGCCCCGATTGCGTCATTGCGGATCCCGAAGTGCGCAGGGCTGTCAGCAGTGTCGAAAATTCGATTTTGCTAGAGGTTCCTATTGATCGCAAGTCCGACATTCAGAGTCCGTTCAATGTTTTCCGCGATCGAGCCGATACCAAAGTTGAAAGGATTCCGATGCTGCTGCGCTGGACTGCCGGTGGTCCCTCTGCCACACGACTCGTAGAGGACGACTGCACAGTGAATAGGATCAAAGAGTACATCAAGAGCACAGGCCAACAGTAGACAGCCACATACTAGGTTTCATTTGTAAACCTAATTCAAAAATTCAAAAATTCAAATTGGTTAGCCCACCCTGTCATTCGTAACCAAAAATGTCACCCCGCATATTTTCTGGGTTATTGGTTATTGCCAATGCTCAGGGTGCAATCACATTCTTTCATTACATCAATCGATTAATAGATTGGTCGGCAAAATTCACCATACCAATACAAGAGAAATATGGATATTTTGGCACGGAAATAAATATGAATAATTTAGCGACAGGTTAATCGCAAAAATTGTAGGTTTCTGCCCGAGCTCTAAAATTTTGCGCTTCACACGAGTAAGCGACCATGGAGCACACGTAGCTCTGCAATTGTGTACGGGAGAGTGTGCCTAGTAGCTATAATTTTTGACAAATAATACCAAGGGGAATCTGAGTAGATCACAGCGTGTCAGTTATGTGGTAAAGTTCATCTTTTCTAGGTGTGAAATCTTGCAAAAACATAAAATAGTTGGCAGTAGATTGGTTTCAAATTTGCTGCCATTTGTTTTCTGGAGTGCGGAGAGGAATAAAATAGGTACCTTATTTGCATCTCCCAGGCGGGGTAATACTCAGGAACATTAAAAATAATGTCTACAAAAAGCTTGAATGCGTCTGGCTGGTTACTACCCATGTTTCACTCCTCAAATAGCAAACAATTCTATTATTTGGGTGTCTCAAATATAGTGTTTGTCGCAAAATTGCGCACTGCGGCCATTCCCATTCCTTGAACACCACTTACACAATCCCCGCACGCGCGTACTAGCAATAATCGCTGCAAAATAAAGTGATAGAGCCAGCATTCTTAATATTAGACATCCACATTCAAAACCGAGTGACACATTGTGAGAGAAATCTGCATGAAAACGAGGGGAAAACGTTCCTATGCATAGCCTGTGTGTTGGAATATTGAATTCGTGTGCTCAATTCGATCTCTTGCGAGCAGTAGCCGCCAAATATCTCGCGGGTCTAATCTTATGAAGGGAGTTTTCTGCGCGTTATTGACTTTCCAATTATAATATCAGTGACTAGAAAACAAGTCAATTCAACGTGCATAATTTTGTTTAAATAGTCCGGCGGCCGTGGCCAAAATTACCAAATACAAATATTATCATCATCCCCATCATCTTCATTAGCTTTATAGTTAATACTCAAAAATACTTCAAAGTTATTCTTCATCTGCGCGCTCAACTCAAAAAATTTTAAAAGTAATATTTACATTTTTTAGCTTTAAAAAACGCCAACTTTCATCACCCACTAAAAGACATTACCACTCAATCCAGGCTCACTAAAGAATGAAGGTCACTTTCGGTATTCTCGTCGCTTTTGTCGCTGCCGCTTCGGCCGCTCCTGCTGATGCCCAGCCGGCCCTTATCCCCACTGTCTATGACTCGGGCTTCTATGGTGCTGCTCTCGGTCTCTCGGCTGCCCCGGCTCCCGCGCCTGCACCTGCCCCTGCTGGCTATGATGCTGGATCCAGCTACAATGATAGCGTGCCTGTTCCCGCCCCTGCTGCATACGGCGCCCCCGCTCCTGACAACTACTCGGGTCCGGCTCCTGCTTCCTATGGCGCACCCGCCCCTGCATCCTACGGCGCACCCGCTCCTGACAACTACTCGGGTCCGGCTCCTGCTTCTTATGGCGCACCCGCCCATGCTTCCTACGGCGCACCCGCCCCTGCTTCCTACGGCGCACCCGCCCCTGCTTCCTATGGCGCACCCGCCCTGCTTCCTACGGCGCACCCGCCCCTGCTTCCTACGGCGCACCCGCCCCTGCTTCCTACGGCGCACCCGCCCCTGCTTCCTACGGCGCACCCGCCCCTGCTTCCTATGGCGCACCCGCCCATGCTTCCTATGGTGCACCCGCCCATGCTTCCTACGGCGCACCCGCCCCTGGTGCCTATGACGCTGGTTCATATGGTCCTGGTGCACCCGCGGCCTATGGTGCCAGCTCCAGCAGCGCTGGTGGCTATGAGTCTGCTACCTATACCTCGCAGGCTGCATACCCATATGGAAACGTTGCACCCACCCAGGAGTATGCCTCTGCTACCTCGGCACCAGCATACACCATCACCATGAACATCCCCGGTTCGACTGTCACCACCGTCGTTCGCGGTCCTGACTGCACTGTCACCGTCACTGACCCTGGAAACGTTATCACCGGTACTATCCACGACCCTGATACCACCCAGACCATCCACTGCGCCGGCAACACACTCACCAACTTTGTCACTGACCCACCGACCTACGTGACCAAGTCATGCAAGCTGTCCCCCGTGACTGTCTCATGCATCCACGCTGGTGACGTCAAGACAGTCACCATCGTCAACCCATGCAGCACTGTCACCTCGCTTGCTCAGGGCCCTCCGGCCACTGTCAGCTGCGACTCTGGCAACGACACTGAGCCAACCGTCACCCTGACCGTCAACCCTTGCGATGATGGCTCCAAGAGGCACAAGAAGCACAAGAAGGCCAAGAAGTCCGAGTGTTCGGAGGAGTGCCCCAGTGAGACGTCCGAGGTGTGCCACACTACTCCCACCTGCGAAAACGAGTGCGAGACCAGCTCCAAGAAGCACCACAGGAAGCACAAGAAGGGAAAGAAGTCCACTGAGTGCTGCACCCCAGTGTACACCACCCACATTTACACTGAGGCCTCGTCGATTGTCAACACGCCCGGAGAGACCGTGTGTGCGACTTCCTCTTGCTAAAGCTGCCAAGAAAGCTGCTCCCTGACGGCATCTCCGTCTGGCAATAGGTCATACACATTGCACCTCTTCCAGCTCATCATCGCGCAGTGTGATCTGGTAATTGCAAATGTTGGCCTTTGGCATACTGGTGTCCAGTGACTTTTCATTTTTTGCTTCTTTATATTTCCATACATTAGGTTTTTTGGTGTTACTTTCTCTCGCTATGTGGCTCAGAGAATATAAAAAATAAATTTCCACTTTAATACTTTAGTGTTTATTCAATGATATATAGAAATTGCTGCCATTCTTGTTTGCCATGCCATGCCAGCAGAAAGCTTAGTCGCTAGAGTAGTCTCCGTCCTCTGCCCCCTCGACCTTATCGTGCCGAATCTGAAGGGCAAGTGTCGCTTGCAAAAGCAGACGGCGAATGTCCTCCTCTTCAGGCTCCGTCAGATTTACAGGGCGCTGTTTCTCCCGATTGACAATGCGCGGGTCGGCGCCAGCGCTCACAAGAAGCTTGGCGATCTCCAGCGCAGTTTCAGAGCTGTCGCAGTGTGTCAGCGCCTTGTGTAGAGGCGTGTCGCCCTCGAGATTATCTTGGATGTTAGGCTGCAAGCCACGTGCGCCAACCAGTGCCTTTACGCACTCGACTGATCCCTGCTGGGCTCTAGTGATAGCAATGCAGATGCCACAGAACAAAAGCAAAATGTCAAAAGTGAGTTATACAAGCAATTTTACAGTCGTTCTCATAGTCCATCAATCCACCAAATCAAAATACAGGAATCGCTTTATAGCTTGAGCGCACATTGCAGCGGGCGCGATTATAGACAAAACACTTACGCATAGTGCAGTGCGGTAAAGCCGAGCCCATTCTTAAAGTTGACATTGACCGGCTGCTGGCCGCGCAGCAGCTCCTTGACCAGGTGCGGCTGATCCATCATGCAGGCAGACAGAAGCTGCTCTTCTACAATATGCAAGTACAAAAATAGAATACCATGTATAATTTGACGCAAGAACAGCATGCTTAGTGGTTATACCTAAAAGATAACTACGCGGTCGCATTGAGGCGAACGCAGAGTATGCTGCTCTCGCTACCAAATGCAGTCTCATTGCAAAATGCAATGTGCTTGCGGGATTGACCCGCAGCATCGCAGCAGCTACACTCGTGCCTACCTGGGCTGGCTCCTTCATCGCTCATTGTGTACTTGGAATTCAAATAGAAATAGGTGCAAATAAAGAGACTGTAGCAAAGTTGTTAAAATATATAAACAAAATAGAGGGATGTTGACAGAAAAGAAGATGGTAGAGAGGGGCCGCCTTTGATTTCCAAAAAAAACCAAAATCGGGTTATGCCATCATCTGCCTGACAAGCAGCCTCTTAACGGCAGGCAGGCAGTCCAAACCGCGCATGGCCAGAGAGCGCACGCTGGCGATCGGCGCGGCGTCGGAGCCAAATACATGCCAGATCTTGTCAACGACTCCCTGCATGGCCAGGTTGCGCACATAGCGCTGGCTGTTATAGCGCTGGAGGACAGGCTGCGTGCCGATATCCTGTCCCGCGAGCACTGCCTGCTCTAGTACCGCCGCTAGACACTGCACGTCCTCAAGGCCCATGTTCAGACCCTGCCCGGCAAGCGGGTGCATGACGTGGCCCGAGTCACCAACCAGTGCCACACGCTCAGAAACCAAGCTGTCGACAACACGCATGCGCAGTGGGAACGACATTCGCGATTTCGGCGACACCGCAGCCACGGCTGGCGCCAGCAACGGCTGCCGATCGCTGTCAATGTTGCCATGCACGCCCAGACGCCAGTCGGCCTCAGCCTTGATGGCACTATCGGGGGACCCGTTGTGGACCATACCAAAGAGGTGCTGCATCTCGGCCAGTGACAGGCGGAACGCCGCATTGACCAGGCTAACGAACGTGTCATCAGAAAGAGCCTTCAGCTGCTGCACTCGGCCCTGGTCCATCGACCACACGAGGTTGGCAAAGCCGCCAGGAAAGGGCAGCATTGCAATCGGGCCCGTGGGCAGAAAGCGCTGGAACGCGGCGCTGTTCAGCTGCTCCAAGCATAGTGTTGCGACCAGCCCATGCTGCCCGTAGTCGTTGCCATATGTGTTGATGCCCGCAAACTTGCGCACCTGGCTGCTCCCGCCGTCTGCTCCAACCAGAAGCCGCGCTCGGAGGCTCTGCTTGTTTGACAGGGTCAGCAGCGGCCACTTGATTCCACTGTGTCCGGGCTCGATCTGCACTACTTTGGCTCGTTCAAACAGATCCACCGGAGTGCTGCTGCAATGGATCGAGCGCAGAAGTCCCGAAACAAGGTTCTTCGTCTCGATCATGTATGCCACACTGCCAGAGTTGACAGACAGAAGCGACGACGATGCATCGAGATCAATCATGCCGCACCCGACAGCATCGGTGACCACCGCCCGGTTGCATGGCTGCACACGATCCGTATAGCACTGCCCCCACACGCCGTGGCGCTCGAGGTAGCGCTTGTTTCTCGACGTGATCTGAAGTGTTCGCGGCAGATACGTGTCGGTTGGTGGCTTCCACTCCCTAGTGTCGTCCAGTTTGCCTGGATCAACAAGCGCAATGCGCAGCCTGTTCAGCGCCCTGGTTGACCCCAGAACACTGGCAAGTGCACAACCCGCAGCGCCACCGCCAACTATAACTACATCGTATAGTTGAGCATCGGGCGCTTCAGGCCGGGATGCGCTCTGCGTCTTTCCACAGGCGACAAATGTTCTTGCGACAGGGCGTTGCCGCATAGCCGCCAACATGGGGCGCACCAGTGCGAGCGCTGATTTCGGCGCATTCATAGTTCCAGAATCTAAATTAGTTGGGCTCGAGCTGCACTGGCCCAACGGAGACGTGTACGAAGATAAGAGCGCTGACCGAACAAGAGTGCTAGCTGTAAAAAAACCGCTCTCTCCTCTACGAAGTGGCTGAACTGTGCGTGAAAAAATAATGTAATTGAAAGCAACACAACAGGAATGAAAAATGCGAATTGCGCTCCGCAAAAAAGCAAGGGAGAAAAAATGTGCTAAGCACTTGCTGACAGCATGGCATAGCACAAACAGCGCAGCTGATAACGGGGGCAGCGCGGCGATCGGATAATGTGCTCGTGCTCAGTCGCCATCGTCTGCGCCGCCGTTGCGAACCGCCCTGCCACCCTGGACCTCCTTCTGAAGCAGCCCAATCAAGGTCTGGCAGCGCCGCTGTATTTCCTGGGAGTTGCGGCTCTTGATGAACCAGTCGAAGCGGAACATTGGGCTGAGGCGAAGCTCCTGGCGGATCTTGTCGTACACGTCGTCGCTGCCAATGCCATTTCGCGCCAAGCTCACTAGCATAAACCTGTCCTCGTCCTCGGTGTATACTCTGCCCTTAGCGGTGGAGCCTCCCGAGCTGTAAGGAATGCTGAAGTGGCGCAACGGGTCCTGCTTGCATTCGCCCAGCTTGGACTCAAGCAGCTGCTGGATCTCGTTACGCCGCGCGCGCTTCTGCTCGCCCTTTGAAATCTGGGCGGTCAGCCGATCAGCCTCGGGCAGTTCCTTGTAGCGCTTAAAGAATACCTTTGCGTACGCCTCAACCTCCTCAGGCGATTTCCCCTCGACCTCAGTCTTGACAAGGCTCATGTTGCTGCGACCATGGTTCTCGAGCGCGCGCATGAGACTGTAAAAGTCACGGCGGTTCCAGTTGCTAAAGCCCTGTGAGACTAGCTCCTCCTTCTCCTTAATCTCCTCCTCAGTGAGCGGCTCAGCGCTGTCGATCAGCGCCTGCTCGGCCAGCCGTGCCTCCTCACTGCGCACCTCGCTAGTGGACGAGTCATTACCATCTTCATCACCGCCACCGCCGCTAACCCCAGCCCCGGCTTTGGGAACCTTGTACCCGATCTGGCGGCGATAAGACAGAAGCTCCTTGTCCAAGAGCACCTGCAGCCGCGGCGGGTAAAACTGGAAGTCGCTGATGTGCAGCTGCTTCGGCGGCCGCGGGGCACGCTGGGCGGCGTTGTTCTTCGAGTTCTGGCGCAATGCCTCACGGTAATAGTCGTCGACTGCGTAGTTGACCTTGCGCTCGCGCTTGGCCGGCTGAATCCACAGCTGGGCAATGTCAGCCGTACGGCGCTTGCGAGCGTAGTCTTCACCCTCCCACTGGGTGGTCGACGTGCTCTCGTTGGCAAATCTGTTGAGGTCATCTAGACCCATGTCAGCGTACTTGCTCTGCAGCTCATGCGTACGGCTCTCGCCACGGCGCAAAATGTCATCAATATTGATTCCCTCAGCCTCAGCGTTGGTGTCTGAGGGAACGGGCGTCACGGCGCCACTGGCTGTGCGAGAATTTGTGGCGCTTGTCCTATCGCCGGCAGAGTTGAGGATGCCTTCAGCACCAAACTGTACCATGTCCAGCAGCTGCTCGCGGGTGGTAGCCTTTGTCGCCTGCGCCAGACGGCCCTGCTGAATCACAAGCTGGTCGAGGCGCAGCTTCTGCATCGCGCGCTCCAGGACCTTCTCTTCGACCGTGTCCTCGGTGATAAAGCGGTAGACGTAGACCTGCTTGGTCTGGCCGATACGGTGCGCACGGTCCATGGCCTGCAGGTCGGCCTGAGGGTTCCAGTCGCTATCAAAAATGCATACATTGTCCGCAGCTGTCAGCGTGATGCCGAGGCCTCCCGCGCGCGTGGTCAGCAAAAAAATGAACTTGTCGCTGTCAGGGCGGCTAAAGTCAGCAATGGATTCCACCCGGTCGTCGTGGGAGGTGGAGCCGTCAAGCCTGCAGTACTTGTAGTCGCGGAACTGGCAATAGTCTTCGAGGATGTCCAGCACGCGGCTCATCTGGCTAAAAATCAGCACGCGCGAGCCCTGTCCCTTAAGCCTCTTGAGCAGCTTATCCAGGACCACCATCTTGCCAGCGTTGTAAACCAGGTGCTCGTCCGTGGTGTAGGGAGGCCCGGGCTCGGCGCCGTCAAAAAGATAGGGGTGGTTGCAGCACTTGCGCAACTGCATAACAATGTTTAGCAGGCGTGTCTTGCCCTCTTTCTTACCGACTGCGCCGTTGATAGCGGCAATGTCCCGCTCGAGAATGCGGCGGTACCAAGTGCGCTGCATCGGCGTCAATCCAACATAAAGGTTGATTTCCTTCTTCGGTAGCAGCGAGCGCTCAACATCGCTCTTGACGCGACGCAGCAGGAACGGCTGAAGAACCTTGTGCAGCTGCTGCACAACCTGCTCCTGGTCGCCCTCGCCCTTTTGGAACCACTCGTCAAAAACGTCCGATGAGCCAAACACGTCGGGCAGCAGGAAATTGAGCAGAGCCCACAGCTCGTGCAGGTTGTTCTGCAGCGGCGTGCCCGTGATGAGCAGGCGACGCTTAGACGAAAACATGCGCACCAGTTTGGACAGCATCGAGTTCTCGTTCTTCAGGCGGTGCGCCTCGTCGATAATTATGTATTCCCAGTCCGTTTTGCGCAGCTCGCTCTTGCAAATAAGACACATCTCGTAGGTCGTGATGCAGCAGTCGAACCCGTCGGAGCGCATGTTCGCCTCGAATATCTTCGCCCGCTCGTGTTTGTCGCCATGCAGCAAAAAAACGTTGAGATCAGGCACCCAGCGGTTAAATTCTGCCTTCCAGTTGTGCAGGGTCGACTTTGGCACGACAACCAGGTGGGGGCCACGAATGTTGCGGTAGTGCTTGAGATAACCAATAAACGAGATCACCTGAAGTGTCTTGCCCAGGCCCATCTCGTCGGCGAGAATGCCATTGATTCCATTGTCAAACAAAGATATCATCCAGTTGAGGCCGCGCAGCTGGTAGTCGCGCATGCTCCCGCCAGTTACATAGCTTGGTGACTCGGTAAACGAAATCTGCATGTTGGGAAGCTCTGCCGACTCTTCGCGCATCAGCTCGGCATCTTCCTCCTTTTCAGTCTTGCGATGGCGCCGCGACGCTCCGTTCTCATTCTCTTTGACGGCCTTGCTGTCGAGCTGCCTTTTAATTTCTGCCTTGAGGTTGCTGTCCTTGATAAAGTCCTGTATAAAATGCGCAAACACGTCGGTCTGGCCAAGAAGATAGGCAAAACGCTTGGCCTGCATTGGATCGAGAGGTTTAACCGGTTCATTCGAGACTGGTGTGCTGTACCCACTGGGCGGCATAGACTCGGATGCTTCGCTAGGCGGGTCCCGGCTGGGCGCGTTCGCAATCGCGGGCTCGGAGGGCGGAAGATCCGCAGAATTTGATGCTTCCTGAGCGTCCATAACTCAACAAAAGTATGGCAATAGTATCAGCGTATCGACCACAGCCAAAAGTGTCAAGGCAAACCAAGATACAAGATAGAGAGAGAGAGAGAGCGAGAGAGAGAGAGAAAATGTGTAGAAAATGCGAAGAGTATAGAAAGTGTGCAGTGAGAACGTGCGCGTAATCGTGAAGTATAAGTTGGCGGTTACTGGTTCTTTAGCAGTAGAAAACAGAGGTGAAAGCAATAATAAAAACAATCAAAAAAGAGAAAGAGAAAGAAATGTCAAAAGCCGGCGAGAACTGTCAACGCATCCCAAAGGCGCAAAAAAAAGCGCGAAGCCCGCAACACGCGTAAAACAGCGATCAACCAATCAAGTACAAATCAAAACGCGGTCTGGGCTCAATTGCAGTTGAAGGTATTGGAGCGCAGCCACTACATCTAAAATGCCATGTAGAGATAATCCAAAGAATAACAGGATAAATGTATTCAACGTGAAAAAACAGTTGCTACTTTTGAGGACTGTCAGAGCGGGTGCAGGTTAATCGCATTATTGTTGGCGTCGGGCGGCGGCGCGTCATTGGAGGCAGCTGTCCCCTCGTTACTATCGGCAATGTCACGGGCATACTTTGCTGTCGCATCTTTAAGCGCTCGGACAAACTGCTTGCGCGCGGCAGATGATGGGTGCTGCATGACAAGCGTGAGGTGGACTGAATCGGGAAGGGGAATGTCAGTGCGGCCAAAAACAATGGGCGGCACCGAGCCAGTCCCACCAAAGGGCAGAGTGTCGGACGAATGGTGGGTCTGCAGCGACGGGACCACGTCGGCAAAATGCGAAATGCTGTAGTTGGTCATTGTATTGTTGCTGCTGTGAGGCAGGCCGGTATGATGCAAACTCATCGAGGAAGGAGTCCCTGAATACCCAGATGACGTCTTGGGCCGTTGCTGGTGCTGTTGTGGAAGGTGCGCAGTGACGCTGTCCTTATCGGCGGCCATATCGTTCATGCCGCTATTTGCCGGATGGTTTAGCCGCGATGCCGATAAGTTGAGTTGCATGGGAGACGACACTGGACTTGGAAATGTCGAGTGCGAGAGCGCAACAATGTGTTCGGGAATGCTATCACGCGAATTCGCCCGTAAAAGCCCCTTGCGGCCGCGCGATCGCTTCTTTCGGTTGCCAGCGTTGGTGTTGGCTGCGTCTGCGGGCGCCATGTCAGAAAGAGCCGAGTTGCTATGCGTGCTGAGGCTGTTTCCATAGCCGTGCCCCTGGCTGCCAGCGCTGGCTCGGTTACGCAGTTCGGCGGTCTCACCTAGGTCCGAAATGCTGTTTTGGGAACTGGTTGTTACAAAGACACGCGATCCAGACGCGCTGCTTGGGGCCAGTGGTGGCTCGGGCCCAGGCGGTAACGACCGGCGAGAGGACCCAGAACTGGCTGCAGCGCCAGCGGTATTGATGGACGTCGCATTGCGGTTCAAAGACAAAATGGTGACCAGCGTGTTTATGCTCTCATCAGCATTCTGCACTTCGACTTGGTCAAGCTGGGCAATGCCATGATACGACCACTCGACAATGGCGTCGACTTGGCCTTCAGAGTCCACCTTTGTCTGCAGAGGTGCCTGCGTAACAATGACCATGTCGGTAAACAGCAGCAGGCGCGTGGGCTGGCGCGAAATCAGCTCGCGTACGACAAACTCTGAAATGTAGGTTCGCGAGTCAGAGTGTGGCAGCGGCGGACACCGCTCAATAGTTCGAAAGATCTCGATCAAACGGTGCATCTCCTCCTGTTTGCGGCGACACTCGTTGACAATAGATGCAAGATGCGTGACGTTTTTAACTGCGCGGCAGAGCTCGATGTGGTCGCTGTGTACGGCCGGGGTGTGCTTGAGAATGTTTTTTAGCAGGAGCGTGTACCTGGTGATACGCTGAATGGGCAGCATCAGTAGGTCCTTTAGTGACTGCCTGTTAGTGCGCTTTTGAATCATACACTCCTCATGATACTTCTGGTACGGCTTGTAATCCTGGAGCTGTTTGAGACAGTTGACTGCCGTTCCGTAGTTCCGAACGTAGGAAATAAATTCATTCCAGTGGCGGTCGTTGGTTCGGAATAGCGTGCCAATTCGCATGCCGTCGTCGGCACTGCCCTCGCCGAAGCTCTGGTTGCGCTCGAAGCTGCCAAGTACAAAGTCCATCTCGCGGTAAAACTGGCTTGCGTGCGAGTGCAGCGCCGCAATTCCAAAGAAGATGACGCGCGCCGTCTGATAAGGGATGATGGGCTTTGGAGAGTTCGCAGACGAGAACACTGGCTCCATCCAGACCTACAATATGTTTTCGTCCACAAAGAACACAGAATTAAGCAAAAAATCAACAGAGTATCACCATATATAGCAATGAGAAGAGTTAGTGTAAAGTTGGCAGCATGCGGACAAGTTCACAAATTGACAAGCTATCTAGATGGAGTAGGTACCTTTTTGATGACAAACAGGTTATCCACAAAGTTTTTCTCCGTCATGACCAGCTCGCGCGCCGCATGCAACGCATCGCGGCGGGCGACTTCTTATACGACGGCGGCACTGCCGAAACGCGGCGGGTGTCGGTGGGCGGCGCATCCATCCGAGTTGTGGTGTCGCTGGTCGCTAGTCCGCCGCCCTGGGGCTCTGTGTTTTCTGCTATCTTTTTCGAGCCAAAGACAGCATCAGCCTCGCCAGCACGGTCGGGCAGTTGCTGCTGGGGCTGTGGTTGTGCCTGTTCCTGCAGCTGTGTCTGTGCTGCGGCTGAGTTTGTGACAGGCTGCTAGGAATATCATCAGAAACAGACAGGGTCCGCATAAATACGCTCGACCTACTCCACACATATGTCGATGCGCGCCGGATGCCAACTCCAGCCAGTTTGGAGCGCGCTCGCAACAGCCGGTTTCCATGGGACGCGGCCAACATGTCACTCTTATCCAGAAAGTCGGTACTCCTTTGGTAGCTGTAAGCTGCCTCACTCTCTTGGTCCGACGGCACGCTTCTTTCTCCATCCCTGCTAAACTGCTGCCCAAAGATAAATCCAGTGCTCCCACCGCCCTCTGGCGCCGATGATGGTAGACGCGACAATACAACACCGCCAAAGGAGCGCTGCCGCAGGCTATCGCGAGAGCCTGACGTGGAAATCGAAAGATTGTTGGGTTCGTATGAGCGCGCGGTAACGCAGAGGCCGAGCCAGGGCCCGAACCGGAAGCAATAGTTTTCAGGAATGCCTTGGCAGACGAAATTGAGGCCGATGCGCGCGAAGAAAGAAACTCATCGTCATGGTCCTCGCTCACCAAAAGCATCTTAAGATAAGGCCGCTCATAGAGCGATTTGGGGCGGCGATGCACGGATGGCTTGCGAGTCCAGCCACTTTGTCCATCCGCCACCTGGTCATCGGGCTCGAGACATTTCCCACACGCGGGAACGAGCATTTGAGAGGTTGCGTCTTCCTGAATCTGGTTTTGTGCAACGACTTCTTCCGGCTCTTCAATTGGCAAAAGTACCATTGGGGGCGATAGCCCCAATAAAGCTCCGGGCGAGGTCACTACTGAAGCTGAATGAACGAGAGAGGCCTGCGAAGATGCATGTAACAGCACTGATGACGACGACGGCGCTAGCAGCGACTTCCCAGAATTGGCTTCGGTGGCAAGAAGGATGCTTTTCTTGTCTCCGCGCTGCTTCACCGAGCCCATCAGCATGAGTTTAGGGTTGATGGCAGCTGGAATGTCGGCGCCCCGCGGGCATTAAATGAAGCACCTCTCCTATTTGGGCTGTTACCAGACGGCGATATAGGCGAGTCGGGCATTGACTGGCGCTGCTGCCTCCATAGCTGAATTATCTCGGGTGTGGCCTTGTGCGGAAGATTGGCGGTGGTACTCGGCAGGCCCGAAGTATCCCACGCGATAGTGCCTCGCCCGATCCAGACTCCGCAGCACTTCCCACCAGCGCCGCTTCCTCCATTTCTGCCTTTGCCCCTGCCGCTGCGGTCGGCATTGTCGTCGTTACTGCAAGCTTGGCTCTATGAGTCGAATGTTTGCTCTGCGAGGTATCGCAGGAGTGCGTATCGTTTGCGATGCCATCGCGCGGACTTGGCTCGCTGCTAGAAGAACGAGTGCAGGGCAAGGGCAATGCCAATGGTAAGGGCGGGAAAGTAGTGTTGTCGCCCTCATCGCGCGAGCCAGAACCAAAGGTTGGGCTGTGACCAATGTCTAAAGAATGATGCGTTGCAGTGCCAGCTGCAGCGTTTCTGTCACTGCTGCTGTTGCCATGGTGGCTATAATTGCTGTGGGCGCGCTGCGCCTTCATGTCTGCAGCGACTTCGCATCGCTGCGTGGTACTGGCCTTTGTAGAAGCACTACCGTCATCGCTGGGCCCTGGCTGTCCTGATGTGTAGCTTGCGTACAAGTAGCTGGGAGGTGTGCTGGTATCGGAGGACTGACTAGCGCCGTCATCGTCTGTTTTGCACTCACTGGTGACCGTGCACAGACTCAAGCGGCGCACAATTTCTGCGACATCAGGCGCTGACGATCTCCGAGGCAGAAAGCTATGGTGACTTTTCCGTGCGTCGAATTGGTGGGCAACATCAGTGACAATATGCTGGGGCTGCATGCCAGACACAGCTTGCAACTCGTCGGTGGCGCCGAGCTCGCCTCGCAGACTGTGCAAAGATGTATCGTCAGGCGGCTGCACTGCAAGCACGCTGAGTAACAAGTCGACCTTGTTTGACTGAGGCTGGGCGGAGCTCGTGCGGAACAGGTTGTGCATGGGCTCGGAATCTCTGACGTGTGTTCCAGCACCAGAACCCACCCCGCTATGAGAGATTGTGGAGTATTCTGGCCCAGGTCCTATGCTGGCGCCTGCGGCTATTTCTGGAACTGCGCCATGGCCCGATCCCAGACCAAAGAGCATGCGGCCGAGGCGCAGTCGACGGAAAATCCCCCGCTCCCTGCCAGCAGTGTGTGGGCGGACGGTTGGCTCGAGACCGCTGTCGTCGCGATTATCGTTTGATTTTGATGCGGTCCTCACGAGGACCTTTGATTTGGCCATGCTTTCTAAAATGCCGGCGGTGGACCGTTTGCTCTTATTTGCACTGCGCGTTTGATGGCAGCAGATGGTTTGGTTTAGCCGCGCTGCTGAGGTGGATAAGCTGGCCGGGCACTAAAATGGAGCTTTATCGGGCTGGGATGTGCAGTATGCAAGGGCGTATCTCTTTATTGTTATTCTTGCCAAGGCAAAATATAAACTAGGTGTGTCTGTGGGTTTGTGGTATATTTTTATAAATAAAAACAGTGGCAGTAGCGGTTGTGGCGACGGTGGCTACAGTATCGCGGAGGGCTAAAGCCAGTATATAGGTGGGAAAATAGAAAATAATATGTTGGGAATGAGATGCAATTGCAAAAATAGAATAGTATTGACAACAGCAAAAAGAAAGAGACTTTTGGCAGCAACAGACAAAACAAAAGGGGTCGCCATCCTATCGGAGGCATTTTAAGTGGACAGAAAAGCAAGCAAAACTCAACAAGTGGGCGCACACTTTGTATTGCAAATTGCGCAGAGCAACATGCAAGCGCAGTAGGGCAAAATCTGTTGCGCAATTGGTTTCGGATGTGGCAAAGGGAATATCATTTTTCACTTGTTCCCAAGGCAGCATTGTTGTTGAATATCCATTTTGATGCTTGGAGCAGCCCACAGGGATGCAAATGAAATGCGGCGCTTTGCCTGTCTTTTGCGTCGATATATCACAGCCAGCTTTTTTGCGTCATAACATTTTTTAATTTATTGTGCTATTGCAGCAATCGACCAGAGCCACAGAGCGTGATGGATATAAAAACACAGGGCGTTTGATTTGCGGTTTGCAAAATATTTGTTTTCTTTTTTGAGTTGAGAGCAGAATTTGTTGACTTGATTTGAAACCGATCGACAAAATGTTGATTTTTCTTTTCTGCGGCTTACTCGCATAAACCTCGCGGGCATTGTGCAACCGCAACCACAACCGGGGGCTGGCATATCTTTTTAATCGATGCTTCTGTGTCATTAAGGGCGCACTGGAAAAGTTAGGCATATGTGCCATATAGCACCTTCCGCGGTCTTTAGATGACAGCCAACAATGCGTTGTATTGATCGAAGAGCGGGAGATATTGGGCCATTTTCTGTCTCATTCAATCCCACAAAAACAAAACTGCGACTGTTGTGATCGTGAGCTGCATTTCGCAATTGGCAAAAGCATGATCAACTTGATTGGCCGGCGTTGCAAGTTATTTTTGATTTCTGCACCCGCACCACTGCTTTATGAGCTCACTTTCCACTTTTCTTCTTTCACATCTACGCGCTCGCGCATCTCTGTTAATTTTGGTTGAATTCTGCTAACGGCGTCACCACCAATTCGCCAGCACTCGACAAAGGTTGTTTCACACAGACAGTTCATTATCTTTTGACACCGCAATTTGAAGCAATTACCCTCGCATGCGTTTCGGCGGATTCAACAAGTACCGCAATGCGGTTGCGGTTGTGGCTGGTCGCGAGGCATGGTACAGCGAGTTGGCCATTGACACCGTCACGTCAATTGCCAGCAATGGACTGGCAGCTGACGATACACACATTTACGTCAAAACAGCAAATGGGCACTCTTTGCAGGCACTAGCGCTCGATCAACCGGGAAAAGTCGGGTCACAAGCAGGGTCTCTGGGGAATTCTGCAGGACGCATACTCGACTGGAGCACGGCGCTGTACGATACAAGCTTGCTGGCTGCTAGCGACGACCAAGGCACGGTCACTGTTTGGAGGAGTTGTAGTACAGAGCTCACGCTGAAGGCCCACGCGTCAGCCTGCGACAGCATTCAGTTTCACCCAACTGTGGCCAGTGTTTTGGCGACCACTAGCAGCAACAGAGGCAGCAAAAGCAGCGAGGTCAAGCTGTGGAATGTCAACTCAAGCTTCAAGGCGGCGTTTTGGGAGACCCCTGTCGTCGGCATTGTCGACTCGATTGCAGTTAGAGGAGACGGCCAGCTCATTTCAGCAAGCACGCATGACGGCGAGTTTCTGATCTACGACCCCAGGCACCAAAATGCGTTGGCCATTGCCAAGATCCCGGCCGTATATGCCGCCGGGCGCCCCACTCGCGTGATATGGCTTGGCGAAAAGCCCTATTTGATGACCACCGGCCTTACAAAAATACGCGAGAGATCGGTGTCGCTTTGGGATCAGCGTAATCTAGCAAAGCCTCTGGCTTCATTGCAGCTGCAGCCCTCTACCAAGCCTCTCATTCCGCTTTACGATGAGGACACCCAGCTCGCCTACCTTGTTGAAAAGGGCGACAATTCGGTCCGCTGGGTGGACGCTGATCCCTCTTCAGCAAAGCCCCTGGTCGAGCTGGGATCCACAATGCTGCAGTCTCAGATTAGTGGATGTGCTCTGCTGCCAAAGCGTGCGCTACGCGTGATGAGCGGCGAGATTTCTAGAGTACACTTGGTGGTCAAAAACATTGGCGCCGGGACTGGCTCAGCAGTAGTTCCAATATCCCATCTGGCACCTCGTAGGTCTTACCTAGACTTCCACTGCGATATTTACCCTGACACCAGGGCTCCTCTGCCGGCCCAGACGTTTGACCAGTGGATGGCCAACGAACCGATGCGCATGCCAAAAATGACGTTGGATCCAGCCAAAACGGCTGACTGCCTTGCTAGCCTTCGCAGGTCGTACGGTGCTGCCAATCAGCATCAGAGCGAAGCCCTCAGCGAAGTGATTCCTGCCAACCCCACAGCTCCTAGTTTGCAGCCATATGTAATAGATGCGAAGCCAGTAGCGCCAGTGACACCCGCGACACCTGTGCCTTCGCCTATGCCTTCGCCCGTGCCCGCACCATCGGTGGTTGGGCCAGTGATTAAAGACAAACAGCAACTGGCGACAACAACGCCGAGTTTGACACCTGTGCCTTCGCCCGTGCCTTCGCCCGTGCCCGCACCATCGGTGGTTGGGCCAGTGATTAAAGACAAACAGCAACTGGCGACAGCAACGCCGAGTTTAACACCCGCAACATTGCCAGTTGCTACACCCACACCAACACCGGTGACAGCGCCCAAGTCGGTAGGCCCACCAGCCCCTGTCAGTGTAGCAGCACCAACAGCGGCAGAGCAAGCGGTGAGGCCGTCTGTGCCAAAGAAACAGTGGGTGCCTGTCCAGCACAACCATGCACGCTTCAAGTATCTTGAGGGATATTTTTACCGCCCCAGCGAGCACTTTTCCAGCATCCAGAACGTCAATCTGCGCTTTTCTCAGGAAAACGAACCGCTCAAGGTTAGCTCCAAGTTTATTGCCGTCGCCTGCGAGGGTGCAGGTGGCCAGATCGGGATCATCCGCCGCGACGCGCCGGGAAGAGTGTCTGCAAAGCTGCCCACGATTGTACACGGCTCCAATGTCGTCAGCATCGAGTTTGATCCATTTGATCCTAACATTGTCGCGACGGCAGGGTCAGACTGCAAGCTGCAGATGTGGCGCATTCCAGAGTCGATGATGGACGAGGATACATCGTTTGAGCTCGAGGAGTACATATGCGTTACGGCTGACAGGATTCACCAGATTCGCTTCCACCCATGGGCCAAGGGTGTTGTTGCAGTTCTTGTGTCTGAGGCCAACGAGCAGGCCATTTATGTGTACCATGGGCTGATGCTCCACTTCATTATTGGAAAGACTGCCGACGGCATCCACTCGTTTGCGTGGTCTCCGGACGGCGAGCTCATTGCTTTGACAACACGAAAGAGCCGCCAGCTGCGCATATACAACCCGCGCACCCAGGATTTGCTTAGCAGCGGCCCGTCGATGGACAGCATACGCCCCTGCCGCATTGCCTGGGTTGGGAACAGTCGTATTTGCCTGACTGGGTTTGGATCCGGCAGCCAGCGGCAAATTGCCATCTATGAAACGGAATACTTGGCAAAGCCGATAATAAAGACAACCATCGATGTCGGACCTGGTCTCCTGGTGCCAGTTGTGGACGCAGACTGCGGCATTATATATCTGGACGACCGCGGCAGCCGGCTCACGCACGCATTTGAGCTGGTGGCCGACAAGTTAGTCGAGCTGCCGAAGCTTGAGTCTGCGCAGCCGAGTCTGGGTCTGGCGATGGTTCCTAAAAGATACGCCAATATATCGCAGTGCGAGATTGGCCGCGTGTATCGTCTGAGCTCGCAGACAATTGAGTCGGTCGGGTACCGTGTTCCTAGGAAGCGGCCAGAGTACTTTCAGGACGACCTTTTCCCTGACACGTGGGACAGCGAGAGGTCATCTGTCAACCCAGTCGCGTGGGTGAAGGGGACAAAGGCAACTCCGGTTTTAATTGGATTGTGCCCGCCAGGCATGCAGCCCCTCTCTCAAGCGCCGCCCGAAGCCATTCGCAGGTCGACGTTTGCTGTTGAGGCAGAGCAGCCGGTTGACAACAGCAAGGATGCAATCAGTGCAATGCTGAGCCGTGTGGAATATTCTGACGAGGAATCCGGCAGCCGGGCTACTGGCTCTAACTCTGCTGACGATTCAGCGTCCGACTGGGATGACTGAAAGCGTGGGTACTCGACCCACTGCCTTTATTTATTGCTATGAAAATAGAATATTTTACATTTTTATCACTTTTCGCTTCTGTGCGGCCCATGGGTTACACTATTGAAAATGTATTTTTGGAATTTCCAGACATTTATAGCGAAAGTCCAGATTTTTAAGCGGGGGATTTTCAAAATCCATTTTTCACGCAAAAAGGCATTGTCAGAGTCGGTTGAACCTGACTCTAAAGTAATGCTCAAGCCCAAGCCCAAGCCTAAGCGTGTGCGCAAGAATCCATCTTCCCCTACTTCTTCTCTTCAAAAGAAGCAGCGAACTGATTAGTATCCTCAAACATGATGGCCTACTGCCACTAGTTTTCTAAATACTTTATCTGTGGGAAGGATGTCGGTTTGCAGGATACTTGTAGCTTCATTCTTTTCTTTTAGTTTAAATACACTGTAACAAACCCCCACTAATCTCGGAGATTGGTTTACACGTACATTATCAAAACGTATTTTTTGTTGTGGGTGCCTCACGCGTTTTCATCGATCGTCGCACTACTCTTTCAACATAAACATTCTTTGTCTGTCTACTTTTTGTATAGAACCACCCTTTTTCAGGTTTAATTTTAAAAATGAACGGACTACCGCCTCAGAATCACCAGCAATTCCAGCAGCAACAGCAATTCTTACAACAGCAACGGCAGCAGCAGCAATTCTTACAGCAGCAACAACAGCAACAGCAACAACAACAACAACAGCTTCAGCAACAGCAGCAACAACAGCTTCAGCAACAGCAGCAACAACAGCTTCAGCACCACCACCAGCAGCTGCTACAACAACAGCTTCAGCAGCAGAATCAACACCAGCAACAGCAACTGCACAACAACAGCTCTGTGATGGTGGTCGAGACACAGCAACAAAGTATCAACTATCTGCTGCAAAACCTCGAGCGCCTGGAACAAACAGGCAACACGTTTTTTAAATCGCTGGAAATGGTTGGACAAGGACCACCATCGCTACTCGCTGCGCAGCTTGTGGCCATGTCGCAGATATGTCAGCAAATGCGCGATAATGCCCAGAGCACGGCAATGCTGAACGTGCCTATTGCAAGAGCGGACCCTGTTTTTACCGAGCCAGCAGATATCCTGCCGCGCTCAGAGGCTGACAGCCATGTAGGGCTTGCATCAGTGCCCGAGCTCGAGGCATGGGTGGAGGGCACAGCCATGCAGACAAGCGAGTTGTTTGTGGAACGCAGGCGTCTGACTGCCAACGTCCAGGCTGCGCTGTCGGTACCGCCGCCCAAGCGGTTAGATCTCAAGTGAAAACCAAATGGTATCTAATTTTATTGTGTAAAAAATATTTAGTTATATAAAACCTGGTGCACTGTAATAACATGAGATGAACATCCACGATTAGTTGGCGGGAGGCGCGAGCTTGCTGAGAAGAGCCCTCTCTTTGGGGGTCAGAGCGGGTTCTATTGTTGCCATAAAGTTGGCCTGGTCGAGCTGGACCACTTGTTTCAGGAATGCGCCTAGGGCCTCATTGAGATCCTGGTTGTAAATGGGGTCCGCCAAGACATCCGCATCGTTATCATCGTCGTCGCCATCACCTTCGTCGAGATCAATGCCGCCATCAATAAAGTCGGACAAGTAGTCGTACTTGTCACCGTATCCATCCTCACCGTGCGAGTCATAGTCGGAATCGTCCTCCCAGCCGTCTCCCTCTGCATCTTCGCGATCGATATCGGCCTCGTCGATCATCGAACTAAGACCGGCGCCGTCGTTGCGCGCAAACATGCTCTCAACATCCATTTCTATTTCGCCCAGCAACAGCTTGATGATCTTTGCCGGCGCAGGGATCTGTGTATACTTGTCAGGGGTTTTCCGCGAAACAGAACGAGTCACGATCCTGCCTGTGTTGGCGGCGTTGGGAATCAAATCGCCCTGAACAACCAGAGCACCAATCCGCGGATCGGCCAGCGCAAACAAGCGGGTCAGCGCGACGGCCGAAACCTTGCGATTGTAGTAGCCCTGAATGTCAAAGAAGTTACGGAACCACGCGTCCAGCACCACCAGCAGTCCAGAGCGGCTGTCAAAAGACATGCTGCCGAGCAGATCAGTGACCTCGGCGGGATGGCGCGACACTAGGTGGGCATAGAGCGGCAGCAGCGATGACGAAAATGACGACGTGCGCGCTGTGGCCAGGCGCCCTGTAGCCACACGAACCAATTCCGCCAAAACATCGCCAGCAAGGAAGGCACTGCATTTGAGTACGACCTTTGTGGCTAGATCACCGACGAATAGCGCCGCAGACTCTGATGCAGCGGGATCCAGCAGCACAGCAATAAAGCGGATGACAAGCTCTAGCCCGCTGACGTCGCTGGCATCGTGCCATTGGGCAATCCGCTGAGCGTCCTTCTGCACAAAGTACTTTAGACAGGACTGGCCGCTCTGCAGAACCTCGCTGTCAGCAGAGACCGACAGGACCTGCATCAGGGCGGGGAACACGCTTTCCGTATAGCCCTGCGGCAAGGGCGACGGCCCGCCCTTGATAAGACCTGTGAGCAAATCAATTCCTGACGCAACCACAGTGCTGTCTGTGCTCTGTGCCATGGCGCTGCCGATGATGGGCAGAGCGCGCTGTGCAAATGCTTCGCACGCCTGTGCGTTGCCCGCCATGTCCTCGACAATGTCAATGACGATGCTCGTCAACAAGACGTCGCCTGGATATTTCTGCCAGACGCCCATTGCAATCTCACTAATCACAGGTTCCAGCGACGCTGTAATGTCGTGGTCCACGCGCAGGGTGGCGTGTAGGGCGTCCAATGCAATGTGTGCTGAGTCCTCCGTCAGCTGCGGGATGATGCTTGCCAGCCCAAGTATGAAGGGGGCCTGCTGTGGCTTGACAGTGTCTGCGGGAAGATGGCGGCTGAAGTTTCCAATGGCACGCACTGCACTCAGGCGCACTGCTGGGTGCAGTTGCGTGTCAGCCACAGCCTTGGCGCTCGCGTCCACAAACGCTTCAGCGATGCTGGGTGGGAGCATCTTTGCAAAATTTGAGGCAAAGATAAATGCACGGCCCTGGCCGTAGGGAAACTGCGTGCTCTGGGCCAGCGGCCAAACGTCAGTCTCAAAAAGTGAGCCAAGTTCGATGCCTGTACCCCTGTTCTCCTTCTGCTGCTCGACGATGCTGTCAGCATTGGTGCCAATTGCCCACAAAACGGCTTCGCTGACTAGCCACCAGTTGCTGTTCTGCTCGAGCCGCCACTGCCTAGCAGTCTTGCTGCGCTCCTGCGCTGCCCAGCCAAGCGCCGCTGTCAGAGGTGCCGGGAACGACATGTCCAGCGTTTTAAAGAGCTCCTGGATCGACACGCGCACATTGAAGCGGTATCCCTCCTCGTCCTCGTCAGCGACGAACAAATCCATATCGTCCGCCCAGTCTGCGAGCATCTCAGAAGTGATTTGGGCGTAGCTCATCAGGCTGCTGACAAGCTGGTTGAAGAATGCAGTTGGCACGGCTGTGCCCGAATCGGTAGACTTTGTGACAAAGAACTTGCGCATGGCGCGCATCTCGGCGGCCTTAGCCATCCACTCAAAAATGCCCAGCAGATAGCTGTCGATTGAGTATGCACCCCCGTCCTCTTCGCAGAAAACAAGCATATTGGTCGCAGATTCGTTCTGGTCGCTGTCCTCGTAGACAAACGCATGCAAAAATGGCTCCTGCAGGCTGCGCAGCTGCATCCACAGAGTCTCAAGAACGACTGCATTGTACGGGGCCATGTGCTTTGGAAGCCCGTGCGCAGCCCTGACAAGCGCCTTGACACACTCAGCCTTGAGCGGTATGTTGGACTCAGTGCCCTTATTGATGAATGTCTGCTTAAACATCTCGAGAATCGGCTCCAGCCATTCCTTCAGAATTGGTGGCGCGTGTGTGTTGACAAAGTCTTTGTGACCGGCTGACATGTTGGAGATTATCTCAATACAGTCGCTGAACACGCGGACGGCCATCGCGCGGGTCGCCGTGCTGTAGCTGCCACTGCTGACAAAGATCCGCCTCAGCTCAGGCAAAAGCGTGCCAATCTGATCCATGTGCTGCTCGGACATTTCAGTGTTGACCCATTCGCTGAAGACGTACATGGCTGAGTGAGTCTGGTCGCGCGAGCCGCTGCGCAGCATGTCGACCAACTGCGAAAACAGCTGGGGCCACTCATCGGGCCAGTCGTACCGCGCCATTCCGGCAACAACCGCCGCCGCCGCCGCGCGCAGCTTGCCGTCGCCGCTGCTCAGCAGTGAAAATACCCTTTCGCGCACCTGGCTCTTTGTCTCCTGGTCAGGGATTGGGCCTGGCTCGTACTTGGCAGATGCAATGCTCCAATGGCGTCCAATATACCCACGCAGCTGGACAATTGCTGCCTGTCTGACTGGCAGTCCCGCCTCTTCAGTTAGCGCAACATTCGACAATGCCGAGGAGAAGGTGGAATCGAGCTCCAGTTGTTTGAGATTGAGCTCACTGCCCATTCGTGTGTTGGCTTCTGGCGACAGACTGCCCTGCAGAGCTTCGAAAACACGGTGTTCCATTTAATTAAAAATAAGGTGAACAGGATTCGATTAACAAAACAAAAGAATATATAATTCAGAGCAAAAAAAGTAAAGTAAACAAATGAGAAAATGAAAAGGTTGCCAAAAATTAGGGTCACTTTTTTTAAAAAAATTTTGGGGGACAACTAAAAAAATTTTCAAGGCTAAAAAATGTAAATAAAACTTCGCGATAGCGTTAGCGGCATTACAATTGAACTTTTCAGCCCAGCATGCCTTTCACTCGCCTTTGTTGGCTGTGCACTTGAATCTGGACTGCACATGGAAGCCAAGACAAAGCCCCAAGTAGAGCATGTGCATGTAAAGACAAGTGGCAAAGCCATCGTCCGCCTGGTGGGTCGCCTCTGTTGTACTGTCCGCGTTAACTTCAAAGCGCATGGGGTGTATATTGTGCTGGCACTGATCGTTGGCACACTGCAGAGGCCTATGGTGCGCAATTATTATTTCTTTACCGCCGGCGTTGTTGCGGGCAGTATGCTCCATATGAGATAGCTCGAGTTTTGAATGACATCCCGGGCACTGAGTCGATGCAAAGAACTTGTCGGTAAGCAGCACTTGGAACCCATGCTTCTTGAAAATTTGGCGCAGCTCAGCCTTCTTGGCTTTTCTAAGGGGTTTTTTGCCATGGGAATCGTCTAGTCACTGATTACAACCACAGCATCCTTGCTGAAAGATGCGTGCGATGACCTCTCGTCATGCTGTCGTCATAATCTCCTGGTTGACACTGGCGTCATACCTGAACTTGAAGAATAAAGGATACATATGACTATTGGCATCAGGGCAGTTTGTGTGCAAATCTCTATAAAACAGTTAGTGCTGAAGCTACCTCGGCTCGAATTCTGAGATACTTTCCGAAATCTTCAAAATTAAGGGCCTGCGCATTGACCGTCGCAAGCTTCGCCTCCTGATGTCTGACTATTGCCGGCGGAATGTCACTTTTGCTCTGGTAGTTATTCAGCTCCTCGATGCTGGAAAACTCGACAAGTCTTCCGTTGCCCTCCTCGGCGACCCACGCATGACAATCCTTCAAACGTTTCTCAAGGTTGGTTTCTTTGAGCTGGCGATTTTTGCGACTGTTAATGTCCAATTAAAACTTGGAAACATTTAAAGCTAACTGCCTTTTACCGATGTCATCCATGGCGCTGGTCATACAGACTGTAGTTGTCAGGTTACTGCGAGATGGATAGATAAATAGCATATTCAGACCCAACACACTCTACTCCTTTTGCTAAATAGAGCTGATGTAGACAGTACCATCCTTGTCAGTATGATGCTAATAGCCCCTGACGCCAGCAGTAGGTGCAGTAATGGAAGTTGGGGGGGGGGTCCTGTGTTGGTTTTGCAGCCCTTGGCACGACGATTCATGTCGGAATTAATAAAGAGAGGACAAGCAAAAAACAAGAAACTTTAAATGTTGTCGGGAATTAAAAATAGGAATTAAAAATGGGCGCACCTTTCGTCCAGCTTTTATACCTGTAAAAACAACTATTTCATCAAATGTTTGTTTTAATTAAATTGCAGCGAAAGTAAGCGATGACGACATTATTTATTTCTGGGCCAAACTTGATCTGGTGTTGATTAATTTTTCTTTTTTCAGTTTGATTCGACTTTTTTGTTATTTTTTGAAAATTGCAGGTGAGTGATGTTGGAGAAAACACCATTGTGTGTCTGCTCTCTTTTTTTATACTTCCACTAACAAAAAAACTATTAATTCACAACAAATTTTATTTATAAAATGTAAGCGCTTTGCTCAAAATTTAGCGAGGCAGACGATGGAATACGCGCACACAACTGGATAAATTTTAACAGAAATGCAAAACCAACTATATTGTATTGCACTGCTTTAAATACAATGCAATTCAATTCAAAAAATATTATTTTGTTTTACTCATGCGCACATTGTAGGGGACGCTATTGCCAACTTGTCATGGGCCCCGCGGGGAGCGGTAAGGTAAGTTAGTTACTTTGTTTGCTTCGCGGCTAGAAACGCTGAATGCAGTGGCAACAGCTCCATTGACTAATGCCCCCATTTTAATTTTTCTTTTATAATAGTCTACGTATTGCCAGACGATAATGCAACACTGCGAGGCGGCCAAGCGGAGGGTCCACCTAGTTAACCTTGATCCGGCGGCAGAGCGGTTCGAGTACCCACCGTCGGTCGATATTCGCGATCTCATCACATTAGAAGACGTCATGGAGGAGTTGGGCTACGGGCCGAACGGCGGGCTGATCTACTGCTTTGAGTTTTTGATGGAGAACCTCGACTGGCTTGAGGAACAGCTGGGTGACTATGAGGATGACTACCTGATTCTAGACTGCCCCGGCCAGATTGAGCTGTACACGCACATCCCGATCATGCGGCAGATGACGCAGCTGCTGCAGCGGTGGAACTTTCAGGTGGTAGGTGTATACTGCCTGGAGAGCCAGTTTATCGAGGACACGTCCAAGTACTTTGCAGGAGTGATGAGCGCCACGTCAGCGATGAGCATGCTTGAGATCCCGCACATCAATGTGATGACAAAGATGGATCTGCTGTCGGAGGAGGTCAAGGAGAACATGGACCAGTACTTTGATCCCGACCCGTTGCTGCTTGCGAATGACGCCAACAAATCGACCAGCAACAAATTCAGGGAACTGAACCAGGCGATCGCAAACCTCATTGATGAGTTTAGCATGGTCAGCTTTCTGCCCCTCAACATCCGGGACGAGGACTCAGTGGCGTACATTCTCTCGCATGCGGACAATGCCATCCAGTGGGGCGAGGACCAGGAACCCAAGGAGCCGAATGACATTGACGAGGAGCAGGACAACGAGTAGTATGTTAAAGGGGGTTAGTATGTTGTCGTGCAAACTGTTAAATTGAAATGATTATATTTACACTTCTATGCGTTAAAGAAGGATGATAGTGGTAACAATTATGTTTGCTTATAAGGGTGGGCGGGCGGTCGGGCTGTACAGCCGTGGCATGTCGCCAGGTGTGGGCGGGCGCTGTGCAATAGAGGGATGCATCTTGGCAGTAGCAGCAGTGGTTGCTTTGAGGGAGTGGCTGCGTGGCGTATTATCGACGTAGTCGTAGTTCTGAATGAGAATAGTAGGAGTCAGACTGCCCATATTGCTGTCTGGGTTTTCAGAGCCAATGTTTTGAGTGTTTTCCCCAGCATTGGCATCATCATTGTTGTCATCGTCATTTTCCCTAGTGTTGCTGTTGCTGTCGCTGTCAATTCCGCTAGCGCCAAACCCACTGCGCCAAGTGGTGCTGTCGGATAACGCCGGTGCGCCCAAGCTAAACGGGGCCGATGTAGCGGACGCATGCTCCAGATCATCGCTCTCTTCAGCACTGTCGTAGTCGGGGATGTCGGCGGGGTTCAGGATAAACTGCCCCATGCTGAGCTCCCTCAGGGCGGCGTGGATGCGGGAGTCGAGGTGGACAGAGTTGGGCGGGTCCTCTCGCGTCTGCCTCCAGTTAATGGATGGGGAGCCCGGCGGCGAAATAAGCCAGAGCCTCTCCTGCGCAGGGACATCGAGAAAGTGGCCCTGAGTCTGTGAAAGCGACGTGTGCATGGAATAGTACAGGCGAATGGTGTTGTTGTCTGGCGGCAGGGTGGTCAGGTTGAGGCTGCGCATTGCGGACTGGGCGTCTACAGTGTGGGTGAAGACGGCGAGGCAGCGCTCAAAGGACTTTAGCTTCGCAAAGTGCCACAGGGGGCCGTGTGCTTGCAGGGCTTCGCGAGCCGAGTCGCAGGCGCTGTCGGTAAAGTGGTCGAATAGGATGACCAGCGAGTTTGTCGCCTCGGGCTTGAAAGAGCTTGCGGCGGCGGTCATTTTGGACGGTTTTGAAAGAGCGAATTGTGTGGGAATTAGAGTACGAATTAGGGTACGAGTGCGAGCGAGCGAGTAAATTAAGGTAGCCTAAATAATAATAAAAATAAAATGAAGTGGGTAAATGTTTAAAAGAAAGAAAGGCTGTGCGCGCGCGTGTGTTTTGGAGGAGTATGCAAAGCTTGCACAGTCAGGCCCAGGCATCCTCCTCATTCATCAGCCATTGACGCTGAATGCGAGGCACGTGGCGCGTGGCATTGGGTGAAGCGATCGTGTGCTCTTTTTTTCTTCTTATTCTGAGAAGCACCAAAGAAAACAAAGGGTGCTTCTAGGATCAAGTGGACAACAGGGTGATTGAGTCGGACAGGATCATGGCACGGAGCACGAGGCACAACAGGTTTGCGCAACTCAAATGCTGCTTAGGCTCTGCTGGCAAGGCACCAGCCAGCCAGCCAGCAGCAAGCGCCTTTCATGCTGGCCTTGGTCGCCACTTTCATGTGCAAAACTAAAAGGCAAATGTCACATGCGCACAGAGAAAAGAGATTTTGGATGGCAGCAGCCATTACTGCCCATTCATGGTGGTGTGGAGGCAGCAACTGCAGTTGCTGCAGCAGCTGCAGTTGCGGCGGCTGCAATATAAAAAGAAGCGTATTTGGGCAGTAGTGCAAAGCGGACAGATGCTACTTGCTTTTTTTGGTATATTTGTATCTTTGTCTTTGCTCTCAAACCGCTCCAATATTCAAGTTATTTTTTTTTGCTAATACAGGTTACCGCTACAAAACTACCCACCCACCTTTGCACACACAGTCTTTGCTATAATGTCACTTTACGGGAAGGTTCTGTTCATCACCGGCGCATCAAGAGGAATCGGCAAGGCCATTGCGCTGCGGGCTGCGCGCGACGGCGCATGGGTTGCGATTGCAGCCAAAACAGCAGACCCGAACCCAAAGCTGCCGGGCACGATCTTCTCGGCGGCCAAGGAAATCGAGCAGGCCGGCGGCAGGGCGCTGCCGATCCAGTGCGACATCCGCGAGGAGGCGCAGGTGCGGAGCGCACTGAAGCAGACGGTCGACCACTTTGGCAAGATCGACATTGTCATCAACAACGCGTCGGCAATTCACCTGGCCAGCACCGAGGCCACGGACGTCAAGCGCTACGATCTGATGCACAGCATCAACGGGCGCGGCACCTGGATGGTGTCCAAGTTTGCGCTAGAGCACCTCAAGAAATCGGGCAACCCACATATCCTCAATATTAGCCCGCCGCTGTCCATGGACGCCAAGTGGTTCTCACCGTTCCCGGCCTACACCATTGCCAAGTACAACATGAGCCTGTGTGTGCTGGGCATGGCCGGCGAGCTGCGCAGCCAGGGCATTGCCGTCAATGCGCTGTGGCCGCTGACAATGATCGAGACGGCAGCGCTCAAGATCGCCGACAGGGCCAATGCTGGCGAACGCAAGTCGCGCACGCCCGAGATCATGGCCGATGCGGCGCACAGCATCTTGACGCGGCCAGCCGGCGAGTTCTCGGGCAACTTCTGCCTTGACGAGCTGCTGCTGCGCAAGGACGGCGTCACCGACTTTGAAAAGTACAACAACACACCGGGCGCAGCGCTGGAGGAGCTGAGCCCCGACTTTTTCCTTGACGACGGCCAGCTGGAGGAGCTGGACGCCCTGCGCGAGGCGCAGGCGGCGCAGGCGCAGGCGCAGGCAAAGGCGAAACTGTGAGCGGTACCGATGCGACCGAGTGGATGAGGGGAGAAGCTGCATTGGCTGGCTGTTTTTCTTTTCTCTCCTCTTCGCTTTCTTCGCTTTCTTATCTTCTCTTCTCTAACAAATAAATTACCTTTTTCTTTTTTCAAGCATGAGCTCAACGACACACACTTTGGCCGGGAAATCGGTGCTTGTCACTGGCGGCACACGTGGCATTGGGCGTGCAATTGCGCTGCGGTGCGCGCGCGACGGGGCAAGCGTGGCAGTGCTGGGGCGTAGCGCAGACTCCAGCGCGGTGGCCGACGAGATCAGCGTGGCCGGCGGGCGCGGGCTGGCGCTCACGTGCGACATGGGCAACGACGCGCAGGTGGCAGCGAGCGTGGCGCGGGTGGCGGCCGAGTTTGGCGGCATCGACGTGCTGGTCAACAACGCGACGGTGCTGGTGCTGAAGCGCACGTCCGAGCTGACGATGGCTGAGTACGACCTAATGAGCACCACCAACGCGCGCGGCGCATTCGCAGCCGCCAAGTACGCGCTGCCGCATCTGCGCCGCAGCGCCAACGCGCACATTCTGACACTGTGTCCGCAGCCGCAGCTTGAGGCGCGGTGGTTCGAGCACAACATGGCGTACACGGCGTCCAAGTTCGCCATGGGGCTGATGGCCTTTGGGCTGGCCGCTGAGCAGCGCGCCAACGGCATCGCATCCAACGCGCTGTGGCCCTACACGACCATTGCGACCGACGGACTGGCCGAGTGCGGCAACGCAGAGCTGCAGGCGCGGCCGCGCACGCCCGAGATCATGGCCGACGCCGCCTACTGCATCGTCACGCAGCCGGCCGCCGAGTTTAGCGGCAACTTCTGCCTCGACGAGGTCGTCCTGCGCGAGGCCGGCGTGCACGACTTTGACCGCTACAGTGCTGTCCCGGGCACGCCGCAGGGCGACCTGAGCCGTGACCACCTGGTGTCGGCGGAGCAGCTGGCGCGGCTGCACGAGCTGCAGGGAAATTGATCGGGCCCATTTTGTGGCTCAGAGAATAGATAAATAAATAATTAGTTTAGCCACTCTAAGCGCACGTGCGCAGAGCGCGACCCACAACTTGGGGCTGTGCGTGCGCAGGGGCAGCCAGCCAGCCGGCCTGCGGCGGGTGGCCGAGCGGATCGGATCGGATCGGAGGGATCAAGAAGATCAACACGCCTTACTAGTAATTTATCGTACGACAGCTGGAGCTACACACGCGCGCTTTACATTGAACACAACGCAGCACACAGCACACAGCACACAGCACACAGCACAGCACAGCACAGCACAGCACAGCACAGCACAGCACAGCACAGCACAGCACAGCACAGCACAGCACAGCACAGCACAGCACAGCACAGCACAGCACAGCGCAACTCGACTCAACTCAACTCAACTCAACATGGATCTCGTTGCCTCAGTGCCCACAAGGGAGCCGCAGCGCGCGCGGCAGGCCAGGCGCGCGGCAATGGGCGTGGAGCAGATGCGCACGCTGGGCGTCGCGGCCGGCGACGTTGTGCGGCTCAGCCGCGGCGCGTTGTCCACATACGCCACGGCGTGGCCGTCGTTTTCCGGCGCCGACGGCGAAGTGCAGGTGGCGCCGGCCGCGCTGCTCAATTGTGGCGCGCGTGTTGGCGACGCGCTGCGTGTTGAGCGCGCCGGCGCACTGCCCGTGGCCGAGCGCGTGGACGTTGCGCTGGCCGGCGCCGGCAGCAGCGGCGAGCCCGCCGTTAGCGAGGCCGTTGCCGCCGAGGCGCTAGTCGGCGCCGGGTGCGTGCGGCCTGGGCAGATCGTCGACGTCGGCGTCGGCGGCATGGCGCGGCGGCTGCGCGTGCAGCGCGTGGTGGTTGGGGGGCGCGAGCTGGGCAGCAAGGACGGCGCGGCTGTGGCGCGCGGCCGGACGCGCGTGGCGGTGGCGCCAGCGGCTGGCCTGCACAGAGGCGCCGGATCCACCAGCAGCATCGGGGACATCGGCGGGCTCGACGCCGAGGTGCACGAAATCCAGCGCATCGTCGACGGCGCGCTGCACAACTCACAGGCGTTTGCAGCGGCCGGGCTGCAGGCGCCGCGCGGCGTGCTGCTGTGCGGGCCGCCGGGCACCGGGAAGACGCTGGTTGCGCGCGCCGTGGCGACGGCCAGCGGCGCGTCGGTGCACGTGGTGAGCGGCGCCGAGGCGGCCGGCAAGTGGGTGGGCGAGGCCGAGGCGCGGCTGCGCGCGGTGTTTGCGGCGGCGGCGGCGGCGGCGCCCAGCATTGTGTTCATCGACGAGGTCGACGCGCTGTGCCCGCGCCGCAGCGGCTCTGGCGGCGGGGCGGCCGCGCGCGTGGTGGCGACGCTGCTGGCGCTGCTGGATGGCGTCGGCGACCGCGGCCGCGTGGTCGTGCTGGCCGCCACCAACCGGCCCGACGCGCTGGACGCGGCGCTGCGCCGGCCGGGCCGCTTCGACCGCGAGATCGACGTGCCGGTGCCGTCGCCGGCCGCGCGCCTGCAGATCCTGCACGCGCGGCTGGCGCGGACGCCGCACGCGCTGGACGGCGCGCAGCTGGCCGCCGTGGCCGCCGCCACGCATGGCTTCGTGGGCGCCGACCTGGCGGCGCTGGTGCGCGAGGCCGCCGTGGTGGCCATCAAGCAGGCGCCCGCCGCCCTGCCCGTCGCCAGCCTGCGCATCACGCACGCGCACGTGCAGGCCGCGCTGCGGCTGGTGGCGCCCAGCTGCATGCGCGAGGCCGCGCTGGAGATCCCCAGCGTGCGGTGGGCCGACATCGGCGGCCAGCACGCCACACGCCAGCTGCTGCGCGAGAGCGTCGAGTGGCCGCTGCGCCACCCGGACGCCTTCCGCCGCATGGGCGTGCGGCCGCCCAAGGGCGTGCTGCTGTACGGCCCGCCCGGCTGCAGCAAGACGCTGACGGCCAAGGCGCTGGCCACCGAGGCTGGGCTCAACTTCATCGCCGTGCGCGGCCCCGAGCTGTTCAGCAAGTGGGTCGGCGAGTCCGAGAAGGCCGTGCGCGCCGTCTTCCGCAAGGCGCGGGCCGCCGCCCCGGCCATCGTCTTCTTCGACGAGATCGACGCGCTGACCGTCAAGCGCGGCGCGTCGGGCTCGGCGTCGGTCGCTGACCGCGTGCTGGCCCAGCTGCTGGCCGAGCTGGACGGCATCGAGCCGCTGGTCAATGTCACTGTCGTGGCCGCCACCAACCGCCCCGACGTGATTGACCCGGCCATCCTGCGCCCCGACCGCATCGACCGCCTGGTCTACGTCGGCCCGCCCGACCAGCCCGCGCGCCGCGAGATCCTGGACATCGCGCTGCGCAAGACCGCCTGCGCGCCCGACGTTGACTCTGAGGCGCTTGCCGCGCGCACCGACGGCTTCTCCGGCGCCGAGGTGGTTGCGCTCTGCCAGGATGCCGCCATCGGCGCCATGGCCGAGGACGCCGACGCTGCCTGCGTCGCCATGCGCCACTTTGACGCCTGCCTGCTTTCGTTCAAGAAGCGGATTACCCCCGAGATGCTGCAGTTCTACGCCGACTTCCAGAACCGATCGTGAGTGAGTGAGTGAGCGAGGGAGTGAATAAATGGATGGGTGATGATCGGGAATGCTGCGAGCCCTTTTGATCCAAGAAAATTATCTTTGATCTGCTCCCTCGTCTAGACCGACCGGATTACTGCGTTCCAAACTTTTTTTCTTTTTTACACCAACGCGTGCCATCACTTTCAAAAAAATTATTTATCTCTCCGCCCCTTTTTTTGATCAGCCTTGTTCTTTTTTTTCTCTGGCGCAAAATTCAAATTCCACAACTCCAACGCGCGTCAATTCGCTCTCGTTCAAATACCCCTCCCCCCTCCCCACTAATGTCAGAAATCACGTCCAAGCACGACGAACTGAAGAGCCTGTGCAAGGCGCTTTCCGAAGCCCAGGAAGCCCAAAACAAGGATGTGCGTATTTCAGAACCGCAAATAAATCAACACATATGAATACCGACACGCAGAAAACATCATCTAATCACTCTCCCTCTTCATCCATTGCTTTCGGAACACCCTCTTCCCCCAACTGTAGGACCTCAACGCTATGCTCAACAAGCTCATCGCCATCCCTGTCGAGGAAAAGCTGCTCCGTGCCACCGGCGCTGGCCAGGTTGTCGGAAGGCTGAGGAATTACGAGGACCCCGCTATTGCAGCCCTCGCCAAAGCTGTGGTTCAAAAGTGGAAGAAGGACGTTATGGCCTCCAATTCCCGCTCAAACAGCTCAACACCAAAGGTCACCGCCACTACTTCTGCTGCTGCTGCTGCTGCCACTAACCAAAAACCAATCCTGACTACCGCCGTCGCCGTCAAAAAACAGCAGAAAGCTGCTGCCGCTGCCGTCGCTTCCACTTCAGCTTCGGCTGTTGCATCCTCTGATGTCTCGAATAAATCACAGTCGCCCGCCCCATCACTAGCAGCTGCCGCTACCACTTCTGCTGATGCCCCCGATGTTGCCTCCAAGGTCGCATCAACCCCAAAACCAGCCACACCATGTGTTGCGCCTGGTGCTGTGAGGATTGGCCCGCGTACCGCCGCCTCGGACAAAGTCTCAGTTGCTTGTCTGGCGATTCCACGCGCAACAAGTGCATAGAGCTCCTTTACAACTCGATTGCCGCCGACTCCGATGCCGACTCTGAGATTCTGCTGCAGCGCTCCTCTGGAATTGAGCTAGTCGAGTTTGAAAAGGCCGAGTCCTCAATCACCACCACATACAAATCCAAAATCCGCTCGCTTTGCCTCAACCTCCGCGACAAAAAGAACCCCGATCTGCGCAATAGCGTCGTCCTGGGAATCATTACCCCCAAGCACTTGTGCAATATGACCAGCGAGGAAATGGCCCCCAAGGAGCTCCAGATGGCCATCGACAAAATGAACCAGGAAAACTTGGCCGATGCCCGCGCCCCAATTGCTGAGGTTTCAGAAACCGATATGTTCCGTTGCGGCCGCTGCGGGAACCGCAGATGCACATATTACCAGATGCAAACCCGAAGCGCCGATGAGCCCATGACGACCTTTGTGACATGTGTTGTGTGCACCAACCGCTGGAGGTTTAGTTGAATCTTTCGTCCTTTAAAATTATGTTTGTGTTTAACCTAATATCTTTTAATAACAATATTTACTGTTTTTAAAAGTGTATAAATGTATAAATGTGTAAGAGATAATTGTTCATATTTGAATAAATATAAAATAAATGCTAAAGATAAATGAAAATGAAAATGCAATAGATGCCAATGATGAGTCGATGCAGTGGATGCAGAATTTTGTGTGCGTGTGTGTTTTGCTTGATCCGCGACAATTCAATTAAAGTCGTCGAGTGGCGCAAACAGGTGTTCAGAAGCAAAATGCGCCCTCACATCGCCCTCACTGCCGAATTGCACGTCGCATACACTGCATCGCCACTGTCCCGAATAATGTGACACTTGCGCCAGCCCAATTTTCTTGTAACATCTCCGAGTGCTCTGCGTAATCTTGAACGGCATGAAAGAATATTTAAGCTGATAGGGTTTTTTTTGCTGAGCAAAGATGAAGAAAATTGTAATAATACAAATTTAATTTAGAACCAATGTGCCAGTGGATGGTAGACGATGTTTCCAGAATTGAATGATAATGAGATGACGGTGACGGTGATGTTGAAGATGGCGATCAATGCGAACGAGACGTTGGATATAACGGCGGTAAGCTTTGTTTTAGCTTTATATATATATATGTGTGTTTGTCGCCGGAATATACAAGCTGTAATGAAGCTTATAAAGATGTGTTGGTGGTGGCTGGTTTGGAATACTGTGAGTGGATGGTATTTCTCTTCACATATTTCGATCCATTCATTGACTTTTATACAATCTTGCATCCTACCCAGCTGTCCAGTCGTATTGGCTTAGTATACCAATGGCATATTGTTTAACAACCTTGCTCTATTTGGCTATTATTAGTAATAGCCAAGAAGACGGGAAGCCCCCCCCCCAGATGACAAACGCATCGGCAATATGATCGTAAATCCTCACTTTCCCAAGAGGGCCGGTTTACAGAATTGGGCAGCTGTCAATTCTCAAATAAAAATAAACGATTGTGCGCATGAGTGAATGTCAGCGCTCAAGCAACGAAAAAAGGATTGATTGTCCTTCATGTCTGCAATGCAAGCCAGGTTTCTTTCCTGTATTGTTCAAGATCTTCACACGAACCAATAATAATGGACGCTATCCAATTTGGCCAAATGATAGAATGCCTCCCCAACTATTGAGATAGGTACTCGCGGAAATACATTTTTCACCACATAAAAAATACAAAAATAACCAACGGACCAATCAAGGAGATCCAATCTCCCTATTCCCTATTCCTTACGACATGCGTGCATTCCCCCACATGTATCCGTCTATTTTTAGATTTATAGCTCAAGGGAATGCGCACATTAAAAAATTCGGAGATTGACTCGACTCTCATCCCCGAACTCCGTCCTTAACAAAATTTCTAAATTAATTGCCTTTTATTTTTCATCCCACCTAGTCCGTGCATATGCACTGATGTAATTGTCGCTACCATTGTTGCCGCTGCCGCTGCCCACTGCTGCACTTGATCTTGGCCCTTGTACGAGGAATGTCACTATGCATATTCGGTGACAGATGCGGCTTGGCCGGATTATGCGTGAGCAAATAACTGCGCATCCACGCACCCACTCTACTCCGAAAAATCCCAACAATCAAGACAGCGTGTGAATCGGCGCGCCAATTAAGGCAAACATAATACTTTGAGCAAAAGTTCCTATCTGCACGCAATCGAGAAAAAAATACAATATCGGCCGCCGGACAATCGGCCTGACTATAAAAACTTCCAAAAAGAGATATGTACAACCGGACATTGTTGTACTTCGATCGTTTGCATTACACCTTTTTAAGCAGCCCAGCATCTGAATGTCAAGAGGTTGTGCATCTCGGAATCAAAAAAATTACTCCCACACATTGATCGGTCCGAGGCGGCGCACAAACTCATTTAATTTAGTGGCAAGCCTCTGTACGTTTGCTTGCTTGTTTTATTGCTTGCAGACAAAGCTAAAGACATTACATTCACATATTTTGTCTACTCGAGACAGCCATTGGCTCAAAAAGTGTAAAAATGCAAACCTCTATAACATTATTTTCTATTAGCAACACGCACAATAAACAGCTCATTTTCTCCCTCATTATTATTATTATCCTCATTATCTGTCTCTCTACATATTTTTGAATAAATATATTTGTATTACTGGACTCGTAAAAAATTAAATCGCGCTTTAGTGGCTTTATTGGTCGTTGAGTAAAAAAAAAATATTTTCTATTTTTAGATGTCCTGGCGATTGTTCAATTTTTAATTTTCAAATATCAAATCACAAACCCCGGGGATTTCATGTTGGCAAGGCCCCATGTCTTTCTAACATCATCCCCATCCCCCATCCCCCATCCTCACAAATTGCGTAAATTAGGATTTATTGGCAGCGCGCAATGCATTGTCCTTCTCACCACCCTCATCTGGCGCGCAGGCTCGCTGTCTGAGGATGGCTTCCGAGAAGTGCCATCGCATTTGCCAAATTTAAAGTTTCCCACAGTCAAATCATTAACAAATCCCCAACGATTGAGAAAACTTTGGAGATTGTTAACGCACTACCTTTTAACGAAATGTAAAGTGCGTAAAAACAATGTGTTAGCACCTTTTTCCAAATGTGGGAAATTAAGTGCGATCATTTAGCAGAGACTCAGCAGCAGCAGCAGCAGCCGGGCGCAAAGGCAGTCCCTAATTTCCGCATCATAACAACACAATGTATAATTAACGATGTGTATTTCAATCGGCAATTGCATTCAAACTAGATATTTTCGGGCTAGATTCTCACAATCTCGGCACTCGTGAGGTCCGCCGGGAATGCCTTTGCTGAGTCGCCGATCAGCGATTTGCAGGCCTCGACAGCACTCTGTGGATGAACAGAAATCTTGGCAAACGTGCCGCCAGACATGCGCATTGACGAGTGGCCCGGGTTAAGCAAGACCACGTTCTCGTGGGCACGCACAAAGTGCTTGAGCTGCGACGGCGTAATTAGAATGTCGGGCATGGCCTGCATCCTCAGCTTGCTGTCGTGTGACGCCAAAATACCAGCGCACTCAAGAGGGGGCGGTGACAGGGGGTAGAGATGGCGTTGCTCCACCAGGTGCCACGCGAGGCGCGGCAAGCGGTCGCTCAGCGCAGGTAACCGCGACACCTCCTCCTTGACAAGATGGAACAGAATGTCGATGTTGGCCACAGCAAACACCACACCATTGACCGACACCTGCGCGGGGTTGCTAAGCGCCCCGACACCGGCAGGAACGCCAAGCTGGTTCATCAGGTCGCGCGAGAATGCGGGCTGCGGATACGACACATACGGGTAGCACATCTCGTCGGTCGATGGGACCAGGTAGATTGACGAAGATGCCGGAAGTGCCTCTCGCAAGCGCTGCAACTGTGGGCTGACTTTGGTAGAAAATAGCTCCTCAGAAAGCATATCAATCTGTCCATCTCTTATCATGGGGTGGTTCTCGCTCACAAACGGGCCCAGAAGGAAAACAATACCTGGGGCGGCGGCAATGGCGTGATTGACCAGGTCAGCCAAGGGCTCATAGTCGAGGTTATCGGACAATGTGTAAGGTCCAGCAGCAACCACCGCGCTGAATGGCTCTATGCCGCCTTCACGCTCGCCAATGCTCGGGTGCGGTAGCCGTGGCAGCTGGCAAAACTGCGACACAGAAAACTCTGATCCCTTGAGGTTCTTTCCCTCAACCGCCACAACCTGGCCTGGGAACAACGAGTATGACGGCGTTGACCGCACGTCGAGGGATACACGCCTCCCGTTGCCCAGGCGGCGAGATGTTTCCAAAAACAGGCTCTCGCTCGAAATGGGCGTCGGCCCAGAATCCCCCTCGCCGGCGCCAATGTTTAAAATGCGGCCGACCGCAGTGACCGTCTCCTGGTGCGCGTATGTGGGGTTGGCCAGCGCCTCGATTTTGTACTCAGCCTTAGTGTCGATGGCCGTGCGTTCAATGCGCTTATTTATAATTTCTGTGCGCGTGCCCATCTTCTCAAACATGTACCGCATAGGCCTGGCCCTCCCTGCCTTGCTCTTGTCATCACCAGCCTCGTCTCCACTCTCGTCGCTGCTCAGCACCTCGGCCTCAGCCATCTGCGTGTAAAGGTCACTAGCGACAACTGGGTTGGCACCCTCCAGCAACTTCAGCGGCAGCATCTCGGAGCCCAACGAGTCCTCCGTCCGCCCTGTGTTGCTGCGCTTGGAGTAGCGCAATGCGCTGGGCGAGGGCTCGGCAAACACGCTGGGCGACATGGGCGAAAACATCGCACGGCCATGCACTGCAGACACGCTGGCCTGGAGCAAACCCATTATTTTAGTGCTCTGTGAGGCCCTCATTGGCTCGCGCTGGCTGCCCGAGACCATGCCTTGCAGCAATCCCTCTACAGAATTTTTATCATAGTGAGCCCGCTCCTTATTTCTCGAGAGCTTTGTCACTTGACTGCCAAACCCACTGCCACCAATTCCGGCGCCCGCGCCGTTGCGCCGCTGATGCATTTTTCTCTCGTACTCCTGCTGAATCGCGGCGCGCACCTCGAGTAGGCGTTCGCGTGTGGGCTGGACGCGCACATCGCCGCCGCACTGGTTGATCAGATAGGATTGCCACCGAATAAACAGGTCGTTGGCGCTCAAATCAAACATCTGGCAGATGGACTGGCCCTCAGCCAGGGCGTCTGACTCAAGCTTCGTGCTACCAAACTCCTTGAGCAGATCGATTGTGTTTACCACCATGATGGTTGAAGGTCTGTAGGTTGTGGATGATTATTAACAAAAAATGAGCGCTAAACAAATGAAAGAGTGAATTCCAATAACAGCAGAGCAAACGTTCAAGGTGAATTGAAATTTTAAAAAACAAAGAACAATTGAAAATGAAAAAAGTAAACACGAAACAGACAGGTGAGGAAAAAACACTGGACAACGCGAAACGCGCTTTCCATTCTAACGTGTTGCAAAATGCGCGTTGTGATCAACCAATCACCTTGGTAATCTGCCAGCGCGCTCCTGATCTTGATTCCTCAACCTTAACCATCGACAGCGGCCAGCTCTTCGGGCCAAACCGGGGCTCGACATAACAGACCATTTGGTCGCGGGTGTCGTTGTACTTGGGCAACGGGTACGGCAGCGGGTTGCCAAAGGTGCACAGTGGCTGGCCGATGGTCGCGAGCCACTTGGCGTTGACAATAGTCACGACCTTGGCCCACAGTCGCGTTGTGCGCTGGAGCTCAGCAAAGACAATTGTCTGCGGCATGCTGCCAGAGCCACGCGCAGCAATGTATGCCACGCTCTCAGGGTGGATGTACACCGGCTCTGAGCCCCACATGGTGATGTATGGCACTGCATGCATGCCGCGCCGCTTGATATTGGCCTCCTCATCAGGGTCCTGGTAGCCCGCAATGTCGCCGCGCACTGCAACGTGGTCCATAAACCCAGCGAGAACGATCTGGCGAATGACTGACTGCTGAAGCTTGGACGGCGGCGGCATCTGCGGGTCCATCGCAACGTCGATACCTGGGCAGTACATTTGGACTAAGTTTGTCAGCTGGCCGCGCAGCTTGCGCACTTCGCCCATGGCCTTTGCGCGCACATAGTATTCCTTGGCCGCGGCCTCGGTCCCGCCGGCATACTCGAATGCACCAACAACCGTGAGCCACTTGAGCACGTCACTCGTCGGCTCAGTGCCGGCAAGCTTTGCCTGCGTGTTCCAGTACTTTCGCCGGCTAACGCGCTGCTGCTCCTTTGCTGCCATTTCCTCGTTGGTCATATTGCGGGCCTCGGACGCTGCGACCTGGTCCTCAAACCCGAGCCTGGCAATTTCGGCGTCAGAGATGTTGTCGGGATCCAGGTTGAACTCTTTGATGAATGGGTCTCCCACCGAGAGAGCAGCGACGATGCTGATCACATACGGCAGGCAGCCGTGTTGCTGGCCAACAATCAGCATCTTGGCAAAGCGCGGCGCCACCGGGAATACAGACATGAGCCGGCCAAGGTCGTTGATGTGACCCTTGCCGTCCAGAGCGCCAAGCCAAGTGAGCAGCCGCTCGGCCCGCGTGAGCACCGACCGGTTGGGGGGAGTGGGGAACGGGAAGTTTGTCACGTTGTCGAGGTTCATCGCCTTCATCTGCAGCACAACGCCCTCGATGGGCATGCGCATGATCTCGGGCTCTGAGAACTTGACGAACTGGTCATTAAACACCGCACTGGAGAAGATGCGGTAGCAATGGCCGGGGCCAGTTCGGCCAGCACGGCCCATGCGCTGGTTTGAGGATGCCTGGCTGGTCCACCCGATTTCAAAGCTTTGAACCTGCGTCTGCGCGTCGTAGGTCTTCTCCTTGGCCAGGCCTGTGTCAATCACATAACGGATACCAGGGATGGTAATCGACGTCTCGGCGACATTGGTGGCCACAACGCACAGACGCATGCCTGGCGGCGGGGGAGCAAACACCTTCAGCTGCTGGTCGGCCGGCAGGAGCGAGTACAGGGGCAACACATACAATGGGGCTGGGTTTGCATTTTCTTGTCGACATTGCCCTTGGCATCTGCCTTCGCGGCATGCCTTGATGTTCTCGCTGAGCAAAAGCCTGCGCTCCTCTTCATCGTCGCCGCCGACAATAATGTCCTCCTCCTCCGAGTCCTCCTCCGAGTCCATCGTAAAGTCGTCCTGCAGCTCGCCATCGGCGTTGAACATGTCGTAGTCACCGATGTCAATGTCTTCGTCCTCTACGCTTGCCTCCAGCGCATTTGCAGAAGGTGCCACTGCAGCTGCCTTTGCGTGGTAGCCCGCCCTGCTTTCCGCCCTTGCGCTTGGTCTGGCGGGCCTGCTCTCTTCTGACAAGCTCCTCCTGCTTGCGCGCCTCGCGCTCAGCTTCAGTGGGAAACTCCTCGCGAAGCTTCTTGCACACGTAAGTGATCTCCGCCTGTCCGGTAAGGAAAATCAAGATGCCACCGTCAGGAAGCCGCTGGTGGACCTTGCCTGCTTCTTGATGACCTCAGCGAGATGCTGGCCCGGTGCCGGAGTGCGCCGATTAAAATGGACACGAACCGAGTGCTGGCGCGCCTGCACGTTAATAATTGGGGGTGGCACCTGGAAGAGTCGCGTGTTCTTGACAAAGTCATCGACGCGCAAAGTGGCACTCATAATGATCAGCTTGAGCGGACGGGTCTTTTCGGGGTTCTCGGAAGATAACTTTTGGCGCAGACGCACCACACGGGACAAGACGCCCAACAGAATGTCGGTGTTGAGAGACCGCTCGTGGGCCTCATCAGTAATTATCACCGAGTACTTGGTCAAAAGCAGGTCGCTGGCCAGCTCGCGGAGCAGGACACCCTCGGTCATGAACTTGATGCGGGTATCATCGGAAACATTTGTGTCGAACCGCACCTGGTGAGAGACTGTATGGCCAAAGTTGCCCAGCTCCTCGGACACGCGATGGGACATGCTGAGTGCGGCCACACGGCGGGGCTGAGTTATGCCGATAATTCCCGGATTAGGTGAGTCGGGTCACCATACCCGGCTTCAAATAGAAACTGGGGAATCTGCGTGGTCTTACCAGAACCGGTCTCACCGCTGAGCACGATGACCGGGTTCTCAGCAATCGCCTCCATGATCTGCTGTCCTCGGCATATACGGGCAGCTGGTTCGCTGTTGCTGGATGGTCTCTGTCCGCTTGACTTGGACGTAGTATGATTTGCCTTTGGCTTCGGAGCTGACGCTGTCATCAATGATGCCACGCTTGCACAGGAGAGGCTTGAGCATGCTCCCAGTGTAGTAAACTTTTGGCTCGGGCGTCGGTACTTTAACAAGCTCCTTGGCGGCCACCGGAAACTGCACTATCAAGTCTGCACCTTCGCTAGTGGTGCTATCGATAGCACTATCGCCATTGACATTGGCTTCGTTGTCTGATTCGTTCTCGGACGCCGAGCTGTCGAATTCCGACGACTCGTCGATTTGCTCGTCCTCGCTGCTTTCCTCGAGCCTCTCGACCAGTCCTAGCTTTTCCAAAATGCGGCCCTTCTTTTGCCGCTTGCGCTTGATAATTTTGGACGAGGCCAGCGCGCTGCCAGCCACCACACTCTCGATCGGGCGTTTGAGCGATTCTGGAGCAGGTTCGTTGTTGCGCACAATCTCAGAGACTGGCTCCAACGCGTCATTTGTCATGTCCGTCGGATCAGCCTCCGGGGCATCGGCGTCCTGGGCGGCGCCCTTTTGTTTGCTTTTGTTCTTCTTTCTCCTCTTCTTGCCCAGTGGGTGCAATGGAACCTCCGGCGCACTGCCCCTGACTAGCTTATCGGCCTCAATGCGCACATCGTCGGAATCACGCTCGGAAACGTACAAGCGGACGCTCTGGTCTGACTGGGCCAGGCCAAGCCTCTCCTCTGTGACTGCGCGCAAAAGCTTCTCCCGCTGTGTCTCTGTCTTGCGACCGAGCGTCTTAGATGACCGCATCAGATCGCTTTTCCAGGTTGAGCTGCCGAGCTTCTCAAACAAAGTAGCCCGCTCATCCTTCTTCACTTGCTTCTCCTACACATACATGTGAAAATGGCATCGCAGAATCAAATAAGTGAGTTGCACATGATCAGTACCAGTGCTAAAATAATAAAGGGTGGGCTGTGGTCACTGTCATCGTCCCGGATCAATAGGGTATTCCATCTGTCGTTTCAAGAAAAAAACATAGCTGCATAGTGCTACATACCACAAACTTCTCAAACCGTTTCTCTTTCTTTGTCTTGTTGGTGCCCATTGCCGCTGTCTGTGAATGTGTATGTGCTGAAATGCGGCGTCCTTGAATTCGACGGACAGAAAGATTCCAAGCGCACTGGAATGTAGTAAATGAATAAGAATTATGAGACCTCGAGCAACACTGTGAAGACAAAGACGGTGCGATTAGCAGAGCAACTCATTGCAGCCTAGCAAGGTCATAAAAAAGTGATTTTTTTGCATTGGCAAAAAAAAGATGCACTAATCTTGATTTGATTTAATTATTGCCTCGCTCCAATACTGGACCAAAGCCTGGTTTGTCTTTAAAAGTATTTTGGTGGTCCCAATCAAGTGCATGATGGGGGAAGAAAGTGGAATTACTCCATTGTTGTGGGGGGGTGCTCAAATTCCCTCCCCAATAACAAAAGAAGCAACCTTGGCCAGCAAATCACAACAAATGCCGCACAACAGTGTGGGCAATTTGCTCAAACAAGATTGTTGACTTTTTGGAAATACTTTGCGCAAAATGAAATGATGGCAAGATGGTGTTTTTGAAGACCCTTCCCGCTCTGTCTTTCTTTTCCTAGTTAACATAAATATTTTTGTTCCTGCTCATCTTCCACTGTTCCTCCGTCCTCCGTCCTTCTTATCTTATTTTTTATTCCTTCTCGTTGCTCTGCCGCATCGATTCACATTTTGCTTTATTTTTATATCTTACATAATAAGCTCTATCGCTGGCCCGACATTGCTTTTCCTCACTCTTAATATCCTATATCCTATATACGTTTTATACACATTATGAGCCTTATTGAAATTCTTGGTATCTGCTTTGGTGGCAACTCTGCCCCCAGCCGCCAGGCCTCTTATCTTTCTGCTGACGAGGCATCGAATATGCCGCTGGACGCATTCCTGCAGCGCAGTCTTGAGAGCGCCCCGAGTGCGTTGGAGCAGAACGGCGCCTTTGCCGATATATTCCAGAAGCACATACAGGGCGGAGCTGATGCCGCGAAGATTGTTCGCATTGTGCAGGACGTTCTGGCACGTCTGGCAGGAAATGACACCGACAGGGCAACGACGCAGTGGGCGTGCCAGGTTTTGGGTATTTTGGCGCAAGGAAATGTCAATGAGAAGACAAACGGTGGCGGCTATCAGCCCCCGCAAATGCCGGCCACCAACTACGCCCGGCTGCCGGCACGGACAACAATGGCTGGCAGACGCAGGAAAGCAAGCAACGCCCGCAGCAGCAGAAGAAATCTGGAGATGATGACGTCTATATCCGCTCGTATTTCTTCCCCTCAGAGGACAGCTTCAATGCGCTCATCAATTTCATCGAGGCCGCCAAGTCTACGCTCGACATTTGCGTGTTCAACATTACTGACAACGACATCGCGCGCGCCATCGGTGATGCCAAAAAGCGTGGTGTAAATGTCCGCATCATCACCGACGATGAGCAGCTCAAGTGCCAGGGCAACGATGTTGAGCGCATGAGAGAGCAGTATGGCATCCCGTTCAAGACAGACAGCGACCCGTCCAAGTTTATGCATTCTAAGTTTGCCATCATCGACAGACGCGCTATCTGGACTGGGTCCTACAACTGGACCGTCAGCGCTCGCAGAAGCAACAACGAGTCGGCCATCTGCACCAATGACCCAAACACCGCCAAGGCATACAGTCAGGAATTTGAAACGCTCTGGAAACAATTTTAGATAGAATATTTGCTTATATTGTGCTATTCCCCAATTTTTTATTAGTGTCTGTTTGAAACAATATTACTTTAGTATATCATAAGTTGTTTCCGAGTGCACATGTCAACGCAAATTTATCTGATTGCTTTATAATATAATACAATGAGCGCAAAGCGCGCGAGTTTAAATGCAAGAGCAACATTGCTATAGATGTGGCTCGGGGGAAATTTTAATGTTAAAGTTGCATTAGCGCTTATTAATTATATATAATAAAGCATTTAGAGCATTTGCCGCGCGTACGTTGAAAACACTGGAGCAGTATTCTGGAACTCGAATTGAGTAACTGCGGTTTTTTGCTGCTGAATCTGCTGCTGGTGTTCTTCGTTGAATGATTCTATTTGGCTGTAGGTTGAATCTGCGCGAAGGTCGTTTTCAGACTTGACGTAGGCGTGTTTGTGTATATCACCCCACGTTTCTGCTGAGCAACCAAGCTGTCCTTGTGAGCGTGTTCATATAATTGCGCATAGTCTGCTCGCGCCAGAATAAGTGCCCAATGACTGGCGGTCCAAAAATCATCCAGATGTAGCCGTTGATTGTAACCATGTTTGTCACGGCAATGGTAATTCGGCCCCATGGATATCTTGAGCCTTCCAAATAATTGACAACCATACCAACAACCAGAATAAGTGTAGAAACAACTAATGTCCAGATAGCCATCCGGAATCCATTGAATGCGTTGGCAACCTTGCGCATACGAAAGTACAGCACCCAAGACAATACAATCATGATAATGAAATAAATGTTTGTCCATAAAATACCCCATACTGAATGTACAGACACGCAAGCCGTAATCCTCTAGAAGCCACGCTCCCTGCTGACCCCTGAGAGCTGAAATCACAATGCCAGTGACAAGTGAAGGCAACCACAGTGCAAAGAATGGCCAGAACCGACGAGAAAAGTTGACGATAGCGCTGTTCGAGCGCGCTGCCGTATTGCCTGTAATGAAAACACGGTAGAATAGCACTAGTCGCATGTTGATGGCAGACAGGAATACGGACAGACCAAATGTAAACATCCCCCAGACTCCCCAAAGTCCACACAACCCAAGTGCGCCGCCATATCCAACCATGCCTTGCATTAGATTATTCGATATGTTAAATATGATGCCGCCGATACCAATTATGACGTTATGCTAACATGTTGAGCCTTCATGGGTGGGAAGTTCCTGAACCAAATGGCATAAGCCAAAGGGAAAATCGAGGCTAAGGTGATGCCAATAGAAAAGTAAAATATACCTACTTCTGCTTTAGATGGAAGCTCGAATTTATCGTCTGGCGACAGTGGGCCATGGTTGACCATTGCTTAATAGAATATATATGTAAATTGAAATGAGCGAGTATCCGACAATAAATCAAACGCACAAATATAATTTTTCAAATAAACGATTTCTAAAAAGATGACATTTTATATAAAAATAACATGATGGAACTTTTATAGCGTGACAGAATCTTGGGGCAAACAGTACGCTCCATTTCAATTCAATAATTTGACACTGAAATATTTTATCATTTAAAGGTGTCCCTGTTTTGCTTTTGTTGTGGATACAAACACAGAATTATTGGGCAGAATTATCAGCAATCCTTCTATAAGTAGAAAGATTGACTCACTATTATGACATTCAGTGTAGTTGGCAAAATTATATGGTATAACCAATAGCCTTAGCATGGAAGGTAGGATGCGCCTCATTGCTTAAAATGGACATGCGGGATGGACTATCTAATATTTACAATATCTAAATTTGACAACAATGAAACGACAGGGTGGTAGAGGCGATCATTTTTATGTTTAAATAAGCTGAAAATATATTTAAATTATTTTGCGCAATCATGCCTTCCATAATGGTTTGGATTGCTCCAACAAAATTTTATTTTTAAACAATACTATGTTGTAGCTCAATTTGTGCACTTTTCAGTTTACTTTTGCATAGTCACTTATATTGTATTGCATCATACTGAATAAAGTCAATGTGCCAAACATTTTTAGTTTCCAATGTTTCTATCGAGCAAATAGCAAATAGTTTTTAATATTCTTCAGGCAGCATATTTCCTCATTTGGCCTTCAAATATTTGGCAATGTGGATTGTCCGAGCATATGAGACTAAAAATACGTCCAATCGATTGCCCAAGTGCATTAATGTTTGTTTTCTGCTTCCTGCGTCCTGCCGTTTTATATTGAAAATACCTGTTTTAATTACAGTTTGTCGTGTACCACACTAAAAAATTAGAACCCAAACTGAGTTGCATACAGTCTGTTGTGAGAAGGCATTCAAAACAGCTTTTCGTATTTCAGGCTAGCACGACAAGCTACGCATTCTAAGTCTGTTGCGGATATGAATAAAAATGGTGAAAATAATCATTTGTAAATAGGATCACTGCCGCTCTTTTTCATGCACGCCTGGCATAAACAGCCTATTGCCAATGTGGTGCCCACTCTATTATAAAGATGGCACAAAGCAAATCCTCACAGCTGACACTCCATGCTGTTTTCATTTTCTTTATTTCAGATCAAGTTTCTCCATGAATATAACTAAATAATGCCTACAAGCGACATGTCCGTAGCTACCGCTTAAACCGGGATAAATACGTGGAATCGGGGTTTATATGCAAAACTCAAAACCCTTACAGCCATCACAGGAATTTTAAAAATGTAACACATAATGCCATATAAATTGATGAAGAACGCATTCAACGTACATATCCTACCATATATTGGCACAAGTAACAGTTGTGGTGTTTTCTAAGAATATATCTGCTCAAATTAATAATGCATAAAAGAAACTAGAGCATTCGCCGCATATCTGTCGAAAAAACTGCCATTGGACTCTGGAACTCGAATTGCGATGGAGCCAATTTGTCCTCTTGGTTGTGAATATCATAACTAAACGACTCGGCTTGATCGTAGTGTGCATCCGTGTGAAGATCGTTTTCAGACTTTCCATAGGCTTGCATATGGAAATCAGCGCCGCGAGTCTGCCGAGCAATTAAACTGTCCTTGTGAAGCGTGTTCATATAATTGCGCATAGTCTGCTCACGCCAGAATAAGTGCCCAATGACTGGTGGTCCAAAAATCATCCAGATGTAGCCGTTGATTGTAACCATGTTTGTCACGGCAATGGTAATTCGGCCCCATGGATATCTTGAGCCTTCCAAATAATTGACAACCATACCAACAACCAGAATAAGTGTAGAAACAACTAATGTCCAGATAGCCATGCGGAATCCATTGAATGCGTTGGCAACCTTGCGCATACGAAAGTACAGCACCCAAGACAATACGATCATGATAATGAAATAAATGTTTGTCCATAGCAAATACCCCATACTGAATGTACAGACACGCAAGCCGTAATCATCTAGAAGCCACGCTCCCTGCTGACCCCTGAGAGCTGAAATCACAATGCCAGTGACAAGTGAAGGCAACCACAGTGCAAAGAATGGCCAGAACCGACGAGAAAAGTTGACGATATCGCTATTCGAGCGCGTTGTCGTATTGCCTGTAATGAAAACACGGTAGAATAGCACTAGTCGCATGTTGATGGCAGACAGGAATACGGACAGACCAAGTGTAAACATCCCCCAGACTCCCCAAAGTCCACACAACCCAAGTGCGCCGCCATATCCAACCATGCCTTGCATTAGATTATTCGATATGTTAAGTATAATGCCGCCGACACCAATTATGACCGTTATGCTAACATGTTGAGCCTTCATGGGTGGGAAGTTCCTGAACCAAATGGCATAAGCCAAAGGGAAAATCGAGGCTAAGGTGATGCCAATAGAAAAGTAAAATATACCTACTTCTGCTTTAGATGGAAGCTCGAATTTATCGTTTGGCGACAGTGGGCCATGGTTGACCATTTTTGAAATATATAAAAAAGTATTATGTATATTAGGCTGCTGATTTTTTATAAAATAGAAAAAATAGATAATAAATATAATTAAAGTTAAAAAGGCAAAAGGATAATACAAAATATAATGCAACAAATCTAAATTGATATACTGGTAAGGCAATACGTCTGCAGATAAAGAAAAGAGCGGTAATGTTTTTGAGGCGAGACTGTATTTTGAAATGGGCGGTACTTTTTTATTATATACCAAAAAAACTATGCATGGGTGCAGCCCCAGCAAACACTACATTGTTGTTAGTACAGGTAAGACACACTGCATTTCATAAATTGGCCATGAGATGTCACTTTCATTTGTTTTCAAACTTTTTAAAGTAATAATATTTCAAATCAAAGCAGCCATTTCGCTTGATGTGCTATCAAAAAATACAGCTTTTGGTTTAAAATGATGAAAATTCATATCGGATGCATGAGCACCCACCCCTTTGTGAAATTTGGATTGCTGCCAAACAGCTCTTGCATACACAACCTTTCTTGTTGCTCCATTCCTTTCTATCAAATAAAAAACAGTATGTGTAAACAACCAATCTTCAAAAAAGAGAAAATTTTAGCCAACCTGAAAATAGATACAATGGATTGCCCGGGTGCATTAGTGCAACTTTACCACTTCTCCGTTTTAAAACGTTCTTTTTCATTCCCTGTTCCCCGCAGCTGCACAAACAATCACAAATATAATTTGGATTGAACCCAAGTTGTTGTGGAAAATGTAGACCAAGTTGCCATATTGCAAAAAAAGTACGATAAATCTTGCGTACACAATACAATTTATTTTGGCGTGTGGTATGCGGGTTATTAAGCTGGATACGAGAGCCCCACTTCTTTCCCCCAAACACGATAGGACAGAATATTCTGTCCAATAGGCCTAACATAAATATTTGGATAAAAAATCTGATTTGGATAAGCGCCAGAATATTAGTGCATTATGCAATTTACATTATCCTTTGGGCGGTAGACTACACCCTTTTTGCGCTTCAAATTACCTTAATGACAGCATAGTTTTTAATATTAAAATTTTTTTACACTTGCCCATAGAACTTATAATAAAAAAGAAACTAGAGCATTCGCCGCATATCTGTCGAAAAAACTGCCATTGGACTCTGGAACTCGAATTGCGATGGAGCCAATTTGTCCTCTTGGTTGTGAATATCATAACTAAACGACTCGGCTTGATCGTAGTGTGCATTTTCATGCAGGTCGATTTCAGACTTGACGTAAGCATGCTTATACATATCACCACCGCGAGTCTGCCGAGCAATTAAACTGTCCTTGTGAAGCGTGTTCATATAATTGCGCATAGTCTGCTCGCGCCAGAATAAGTGCCCAATGACTGGCGGTCCAAAAATCATCCAGATGTAGCCGTTGATTGTAACCATGTTTGTCACGGCAATGGTAATTCGGCCCCATGGATATCTTGAGCCTTCCAAATAATTGACAACCATACCAACAACCATAATAAGTGTAGAAACAACCAATGTCCAGATAGCCATGCGGAATCCATTGAATGCGTTGGCAACCTTGCGCATACGAAAGTACAGCACCCAAGACAATACAATCATGATAATGAAATAAATGTTTGTCCATAGCAAATACCCCATACTGAATGTACAGACACGCAAGCCGTAATCCTCTAGAAGCCACGCTCCCTGCTGACCCCTGAGAGCTGAAATCACAATGCCAGTGACAAGTGAAGGCAACCACAGTGCAAAGAATGGCCAGAACCGACGAGAAAAGTTGACTATAGCGCTGTTCGAGCGCGCTGTTGTATTGCCTGTAATGAAAACACGGTAGAATAGCACTAGTCGCATGTTGATGGCAGACAGGAATACGGACAGACCAAATGTAAACATCCCCCAGACTCCCCAAAGTCCACACAACCCAAGTGCGCCGTCATATCCGGCCATACCCTCCATCAGGTTATTCGATATGTTAAATATGATGCCGCCAATACCAATTATGACCGTTGTGCTAACATGTTGAGCCTTCATGGGTGGGAAGTTCCTGAACCAAATGGCATAAGCCAAAGGGAAAATCGAGGCTAAGGTGATACCGATTGATAAATATAATATAGCCGCCTCGGCTTTTGACGGTAAATCAAATATGTCATCTGGCGAAATTGGGCCTGCGTTAACCATTTTAAAAATAAATATGTAAAAAATTAAAAATGTCTATGATGAAACAGATTATTTAGCTTAAAAAGTTGATGTAGTTATTGTAGTTATTACACAGCCTCTAATCACTGTCATTAATAAGCAATAGAAAATATTAAAAAAAGTAAAAAAGTAAAAAACAATAAAAAAGGATAGAATGTCGCTAATTAGAAAATAAATATTACAGTGAAGAAAAAACATGAATGTTTCTTTTAAGCTAGTCTGGATTGTGAAACGGGCTATGCCTTGCTATTCCAAATAGAAGAATGGGGTTTTTTTAACAGTCAGTTGTTTTGGATTCGTTTTTTGTCTTGGGGTGTATGATCTACTATGATTATTAAAAAGTATATTTTCGAATACAAAATAATAATAAAGACGCCATTGCGACCCAATGCGATCTCTATTTTCAGACGCTTGCAATTTCAAAGCGCTTAAAGTAACGAAAAATTAATTTCGGATATATTATCCTTGTTTGAAAATGTGCTTCATACAGGCAAAATGTTTTGTAATTATCACTTGAGGATTTGAGGGTCATGTCAATGGATTGCCCAGGCGCATGGGTAATCCTTTTCTGCGTCTCACCATTCAGAATGAAATCTTGGTATGCAACTATTTGCATGAAGCTATTTTTTTTGCCCGTATCCCCATGAAGCTAAATAAAATTTACAAATTAAATAAATATGACTCATTTTTATATTTAAAATTTTCAAGAATTAATTTTTTGCTTTGAATACTAAAAAGATATATTATACTTGCAACCATTATACACGCTTAGCTCTGGTTTGGCGTGTCCAGTGTGGGGGGTAACCAAAAATAGATGCGAAGCTGGTTTGTTTTCATTTTGCAAAACAACCAGTCCTGGAGTAATACCTTGCAGTTAATCTGGCATTTGGATTCTTTCTACTAAACACGATTATTTTATTTGCCAAAAATAGAACGATCTAAATGACAACTTGACAATCTGCAAATTTTTAAAACGAAAAATTTAAAGTCCTCTATCATCCATCTGGGCATTTGCCAAACAATTTGGATTTAATTTCCAGCTGGGCTGCAGAAAGCATCGCTTTAGACTCAATTAAATGACGCCAGCAATAAATCAGCAACGTTGGGACTAATTAATTAATAGTTGGATTTGTTTGGTTGCTGAAGCTACAAGAGCACTATGTTGTTAATGTCATTTTTGGCGTTGATCTGCGTGTCATTTGCAAAAAAAGTTTGTTTTTATGATTTTTTTCTTTGAAACTTATAATAGGTATCAATTGAAAGGACAAATATCCGGACTTTCAAAATTGAATTGTGTTGATGTTTTCATTTTTGTTTTGCTACATTTTAACTGTTAATCTCACATGACTGTTTATTATTTTTTGTATCCCCGCTATAGAGATCATGTGCCGATCGGGTACAAACAATAAGTGCAAAGCAAACAGGTCTGCGGAGCACAGGACAACAATGTACATTTTGAATCCTTTCATTCTTTCGATCGTCGTTTCAAGTTTGGCTGCTTTTTTACTTTTTTTAATCCGTCCGACATATTCTTGCGCCAAGGACAGTTATTTTGATTTGTCTCGCTTTTTATTTATTGTTTATAAAGCCGCCAGAAGTATTTTGTTTGCGGGAGAATGGGTTTCAACTCAAATGCTGTCGATGAACTAACCAAGAAATTGGAAGATGCGCTCATTCTTGGCAAGTTTCAGGAAAGCAAATCTGTTGGCGGGGGTTGCACGCATCCCCACAGTGATACTGGCAATGCGGCCGACAATTCAGTGGCTGTCGTTCCTGCCAGTGGTGGCGATCATGAGAGTGCCCAAGAGGAATTCAGTGATGTAGAGTCTTTTTCGTCGAGCTCAGGGGAGGATTCGGACGACGACATTACAATGTACAGGGGGCCGCCGCCGCCGCTCACTGTCTACAGGCCATTTTTACCCGAGGGCACGAAGTCGCTATTTCCGAGCGAGGTTTTATCGCTGGATGCGATTGCAGACATGATAAAGTCGGGGACAGCAAGGAATATCATAGTCATGGCGGGTGCTGGGATATCCACCGATGCTGGAATTCCTGACTTTCGTTCGCCAGAAACCGGGCTGTATGACAACCTACAATCATACAAGCTCCCGTACCCAGAAGCCATCTTTTCCATCGACTACTTCCGGAAACAGCCAAAGCCGTTCTATGTGCTGGCAAAGGAGCTTTATCCGGGTCAGTTTGTGCCCACAAAGAGCCACTTTTTTGTCAAGCTGCTTGAAAAAAAGGGGCTGCTCCGGCGACACTACACTCAGAACATCGACTGCCTTGAGCGTGTTGCTGGAATAGATCCCGGGCTAATTGTCGAGGCGCACGGATCCTTCCATACGGCCCATTGCATTGGCCGCAAGTGCCTCAAGGAATACTCGCAGGCCTGGGTCAAGGAAAAGATATTCCAGGACGAGATTCCGCGTTGCAGCGTTTGCAACTCGCTGGTCAAGCCCGACATCACGTTTTTTGGCGAGGGCCTGCCTCCGCGCTTTTTTGAGCTGCTTGAAAACGACTTTGGTAGCTGCGATTTGCTGGTCGTCATGGGCACGTCTTTGCTGGTCCAGCCGTTTGCATCGCTCATCAACGACGTCGCTGACAGCGTGCCGCGTCTTCTGATAAATCGCGTGCGGGTAGGCGAGGCTAGTGCGCCTGGTACCGGATTTGACTTTGACGGAAAGCACGTTGGGCACACGCACCGCGACGCGTTGGTGTTGGGCGACTGCGACGCGGCCTGTGTGCTGCTTGCCGAGCGGCTTGGTTGGACAGACGAGCTGGCCGAGCTTCGCAATGCGTTTTTGGAAGAGACAAACAGCCTAGGCCAGGATCAATAAATGAAGGACTCCCCCCATATATACATTTTTCCACTCCAGCAGCGAATGACTAGTCGCCAGGAGTGGCTTGATAGAATTATACTTAAATTTGTAAGTTGACCAAGGATCAAGAAAAATTACTTGTATTTGCTGGTAATTTATCATTTCCAGTGTAGCCCCTGTTTAATTAATATTTGCAACGGTCCGTGTATTAACCCGACTTGGCCGATTGCTTCTGGCCATTGCTTCGCCGATCGCTTGTATATGCTCGGCAGGCCAATCAACGCACAAAATCGTCTGTTCATGAGTTTCTAGGCGCTATGTGCCTGCGCATATGAACGGATTTATACTTGATCAAGATAATATTTGAAAACGTTTTAATGATATTTTAGTGACGCTTCTTTTATCTTTCAAAGCGCTTTGTATTGAGCCTGGCCCAAAATCAAGCAATTCTCGGCCAAATGTTGCAGAAATTAAAACACACAGCATCATACAATAGGCGCAGTCCACTCCATGTTATGTGCTTGTAAGAAAAAAGTTTGGAGCTCAAGGTTGCGCGCAGATCACTTTTGCACTAGCAGACGATGCCAGAGGGAAAAAAACTACATATGTAGTGGCCGTTGTGGCCATGTATGAAGGACTTTAACAAAAAAAATCGCAAAGTTTTTTTTACACTCCCTCTACTTGAAAACATTTCGTGCAATTTGTAAACAATTTTAATACTGCATAGACCAAGACCATATAGTTATATTTAAGACTCCTTTTTGTTCTACTCTCTCCTTTATCGTCCGTGTCTTTAGGCACACATTATATTATTTTTTTCTTGCCTGCATCTCGATCACTTTTTTTATCTCTCGAGTATTTCTCACTCTTAACACACCAATTGACTTAAGTGTACCCCCGCACTTCATTTTAAAAACTCTTCTTCCTCTTTTATCCCCCGCTTTATTTTATTTTACCGCAACAAAAAGCAGTGCCGTATTTTTGTTCATTCTCCGCACTTGTTCCAACTTGGTGGCCCTCTCCAACTCCCCCCCCCCCCACCCAAGATTTATTTTCTATCGTTGTTACTCCCTTAGACACAATGACATTCATTCAGGATCTTAATCCAACTTGTTCCGATCCAAGCCTATCCGCAGATTATCCAACAAAATCTCAAAGCGCAGATTTCTTGGACATGATGCTAGGAATCAACAGCACCCACCACCCGTCCGCCAATATTCCTATTGAGCAGCTTTCCGCATTGCCAGCCGACAATGTTTTTGCACTCTCCGCGGCCGCTGCCGCTGCAATGGCTGCCGAAACACACCAAGACAGCTTGCTAAAAGCACAGACTTCGTCGGAAAACATCACAGCTTTTAAACGCGCGCCCGTTGTACTTTCAAAAAAAGCAAGCACTACGAATCCGACAGTCGGCTCATCATCGCCGCTCAGCGCTACCAGTACAAATAGCACCACTGACAGCAGAATTAGTAGTAGTAGTAGTAGTAGCAGCAGCAAGAGGAATACTGATGTCAAGTTTCAGATTCAGTTGAAGCAGCAGCCGCAAACCCTTATGATCCGATACACCGAGAAGGAAAAGCAGCAGCGCAAGTATGAGTGCGAATACTGCAAGAAAAGATTTTCGCGTCCAAGCTCACTCATGTCCCACGGATACACCCACACGGGTGAAAGGCCCTTTGCCTGCGACCATCCCGGATGTACCAAGAGATTCTCCGTACTGAGCAATCTCCGCCGCCACAATATCGTGCACACACGCAAACGAAAAAACTCGGCGGTGGCATCGGCAGCAGCTTTGGCAGAGGCAGCAGCGATGGCAGAAAAGGTGAAGGAGCGTAGAGGCATTAGGGATAGTAGGCGCAATCCCATGCGTGGGTCTAGTGTTTATGGTATTACAGAGACTTTGGGTATGCCGGCGTATCCTGCGTTTTCTTACTTTCAGGGACTGGGCGGCACAAGTGATGGTGGTGGTAGCCGGGATATATTTAGATTTTTAAACACAAGCTCATATTACCCTCCCACGGTTATGTCCACGCCTGCATCTGCGCTGGTTGCTTTTGGCAGCATAAACCGGAAGGAAAATTACGCGCCAAGTATCCGCACCACTGCGTCAATGTTGTCTGGACTCCCATCGCTACTGCCGCCGCCTCACTCAAGCCAACATCAGCAGCAGCAGCAGCAGCAACAGCAACAACAGCAGCAACAGCAACAGCAACCGCTGAGTATTTCCAACGAGCCTTTGTCCAACATATGTTATTCATCAACAAACATGAGCACATCGTTTTTCCCTGACATCCAGCAGCGCGCACGCCCAGTTTCCCCCTCCTGCGAATTCCCCATCCCAGCACCACTACCAACTGACACTCTGCCATCGGTATTCAGACAAAATAACGCACAACCACAAGAACCGTATCATCCTCACCAACAGCTTCCTCTTTGTGGTGAAAATATTGGCAGCATAAATACACTGGACTCGGCGTTTACGACAGAGCAATTAAATGCCATTTTAGGTGACATGCCATTGGTACATCATAATCACCAGCAGCAGCAGCAGCAACAACAACAACAACAACAAGGAAGCGGTAGCAGCATGTCGATGTCCAGCAGTTTTAGTGATTCCAGTAGCGACAGTGCACTTGCGCCGCTCGCATGGCCGGGGGTATCAGGCGGTGAGCGCAGCGAATCGCACTCCGACAATAATGTTCAGACGGCGTTTTCGGACATTTTTGCAAAGAACACAGCTTTTCTTCAAACCAACAAACAACAACAACAGCAGCAGCAGCAGCAGGAGCTTGCGCCAATGTTCTCGGGTGGAACGGGGCTGTCACCTATGTCGTTGATATCGTCTAGACTTAATCATATCGGCGGCATGGTTTCCAGTTACAAAGCGACAACAGAAGACAACATCGGAGACGTTAATAATGGTAGTGGTATTTCAGTTGACAAGCTGCTGAGCACTTTGAGCAGCCTTGATACCAGTACAAACAAATCCGATGGACCTGCGGGCGCCCGACTGGTCGATCCAACGGTGTGGCAGTTACTGCAAACAAGCAGCTCGCAATTCTAGACTAACTGAGCAAACACTTGACAGTTTTATAATTATACTTTTTTTTTCTCTTTTTCTTCATGCTATCCCTTTATCACTAAATACAGAAGTGTTTATTTATTTTTCCAATTTTGCTAAATTTTGAACTTTATCGTAACTGTTGCGTATCTAGCTGCAAAATACATACGGAAAAGATAACCCTGTATGTCTGCTGTAACTGGGTCAGCAGACGCCATGTATCGCGCCACTCTGCACCTTGAATAATTTGGGTTGGTATTTCCCGACTAGCAGTCCGAGTAATCAGCGGGCGAAGCAAGCGGATGATGGTGACTTTTGTTTGTAAAATAATTTAATATATATATAAATAAATGATTGATATTTGATTAACATTAATATTGTTGGTTTGCAGTTATATCCCAATATACCAAATAAAGGAAAGATAGATAGATAGATAGAAAAAAAAATGTTAGAGAATTTGTTGCAGCTTGCGACAAATATCCAGTATCTGCTCTTTCTCGGCAATCCCAGTGCTGACTCTTCCAGATGGCGTCGGGCTCACAACCAGCGAACGCACAGGCGAGTTCTCCGAAGCCACACCGAAACTGCTAATACGCGTTCCGGGGGCTTTGATGGGAGTGCGGAGACCACCCTTCATTGCGCTGGGCGGCCTAGCAGCTGATGCAGCAGAGGCAGAGGCAGAAGTTGAAGCAGCAGCAGAAGGGGATGCGGGTCCTCCAATGGTGCGTCTGGGAATGCGCGAGTTAGGCTTGTCAGTGAACTGTGCTGGCGAGGGTGGTTCGGGCGAGGATAAGGCCAACACCATCAGGCGAGCGATCAGCTCCCGGGCCTCCTGTATTTTTGCGCTCTCAACCTCGGGGTCATTATTCGAGTCCGCTGCAGTGTCGACACTCGCGCCCTGAGATTCCGAGACGGCAGATTCGGTCGGCAGGCCCGGTTTATCCGCGGCGTCATCATCCTTGTCTTCATCTTCATTGTCGTTGTCGTCGTTCTCATCGTCGGTTTCGGTTTCGTTCGATGGGTCGATACGTTGTTCCGAGTTTTTGCCGACAGTGAGCTGAGATCCGTCTAGATGGAGGGAGATGAAAAACGCGTTGATTGAGCGCAATATAGATTATTTAGTATGTTTTATAGAACATCCACACAGGGCATTCCCACTCAGTTCAGTTCAGTTCAGTTCAGTTCAGTTTAGTTCAATTAAATATTTACCTTCGTTCAGCTCGGCTGCGCTGATAACCTTGCCCGCAGCGATGGTAGACCGGTACTCGAGAGCAGACTTGGCATCCTGTATGAGGTGATCCAAATTAGAAATCAGGCGTTCAAAAACTTTGTCCTCTTTAAGCGCCGATCTCAGAGCCTATTTTGGCGGGCATGAGAAGCGGGGAGGAGGTGGTGATGGGGGAGGATATAGGAGTTTGTACTTTGTTCTTGTTCATTTTTTTCTTTTGATAGGCGTATGCTAGGAGCAAACAAGGCAGAAAAACAACAACACTCACACTCTTCTCAAAAAGGGGGGGGGGGCACAGCTCGGAGGAGACTGGGCAGGGAAATGAGGGAGCAGATATGGATGCGCACAGGGCGAGAGAGAGCACACGAGAAGAGTAAGATAAGTGGGTGGGCATAATAAAAAACACATGTAATGCTTACCTCGTCTGAGATTTCAGTGTCTGGGAGCGCGTCGGGCGCAAAGGTCGCTTTCAGCTGGATCTGCTTCTTGAGGTCGCTGATCTCTTCGCGCTGCGACTTGACGCGGGCCTCGAGCTGCGAGTTGACGGCCAACAGCGACCGGTTGGAGATCTCCAGGTCCTGGAGCTTGCGGCTGACGCGCGCCTCAGCAGCCTCCATGTTCTCCTCGGAGGGCGGCGGCGGCGGCTGCATTGCGCTGCTGGCGCGACTGTGAGCCAAGTCGGAGTTGCTGGAGAGCGCTGACGGCAAGTGGTCGCGCGAGAACAGCGACGGCTCGGGAATCAGGGCGCCGAGCGCCGACGATGGCGACTGCGGGATGGCGTTGAGGTAGGCCGGCTGCGGCATGTCAGTGGGCGCACGCTTGGGGCCGATGACGCGGGCGCCGCCGCGCGCAACGTTGACGACCAGCGGGGCCTCAGGGTCGGGGGGCTGCGTGCGGAAGCCGGTCGACGTGGCGGGCCGCGCAGCCTGCAGCGAGCTTCCAGGGCGGCTGCCTGCGCCCGCGCCCATCATCATCATTTGCATGTGCATGTGCTGCTGCTGCTGCTGCATGGCCTGCGGCGATGCCGGGTTGACCATGTCGCCGCCGAGCGACCCAAAGCCGCCGCCGAAGAACGGCGCCATGCCCATCGGGCTGCCCCACATGCCGCCGCCCGGGAACCCGGAGCGCGACACCGACCGCTGCGGCAGCTGCTGGTGCTGCTGCAGAGGCATGCAGCCGAGGTCGGCGCGGCTGGCTGAGCGCGGCACGGCTAGCGCCGAGCTGTCGGGTGCGTCGTAGTACGAGCCCATCCGGGCGCGGCCATTGGCACCGGCGCTCAGAGGCGGCGGCGGCGCCTGCTGCTGCTGCTGCTGCTGGTCGAGCGCGCCAAAGCCTGCAGTGTCCATCTGCTGGGCGCCGAACTGCGCCGATGACGGCGGCCGGCGTAGAAGCCCGGGCGGCGCGAGCGGCAGCTGGTAGGCGCTGGGCTGCATGCCAGGCATCCCGGCCAGGCCGGGGCCCAGCAGGCGGGCGCCACCCGGCAGCACGCGCGGCTGCTGCTGCGGCGTGGCTGAGCCGGGAGTGTAATTGGAGGTGTAATTGGGGGTGTAATTGGGGGTGTAATTTGGGTTTTGGAGCGCGTTTGCGCCCATGAATGTGTTGGAAAGCGGCTGGCTGTCGGCTGCGCCCTGGGCGCGGCTGGCGGGGCGCAGAATATTGGAGGCCTTTGCTCGGCTGGGCGCGCGCTCCATGGGTTGGTGGGATCTGGGTAATTGGGCAGCTAACTGGGCAACTGGGCAATTGGATAGCTGGGGTAATTGGGTAAGGCGAAATAAAAAAAAGCAGAACGAAAAGCAAGGAATAGCGCGCAAGCGAAAAGGGAGAGGGGATGCGAACGATGCACAGCCAGCCAACCAAGCAAGAACATCGCGCGGCTGCCTGGCTCCTCGTATTGTAATCTGCGCCAATTGAATTGAAAAGCACTCGCACCAATCACGCCGCTCACACGTGCTGCGGCAGCTCCACCACCCCGTCCAGCTCGCGCAGCACCAGCGTCAGCTCGCGCAGCTTGGCGCCCAGCTCACGCTGCTTGGCGTCGGCGCGGTGGTTGAGCGGCTCGACGGCGTCGGCCAGCTTGACCAGGTGGTTGGCGCCGGTCAGCAGGTGGGCGTTGCGCACGAACCACTCCTGCAGCGGCTGCGGGCGGCGCTCGGCGGCGCGCGCCAGGAACCGCGCCTCGGCCGGCGACCGGAGCGCCAGCGGCGACGCCGGCACCATCGCCACAAAGCGCGTCACAACCTCGCGCGCCAGCTCAGCCAGGTCCGGGTCCTGGCGGATGAACGCATACCAGCAGTGCAGCTCGCTGCCCTCGGCGACATCGGCGCCGGCGGCCCGGCGCTCGGCGCGCGACCGCGCCAGCGCCGCCTCGTGCTGCGCCTTGCTGCGCACCCACGCGTCCAGCCGCTCGGCCTGCAGCCGGTCGCAGAAGGCGTGCACGCGCGCCTCCTCGGCGGCCATCGCGCGCTCCAGCCGCCGCAGCTCGGCGCCGTGCTTGCCGCGGCGCTTGGCGTCCCATGCGGCGCGCGACCGCTGCAGCGCCAGCTTGCGCATGACGTGGCCCAGCATCACGCGCGCCTCGGCGTCGCGCGTCGCGTCGTACACCAGCCGCACGGTGGCGCGCTCGCGCTGCTCGTCGTTCAGCCAGCTCCCCAGCTCGGCGCGGTCCAGCAGCGCGCGCGGGAACGCGCCCAGCAGGTCCGGGTGCGCCGCGTGCAGCGACCGGAACCACGCAAAGGCCAGGCACACGAAGCGGTCCTCGGACAGCCCGTGGCGCACGTGGCTGGGCACCAGCGCCACGGGCCACGTGTGCAGCTGCGCCACGGCGTCCTCGCGCAGCAGCAGCACCAGCATCTCGCGGAACTCGCCGCGCACGCCGCGGTCCTTGGCGCGCGCGGCGCCGGCCACGGCCTCCAGCACCTGCGCGGCCGGCCGCGGCGGGTGCAGCCGCGCCAGCAGCTGCGCGAGCGAGCACAGCGTGAACGCGCGCGCCGCGAACCGCGCGTGCAGCGTCGGCGGCACGCGCTGCACGGCGTACGTGGCGCCCAGGCTGACCGGGCACACCAGCCGCGCCGCGCCCCAGTACACCAGGTGCGCGGCCACACGCAGCAGCTGCGCGAACGAGCAGTCGACCATGCGGTGCAGCACGGCCAGCGTGCGCGTCGGCGACGCCTTGTCGACCACGGCCAGCAGCGTCGGCGACGCGTCGGTCAGCTGCAGCCGCCGCCGCAGCGCCGGCGCGTCGTCACCCGTCAGCAGCAGCGCGTGGTACGCCTCGATGCGCGGGTACTGCGCGTGGTCGCCGGGGCCCAGCTCGCGGTCGGCCGCGACGATGCCGGGCGGCGGCAGCGCGCCGATGCGGTGCAGGCGCTGCGGCGTGTGCAGCTGGTGCGCGTGCGCCTGCGCCTGGTACGTGTGGAGCTGCGCCTGCGCCAGCGTCGGCGCCGGCCCAAAGTGCAGCGCCTCGCCGTACTCCTGCACGTCGGCCGCAACGGACCGCGTCGTGGCCGGCGCCACCGGCGCGCCGTCGGCCGGCGTCTGCGGCCGCGGCGTGTGCGCCGCCGATGCTGCCGCGCTGCCGTCCGCCGGCGCATAGCCGCCGCCGTCGGCCACCACGTAGCCGCCGGTCCAGAACACCGGGCGCGGCGCTGGCGCCGGCGGCGCGGCCCGCTCCAGCGCCGGCCCGCGCGGGATGTGCAGCGACAACGCGATGCGGCGGTGCACGTGCAGCCGCACAACCTCGCTGCGCCGCAGCCCGTTGAACAGCTCGACAAGGTCGGCCGCCAGCGTCGAGCACCGCAGCAGCTCGCGCAGGTAGCGCGCCGCGCCGTACGCCTCGGCCGCCGCCACCTCGTTGAGGCTGCGGATCAGCCGCGACTGCGTCAGCACGTAGTTGGCCTCGATCTGCTCGATCATCAGCGCCTTGGTCAGCCGCCGCAGCACGTGCTCGTACACGCGGTCGGCCAGCGCGTTGACGCCCGCCGCTGTGTTGTCCAGCATCACCACCACGTGGAACAGGCTCGGGTATACGCGCTTGCGGTACCCGCGCCGCTTCCACTCGTGGCTGTCGCGCACCGCGCGCTCGCCCTCGGAGATCGCGCTGTCGCCGGCCTCGCTCGGCTCGCGGTTCAGCATGAGGTTGATCAGCCCCAGGTCGGCCATCAGCTTGGAGCCCTGCTGGTGGGTGCCGCGGTGCAGCAGAATGTCCGACTTGACCTTCCACCCGTCCATCTCGCCCAGCTCGCCCAGCGACGCCAGCCGCGACATCGTCTCGGCGTCGTCCTGCTCGGCGTCGTAGTAGTCTGGGTCCAGCGCCTTCTCCTTTGTGTCGTCGCGCAGCGGGTGTCCGACAAACAGAACCCCGTCGATCGCCACCTGGAACCGCCGGTCGCTCATCGACGGCCGCGGCGAGAACATCTGCGCCAGGAACTTTGGGTCAAACCCGTGGATCGCCTGCGAAATACACGCCGCAGCACCGCCCTTGTCCTTGTCCTTGTCCTTGTCCTTGTCCTTGTCCTTGTCCAGCCTGCTGTCGCTGCCGCCGAGCCTGGCCGTCTTGCTCTGCGGGTTAACGCCTACATTCGCGTTTCCAATCGATACGCAGCTGGCTGTGCGCGACAGGTTGTCCCTCGCTGATTTCTCTGCGCCCGCCTCGTCTGTCGTTGCCGCTGCCGCTGCCGATGGCGCTACTGTTGCTGCTGCTGCTGGTGATAATGCTGGTGCTGATGCTGTCGTTTCTGCTGTTGCTGTTGCTGCGGCCACTGCTGCCGCCGCTGCTTCTGCCGCCGTTGTTAGCGCCTCTGCCGCCGGCACCGCCTCAGCCTCAGCCTCACCCTCCGTCTCAACCTCCGCCTCCGCCTCCGCCTCCACCTCCACCTCCACCTCCGCCTCAGGTGCCAGCATTTCAACAACTGGCGCCTCATCATCCACGCCGTCTGGCTCAGCGCCCCGATCCTCTCTTGCCACCCGCTTCCGCGCCTCTGCCTCCTTCAATAGGCCTTCTGCAATCTCAATGTCCTGCGGTGTCATCGGGTACCGCAGCGGCAGGTAGTCGCCCTTTGACGAGTATGTCGCCAGAAATATTCCAAGAATCGCATTGCCCTGATGTGCCATGTGTATCTGTGTACCTGTGTGTAATTGTCCCAATACTTGGTTTTGAGGTTTATTGCAAGGGCCCTAGGCTCATGATACGTAATCGGCAAGTGTCTCAATTGAAAACTAATAAATGAACGAATAAACTATCGAACAAACAAATATACTAATAATAAATGTATTGATTGATTGGTTGATTGTGCCTGTCTTTCTAAGCGTGGAAAAGTGCAGGTCGCGCCCGCAAAAAAAAAAGAACGGCGCGAAATAGTGTAATGACAGCGTGTGGCCATCGGCATTATTCATGGGATAAATGCACGAGACCACCCGATCCATATAAAAATCCTTCCGAATGAGTAAATGTCATCCTGCCGCTTCAAAAAAATTATAAACCTTTTATTTGAGCTTGGGAATGTTTTCCTGAAAGAAAATCGTGTGGGTCGAACGGATCACATTTTAATTGGGCTTTTTTTTTAAAATTTATTTGGTATTTTTCTCTTAACACCAGCAGCACACCGTGGTCACACGCAATCCAAAAGGTGGGAAATATTGGAAAAATACGCTTGGCTGGGCTCGCTTTGAAAATGACTTTCTTTGGCACTTTACTTTCTCGCAAAAAGGAGCACTTTTAAAAGCAATTCCATTTTTAAATATGCAAATAAAAGTGCGAGCCAAAATATCATCCGCTTTTACTAATTTGGGGGGGGGGGGCAGAGTATGTGCTGCAACTGCTGCAAATGCTGCAACTGCCTGCCTGCCCGCTACATATTCCAGCCTTTCAAAACACGCAAATAAATGCATACACCCTGTACGATCTTGTGTTTGTGCATATATTCGCTTTTGGGCTTGTCTCGTTTTTTCTTTTCTAGATTTTCCACCTGCTCCGCAAAGTCCATTGTCCTCTAGTTTGTTCTTTTCTCCTTCCTCGGTCATTCCTTGGGCATTCCACCCACCACCAACTTTTTTTTGTCCAATCCTTTTTAACTCGCTGCCCCCCAAATTTCCTTTCTGGTTGTTATCATCCACTGTCGTCTCTTGCTTCTCTTTTTCTTTTCTTTATTTGTTTTTTTCTAGTCTTCACACGGCTCTCAGCCCCTGTCTCTATCTATCTACCTGTCTATTTATTCATTTTTATTTTCATTCTTTCACACACATAACAGCTTTACTCCCTACCTCCCCCCCCACCACCCACAACCCAGACCAGCAATGACGTCCTTACTCCTAGGCTCATTCCAAGAGGCGCACAGACACCTGCTCAGCCGCGCCGGCGAGCAGGAATCGTCAGTCTACCTCGGCCTGGTCTTCAAGGCCTACACTCTCCACACAACAAGCCAATTTGCGCTGGCATACTTCTTCCTCATTGTGCTCGGAATCGCTGAGCGGCTATTCTCGCTGGGCATCGACAGCATTCATGACAAGCCCGGCCAACCATGGCGAATTTTCCCCCGCGCCTGCATCTACTTTGTCATAACCATTATCCGCTACGTGCTGATGATTGTTATCATGAACGGGTACATCCCCATGTTCCTTGTCACATGCTTGGGCTTGACTCTGGGCCAGATTGCTGTCGAGGGAATTCGGTACGTCAAGATGATGCGCTCTATCAGGCGGAGGGCTGCCGCTGGTGCGCAGAACAACGCTGATGGTTTTAATTCGCCAAAGACGTCGGGGTCGCTGGCCGACTCGTACGAACAGGGCCCTAAGACCACCCACGTCAGTGAATCCTGCTGTTAATTATTTACCTAGAGTGTAATACCATCATTATACATAAAAAATATAAATATAAATATACCTTCTTATTTTTTGTATTTATTTTTTCTTGTGCTTAAACTCCAAAAACGCACGCTTATCCTGTCTCTTGACCTTGCGAATATCAGCATTGCGGTCCTTCCAGTTGCTTTTCCGCAGCGTAATCGGTCTGCTGCCCACATACTTGCCGTTAAACTCCCTCCACGCTTTGAGGAAATCATCAGCATTGCCAAAGCTCAAAAACCCGTACCCGCGGCTCTTATCCGTCTTTTTGTCCCGCACCACATGAGTGCGCTGAAGGCTTTCGAACTTGCCAAATACCTGCTGGAGCATTTCGCTAGTCATCTCTGGGCCCAGATCACCGGCAAATAGCCGGTAGTCGTCGGTTGGCCATTTGTCCAACGTTGCGTCCTCCCATACTTGTCCGCCGGCCATACGCACTATTCGCCGCTTCTTATTGCTCTTGCCGTCTTTACCCTCCTTGCCATCGCCATTGCCGTTGTCGTTGTCATTCGCATTGGACTGCTCGGAGCCAGTAGCAGCAGCGGCAGTGGTTACTGGTTGTCCATAGGGAATATACGTTCCTTGCGCGGCATCGTAGTAGTAGTACTGCCCGTAGATCGTGTCGTAAAGCCACGTGTATCCGCTCTCATCAGTAACGTATGTGTACTGCTCTCCAGTGGTAGCGGTAGTGCTGGCGGATGTTGCTGCCGCTGATGCAACTGATGATGCTGCTGGTTCGCTGCTCACTGCTGTCCAGCTGAACGGAGCTGGAGCGGCTGTTATCAGCTTCGATGTTGTCGTTGTCGCTGTGCTTGTTTGCTCTTTGGCCGCTTGCTGCTTGTTGCTGGTTTTGTCCCCTTCCTTGTTTTTATGCAACACTGGCTCAGATGACAGTGCGACCGAGCGTGGGTTAAGGATCTTTTGCTTGGCCTGCAGCCGGTTCTTTGATGGCAGCATATGTTTTGAATAATGAAGATGCGTAATATTTATGTATGAATGAGTAAAATAAAAAGTGACTACAAAAAAAGGAAACAAGGCACGGTTACGTTTCAATTTCACTTTTTTTTTTTACCCAAAAACCAGGCTAAAACGCCGTGCAGAGTCAAATTATAGGCCTAGCACGCAAAAATAAAAAGGTCACAGCCGAGCAAATGATGGCTTTTGCTGGCACCTTGCACTACTGCCAGAGTAAAAAAATAATAATACACATTTGGTTCTAGTAAAAAAAAGTGTGCATTCGGAGCAAGTGTTAGAACTAGATATGAAGCTCAGGGCAAACCGGGCGACACCACTGATTCGCCCGATCCGACTATCAGAGACGCGCCCTCTGCGGGCAGACAGGCTATCCGCCGCATCACCGATGCAGCTGCAAATGTCGACTGCGCCGAATGCGTCGATGGAGAGTACAGGCGACGATTCCGATAGGCGTGACCACTCCCATCGGGTACCCGCGACGAGCTACCGATAGTCCGATACCGCCTGGCTGACTGCAGCCAGGATGTGCCCGTGCGCAGGCTGTGCGGGTGCGCCAAGTAGTCGACAGTGCGCATGCAATACCACCGCAAGCGGATATGGAACCCAAGCAAGAACGTCAGGCCCATGAAAGCCACCAGAACGAGAACCATGTAGAGTGCAAGCAGCGTCAGAAACACAACGGAAGCAGCCTGCGCGACCGGTGATGTCGGTGACATGGCCCAGAGTGCGCCGACCGCCCGCCACAGCACCTCCTGGAACCCCCTCTGGTCCTGTCCGGCATTGTAGAAGCACCGTATAATGCATGCCAGCATGACAGTGATGTACAGCAGAGCTGCGGCCACAAATGCCATGAACAGGCCGTAGTTGGCGTCGCCAATGCACGTGTTCATCCAGCGACAGTGGTGGTCGTAGCCGCCGACGCACTTATTGCACAGCTTGCAGTGCCGCGTGCCTGGGTTGGCCAGCAAGTTGCAAACCTGGCAGATACTGGTCATTGAGTTCACGACGGGGACACCCCGCTCGTAGATGTACTCAGGGTTGCGCCCTCGTCCAAGAGCACTGTTACCAGCGGTTGCCTGCGCCGACGACTTGATCTCGGGCGCCTCGACGTCGCGAAGTGCTATGAGTACATCCAAGATGATGGTGACTGCAGCTAGCGCCATCTCACCCACCAAAACAACACGCCATCTGGCAACCGCGTCTTTGTTGTTCGCATCGGCCACTCGCAGGTACAATCCGAGAACAACCCCAAAACACAGCACAAACAGCGCAACACCCACCCAGTGAACAATGAACAGTGGGTCCCAGGGCCCCTCGAACCCATGCTTTCGAAACCAAAATACCGATGCTCCCTTGGGCACCGACGCCGAGGCGGGCACAAGCTGGGCTATCCTCGGCATAATATTGCCGAAGCGAGCCCGATGCTTGCGCCTTGTGCCCATCGAGCTCCCATTCACAGAACCACATCTGTGGTCTACATGCAGCTCCGATGGGGCTAGCGTAATGGAGTCGGATGCGGACAATACGCCCTCAGCAGAGACTTTGCTCTGCGCCACTGTTGCCAGCGTGCCCATTGAGCTCATATGCTTGGGTGCGACTCTGTACTCGCTGGCGCCACTCCCGCTGCCGCTGTCGACACTGGGGCGACCTGAACCCGCAGTGCCAAAGTGTGGCTTGCTAGGTGTCCCCAGGGTGCTGTAAAAATCCCAGTTATGCCGGTCATATTTGGTGTTGCTGTTGCTGCTGCCACTTCCACTAACACGCGCATGCACCCCTCTGCTAGAACTGTGAACTATGCTCAGATATCCAGCACCTTCATTATCACGGTTGCTATCACTGTCGTCTTCGTCTTCGTCGCCGTCGCTGGCAGAGCCCCGACTATCGGCATCCTCTGACCCACTCGATTCGAGCGTAGACACGATGTCGAGCCCATGCAGTGCCTGCATCGACGCCGTGCGCCTCCGAGAAAATACTGGTACAAAACCGACACCCTCGTCAAAATCACTGCTGTCGTCATCTTTGTCGTCTTCTTCCTCATGGCCGCTATAGTCGGAGTAGCTCTCCCTGTAATTTTCAAATATTGCGTCTTTACTGGAATTGCTCTCGGCAATGTCAACTGAAATGCTGCTGCTGCTGCTGCGGCGGTGGTTGTCTAAAGCAGATACTGTGTGGCTAGTGTGGTCGTCCAAGCGTCTGAGCGACTCTCCAATAAAGCCTTGGTTGGGGCCCTGGTCCATTCTTAATTGAGGTTGTGCAAGGTTTATATGTGCATGGCCCGCCAGCCAACAAACAGGTGGGGTGAAATTTAAATGTAATAGAAAATAGAGCTGAATGCAAATAAAAAATCAGCAAAAGAAACCCGCTCTGTTTGTATTTTGGCCCTTTCAAAGCACAGCAACTTTTTCCCTGAATTTTTGTTTACGCAAGGAAAATTGAAGACGAGAAGAGGATATCAAAATATTTTTACATGGCGAAAAAAAGACTTTTAGCTTTTCCCGTTGTACTGGGGTGAGAAATCATAACGAAAGGCAGCGTTTTTTTCCAATCAAATCGAGAATCTGTTATTCAAAAAAACTGTACGCCTGATCCCTAGGCTAGGCCTCTTATTCTCACGCGCGCGCACAGTAAATACCACCCAGTTATTACTCCTCGGGCCGGCATATTCACGCGAGCTGCTGGCGCACCTCCTCTGCAAAGTCAGGCTTCACAGCCTTCTCGACTCCCTCACCGCGCTCGAAGCGCACAAAAGATGTGATCTCAACCGGTGAGCCGACGCCCTTGGAAACCTTCTCAAGCACTTCGGAAATGGTTCCGCCGCCAAAGAGGAATTGCTGGGCTTCGAGCACCGATACTTCTGGCAAATCCTCCGAGTTCTCGGTGCCCGCAGCCTTGGCGCTCTCCCACTCAGCGACGGTCGTGTATCGCGGGGCGTAGCCAACAACCTGCTGGGCAAGGCGCCTAGCGAGCTGGCTCAGCGTAGCCCGGTGGTTGTCTTTGCTTAGGCTGTCGCTCTTGATAACCACGATTCCGCCAATCTTTCCGGCTGATGCACCGTTGGTGCCTGCAATCGCGCTGTGTACGTACCCACTGACAACAACATTGTCTTCAGATCCGACGGCAGCAGCCCTGCGCAGCACAATGTTCTCGCCCAGCCGGCCAATGGTCTCAGTGACTGTATCGGCGACGGTCCGGTCAGCCAGCATCTTCTTGCCCAGTTCGCTGATCTCGACATTTGCCAGTACGGCGCTGTTGGCAAAATCCACCCCGGACTGCGCAATAGCCGAGGCAAGATCAACAAAGGTCGAGTTGCGAGCGACAAAGTCTGTCTCGCACCCGAGCTCGATTATCGAAGCGGCGGTCAGCGCGTCGTTTACATGGATGGCGATTGCACCCTCGGTGGCCACGCGATCCTTGACCTTTTCGGCCTTTTTGGCGCCCGATTTCATGGCGTCGTCTTCAAGCCATTGCAGGGCCTGGTCAATGTTGTTGTCTGTACTCAAGAGCGCCTCTTTGGCCTTGGTCATCGATACAGGGTTGAGCTCGCGCAGCCGCTTGAGCGCCTTGATGTCCACTTTGGTCGCGTACCCGCGCAGGAAACTGCCGAGGCTGTTGCTCCTCAGCATCGAATTCGAGACGAACAACTTTGCGGCCGACATGTGTTTTATAAATTTAGAAATGTACAGCAATTCAAACGAAGAAGAATACGAGAAACAAAAAAGTTTAAATGATACTGTGGATCTTCAATAATGATGATGATAATCCGGGAGCGACTCTCCCCTGTTATCAGCTCGCTGAGTCGTGATCAAAACGCCATCTCAATCACAAGCAAGGCTCCTTTTTTGGTTTTCGTCGAGCACGTTGTTTATTTTTGCTTCTTTTTCGGCATTTTCATTTTTTTCGAATTGTGGAACATTTAAACTCACCCCCATGGCCTCCAAGAAGATTGTCGTGCTCATTTCCGGCAGCGGGTCCAATTTGCAAGCACTCATTGACGCCGAGCAAAAGGGCGAGCTCGGCTGCGGCAAGATCACGCTGGTAGTGAGCAACAAGAAGAACGCCTACGGACTAACGCGCGCGTCCAACGCATCGATCCCGACCTTTGTGCAGACGCTGAAGCAGTACAAGGACGCGGGGAAGACGCGCGAAGACTTTGACCATGACCTGGCTCAGCACATTGAGAGGACAGAGGCGCCTGACCTGATTGTACTGGCCGGTTGGATGCACATTCTGTCGCCAGCGTTCATCGACATGTTCAGGGGCCGGATCATCAACCTGCACCCTGCGCTGCCCGGCGAGCTAGACGGTGCGCATGCAATTGACAGGGCGTATGAGGAGTTTAAGGAGGGCAAGAGGTTGAGCACAGGCGTCATGGTCCACTATGTCATACCCGAGGTTGATAAGGGCAAGCCCATTATGACGCAAGTGATTCCGTGTGTCGAGGGCGATACGCTGGAAGACTTGGAAAACAGAATCCATGCTGCTGAGCACCAGATTCTGCCAAGGGCAGTCAAGCAGGTCCTTGCGGGCAGCGGCCAGACTCAGTGAGCGCTTACTTTCAACTTTATATATATATTGAATTAGAACCCTATAAAATCTAGCTTCTTTGGAGGCACACGCAGCGTGCTTCTATTCTGGCTCTTGCTCCTGGAACACACTGCCCAGCTCGAGGTCGTCAAAGTCATAGTTGGCCTTTGCCCGATTGTCGCGCTTCAGTGGGCGCGGGTTCTCACTGGGCGTGACCGACTTATAAGCAATGTAGCCCTGTTGATGCTTCGAATGGAACTTTCTTTCTGGCAGAGCTGCGTACTCACTCTGAATAAAGTCGTAAAAGTACTTGTAAAAGTACATCAGGGCATCGTACTCACCGTCGTACTCGCCATTCTTAAAGCTGTCGCGGTACAAAAAGTAGATGGCCTCGATGGTGGCCATGAAGCTGTCGTCGAGGTTCTGGTACCGCCAGAACCGTGTCCTGCGAGGCTTCACAGTAACCTTTTGCATGCGGCGCAGCTTGATGCTATTGTGCACCATGCCCTTGGCCTGCGACCAAGTCCCATCAATGACAATGACCCTGTCAAAGGTAGATGCATCCAGCTCGGAGATGTCCTGGGCATCCGGGCCTGGGAACAAGAGCGCCGTGCGGCTGGGATCCACGTCGTCCAGGCAAGTGTCCGAGTACGTGATTATTTCAATGTCTTCGGGCGCGATAATCTTGGCGTGCACTGCAGTTGACTTGCCGTCGAGCTCCCTGGCGTGCTTGATCACGTCCATTTTAAACGGCAGCCGGATCTGCGGTATCTTTCCCGCCAGCTGTGGCACTGGCCGGCAACAGAAGTAGCAAAAAAACTTTGTTTTCTTTCCGCACAGGTCGCAGGCCAGCCGCTCGCCGCAGGCGTCGAGCACGGGCTTTGGCTCTATCTTTAACGCTTCTATGTCGTAGGGCTGCGCACCAACCATGTTGAAATAAAATATGTGAATTGAACTATAGTGTTTAAAATGTAAATGATTTTTTGAGCGGATCAAGCGTCCGCCAGGGGCAAAGACGGGTCAGCTTGCCTGGCAGCGGACGGGTACTTTTTCAAATTTCATCTTTTTTTGCGCCAATCCACGTGATATAAATCGATTAAAAATGAAAAATAGAAATGGTTGTAATGCTTGCTCAAAAGTCAAACTTTTCGCGGAAGGCGCTCAAATCCTGGCTCTCGCAGGCCTCGGCAAGCTTGGGCTCGCCAAGCATGTACATCGACAGCTGCAGCGCGTTCCAGATTGTCGAGCTCATGCCTGCGGCCTGTGAGATAGATCCGCCTTTCTCGTCAAGGGACCTCATCTCGCGCTGCTGCAGGGACAGTGCTATGAGGCAGTTTTCAGCAGCCTCGCGGTGCTGCCCCATGTTGGTCGAAGCCAGCGAAAGATTGTAACGCGCGCGGATAAAGCTCGGGTTCAGCTCAAGCGCGCGGAAGTACGCGGTCGTGGCATCCTTGTTGCTGCCGACATGCGCCTGCGTCGCGCCCAAGCGGTTCCACAGGATGTAGTCGTCAGGGCGCTTTGATAGCGCGGCCTTGAAGCAGTCGGCGGCCTTGTCGTACTCGGTCGAGATGTTGAACAGCACGCCCAGAGCCACCTGCACATCAGGGTCCCAGTCCTGACCGGGCGACATGCGCGCCGCTTGGATGTAAATGTCCTGCACATAGTCCTTGCGCCCGTCGCTGCTGGTCATGCTATTGGATGCTGAAGCTGGCACCAGCGACTTGTAGCGTGGGTGGCGTGCCACCCATTCGTGCAGCTCATCGTATGCGTCCATCTGGTACCCCTCATTGGTATATGACACGGCCAACGCAAGGTGCGCGCCCAGCGAGTCAGGATCTAGCGAGATTGCCTTGCGCAGCGCCGCGATCGCTGCCTGCTCCTGTTCGTTCTCCTGCTGTTTAAGGCCCAGCTGCAGCCACATACCGGCGTCTTTCGGGTTCTTCATGACGGCGTTCTCGAGCGCCAGGATCTTGTCCCCCAGACTGGCTGACTCAGGACTCTGTTGCATATGCTGGATCGTCTCGCGCAGCGCCTCTGGTGACAGATCCGCATAGTAGTTGTCGTTTTGGAACCGGTAGATATTGAGCTCGGGATCAACCGCGCGATGCGTCGCCTCCATCGCGTTCATGGCCTCCCACTCCTTCTGTGTGTCGAGCCATTCGCGGTCCTGGTCGTTGAGCAGCGGCTGGATGTTGTTCTTGAATTGCTCCAGCCAGTCGCTGTCCACCCCGCCACGCAGAAAGTCGCTGCCCGACTTGTCAAGCCCAGCGTCGACGTCCTGCGGGTGTCCGCTGACTGACGATTCGTTCAGCGGCCCGTCTAGCGTCTGCTCAAATTCTTCGGCCCAGTTGCGCTCCAGTCCGCGTGCAAATTCCTCCGAGAAAATCTTGCCATCCTGCGGCGTTTGCTCGCTCGCTCGCGCCGCCGCTTCGCGGTTGACAAGCTCCTCCGCGCGGCGCTCAAACTCGGTGGCCCACGTCGGCCCGTTGCTCACAGCATCCTGTTGCAACGCGGCCTGTTTGCCCTTTTCATTCGCCACCACCTGGTTGCCACTGATGGTCGCCTGTCCGTCGGCCAGTTGATGCATAAATGAAAAGAAGTCGGATTGTTTAAATTTGGGGTTAGCACTTTGGCTCATAGAGTCCAATATTTGAGCTGCGGTCTTGGCGAGATTGTCATTGCTTGCTGTTTCACTTAGTTGCTCAGACACATTAGAAATCTTGGGCATTTGCTGCTGGGCAGTTCCACCTACCTGTTGTTGCTGCTGATAAGCCATCATCGGAGGCCCCTGCAGCATCATGCCGGGTCCCGACATCATCGAGTACATGCGTGCCTCGTTAAAAGCCATGGCCATCGGGTCGGGTCGCATGACGGCCGCGTTTGCCGGCGCCTGAACTACGCTCTGCGCCTGCACTGCCGGGCGGTGGAACTGCTCTGCCCAATTCGCCTGCTGTCCGGCCATCGGCCGCATGTGATGCATTGGACCCGCAGGATTCATTGGTGCCGGCCCAGCGCCAGGGCGAGCAAATACATGCTCGAGCTCAGCATTTCCGCTGCTGCTGCCGACACCTGCCGCTTGATGCCGAGCAAAATCCGCCGACCAGTCAGCCTGGGGCACGCTGGACTTGGTGTGCGCGCCGTTGATTTCACGGTGCATGTCGGCAAAGTTGAAAGCCCCAGGACCCTGTGCTCTGTTGGATTGTGCCATAAACTCATTTCCCATCGTCTGCGGCGACGCTACCGGCGCATTCTGCCGGAATGTCTGTCTAAACGCCTGCTTGGACGACGAGGGCTGTGTTTGCGGGCTGAACCGATCCTACAGTTTTCAAGTGCGCAGTAATTCAATAAACAGCTCGGGGGTATTAGTCTCGTGTGCAAAAAAGGATGTCTTTGAATACGTATTTCGCTCTGCCTCTACTTACCTGCTCCAGACTGTGGTCCTTATTAAATTGCTTCACAAGGCCGTTCATTCCGTTTCCGGGCCCGCAATCGGCGCCATTTCCAACGAGGTCGGAGAAACCAGACATTTTTACGTATTTTTAATGTTTTATTTTCAAATTTCAAAGTGTAAAAAGTTGAAAAGAGTTGCTGCATGCCTTGCAGCTGAAATGGGCAGCAAACATATTAAAAAGCAAGCATGGAGAGGAACACATCATGGCGTTGCAGGTGACAGCACGTGCAAAAGCCTTCATTTTTAAATGGGGCTGTGGCAGCGTAAAAAACACCCGTGCTCCGAGCCGATATTACGTCACGTGCAATCTTTTAATCAAGGTTGCAGGTATGGATCAGGGCTTAAAACACTTTCAATTTTTCTTTATTTTATCTCGATTCTTGGTGACACGGATCGGGCTTCGTAACTGAGTTGTAAGCTGATTTTGCAATTATTTTATTAAATCAAAATTATTTAAACAAAAAAGACTATCAATCAGGCCAAAAAGAATGTTCTCAAAATAAAGCTAGAACACAATAGTGTTGTTGTGGTGTTGGTCTCAGACATAGGTTTCCTCATCTCGGCAAAGTGTCACGTTCGCTTATGAAAGCCATACATGTTTATACCACAGAAGTCATCATAGCCACACACAACAACATTATTATATTCACGCTTAATAAAGAGGGGGTACAGGGCAATATTACATTATATACAAATCATCAAAAAAAACATTACTACACTAAAAAAATTGACTACCAGATAAAAAATACAAATGAGAAAGAAAAGAAAAAGTTTAAGGCTGAGCGGTCAGCAACGGCACCTTTTTAAATGCTACAGAGACGACGAAAGATAAAGAAAAATTGCAGCGATAAAATTTTTTTTTTGCAATTCACAAAATTTTTTGTTACTGATCTACTAATCGATCAGTTTACTCAGTGATCAGCTATAGCACGTCAATTACAATTAGTCATGTCAAAGTTTCTCAAGGCATTGCGCGGCATGGTCATTGACAGCGTTTTTTACAACTGGTAACTTCCCAAATGTGATATGTGAATTGAAAACAGCCTCAGATTGTGTGTTGTCTTTTCGTCTTGTGAATGGAATGATTTGTCAATTGATAAAAGGTCTTTTCGATTTGAAATCTTGTTGTCTGCGTGATTGTTTTTAAAAGTGAAAATCAAACATTGATCATCCCACTGTCTTATAAAATCTAAAACACTCATTTCCGCGCCTCCTCGGCTACTTGAGGATGGTGTGGCCTCGTCATGCGAGTAGCACAGACGCATTAATGGCTGAAGGTCCCCATCGCTGCGCATGCCAGTCAATCAAATCAGATGATCAGTCTGCAATGGTAATCGTTTCGGGCTGAAACTATATAATTCCCCTTTAAACATTTTTAATTAGCCCAGCCCAATTTTTTGTTAGGCCGTTGTGGTGGATGCAAACTTCCGCTTTTGTCCACAGGGCACAGTGCAAATCTTTGTCCAATTCTAGCATGAATCCTTTTTTCTTTTTGCCAATTTGCCAATTTGTTTGTGAGCGATTCAAAGTTTACAAAGGCACTACAGTCAAATGCAATTTGATCCTTGATATTTCAGCAAGTAAAGAGGTAGTATTTCATCATCATTTTGTCCTTTTTATTTTATTTTATTTTATTTCATGTTTTCATGTTATTTTTTATTTCCTGTTATGCTGCTATTCCGGACATATTCGTTCTGTTGTATCACATGAAACAGATTGGGCATTCAATTATCTTTCTTGATTTAACAACAAATTAGATAAAAAACATTATTGACAAATTTGGAGTGTAATAAGAAGGCAGCGTCCGTCCCAAAAAAATACATTTTCTGTTTTAGAATTGGGTATTTAATTTTCTCCAAGTTTTACTTTTTTTAACATAACTTTTTATTAGCTTAGGCTTTAAGCGCTCTAATTTTATTTTTTTATTTTTTTAATCATGGCGGCCGACAAGCCATTAACAGCACAGGATATATTTAATCTTCCGACAACAACAGAAACAGTTGTGTTTTACACATCACTGGGAGTCACTCTAGCATCGTTTTCCCCTCTTTTCTACGCTGTTTGGTTCCGAAACTTCCCGCCTATGAAGGCGCAACACGTGGGTATCACCATCACAATTGCTATTGGTGGAATTGTTTTTAATATTTCGAACAACATAGCACAGGGCATGGCTATGTACAATGGTGCACTTGGAGCATGCAGGTTTTGGGGTGCCTGGGTTTTATTTACATTTGGTCTGGCGGTGTTTTTGTCTGCCATTTACATGCGCCTAGTCCTGTTTTATCGCGTGTTTATCTCGGGCAGCACAAAAGCACGTACAGAAAACAAAACTGTTGGATTTTTCCGCAAATTCTGGCCTTTCTTTGCAATGTGGTCACCAGCTCTCATCACAAGCATTGTGATCACTTCGCTCAAGGGCCCACAGGGCATATGGCTTCTCGAGGATCATGGCCTGCGCGCGTGCGCATTCAGCGATGGGTATTTAATGTGGATTTATGTATACTTCCTCATCATGATTATCGCATCATGGGTGCTGTATTTCCGCATGCGCAAGATTGCCAATGCGTTCAACGGCTTTCGTATGGCCATCTGGACTATAGTTGTTTCGACAATTGTTTTGGTTGTCAGTATGGTGCTGAATCTCACTAAGGGCTCAAACTCTCCCTGGGGTCGGATTGCCATCGCCTTGACAAACATGGCCATGCTTAACGGCTACATTTGGATGATTTTAGGGCCTCCAGTTATCGGACACATGTTTTGGCGCGAGCGAACAATGCGCAGTTTTATGAACACGCTTCACAAGGATAGCTTGGTTGCCCAGCAAACTCGCAGCGTGGAGATGGAGGCATTTGCCCACGACAAGTTGGAAAACAACCACCAACCGAATTCAATATATGACCAGGGTAACTTGTTCGCTGATGATATAAATCAGCATGAAATGAAGATGGAGGGGTCCCAGTTTGAATTCCAAGATCCATTGCCCGTATTTATAACGGACACACAGCGAATGCTTTAATTGGTTTGCATAATGTATACCACTTTTGTTGTTTTTATTTCACAACTACACTTAAATAAAAATACCGCCATGGAAAACATTTCTAATTATATTAATAAAATATTTAATGGTGTAGTATTCTTGTTCAATAATTCATTGCTCCGTATTTGCGTTTAATGATTGCGTGAAAGCGTTGCAAAAATAGTTCGGGTATCTGTCTGAAATGGGCGAGTATTCCTGAACTCTAAGAAAATGCAATGAATGCATTTATATAACTCGACCCATGATTAAGGATTTTCAGCAATGCATATCACAGTTTAGGCACATGGCTTTGCATGTTGTCTTAATGGGGTTAATTGATTATGCGTGTGGCAATTAAAAAATGATGATACATTTTTATTATAGTTTATTTATGTGCCAAGAAAAGCATATAAGGAATAGCTGTCGGGCAGCTAGGAATTGTTCTCGGAAAAAATAAATAACATGTTTTTAATTATACTTTTGTAACATGCATCTGCCAATTGAAATACAGAATCAAACAAACGAAGGTGGAAATCGGCTCGATCAGACGGTGATCGAAAAAGGTAAAAAGGAAAGCAATTGCTTCATGCACAAGAAAATACATCCTGCAACTCATGGTCTTTTTGACAATCTGACGGAATAGATTTCTACTCACAGGTGCATTTATAAAGGGCCAAATAGATTTCACACTGCTTTGCACTGATTGCATACTTTTTTGATTGATTAAAACTTGCAAGATTCTGACTTTACCCAAATGACCTCGACATTGTGTCTTCGAAACACAAAGATGAAACCCCCCTGCTATTTGAAAACTAACAACTTTATTTCCGATTATCTAAAGTGAATCCAGCCTACTTTTGCAATATATATTATCGTTGCACATTGAACAAAAACAGCGTGTTTGCGTAGTATGCTTCCTTTGTATTTGGTTCTAAAAATAAAATGTAGTTGAAATATATTTGCCATTCCATTGTATACATTACCATATCACAAAAAAGCAAGACAGCTTCTTGTGTCAACATTGCCCTTCTTGAACTTTATTCTTCTTTTCCACAACATATTTTTATTAACCTTTAGAACTTTTTTGTACATTTTTTTGGTCCTTAATTTCTTTTTAGCTTAAAATTTTTACTGACAATATTCTTTAATACTTGCATTACAAAATGGGGAGCCACGTGCCTTTGACAGCGCAGGACATGTTTAAACTTCCAACGACGGCAGAAACAGTTGTGTTTTATACATCCCTGGGGATCACTCTAACATCGCTATTCCCCCTTGGCTATGCCATTTGTCTCAGAAGCTTTCCGCCTATAAAAGCACAGCATGTGGGTATCACAGTTACAATCGGTATCGGCGGGATCATTTCTAACATTACTTATAATATTGCACAAGGAATGGCTATGTACAATGGTGCACTTGGAGCATGCAGGTTTTGGGGTGCCTGGGCTGTATTTACATTTGGTCTGGCGGTGTTTTTGTCTGCCATTTACATGCGCCTAGTCCTGTTTTATCGCGTGTTTATCTCGGGCAGCACAAAAGCACGTACAGAAAACAAAACTGTTGGATTTTTCCGCAAATTCTGGCCTTTCTTTGCAATGTGGTCACCAGCTCTCATCACAAGCATTGTGATCACTTCGCTCAAGGGCCCACAGGGCATATGGCTTCTCGAGGATCATGGCCTGCGCGCGTGCGCATTCAGCGATGGGTATTTAATGTGGATTTATGTATACTTCCTCATCATGATTATCGCATCATGGGTGCTGTATTTCCGCATGCGCAAGATTGCCAATGCGTTCAACGGCTTTCGTATGGCCATCTGGACTATAGTTGTTTCGACAATTGTTTTGGTTGTCAGTATGGTGCTGAATCTCACTAAGGGCTCAAACTCTCCCTGGGGTCGGATTGCCATCGCCTTGACAAACATGGCCATGCTTAACGGCTACATTTGGATGATTTTAGGGCCTCCAGTTATCGGACACATGTTTTGGCGCGAGCGAACAATGCGCAATTTTATGAACACGCTTCACAAGGACAGTTTCATTGCTCAGCAAAAATGCAGTATAGAGATGAGTGCGCATGCTCGCGGACAGTTGGAACACGATATGCGCGAAATTTCCATATTTGGTCACAGCGAGTCATTTAATGGCAGTGTTAGCCAAAAAGAAGCAATGATCGCTACCCAGCTTAATTACCAAAATCTAACGCCCGTGTTCACGAATGATTTGCGACAAATGCTTTAGTATTAATAATATTATTAAATACACTTAAATTTGACGACATCTAGTATATTTACTGTTGCTATTGACGGTGCAAAATGCCATTTAAATAACATACACAATCTGAATTTCCTCTTAGAAAACAAAATTATAAATTGGCCAAGCAATTATAAACTGATGAAAAGTTGAAGTCAAAATAGAAAAGTTTCACCTTGAGTGGAAACGCCTAGAAAGTTGATTTCCGATTGACTACGAGGGAAAACGTCAATTTTTTGAGTTTCGCTTGTAGGCAACATGAAGCTACCCCCACAAAGAAAATTGCAACAAACTCCAGTATCCATTTTTTAGTTGCCCTCAAACCACACATCTGCATGACAAAGATTATACATGTTTGAGATGCATCCATTTTTATTTGTTGTCAGATTTAAAAAGAAATTGACGAATTCCAACAGATCCACGCCACTTATTATCTTACGGATCACAAAAAAAACAATGAAAAGGCGACTGCCATGGTCAGAGCTAATTCGGTTCTAGAAAACTGATTAGCTCATTACCTTGCATTATTTATTATTTATTGTGAGCATAATTACAGCTTCTCTCCTACTTTTTTCTCTAGTATTTTTGCTTGTTTAACGTTTGCCTATTATTTTATTTCAGCTCGCATATATCTCCCCTATCAACCTTGGTCCTCAAATATGATAGCATCAACAATGGCGGGCGACAAACTACTGACGGCGCAGGATGTATTTGAGCTTCCAACATCAGCAGAGACCGTCGTGTTTTACGTTTCGTTGGGCGTGGCTTTAACATCGCTATTCCCCCTTGGCTATGCAGTTTGGTTCCGAAGCTTCCCGCCTATAAAAGCACAGCATGTGGGTATCACGGTTACAATTGGCATTGGCGGAATCATTTTTATTATTTCGTACAACCTGATGGAAGGCATGGCCATGTACAACGGTGCCCTCGGATACTGCACACTTTGGGGTGCCTGGGCGGTGTTTACATTTGGCCTAGCCATCTTTATCTCTGCCATCTTTATGCGCTTGGTGTTATTATACCGTGTGTTTATCTCTGGCACTATAATCGCACACACAAATAGCCAGGTTTATGACTTTTCCCGCAAATTCTGGCCGTTCTTTGCGATGTGGTTGCCATCGCTTGTATCCAGCATTGTTGTTTCGTCAATCAAGGGCCCACGGGGTGCATGGCTTCTCGAGGATCATGGCTTGCGTGCGTGCACATTCAGCGATGGGTATTTAATGTGGATCTATGTATATTTCATTGTTATGATTCTAATTTCTTGGGTGCTGTACTTCCGTACGCGCAAGGTTGCCCAGGCGTTCAACAGCTTCCACATGGCAATTTGGACTCTAATTGTTTTTACAGTCATTCTCATTGTCAGCATGGTCATCAACCTCATTAAGGGTTCAAACTCTCCCTGGGGTCGGATTACCATCGCCTTGACAAACATGGTCATGATCAATGGCTACATCTGGCTGATTTTCGGCTCGCCAGTTATTGGCCACTTGTTCTGGCGTGAGCAAACAATGCGCAATTTTATGAACACACTTCACAAGGACAGCTTGGTAGCTCAGCAGGCATACAACACGGAAACTCGGACAAACGTCAACAACAAGTCTGGAAAAGTAATTCAGCCAGACTCTATTTACTGCCCCAGCGTGGCATACAGCGAGGATATGCGCCAGCAAGACGGAACAACAAACACGTCCCAGTTTGAATACCAAAACCTCGCGGCTTCTTATTCGGCAGCTGCAAGGCACATGCTTTAATTTCTCCATTGTTTTTATAGAAAAATTTACATTTTGCGCGTCATTAAAACTCGATAAAAGTGGAATACATTGTTTTGTATCACCGCGGACGGAACATCAGAAGAGCATCTTCCTCGTCGTCAGAGTCAAAGAGCTCGTTCCTGAAGCTGTGTTCGGCAGAGTCAACGCGTATAACGCTTCTTTGACGACCACGAATGGCATTGACCAGGTGCATGACGCCGTCAGTGACTGCGTATGCCGAGTTCTTGGCAAATACGAAAATCCCACGCCAGAACTTGTAGTTTGGCAGCTGCTCAAGCCCACGCAGTCCACTGGACGAATTCAGTACACGGTTGTACAGCACGCCGCCGAGAATGTACACGCTGCCGACAACAAACACGATAACAAATATCACCGAGCGTTGACTGGGCTCGGATGAGGACTCCTCGTTGCCGTGGGCTTGGTCGGCAAAAGGTTGGCGCTGCGGGCAGGCAAGCGACGTGCGCCACTCAAATACAAAGGCGCAGTGGCTCCCCTCGGACACAAGTTCCGGTCCGCCGTAATTGCCTGTGTCCATAAACGCATCGCAAACAAACAAGATCAGCGCCGATTGATTGAGCTGCGGGTGTCCCGGACAAACGTCACCGCCCTTGTACTCATAAATAAGCCTGCTGTTCTCTCGCAGCCGCAGCTTGCTGCTGTCGACTTTCCCTAGCGAGCCACTCTGGTCGCCGCGCTGCCAGCGTGCCGAATTCAGCAATTCGTTGCTATTGTGCTTGGGCAATGCGCTGCAAATTCCGAGATTGAATTTGTACCCTGTTTCAAAGTCATTGACCTCGTAGCCGCCACTGTGGGGGTAGGCCCTGAGTGCGCGCAGATCGTAGACCGTGGTCCCCGAGCGGTCAATGACTATGCAGTCGTCCCTGGCGTCGCTTTGGGCGTGCACCTGGTTGGAAAAAGCAAGTGTCAGGAATAATATTAACAGATGGGCTGCGGCCCCGTCACAAATTTGTAGTAGCCGGCGCATTTTGTATTAAAGCAATGAGAATGAAGAAATAAAAAAGGAAGGATAAATAAAAAATAAAAAGAATAAAAAAGCCCATATCAATTCCTCTCTCTCACCCTTAGTGTTTGGCAGAACTCGCATTGCTGCATGCTCATGTTTTCCCCTTTCATACAACAAAATTAAATACGAAAGCAAAAAGCTGTTTTTTCTATTACTGCGACAGCTGCAGCAGAGTACCCAACATGGTAATGAGGATGGCAACGCCTATTGCTGAGGTTATCGAAATGGTGCGCTCGCTCCGACCAATATTCCACGTGTGATCATCCTCCTTGACGACGATGCGGCGGCCAGACCCGGGGATCCAGCCGTTGCCAAAGGTAAAGTCAGACACAGGAACGTCGTGCAGGGCGCTCATTGTTAGTGCAATAATATGTGGAAGGTAATGGTTGGTGGATATAGCGTAACGAATTAATAAAGTGTTTTGATTGCGCGCGCGAATATACACGTGCCGACAAGATCCCGACGGCTAATCAGCTGAGCTTCATGGGCTTGGTTCACGTGAGGCTGAGTAGCAAAATGTGCTTGTATTTAATAGTGATAATTTGAAAATGGTGGATTTTTATAAATAATTGTAAAAATACTGCTTAGTCTTACTGGCCGCCTTCTCCAGGGTAGATGATCGACAGCGGCTCTCTGTCAAAAAGTAGCGGCTGGGGGTCTTCGAGGTAGTATCCCTGGTAGCTCGGCTGGCTGTAGGCCGTATTATAATCTGGGAATGCAGGCAGTGGAGGAGGGAGAATTGTCGGCGGTGATGGCGGCGGCGGCAAAAATTCCTTGTAGTTGTTATAGTAGGGGTAGTTTGTGGGCACAGAAAGAGGAGGAGGAGGACGGAGGACCAGCTCTGGAAGCGGAGTCGGGTTACTGTCGTCACCAATGTCATTTGTCGGGCCAAACTGGGTCTTAGGCGAGTACTGATCAGGCTCCGGGCGCTGTGCGGGCAGCTCAAAACCAACTGCCGGATTCGAAAACCCCGAGTCTGGAGCCACCTGCGGCCCAGCACTTCCTCCTGCTTCTCCAGTCTCCTGTAGAATGCTTTCTGACTGGCCAAAGCCTTCCTTGGAAAATTTAATATTGTTGGTGGGCCTGGGCTGGTGACGAATAACAATCTTGAAGCCGCGCATCGACACATCATTGTTATTCAAGGCCTGCTGCACCTTGTCCTTAGCAGCAGGCTTAACCTGCTGCTGCTGCTGAAATTGCTTCAGAAATTGCTCCAATTGTTGTTGTTGCTGCTGCTGTTTTTGCTGCAATGTTTGTTGTTGCTGGAACTGCTGCACGATTTGTTGAAACTGTTGGTGCTGTTGCTGTATCGGATTTACAGCAACCCAGTTATTCGGCTCGCCTATCGGTATGGCTGATGCATGGGCTTGGCGCACGGAAATGCCTAATGCCAGGATACCCAAAATAATGACATCAAACATGCGAGGCATATTCTAGTTTGTCAAGTTGAAGAGATGCGGTAAGGAAAATATGAGTGTAGATATGTATGAAAAATGAATGCAATTGCTGGGTTGTTGGAAAGCAACAAATTGAGTTAGGATGAGCGCATGCTCAGCTCTATAAGCCTCGCAAAAAATATTATATTCCTTTTCTCTCACATATTTTGCTCTCAAATATGACATTGGGGGTTGGTGATGAGCACACCAATTCGAATAATTGAATAAAATATGATTGTACCAGGCGTGTGGTTACGATCAAGATATATTTTTTTCGTACGGAGAACGCCCATTTCAAACACGCTTTTATCTTCAAAACACAATGTGCGGGGGAGTTGAGCAAAATTTGATGTGGAGTAAAAAAAAATTATACATCGGTCAAAAGTAAACAAAAAATAAAAGATGGAGAACTGATTTATAGATGGAATATTCGACTAAGCAAAAAAATAAAGTTTGCACTGTTAACCCTGTTTTGCAAATCTGAAACTCTGCACGATGACTTTATACATTTTTGTATTTGTTTTTTCTTGTGGGATACAAGAAAAAACAAAGTCATCAGTTTAGGTGGATGCGTCTGTGTTCAATATCATTAGAAGACCGCGCACTTTCTTTATTTCCAGCGGGAGCATCGTGGCCGTAATGGTGTTCAAACTCGTCGTCAAACTGCTCGTCGACTGCATCAAACAAGATATGCGCGTCGTCCCTGTCTTGCCTGCCGGTGTCTCTCATCTCAAACTCCTGTTGATCAACTGTCTGGTAAATCATGCCGTCATCGGCCGTTGGCAGTGCCACATCCTTGTCATTGTGGCCCCCGAGCTCTGCGAACAGCTGCATGAGGAAGTACGCATAGAAGAAAAGAAGGAAGGTAATCGACAGGTAACCAAGCGAAAACGTGCCAATGTCGATGCCCATGTCCGACATGGCGGCAACATTTTCGCGGTTGGCCGACATGAATGTCATGCCCGAGTGGCAGAGGAAAAACACGGGTATGTACTGGAACGGGTTGGGCTCCTTGGTGTTGGTGCGGATGAGACCCGTGGTGATGAGCATGATTTCGATGCAGCGCGTAAGGCCGGCAAGCACGAGTGAAAGCCCAAAGACAAAGTGCACCTTTGTCGAAAACTCTGTGTTCTGCTCGTGGCTGCCCATTGCGCAGCCTGTAAATATGAGGATGATGGACGGGAACATGCTACGCTGGTCTGGGCCGGCCTTGCGCAGCATGTACGTAGACAGGAGGCCGCCGCAGAACCAGATGACCCCAAGGCTGGTGTGTTGCAGGTCCTTGTGCGACCAGCCTTTGGCCTTCTCCAGAAACCCGTGCTCTGTGAATGTATTAAAGAGACCCCACACCATGATCATAACGCTGTCGTACAGCTCGGGCGACCGCCCCAAGCGGTTTAGCCACGGCGTGGCTAGCCGCACAAGCAGCAGCAACCAGACGCCGTAGGCCAAGAACGAGCTGCCCATGATCAAGTGCGCCAGACATTGGCCTAGGAGCCCATCATAGCAATATCCAAGCCAAGCAACCACACCTAGCAGAATCTGCACATACGTGGCCACAACCATGGTGATGGCCATGTACTTGTGCGCTACGCAAATAAAGGGCCGCGCAAGATCGTTAAAGCGCTTCTCGGTGTGCATCTTGAGGTACACACCAGCCGCCAGCTGCGCTGCCAGGAGCCAAAGAATGAACCAGCTAAACTTGCTGTGCGCGTTTTCCTTGAAGGCGCGCCCGCTGTGCGCATGACCCAGAATGAAGCCAACGATGGCCATGACGCCGCCGGTCGCCTGAACAGGAACGTGCCATTTGTTTTTTCTCAGCCCCAGAACCATGCCAATGGGGAATAGCACGCCGAAGGACGCAGACATAAGCAGGATGTGCGCGCGCAGGACACCACCGATGGGCTCGCCCGAATCAAAGTTCATGTTGGCGCCGTGATGGTTGTGCGCCGCCGCTGGAGTGGCGAAAAGCGCCGTGATCGATGCCAGCAGTAGCAAAGAAATGAGTGGGGCCGAGTCCAGCTGCAAATACGGATACCAATGCCGATTCATACGTGTGTTATTGTTGTAAATAATGCCAAGCACAATACAAAGTACAAAAAAATTGTAAAGCAGTTGAGGTAAAATAAAAAGTAATACGAGTTACATGTGTGTTTATCTTTTCTTGAGATAAAAAAGTGGAGAAAGCCCCACACGGCGAATGTCCACAGTGATATGTTTTTTTCCACGCGACCCAAATCAATTATGCTCTGCAGAATTGAGCGAATATTTTTTGCGCATGCTGCATGCAATTTTTTTTTTACAATTTTTGGATAATTTTCACACAATGACGAGTGGAAAGGTTATAGCGGGTAGGAAGCCATTTAAATGCTCAACATCATTTAAATTCACAAGAGTTTATGTTCATCAAAGTAAGCCGATGGTTGCGATAAATAAACTAGTTTAGAGAAATTAATTGCGCCCACTCTTCTTGCTCAGATCATAATTATTGCTAGAAGTTGAAAGCAGCTCTGTGCTCGCATCACATATATTCATAGAGCTGGCCAACACAATATCACCGGTGAAAGGTGAAGCAGTGAACTGTTGACCAACAGACTGGATTATGAGCTGTGACGCTGGGGTTTTGAACATTGCAGAACTAGATAGCGTGGGGATGGCTGAAGCTGCGAGCGAATGCCAGTGATCGTCATGCGATTAATTGTCTCCAGAATATTTCCATAGGTGATCTCGTGGACATCCTCTTTACTATCTGAAATATCAGGGCTGATGAAAATACTATCCTTACAGAATATAGGCCTGTAAAGCGGCTTTGAAGAGGAAATACATACATTGAGCGAGATATAAAAAGTAAAAAGACAAAAACTAGAGCTGATTATTAAGACTGATCGTCTACCACACTGCCTTACCCAAGATGAACTCTATTTCAGAGCCTGGCTACATGCCCCTATAACAAAAATTATTCTAGGGGCAGTGGGGCCGGGAATCCCCCAGACCTGGGTCTAAGTTCCTGGCTGTGGAAGTGTCTGCCGAGGTGTTAATAAAGCTAAATCCGAGCACTCAATCTGCAAGCTAGAACGTCAATCGCGTCCAGATAGCTTCTGTGCATGTCTGTCATCCCCATTGCTGTTTGTCTGTGGCCACTTTGACAAGCCGTCATCTTCGTTTTGTCGTGGATTTGGTAGTTGAGGTGTTTGTTGAGATTGGAGTTCTCATCAACAATCGGCGTTTCCCAGGCGTCAAGGGTCCCTTCATTTCCCATTCGATCTGTAGGTCGAACCATTCCTTGAACCAGTCAGGCTGTTTGTATATGATCTTGTTTACAAACATTGTTGCTTGTTCTTGCACCCTCCCCTTGGAGTTTCTTGACCAGCGCTGTGTGCCTGTCCTCGGTCAGTTCCTGCCAGTCACGCCTCATATCCAGGTTCCAGCTTCTCTATCCTGGTAGTGAACGTTCACACATTTCTTGAATTTCCTCAATATGTCATCTATTGGTTCCAGATACACCTGGAGGCTGTTGATCGTCTCATTCACAAGAGCTGCAGCTGGGTCTTAAATATTCCAGTGGAAGCTCTCTCGTGTTCAGAGTTTTATGCTCTCGTCGTGGACACATGAAACATGTGGCTCAGTGTCTCAATTGGTCTGGCAGCTAGGCGATGGAGTATGGGCGCATCTCTGGTTCAGTGTATGCGTTGGAGAATCATATATTTTTTTACAAACAGTGAATGGCAGGGCCACTATACTCCCAAAAGAAGCAATAAAAGCTGAATCAATTTACGAGGAAGAACGCAATGCCGATTGGAAATTAATCCGTAAATATAATTATTTTTTGTTTTCCATATTTCAGCCAACCAAATGCGAGCACTAAAATAAGCTCGAAAACTTTGATTGGGCAAAAAAATTGAATAAATTTTTTTATTATAAACAATATCACAACAAATTTTCACTTTTGCAACTTTCCACCTTTACTTCTACTTTTAACATTTGCTTTTTTTCTTCTCAATTCGCACCAGCTCGTTCGATTTGTTCTTTTCTTTACTTTTTATTACTCTTACCATACCTCAGTGCTTATCACACACACACACCCTCAATAATGTCTGAGCTAACTTCTCCGAATAAGACACCGCCGAATCCAACAGGCGTAAGTTCTTGAATATAAACGAATTATTATGATATTGATGAATTGTTCGTTGTGGATATAAAACTAATTCAGTCACTAATTTAAATTGTTTTTTGTTTTTTATTAGAACAGCAAGACAGGCGGCACTATCCAAACGCCCCAGAAAGTTCAAAAAAGGGAGGAACTTCCACCTGGGGAACTGGAGCCCCCTGAAGTACGCGATAAGCGCCGTCAGCGGCTGCTGAAATGCCTCGGCGATAACATATGGCACAACTATCCGTTCGATGATTTTGTCGAATCGCTGGGTGTGAAGCAGCGATATGAACAGTTCATCCTGGATTGGCCTGATCTCTTCCTCGACATAGCCAGGGGGTCACCAGTGGTTAGGTCCAAAAAGGTCATCGGGATTACGAAGGCCAAAGGCGAACATGTCGATATTTTCCGCGATAGCGAAGATATGTTAAAGGGCTTGAAATCCGAAGCTCTTTTGGTCGGTTATCTAAAAGAGCTTATTTTTGGAATGAAGGCTGCGGTTGGCGTTGCAAATGGACGTATTCTGGCTGGCAGAACTCCAATCCCAGACTGGAGGCTTATTACGGCAGACCATCAGAGCGAGGTCATACGAGGCACTCCGCACAAGCCAGACATTGCGTTTTACCACAAATACAAGACACAGGACATCGATGCCGTCCATGCTATACTTGAGGCCAAGATAGATGTCCGTCCCGACGAAGCACCAGAGGATACTCGCGGCCAGCTCGCAGATTACGGCCATGTGCTCAATGATAAGCAGGCAACCCGCACATTTGCGCCTGTCTTTTACCTCCATGGGCACATACTGACCCTTCACGCATATTATCGCGACAAACTGTATATCGTCGAGCTTGGCCAGCTATGCTTTAATACGGATAGTTGGACACCTGAAATAGCTGAGCTAATTCAGGAATGCCTCATGCAGTTCTGGTTCCTGTTGACTCTTGAGTCGAAAATTTTTGGGCATTTCTGTGATGTCTCTAAGAATTCTAACTCTTTCATTTTTTTGCAGGAGGCCAATGTGGAGAGCAGGGGCGATTCAAAGATCGAAGTCTTATACTCGGTTTCCAAGCATGTCAAGGATGTCAAGGATGGCGAGGGTGTTGCTTCATTTCGATTCGAAAAGACAATAGCACGTTATTCATACATGGTTGGGCGCCATGTCCATTTATTCAGGGGAAAATTCAATAGACTGCATGATGCTGTGCTGAAGCTTTCTTGGACCCCAGTCAATCGTTTGCCCGAGGGCGCTGTATATGCCATCCTCAACAAGAGACCAGTTGAATGTATTCCCAAGATCTTTTCGAGTGGCCTGCTCATTGACAACCTTAATGGATACCGGCTGGAGTTTGTGCTCATGGAGTACTGCGGCCAGTCAATAGCCGAGTATCTGAAAGACAAGGCCGACGATCAGAAAGCCAGGCTGGTTCCTGGCTTTGTCGAGCAGCTGACCCTATGTCTTGCCCAGGCAAATGACACTGGTGTCCTGCACAGGGACATCTCGGCAGGGAATGTGTGCGTCAAAAACAGCAAGGTGTATGTCATTGACTGGGGCTGTGCCAAGGTCATTGGCTGGGGAACTACTAAGGATGCTGCTAGGGACACTGGTGAGGACACTGGTGAGGACATTAATGAGGACACTGATGAGGATGCTGTTGAGGATGTTGGGGATGCTGCTGAGAACACTGACCCAAATCAACTCAAACACATTGATGTTGCCGAGCAGTGGGGGTTCAATGCAACAACAGTGGGGCAAGTGGAAGTGGCCAAGGACCCATTTACAGGGACGCCGCTTTTCATGGGAATTCCCATGCTCAGCAGCAGCCCCATCCGGGGAATCCTTGATGACCTGGAGAGTGTTCTCTATGTCATTATGGACGCAGTGCGCCCAGCTGGTACTAAGAGGGATGACGTTCAGGGGTTCAAATTTCTGGACAGCCAAAGCCTGGCTTTGAGTCGGTACAGCATCATGATGGTTGAGGAAAAGTATCTGGAGTTGTTTGGGATAGGAAATCCAAGCAGGATATTCAGGGATCTATTCCACTCAATGCGCCGGTTCTTATTTGAACCGGGAAATCAGTACATTAGCCACCAGCTCTGGTGGGACAGTACATTTAAACGACAGGCTAACTGGGATGCTGCTCCTGAGTTTATGCATCCCAAGGCGATTGAGCTCCTCAAAGAGGATAGTGGCCAGCTTAAGCGACCAGCTGAGGACGAGATCAATGCTGGGTCATTCAAGAAGCTAGCACTTTAGGTTTTTTGTTTTTAATAAATCTTTTTACGACCCAATAAATTAACAGATGAAACATTTTCTTTTAATTCAATTTCCTTCGCGTTTAATAAAATTTTAAACTCTTGTCTGTCCTTCTTATTTACAGATTCACCGATCCACCGATCACTTTAACTGTAAACAAATACTTTTAAACTCGCACATTGACCAATTTTACTGAAGGTTGATTGCATCCATAATTTTCGATTTCTGCTATTTTGCCAAATGATTTCAATTTAGCGTTATTATTTATTATTTCTTAATTTACTTTATCATTTTTCCTTTCCTTTCCTTTCCAATTCACATTTCACAATTAACAAATTACTGTTCTTTTTACACCATTTCAATAATCTTTTGCTAGCATAGATGATAGCTGGTACCACCTCGCAATTGGCGTCGGAGCAGCACTCGGGACATACCGGGTACTTTCGCATCTTTTGGACCAATCACAGTATGAGTTAGATTTCTGCTGCACATAGCCAAAGACAGCAACAGCGATATGCCTGATATATGGGGGCCAATACTTCCAAAAGTGAATGCAGACAATGAGGAGGTAGTGTTGGACATTCAGACGTCCGAAATGGTTAATTCCTTGGCACAAATTGGTGCTGAATTCGCACAACTTTAAGCTGCAGGATATTGCGTCTGAGCTGGTGCTCAGTATGGCCATGCGGCGGAAGATGCTGCAGCTGATAGTCGCGCAGGATCAGGGCAATTCAGCAGCAGAGGGGAGACTGGTTGAGGATAGTTGTGTTGCTGCAGGTGCTGGTGATGACTCCGCAGTGGGACAGCAGGGTAGTTTGGGCTGACGGCACATGCAGCAGGCTGCTGGCGGCAGGCTGCTTGAGGTGCTCAGCGAGGCACTTATGCAATCAGCCAACATCTTGGCTCAAGGCAGCAGCAAGCAGAGGCAGCAGTCAGACACCATGCTTGTGTTGGTTGGTATGTGCAGCCATGGCAAAGCAGTTTGCGCTGCGCACTGAGTACCACCAGTGGATGATCGACCTGGCATTTCTGCCTGCATTGCTCGGTGTCGCACGCCAGTCAATGGCTGAAGCTCAAGCTTTTGCGCATGCTGATGGAGAGCCTCATGCGGCTATACACTTTTTCCATAGCGTATCGGCCGCCAGCAGCAGAAGAAAACGCAACGGAGGTGGCGAATCCGCAGATGGTGCAGCTGCTGGAGCTGGGTGCCGTCGATGTCATCACTGCGTGTGTCCGCCAGAATGACCAGGGTATGTCCCCATGGGGCATTGGGTTTCTGCATGATTTCGTGTCGCGAAGTGTCGGCAAGACACAGCTGACAGGAAGTCCAGGGTTGGTGCGCTGGCTGTGTCGCAGGCTGGCGACAGGCAAGTATGCATACACTGACCAGCTGATTCTGCACTCACTCTAGTGCCTGTGTACGACGCGGGAGACGGCTGCGGCGCCGGCTGCACTGGTGGAGGTCGCACAGCCAGAGAACTTGTGGCACGTGTTGGCCATGTTTGTCTCTGACAACGGCGCTGAGGCGCACTGCTAGAGTGTGTTGCTGATGAGCTGCGTGTCGGTGCTGGCATCGACGCACCAGTTAGTTATTCGCAGTCCGCTGCCCCAGACCGTGGCCGAGACGCTGATGCCAGACTCCCTCCCACCTAATGCTGATTCCTGAGATGGCCGGCATAATTTCGCGCCTGTGTCATTCGATCGACGTGGCGCCAATGATGACTGAGTGTCCAACGATCGCAACCATGCGTGTCAGGCTGATTACGGCTAACACCAAGTCGGTGCATATGTCTCGGCCATCATGGCTGATGACGCAATTAAAACGCGGCTGGTCGAAATAGCCTTGGGCAACGGCAGCAGCAGCGGCCCAACGCAGAGTTACGCGGCAAAAGGCCTGGTTGCGCTGATGTACACCGGGTAGGTGGACGCCAATGATGTTGTGTACAATGTGCTGATCCCACTTCTGCGGCAGATGGAGAGCATGTATTCGAATAGTTTGGAGCTGGCATTCTATTCCATCGGCGACAGCGACGAAGCGTTGAGTGAGGTTGCCACAATGGGCACCAGGTTGGGCCAGTGGATTAATACCACCGCCTTGGTGTTGTTCTCTGTAATACAGGTTGTGGTTGCGCAGCAGGGTATGTGGACGGATGACAGTGTGCTTATGTTTGACGTACTTGGGCACTTCTAGATGGGGTTGCTTGGCCAGCTGGTTGCTTATTTCCAGTACATGTGTGGACTGGGCGTGAATCTCATGAAGAGCCTAGGCATTTGGAGCAGTGCTGTGAATATGGGCGTTGATGCTGTGGTTGTGTTGTATTACGTGGTTATTGGTGAGGGGGACGACGCGCACTGTCGCGCATGCAGAAAACTTGCGCAGCTGTTACAGGAGCACAATATTCGCATGGAGGACATCAGCAGTGAGCACCTGTGGTTCAGCGCAGTGAGGAAAGGTCTGAGACTGGGAGCGCTGTATGGAGATGACTCAAGGGCAGCCGGCATCGGTGGGGTTTCCCCTTGGGGCTGCGCAATATGCGGTTGCGCAGTCTGCTGCCAATGATCCAGATGATGCTGGGCGTGCTGGTATACTCACTGCTGGTGGCTGGGCTCGAGATGCAGTCGCTAGAGATTACCCGCCACCTGCTCTATCTACTGCGCATTCTCAGCCACGAGCTGCTGCCAGTTCTATGTAGGGTGGTGATGCGTGTCTTGGCCATTATCAATGCGTACACTCTGTGCCATAGCAACACGTTCGGCTTGCTGTGCATGTGCGCAAAGTACCTACACTGGGAGCCAATGTCGGCTGCTGACCTGACGGGTGAAGTGGAGGAGCAATAGAAGTACCTTATGGATAAGCTGGGAGTGAGACAGCAGCGGTTTCTGGAGGGACTGGGGCGTGCTTTCCTGACTGCAGAGTGCCTGCGGCCAGATATTTCAATAAGTTCCCGGAGGCCATGCCGCCGGCTGTTGCGCGGTTTGGCAAGTTTTTTACGCAGTTCGCGATTGATCGGTTTGCTGCTGACTAGCGGACAGGCGCCGAGATGCTTGTCTTGGCTGGTAATGATAAGGGCGTCGCCGGTTTTGGCGATGTTTGGCAGGTTGTAAACCACTCGGGACCGCACGGTACTGCCATTGACTGCAAGTTTACGGAGGTGCTGAAGCCGGTGCCTGCTGTGGATATCTTGTTTTATTATCTCAGGATCAAGCCATTGATTGAGCCAACACGCCCACTGTGATGCCATATCCATCACTAGAGACATTATTTGAAATATTGAAACGCTTGCCAAGGACTGTGTATATTGAAAATAAGCATGTGCAAAATGTGAACTAAGACCGTCCGACTAAATTTTTGTTGAAAACCCATTGTAAATTTTTCCAAAACATTGTAAAAGATACGACTAAACTGGCAGAGGTACTTAGGAATGCCAAACCCAAAATTTCATGTCTTTTAAAAATAGAAACCACCATGCATCTATTAAAATAGTATTTTAACAAGTAAATTTCAAATACATATTTAGACTGTTTTAAATTAATTATTTGCAACGCCATTGAAATGTATACTATAGCAACCATTATTGCTTTAATATTTTTAAACCGAGTAGTTCTGCAAACTGGCAATTGTATTTTATTAACTAGTCGCGATCAACTGGTTAGCCAGTCTTGGTTGTTTAGCCCGACAAATACTCAATTAATAGTCACACAGTGACACATCACATAGGTGTACTGTCCCACTTCATCAGTGCATAGCGCTTTTACAATACACAATTATATATACATAGCGTTTATCTCCTCACATTCACCAAACATTCATAGAACTCCCAGATTTTAACAAAATGACAAAAACCAAAGCTGATTATTAAGACTGATCGTCTACCACACTGCCTTACCCAAGATGAACTCTATTTCAGAGCCTGGTTACATGCCCCTATAACAAAAATTATTCTAGGGGCAGTGGGGCCGGGAATCCCCCAGACCTGGGTCTGAGTTCCTGGCTGTGGAAGTGTCTGCCGAGGTGTTAATAAAGCTAAATCCGAGCACTCAATCTGCAAGCTAGAACGTCAATCGCGTCCAGATAGCTTCTGTGCATGTCTGTCATCCCCATTGCTGTTTGTCTGTGGCCACTTTGACAAGCCGTCATCTTCGTTTTGTCGTGGATTTGGTAGTTGAGGTGTTTGTTGAGATTGGAGTTCTCATCAACAATCGGCGTTTCCCAGGCGTCAAGGGTCCCTTCATTTCCAATTCGATCTGTAGGTCGAACCATTCCTTGAACCAGTCAGGCTGTTTGTATATGATCTTGTTTACAAACATTGTTGCTTGTTCTTGCACCCTCCCCTTGGAGTTTCTTGACCAGCGCTGTGTGCCTGTCCTCGGTCAGTTCCTGCCAGTCACGCCTCATATCCAGGTTCCAGCTTCTCTATCCTGGTAGTGAGCGTTCACACGTTTCTTGAATTTCCTCAATATGTCATCTATTGGTTCCAGATACACCTGGAGGCTGTTGATCGTCTCATTCACAAGAGCTGCAGCTGGGTCTTAAATATTCCAGTGGAAGCTCTCTTGTGTTCAGAGTTTTATGCTCTCGTCGTAGACACATGAAACATGTGGCTCAGTGTCTCAATTGGTCTGGCAGCCAGGCAACGGAGCATGGGCGCATCTCTGGTTCAGTGTATGCGTCAGGGGTACCATTTCCACTTCCTGTTTGCTACGGGTAGTAAGCAGAGGAGCATATTTAATGCAAAGGAGCGACGTATAAAGTATCTTGTATTAGTGATGCACCAGGCGTTATTGTGATGCTAACCGCCTTTCCTATCCACTGCCACATTCATCACCTGGAGGATGGTGGTGACTGTCATGGACGAGGTCTTTGGCAGCTGTTTGGAGGCCAGAGGTAGTTGTGGTACCGTTGCCGTTACCACTGTGGGTGCTTTGTCTGGCGTAGGTGCCACTGCCAATCACTTTGTGGGTAATATTACCCTGAAACATTATTTATTGGTCCAGTATATTTCATTTTGGTGCAACACTTCGGCATCCCTGTTTTATGTCCCCGTCCGTGGGAGAAAAAATAACAATCCCTGCGGGGGAAATTTCTACTGTTTCTACTGTTTTAAAGTTTATTTTGCCGGTGGGACAGTTCGGCGGAGGTTTTGTCAATAATATATGTTGAGAAGTTAACCGATTATCTCGATATGCATTTTCTCTAATTCCTTGTTTTAACAAAACATAATTTCAGAAATAGTGCTTGCATTTATGCCATTTAAGCGTCAGTTAATTCATTGGCTATCAAGAATACATATGTCATGGACAAAAAGGGCAGAATTTGTCCATTCATATAAGCTGGTGATATCTCTTTGCGTTACTTTTGAGCCAAAAATTAAACATGATAGCACAATTGTCATGACTTCTGATCAGTTTTTTTAAAACGCCTGTACTCAGAAGCAGACACCTAAAAGACAATGTGATGTTATGAAGAGATATGCTTTTCTACAACAATATCACGATATCCATATCCACATTTGCGGTTAAACCTGACAATATGCAAACCCATTCAAGTGCATGTCATCTGGAGCAGTCGCTTAGCAGTCACGCACAGTATTTCCCAATATCGATATGAATAAAGGTATAAATCATTTAAAATAAAAGTTGACTATGCTCAAAAAGACCAAGTCTGCTTTCTGCCTTTATAAATTCGGGTATTGTGTTGCACAGGCTGAAAATATGGAAGTGGATGTTGAGGTTGTGAATCGCGAAACAAGTTTCCATCTGCATGCCGATTGATAGGGTACCAATTGGATTATGCAGGCGTAAATTAGGGAGGCATCATAATGATGCCTATACATACTCCCCATTTTATAATGCATACGCGTGAGTGCACACATACGAAAACCACAATACTGACTTCCCAAGATACCGGTCTGCCCACAGAGGAACCCGTTCTCGCCAACAGAGTGCACAATTGGCAATGTGCACAGCAAAGGCAACGAGGCACATATATAATACGAGGCCGGCGCCAGTAGTATTTTGGAAACATTAGTAATGAAACCCTTTATAAATCTACCCCTACTTTTCTAACACTAGACAATTAGTGTTTCTCACATCCCCCTCTTACATAATAATGGTCATGCAGGTTTTGAAAATCACTGAATATAAAAGTCTAAGCCATATTTTGAGTGGCATTAACTGTATAAATGATTGAGGAATCCTTAATGGCTACCGATCAGGGGTGTTGAGCTGAAAAGCGGCACTCGCGCGTAAACCTGTTTGCTCAAGTGAATTAGTCGCGTTGGCATCCAGAGAAAAAAAATACTAAAAAGCAGAAAAATAAAGGGCCACTGCTCCCAAGGTTTGTTTACATTTTCTTTTATTTCTTCAATTTTTTAAAGTTAATTTTTCTAGTACTTAGACCCGCACCCGCAACAGCATTAGTATGCACACACACACTTATCTGTACTCACTTTTGTATCCTTTATTATTTAACTATGACTGCACAAGTCGCGAGGATCGTTGCGCTCAGCAAGCAGCTTGACAGTGCACACACTAGGATCTGGGACCTGCGCAGCCAGTTCTCCGAGGTCACCACCACTACCACCAGCAATGCCAGTGCCGACAAGGAGGCGCTCCACAATCAGCTCGACAACGCACACGCTGATATTGAGAACCTGCGCGGCAAGCTCATGGCTTCCCAGGAAAAGGCCAATGAGTAACGCGTAGAAGGCCCGGGGCATGCGCGCCGAAAATGAAAAGCCTAAGGCCAGCCCAAAAGCTGGCTGCAAGGAGCTTGCTTCCGCGAGCACCACAGCCTATGCGAGTGATTTAAAGGACTCGCAGGTCACAATCAACTTGCTCCAGGCAGAGACCATCATGTTTAATATAGACATTGGTGGTCTTAAGGCTGAGAACATAGAATTTCGGGCCAAGCTGGCGACTGCTAACACGACCAACAGTGGGATCGAGGTCCAGAACAAGGGTCAACAGGCTGAGCTCAAAACCGCTGCCAATGACAACGCTGTATATAGGACTAACCTGTAGCGGATGGCCCACAAGAACACTTACTTGAGTTGTGTGAGCTGTACGAAACAGCTCTCGGCGAGTTTAAGGCGCACACTGATGATCTCAACATCAAAGTCGATACCGCCGCAGACGACAGGACTGCACCCAAGACTAAGCTGGAGAGGATCTCCTGCGAGATCGCAGGGTTTCAGGACAAACTCACAATCACCAACACAGCTGCCGACAGGGTTTGCGCCCAGAAAGAGAGGACCCAGACCGCCGCAGCCGCTAACACCACATCTGATATTCAGCTGAAAAATATGGCCCGAGAAAACACGGAGCTCAATAATGAGCTCGCAACTACTAACGCAGCCGCCGGTAAGTACCAGACCCAGAACAGGAAACTCTGGGCTCAGAACGAGAGACTTGTGGCTAATCTTGAGACCGTCAGAGCCGCGGTCACCACTGCCACCAACAATGCCCGCGCTGAGAGGAAAGCGCACAGTGAGCAGCTTGACAGCCCACAGTGAGAGCCGGAACCTCCGCGGCCAGCTTACCATTGGTGTCACTGCCGTCAATAGCTCCGGAGAAGGAGATACGATGCACAACATCAAAACACAGCTGGCCTAAACTCAAGCATCCTTGTTTCAGGTAATATTCGAACTGGAGTGTATTCGTGGTGAGAAGGCCAGCCCAAAAAAATGCACTGGGCATGGCTGGCCAGCCGCTTGACAAATACTCGGCTCAAATCTCCAGCCTCGAGGATCGCCTATATACCGCCAAAGAGGCAAACGATGATTTGCTTGCCATTTTGACCAACGCTGGCGACTTGGTCGGCGGCATTATCACGGGTGTTGATACAGCAGCGCGGACCAAACTGGCCAAGTTTAACAAGCAGCCGGATTCTTGCTACCAAGCGGCTTGGGAAGTACGCGGAAGAACCAGTGGCGGGCTGTGGGCGCGCTCCTCAGCCGCAACCATATCAGAACCCGCCATATCCGGCTGCAAATGTCGATATGTCTGTGCTAAAGGCACTCAACAAAAGCAGATGCATCGTGTTTGCACATGAAATTAATAAAAAATTAAATAAATGAAAAGTAAATAAATGAAAATAGGGGTGAATGAAAATTGAAAACTATTGTAGAGTGAATTAAGTGGGAAAAAAATAGAAAAACAACGAACGAGCACCCAAACAACACTCCTTGTGGGGACCAATTATGAATATATAAGCCTGAACGAGTTATTAAAAACATCTTGCTTCGTTATAGGGGCATGTAGTCAGGTCTGCAATAGAGCTGCATGATGGACAAGGTGGCGCAGTAGACGATCACACTTAATCATCAACTCTAGTTTTGTCTTTTACTTTTCTATATTTTGCACAATGTATCTATATTGTCTATTGAAAAATACCTCGCCCCAGCGATGCGAATGGCGAGTACAAGGTTTCCTTGCGGCTGCTCCTTTCCTGTCCGCTCGCCCTGCCCCTAGCAACAAAGTTAAACCATCAGAGGTGGGCGAGATCGAAAGCAGCCACCGGTAATAACCCTTAGCTCCAGAGCCACGGTGGCTAGCGCCGACGGTCCGAAGTCTAGGAGGTCATCTCCCCACTGCTGCGCTATTATATAAATTATTTTATTCACAAAATGGCCAAATATTACATTCAAAACTACCAAACATACCTAGCACATTATGCGGCACACAATGACCCCGGGTAGTGTGTTCAACAGTTTTTGCTTAGCCTTTTCATTGAGTGCTAGTAATTCTGCAGTGTTTCTTTACGGTCCGCAACTATGCATTTTTTGAGATGCCCGACAAAGTGAGAAAATATAAAACTGCTATATATAAACCAGAAAACAAGTAAGAAAGGCTACAAACCAAAGTTTATAAAAATAATCGAATAGCAACAACGGCATTTCTAAAATATTCGCACATACGCGCATCCAACCAGAAACGAAGCACAGCCCATATCTCCGATGTTACTATCAACAGGCAAATCAATCATGAAATATTTTTGCGTAAATTAAAAAACGCTTGGCATTAATACTAAATAGTCAACGCTGTCTGTATATTCACATCTATTAAAAAATAACAACAATGTTCCAGAGAGCTCGAAACGACAGCCCAGCAGCGGCATCAGCATCAACTGCAGCGGCATCGGCAGCGGCAGGGGGCCAGAGGCAGCAAAAACATGTGGCCCGCAGCAACGAAGAAGCAGTCGAGGAGCAGCTGAACGGCCGTGTGGACAACGAAATCGAACAGCTTCTTACATCGTTTGGTGAAATAATCCAGTCAAGCCGCATCCACAGCAGCCGCAGCATTGATCTTAGCGGCAAGGCAGCAACACGGACGCAGACGCGGCGTACAGCACAGCAGCAGACACTTCAGAAGCAGGCAAACAGGATAAACGACAATGATAACAGCGAAGATGACGACGACGACGACGAGACGAATGAGCCCGTGGCTGTGACCGAAACTGTGGCGGGCACAGAGACTATTAAGGATAAGTATGCGGTTGCGCAGGAGGCGTATGGAGCGCAGACGAGGGCTGCGACAATGGTGAGATCGGTAGAGAATTTGCTGGCCATGGTGGCGGACGTGAGACGCGCCCGTCTGGTCAACGACTCGACGGCGCTCGCTGCAATGGCCGATGCGCGCCGCAAGGAGGTGGAGGAGCGTACGAGCGCGATTCGGGCGGCTGTCGAGCGGCTCAACTCGGCAGCGGACGCGGCAGTGCGCGAGCTAGGGACCGTGTACTACAACTCCAAATACGTCAAGTAAGATGTGTGTACTAATATATAATTGAACAGTGAACAAAGGAGAAAAATGCATTATTGTTGTTTGCGAATGAGAGGCTGGTTGTCCGAGTCAGATTCAGAAGCATAGCCGGCATAGCGGCGCACATAGTCGCTGCCTCTCGCATTGGTGGTGGCCGAAAACACCGTGCGGCGCTGTACGGTGCTTGTGGTGCGGGCGACGGCCGAGGTGCGCGCATAGGACGGCTGGGCATCGCAAATATCGTCGTCGCTGTCTGTGCTCTCGTCCAAATCATAGTCAATATCGCCAGCTTCGCTCTTGTCATCGTCGCCGCCGCTGTCCATCTTCAGGGGCGCCGTGCCCCCGTTCTCGAGCGTTGCCAGATCGGCGGACGCATTGTAATTGCGCAGAACCATTTCCCCGTCGGCATCCATCTCGGACACAACGCGCGCGCCGTCCTTGCCGTGGAAGACTGTGCGCGGCGCGACTTCGGCGACAGCATTCTCGCGCGTGTAGCCCAGAGGTGGCCAGTAGACAGGTGCGGTGAGCCCTGGGCCAATGCTGAAATTGAGCCCATCGCCAGACATATTGCGCGGCACCCACCATGTCAGAATATTCGGGCCAAATACCGAGCGGAAATTGGGCACGACGCCGAGGTTGTACGGATAGGGCGTCGGCTGGCACTTGCGCTGGCGCACAAGTTTCTCCACGCGTGATTTTTCGCGCGACTCGATGGTTGTTGTATTGGAGCCAACCAAGTACGCGTGGTACCCGCTGAGGATGCCGACAAAGAGCAGCACGAGCCCGGCCAGCGTCATGTTGATGATGAGAAAGGCCACCTCGGCCTGTGTCGGCTGCCGGACGTAGTACGTGCCGTTGATAGAGTCGACCACCAGCTCCCACAGGCGCAATCCGTGTAGGGCCAGCGCAAACACGCACGTCACATCAACGGTGTAGACAAAGCGCAGAAAGTGCGCCTGGTTGTGATAGCCCACGCAGTTGTTGGTCCACGGGCAGTGATGGTCCATCTTCAGCACACACCGCTCGCAGTCCGTGCAGTGGTGCGCGCGCGGCGGCTTGAACGCACGGCACTGCCGGCAGTACCGCGGCTTGTGCGTGTCGCGCTTTAGCTCGTACACGTTGGCGCCCGTGCGCGGCGGCTCCCAGCCCAGGGGCACATGGCCCGGCGCCACCGTCACCGCCAGGTAGTAGTTATAGTATAGCAGGAGCAGCATAAAGTTGAATGCGCCCAGAACTAGCAGGCTCTTGGGCGTTGCGCCGCCCAGGTAGCTCCAGTACACGCAAATCTGGCTGCTGTACCCAATGAAGCCGATCAGCAGCGAGACGCCCCACACGTACAGCCGCCCGACGTCGAATTCGGCGCTGTAGCCGCCAGAGTCCCTGTCGCTGTCGTCTGTGACCATGGTTTGAAGGGTTGAATTTGGGGAGAAAGGGGAAAATAGGTTGGATTGCTACTGAAGGAAACAGAAGAACGAGCATGCCTTTTCGTTCTCTTCACCGCTTCACTCCACTCCACCCCGCCCCACTCTCCTCCTCGACTCCACTCGATCCTTCTCCGCTTTTGCGCCCAAAATGCGCAGAGTGTGCGGAGGAATGCACTCTTCCCTGCGCTCGCATATTCTGGGAAGCTCGCCGATTTGATTTGGGTTGATTTGATTAGCGCGCGTCTGATCGCATTTGCTCACAGCGGGTTGGCCAATTGCGCGCTGCTGCTATTCGTGTGCTCTCCCTTGCGGGAATATAAACGGTCCACGCGGCAGAATCGGGCAATGCAAGAGGAGAGCTCACAACCTCTACTTCTTCATCATTCGATTTTCCCTGTTACCCCTTTTTTTGCACAAACACTTGCGAATTTCTCTTTTTCAAATTCCGCCATGATTCCAGCCACCCGAAACAGCTTGCTGCTCATCGGTGTACTGTTTCACCTGGTGTACCTGCTCAGCATATTTGACATCTATTTCCGGTCGCCGCTGGTGCACGGCATGACGCCGCACCGCGTGCCGTTGGCAGCGCCAGCCAAGCGGGTAGTGCTATTTGTGGCCGACGGGCTGCGTGCAGATAAGGTCTTTGAGCCGTACCACAACACAACCGCCGGCCGCACCGAGGAACTGGCACCGTTTCTGCTGGGTAAGCTGCGCACCGAGGCATCGTGGGGCGTATCGCACACGCGCGTGCCGACGGAGAGTCGGCCGGGCCACGTGGCGGCCATTGCTGGGTTCTATGAGGATGTTAGCGCAGTGACCAAGGGCTGGAAGATGAATCCTGTCAACTTTGATTCGGTGTTCAACGAGAGCCGGCACACGTGGTCGTTCGGGTCGCCCGATATCCTGCCAATGTTTGCGCACGGCGCTTCGGATAGTAAAAAGGTTGACACGTTTATGTACCCGCCCGAGTTTGAGGATTTTTCGGGCAACGGCGACCGCCTAGACACGTGGGTATTCAACGAGGCCGAGCGCTTCTTCAAAAACGCCCAGGTGCCGGGATCGGAGCTGAACACCATGATGCACCAGGATCAGGTCGTATTTTTCTTTCATCTTCTGGGCATTGACTCTAATGGTCACGGCTTCAAGCCCTACTCGCAGGAGTACCTGGGCAACATCAACCTTGTCGACCGCGGCATCCAAGGCCTGGTTGCGCGCTTTGATGAGTTTTACGGCAACGACAAGCAGACAGCCTTTGTCTTCACCGCCGACCACGGCATGAACGACCGCGGCGCCCACGGCGACGGCCACCCTGACAATACACGCACGCCGCTAATTGCCTGGGGCGCTGGCATAGCGCCCACAGTCCCCACGGATGCAGGCCAGCGGGCGCCCGGCCACGATGCGTTTTCAGAGCCCTGGGCTCTCACGCAGTACGAGCGCAAAGACGTCAACCAAGCCGACATTGCGCCGCTGATGGCCACGCTAATCGGTGTCCCGCTGCCACTGAATTCGGTCGGTACGCTGCCGCTGTCGTACCTCAACGCCACCGACGAGTTCCGTGCGCGCGCCGCCCTGGTTAATGCGCTGCAGGTACTAGAGCAGTACCGTGTTAAGCACGATCAGAAGCAGAAAACAGAGATGTTCTTCCAGCCGTACGCGCCCATGCACCAGCCGACTAACACGCCCGAGGTCATATTGGCGCGTATCCGCCATAGCATCGACAGCCGTAAGTACGCTGAGGCTCAAAAGGAATGCAGTCATCTGATTGCACTGTGCCTGGAGGGTCTGCGGTACTTCCAGCGCTACGACTGGCTACTTTTGCGGTCTATTGTGTCCATGGGCTATCTCGGCTGGATCGCGTACAGCCTGCTGTTTATCTTTAGGTCCTACGTGCTGCCGCCCCCGCCCAGCGCCTCAGCCTACCGCTCGTCCAGCTCTGGTCTGCTGAGCGCACTGGGGCTCTTGGTATTTATCAGCTTTTCGGCCATGTTCTACAGGCAGCACTCGCCGGCCATGTACTACGCCTACGTGGCATTCCCGGTGTATTTCTGGACTGACGTCCTGCGCCAACTTCCGCTGGTCCAGGCCATTTACACCAACTATATGCGTATGTCGGTGCGCTGGCGCCCGCTGGCCTTTGTCGCTGCATACGTTGTTGTTTTGGAGGCCCTGGTCTACGCCTTCTTTGACCGCCGCGTCTACTCTGTGGCCTTTGCGCTGCTGGCCGTTACTTGGCCACTCGCCGTGTCGCCAAAGTTCCGCCGCCGTCACCCGCGCCTTCTGATCCTGTGGTTTGTGTTCTGTCTACTGACTTCCACCTTTACGTTGCTCCCGGTTGAGCGCAACGACCATTTGGGCCTAGTCATGGCTGGTGGCCTCCTGATTACTTTGAGCGGCTTGGTGGCTTGGCACTACAGCCCGCATTTTGTGCTGCCGCCGACCGGCGTGGCAAACAAGGATGCGCAGCGTGCGGCCGTGGCCTTTGATCGCCTTATTATTCTTGTCGAGACGCTGCTGGTCGCTATAGCGACATTCTTGGGACCCCTGACATCAACTGAGACCACCAAGCGCGGTTATTTGCCGCGCCTGCACCAGATAGCTTGCTGGACTATATTGGTCGTTTCCACGCTGCTCCCCCTGCTGCACGGCTCGCGTCTTAACCGGGGAGCCCGCGACCAGCACTTTCTGTACCGTCTGATTACCATCTACCTGGCATTTGCCACGCCTTTTGTCCTTCTGACTGTCTCATACGAGAGCATTTTCTACTTTTCGTACTCTGTTGTCCTGCTTCTGTGGCTGACTATCGAGCGTGCGCTATACTTTGAGCGCGCCGAGAACGAATTGCTCGCTCCCGCAGAGCAAACTCGGCTGTCGAGTTTGCTGGCTCCGAAGAACTCTGTCTCTCGACTGTCCCAGAACTCCCAGCAGGAGCAGTCCGTGTTTGCCTTGGGGAGGACCCTGGGGCTGAGCGATATGCGGACAGGCATCATGTTTTTGTTTTTCGTCAATGTCGCATTTTTCGGAACCGGCAATGTGGCCTCTCTGGCATCCTTCTCCATTGACTCCGTGTACCGCCTGATCACCGTGTTCGACCCCTTTTTAATGAGCACCCTGCTGCTTTTCAAGATCATTATTCCCTTCTTCTTGGTTTCTGCCGTTTTTGGCGTCTTGAACCGCAGTTTGGAGCTGCCGCCGTTCAGCTTGTTCCTGTTTGTCCTTAGTACTACAGATGTCATGACTGTAAATTTCTTCTTTTTGGTGCGGGATGACGGGAGCTGGCTGGATATTGGAATGAGCATCAGCCATTTCTGCATCTCGGGCTTGTTCGTCCTGTTCACCATAGTTCTTTTTGTTTTGAGCCACGCCTTGGTTGGCAGCGTGCTTATCCCGACTGATTCCGAGAGTGGCGGGACAAAGGCGGCCATCAAGAAATATCGGTAAATCGGACGACAACACATTGGATTGGATCAAAGTGCGTATATTCAACATTTGGATGCCAAATAACATAATAAACACATGTTTACATACAAATATACCCAATGTTCCTATTGCTTTCAAGTTGACTTAATTTTTTATTTTCTTAAAAAATGCAGTGGCTGTCTATTGTATTATCAGGCTGTTTTTGTCGAGCTCTGGATGGCTTCCCGAAGCGAAGAGTCGACATTTTCGCCATTCTCAAACCTTTCGACCATCTCTTGGCTGATCTGCGCTGGCTGATGCCCCCTGGCAACGCCCCTCTTTTCCATCTCCCTACCCAGCACCTGCATGAGCACCCCGCTAAGCGTATCGGTCTCCTGGGTCAACTCACCCAGCTCCTGTCTCAACAAGCCGCGCTCCTCCTTCACCCTCGCCAGCTCCTCCTTATGCTCCGCCATATCCCTTTCTAATTCTTCCAATCTGTCGTCCACAGCGTTCCTCTGCCTCTTCGCCTGCTTCCTACTGCGCACTTGCTCGGCAAATATGAGCGACAAAGCCACACTAAATATGAAGGCCTCACCGAGGAAGTTTGCGCCCGCGTCAATTGCTCGAGCATCGTTGAGTGGCCGGATGATCTCCTTCTTGTACCCGAGCACCTTCATCTTCCAGTTCATCTCTGTGCGATGCGCGATTTGCGCCACGTTGATGCAAAGTGAGCGAAATATGTCATGCGACTTTGCTTGTTGCTTCAGCGCATTGGCCACTACACTTGGGCAGGAGGCGTTTTAGAGTTTAAGGGAAATAAAAAAGGGGCGCTGTTAGTATGACAGTCTTTTTTTGCGCGAACTACTCGGTTTGTCATGTTTGTCTGTCTGTCTGTCTTGCTTTGAGCCCAGTTGTGGCTGCGGGCGTACCTGGCTTTGACAGCGTGCGGAACAGAAGCGAGGCAATTTTAAACGAGCTCATTTATATGTCGAGCTAATTTGTATCGAAAAGAATGCGGGAGACAAGAAAATTAAAAGAGTTGAAGTTGATGACCTGCTTGATTGTTGGTCGGGTCGATTTTTCTTGGTGTCAGCGCCAAGCGCAAAGGCCCATTCGGGGATTGCAATTCAGCAACTCGATTGTGATTTGCTGGATAGTCCGCTATTATCATATCACCAAACGGCGTGATCAGCTCGGATATTGCCATGCTTAATTTTCTAATTTTTTTGCTATCTCGCTCACCCACACGCTTTATCGCTTGAAGCTGGCAAACGAGGGAAGTGTTCGAATTAATAGAGCGTGAAAAAATAACGCTTTTTTGGGCGCGGGCTTGCTGTGAAATGTGGAGGACCCGTACCAGAATTCGAGTTTTTTTATTATCTATTTTTCCACTTTGCTTTTCCTTGCAATTAACAAACTCATAATTTACTCTTTCTTTCCTTCACACGATTGAATAAAGGTGAGGATTCGAGAATTTATTTTATATTGAACCAGCCCTCGGAGCGCAAAATCGACTATACTTCCGTGCTTTGGATTCAGCGGGAATTAGCAGCGCAATAAATAAGGACGCAGCTTGGGCCTCTTTATCTGTCGAGTACATGGCGTGCATTGGACCCCACACATCAACAACAACAACTAATCTTTCTCCCGCCTCTGATTCATTTGAATATGTAGTAGAAAGGACAACAATTCCGTGGATATATAAAAATGTTTGCTCGCTCGGCTATCGCTACCCGTTCCGCGGCCCCCGCCCTGAAGTAAGTTCCGGAATTCAAGCCCTTGACCGCATGTCTAGGAAAGCGCTGATAGGCTTGCATATGCTCTACATGTATGCTCACAAATTCATAAACTGTTTCCTATTTATTATTACTTACATAGTGTTATCGGCCAGACCCGTAACATGGCTACGCTCAAGGAGATCCAGAACCGTCTGAAGTCGATCACCAACATCTCCAAGATCACGGCGTCAATGAAGATGATTGCCTCGACCAAGGTCACTCGCGCCCAGCGTGCGATGAAGGTTGCCCGCATTTATGGCAATGTCTCGTGCGACTTTATCGAGCAGGCCGAGGTGAAGAAGGCCGACGGCGCCAAGGAGCTCGTTGTTGTCGTCTCTTCGGACAAGGGTCTGTGCAGTGGTATCCACTCGTCGCTCTCGCGTCACACCCGCAAGTACCTTGCCGATTACCCCGAGGCCCCCGTTGCCATTATCGGCGACAAGGCCAAATCCCAGATTCAGCGTGTGTTCGCCCAGAACATGACGTACAGCTTCAACCAGATCGGATCGACCATCCCGGCCTTTGACGAGACCTCAGCCATCGCCAGCGTTATCATTAGCGACAAGTCGATCGAGTTCGACAACATCAAGCTTGTGTACAACAAGTTTGCCAGCGCCATTGCCTTTGAGACCAGCGAGATTGAGTGCTTCCCTGCCAGCCAGATTGTTGAGGCGCCCGGCTTCAAGTCCTACGAGGTGCAGGAGGAGATCCTCGAGAACCTGAACGAGTTCCTGTTCGCCAACAACCTGCACTGGGCGCTGGTCGAGGGCCACGCCGCTGAGATGGCTGCTAAGCGCACTGCCATGGAGAATGCCACCAAGAACGCCGGCGACATCATCCAGAGACTTACCCTGCAGTACAACCGTGGTCGCCAGACTGTCATTACCAACGAGCTCATTGAGATCATTACTGGTGCTTCTGCTCTCTAAATTCATTTTACTCGCCCTTTTCACCTCCACACCTACTTTTTCTGCTCTAAACACTCTGCCTTTGTCTCTCTCTCTCTTGGTCCTTGTGCTCGGGGGCATTGTTTTGTTTTGGCCTAGACCTTTTTTTCTTCAAGAGCAAGTCGCAGTTAACATAAACAAAAGAGAATCCAAAGTTTTAGTATTTGTATTTACAACTGGCAGTCACACATTTCCTGTATCATATGCGCGAAATGATCCAATGATCTGATACTGGCCAGACGTGATGGTGATGGTGGTGCTAACAATCTGTAAGCCAGTATGAGAAGCGAAACAAAAAAGAAATAATTCGAACATGTCCGCGTGCCTTCCAAAGCAACCACCCCATTTTATGTTGAAACCTAAAATGCAAACGGAGCGGCTGCACTGCGCCTCTATTTTTGAAGTCGAAAGCCCCGTGTCAAAAAAATGCAATTGAATAGGCAAATCGGCCAAGGCTCATATGCACCACAATGTGCAAGAAATAAATTCGGCCCGGCACCAGCTGCAACTAAGGCGGACACAAAAAGCAATGAGCCTTTGCTATTTTTTGTTCCCTTTATCTTGGCATTCGCCTGCAAATAATTAAGAGCAACTAGCTGGCACTTCAATTCTCATTTAAATACACTACAAAATACCGCTTTTCATTTTTTTTATCTTTTGGTTTTCAATTATTTGTACTATCCATTCAGCTTTCCCCAGTCAAGCCAAAATTCCTCCCTATTCTTTTGGCATTATTTGACATTTCAACAGACACCAGTACCAGTGTTTGTATGCCATTCTTCCCCTTTTTAGCCTGGCTTTCCGATTCTCGCTTCTCTTCCATCTGCTTTTTTCCCTTCCACTTCTATTTTTTACTACCTTTTTTTTGTTTCTACAGCCAAATAAAAAACAATTGGCAGTTCACTCTTCTTTCTTTTCTTTCTTTTCTTTCTTTTCTTTCTTTTCTTTCTCTTATATTTATTTGTTCCTTTGCATAGCGATTAATTTCTGTTCGCTCTTTATTTATCCTCGACCTTTCACTGTTATTATCGGAAAAGGGGGTATTCCTCCTTTTTTCTTTAACCTGCACCTGCAAATCACTTAAAAGGCTCCCAGTTTTAACTTTTCAGCTGCAGTCTTGTCAAACCCGGCTGCCCACTACACCTGCGATCCTTCATTATCAGACATGTCTGCTGTAAATTTTGATCAATTCAAGCTCGGTCCACGGCTCTACAGGTAAATCGAAAAAGAATGGCAGCGGAACCGAATCCTACAGCAGTGAGGCATACACACACTGTTACATTGCATTTTACTGATACCAGTGTAAATTTGTTTTTTTCATCCTTCAATCAACAATTGGTTTGTTGTAGATCCGAGCTCGTGAGATCAGTCGCCATGAGGTGTTTGGCGCTGCAGCAGTTCCCAGTTGAAAACGCGAGCTTAAGCAAAGGTACAGTTTTTTCGAAAGCAATGTCCATCTCTATTGAAAAATCAATATATCAAACGCTCAATGACCTGTTGTACAGGCCGGTGGATGAGCTATTACCGGAAACACCCCAGTGGTGACAATTTTATGATGATAATCTTCCTTTTTTACTTTTGTTGCGAGCCTGAGTCAGCTTCTGCATGTGCCCAGAAACACTAAATGCACAGTATCTACATGGCGGACTTTTTTCCATCTAATTGCGCAATGCTCAAAAGACCACGCCCACTAAACTATTATGCCTAGACATTGCTTACATCATGCACATCATGTATTCATATATGCGGGCATGTCTTTTGTGTAAATATGGGCAATATTACGACAAGTCACAAACAAACTTCCGCTCATTTTGAGCTCTTCTGCGTTTTTTCTCTAAACAAACCGCATATCCGCAGTTGCTGCAGATGACACTACAGCTGCTGATTCACACTATTGCGCGTGATGTTTTTTTCTGGGTCCTATTCTTTCGCTCATGGGATAGCGAGACGGAGTATCAGAAATCGTGCTCTCTCGGAGAAAAACATACGGCTTCCTGCATATTCGCAGACATAAGTGCATGCTGCGCCGCCAATTAATGCATTGTCGTCAATTGTTCCCGCACTATTGCTAATATTTTGAAATTGCCCGGCTGATTGTTGTCTTGACCTGTGTAGACATTGTGCGCATCATGGGCTGTGTTGTCAAGGCAACCACGGAGTACGGGGAGGACTTGGCCATGGCTGCGCTCAAAGTGTCGACGTATCTGAAGAACGTGGACACCATGACTTCGTCAACGCGTGTCAATCAGATCCTTGCAATTGTCGAAGACCTCGAAAGCAGAATACAGGGGCTCATCCGCTACGGATGGCATGTCGAACGCGAGTGGGCCACCTATGTGCAAGTTCCGGCGCCGGCGCCCGATAATTATCCGCGCAAGAGCTCATCCAGGTCCAGCGGTGTTTTCCCGTCGGGGTATCTGCGCAAGCTATACAACTGGCACGTTGTCCTGGCAAACGCAATCACCCAAATCCGCCATCGCTCGGCGGAGGTCGGCTACGGCTGCTCGCATGGCGCCAAGGAAAACAGGAAGCCCTGGGAGGCGATGGGCGTCGTGTATGGGCTCAACCCAATAACTGGAGCTCCGAGTATGTCTTGGAGAAGGCGAAGATTGAGCGAGGCAAGATAAAGCGCTCGGACTCCTGGTGGACCACGTGCCGCAGGTCACCAGCACGCAGTCGGACCGCAAGCCGAGCACGCAGGTGACGGACATCCGAGGGCGCAACCCGCTGCATTATGCGGCGCAGAACGCGGCCGATCTGCTGTGGTTCAAGCGGCTCAATTATTTCGACCAGCAGTATATCCGTGCGCAGAGCGAGGTTGTGCGCGAGCCGTCGCTGGCATGGTGGATATATTCGGCGAGTCTCCGCTGACTATCGCTGCCCGTGCGGGAAACGTCAGTGCAGTCAAGTATATCGTTGAGGAGTCTGGTATCGACTCTGCTGGAAGCTCGCTTGTGAATGCCGCGGTGATTGCATTTTCGAAGGCCACCACGAATGCCTTCCCATGATTGTCGGTCGACTGGTTGCAGCGTCTCCGGCAGACATTGCGTTTGCGATGCGGCTGTCCATGTTTTACGGATTCAACAAGTTGTTTGAGATGATTTGCGCTGTAATCCGCCGGGGGGAATCGTCCGATGTTACCGCTACCGCTGCCTCTGAAACGATCGCTGCTGCTGTGGATGTCGTGCTTAGCACTGCCATGCAAAAGACCGGCGGGTGCTCGATGTTCCATCTGGCCGCTCTAAATGACAAGCCCGAGATGGCAAAGTGCGCGCAGAGCCAGCATGTATTTCGCTCCAGGGCCTTCGACCCCCATGCCCGAGACGACACCCATCTCACGCCGCTCGACATCGCCAACTACTTTGGCTACCGTGCGTGTGCCGATGTTCTGCTGACCACCTTCCCGTCGTTTCATCCGCCCTTGGCGCTCGAGTTAAGCGTCGAGGACGAGGCGCTTCGAGTAGCGCCGTTTGTCGCCAAAAGCTATAGCGGGCTCAGCACGCCGCCTGACACGTATGCTGTGTTTGTCACCCTGGGTGCCAATGACATGCGCCGTAATAAGCACATGCCACCTCTTTCTCTGGACGCCGACGCCCTGAGCCGTGTACTTGTCGAAAACGGTATGCCGCGCTCAACCCATCTCCTCCTGCGCATCGACTCAGAGCAAGGCATGGAGATAAACTGCGCCAATGGTTGGCTCGCGGATGTAACATCCTTGCTTGAAGACCCGACCCGGTCCGAGCACACGTGGGACTCGTTGGCTTGCTTCCACACTGTGCACCCAGAGAGGTTTGTTCTCAAGCTCGAGCTGATTGCAATGGTGGACCAGGTGTTGCTGCCGCACGCCAGCGAGCAAAAGGTTGTTGCGCACGCCGCCGTGACACTGCCGCCCACCTATATTCCGAAGAACAGCGAGCGGATGCCTGGCCACTATGCACCAGTCTGCCCAGCTGGCGGGAGCTATATCAATGCGGTGTTTATCTCGGCCACGTCGGATGAAATCGTTGGCGACGCTAATATCGATGTGTTTGTATCCACGCCATACAAGAAGCAGCGGCAGAGCCAAGTGGATCAAAAGAGGCGTATTCTACTGCTGCTTCTTTTTCTTCAAATGGCGATGAGGGGGGCAAGGAAAGCGAGGCTGCCGCATCCGCTGTCAAGGAAAAGGCAAACAGCACCGCTGACGATATTCAAGCCGAAATGCTGCCTTGGTGCAAGGAAGGCCACACTGTGGTCTACGGCCACCGCGGCTCCGGTATGAACTTTGCCCCGTCTGTCACTCCACGCAAGCTACAGCTGGGTGAGAATACAGTGCTGTCCATGGATAAGGCTATCCGGGACGGCGTGTTAGCAGTCGAGTTTGACGTGCAGATGACGCGGGACATGGTCCCCGTTATCTACCACGACTGGATCGTCGCAGAAACGGGCCTGGAAATCCCAGTCAGCGCTCTGACGCTGACACAGCTCCTGGCCTGCAATCCCCGCAACCAGCCCATTACGAAATCACGCACGTGCGAGGATCTGCCGAGCGGTCTGCCGAGCGGTCTGCCTCATTGTGTGGTGCCTGGTCATGCATGCAAGCCCATGCATGTGGCCAACTCGGAGAACACAATCCAGGCGCCGTTTGCAACGCTGAAGGAGCTGTTCGAGTCGCTTCCTGAGCACGTTGGCTTTGACATCGAGGTCAAGTACCCGATGCCTGATGAGGCCGACGAGTACGGTGTATTTGTAAACTTTGAGATCAATCTGTTTGTTGACCGTATTCTCGACGTTGTCTACAGCTACATGGAGGCGCCGACCTCGGTGCAGGGTTCCGGGCTCGATTCTGCTCGTGGAAGCGGGGCCCATCGTGTTCACGTCGTTCCACCCTGACATCTGCCTGCTGCTGGCTCACAAGATCAACGGCGACATCCCAGTGATGCTGCTGACTGACGCGGGCATGTCAGCGATGGCAGATTGTCGGTGCAACAGTATCGATACGGCCGTCAGGTTCTGCAAGTGGGCTGGGCTGGCGGGTATCGTGACCCACGTGGGCCCGATCTCCCAGTCGCCGCGCGTGGCGCCTCTGGTCCGCCGCCACAGGCTAGCGCTGGCTACGTACGGGGCGTTGAATAACCAGGCCGACCATGTCAAGCAGCAGCAGGCGTATGGCGTCGACGTGGTTATTGCCGACGATGTGCGCAACGCGCAAGCGGTCATCGCACTGGCGATTAACTCTGCCGCAAGCTGAATCAATTATGTAGCATGTGTGTAACAAAGAACAGTTTGTGTTAATATATTTGGCCGTTTATTTATTCTTCACGACAAAACGAACAAAGGTAGTTTGATCTGGCCTTAGTAGTGAGCTACAAAAATAGCGCATCGCGTATCCAGAAACTGCCTGAGTCCAAGGGCAACGGGCGCTTAGCTGAGAACCTGAGGTGCGCTCGGTTCTGGCCACAGCTGCCACACACGTTGACATGGCATTCGACGCAAAGCCTTTCGCGCCATTCTGCAAACTTGCCCCAACCGTATGAGTTTTTGCCACGCACCGAGGGCCGAGAAAACGCCAAAGCGATTTCAAAACGACAACAGAAACCCGCCGATGTGCGGACTTGGATTTGCGAATCTGGGCCTTGATTATTATTTTGGGGGCAATTTTTTTATTACGCTTGATCGCACCGCGATTCGCTTGAGATAAAAAAAAGTCACATAATCCCCCCTCCCCGCCTCAATCCCAAAGTGCGGGCAAGCGACTGCCCCCGTTATCAGCAAGAAAAGACAGTCTATTGCCCTGAAGCCGTTTTCGTGCATTTCTCTTTCTTTTTTGTTTCCCAACAGTTATTTGTACTTGTTTATCAGCACTCTTACTTTTTTTGCTAAACATGTTCCCCTCCTCTCAGACTCTCAGCGGTGCCTTCAAGGGTAACCAGAAGGCCTTCGTTGCCGCCTCTCCCACCGAGAAGAAGGCTTTTGTCGCCCACTCGACCATCGAGGTCAACTCGCCCAGGGTAGGTTATTGTTTTGATTATAATGCATCTTTATCTTGGATTCTGATACGGTCACACTTTGTCGACGGTGCTTTGAGATTCGAGATTCGTAGCGCTCAATTCCGACAGGGGTAAATAATGTACCTTTCTTTATTGCTAACTTTCTCTCCTGACAACCATATTATTTTCTTGTTTTCATATAGTACTTTTACACCTGCGCTGCCGGTGGAGTCTTTGCCTGCGGTTTGACTCACTACGCCCTGACTCCTCTTGATATGCTTAAGTGCCGCATGCAGGTCAACAAGGGTCTGTACTCCGGTATTTTTGACGGCTTCAAGAAGGTCTCCGCGGCTCAGGGTATCAAGGGTCTGTACCTCGGCGGTGCACCCACTATTATTGGTTACTCGCTGCAGGGCATGAGCAAGTACGGTTTCTACGAGTACTTCAAGCACCTGTACGCCAGCTCTGTTGGTGAGGAGAATGCCGCTAAGTACAAGACCGCCCTGTACCTGTCTGCCTCCGCCTCGGCTGAGTTTATTGCCGACATTATGCTGTGCCCCATGGAGGCGCTCAAGGTCAAGATGCAAACCTCAAACACCCCCTTTGCCACCAGCTTCCTGGGTGGTGTCCGTAAGATCCACGCCGCTGAGGGTATCAACGGCTTCTATAAGGGCCTTGCTCCCCTGTGGCTGCGCCAGATCCCCTACACCATGGTGAAGTTCGCCACCTTCGAGAAGACTGTCGAGGCTATTTACAAGAACATCTTGAGCAAGCCCAAGGACCAGTATACCAAGAACGAGCAGCTCGGTGTCACCTTCGCCGCTGGTTACTTTGCCGGTATCTTCTGCGCCATTGTCTCCCACCCCGCTGATACTCTGGTTTCGAAGCTCAACAACGTCGCTAAGGCTGAGGGTGAGAGCACTGGTGCTCTCGCTGTGCGCATCCTTAAGGATCTCGGCTTTGCCGGTGTCTGGACCGGTCTTACTCCCCGTATCTTCATGATCGGTACCCTGACCGCCCTGCAGTGGTTCATCTATGACTCGTTCAAGGTCCAGACTGGTCTGCCCACCACTGGTGGTGCCGTTGCCAAGAAGGAGTAAGCATGTGGCGATGATATAAGCTTTCTTCTTTTTTGTATTTCGGTAACATATGGTAGTGGGTGTGAATGGTTTGGCGTACAAAAAATTCACTCATCACCACCACCATGTCTTTTTTTATATATTTTTCTCTATACCGTCTACCAAAAAAAAACTTTACACTCTAAAACAAGTCACTACTAGATAGTGACAAAAATATGAGTACAAAAAATGATGCCTGATTAGCAAGAAACTAGAATTTAATGCGCTGGACAAAAAACACCACACTTCGCCCAGAGAAAATAGATCCATAGGTCCACTTGTTCATTTGACAAAGCCCTATCCTGTGTTAAACAACTGACGCTATACCCTCCATGATATATCGATAAATCAATCTGTGCGCTGCCTGTGGGGATAATTAGCCGTAGTAGAGAGTGCTCTCCTTGGCTTTGCGCCCGGCTGCTACTGCTGAGTCTCTGCCAAATGATTGCACTTAATTCCATACCTCTGGCGAAAGGTGTTAATAGACTGTTAACGCACTTACCTTTACATTTAGTTAAAGGCAGTGCGTTAACACAATCTCCAAAATTGGGGGTTTGTTACAGTGTATTTGTTTGCCGTGCTGGCATGTACAAGCAGTTAGAAAAGTACAAGTTTGAACTCATTGACTTTGCTGCATTCAAGAGACAATCAAACAGAGTCTCGGATGGTGGCTTGCAATAGTCATTGTAGCATCTTGTTCTATATTAAAGGTGTACCTTTGTAGGCACATCGAAATTGAGTTTGTATAGTTGGCGATGACGCTGTTTGTGCGAACATTCAAACAACTTCTCAAACGGGGGCTTTTGGCCGATCAAAATTAAGGGAAGGCAAAATTTAATATTTGAACGAAAAGGGTATTTTTTTACCACAAATTGAAGTTAGCCACGAACCCTAGAGACAAACCTTGGTGGTGGTAGTTTTTAGGCAGAATGAAACCCACACTGCTGGGCATAAAATATATATACGCTCTGCATTATTTTCTACTTTTCATTTTACATTTCACTTTTCATTTATTTTACATTTCAACTGCAATTCAACTTTAATCACAAAGTCAATCATTACTTTACTGTTCTTCACCGAGCTTTACCCAGTTAGTATATCACATACAGCAGCCGCGCGCAGTAACTTGTCATAATGGAGTGGCAAAGCACAGTTTTTTGGAATCTGTGCATGTCAATGCTTCCCCATCGAAACACAAGAGCGCTCTTGGTTCCAGTAATATGCGTAGCGCTTTTGGTTCCGTTTTCGGCAGCGGCAACAGAGGCATCGGCTACAGCGGCAGCGGCATCGCATCGGTGAGCGACGGGCAGGTTTGGCAGTCCCCTCGGGTTATATTCTAGACAGCACATTGACCGTGACTGGGTCCTGCTTTGACGAGGACTTGCAGGACCAAGTGACCGAAAGTCTCTTGTTGTTGTCGCAGCAGCAGCACCAGTCTCATGCAGGTATCCCCACACCAACGCCAGCAGTAGAGGAGACACCTTTTGGCTCTAGTTTGTTTCTGACCCGGGCCCCGTGCGCACAGACCGCCCATTGATGAAGACGATGGAGATGAGCCACATCAGCAAAAGGCGCTGCGGCGACAAATCGGAGTGATGTTCTTGGAGCACGGGAGCGGCTCCGGAATCGTGCCGCGCAAATTTACGATCCCAGAGCCCTCAATTGTTGCCGAGGCTGGCGAGAGGCACATTGCAATTTTGCCTGCCAAGCCACACGGGGCAGTGGCCCGGGAGCAGCGGCTGATGAAGCGCGAGGGCGTGGAGAGCTCCAGGGTTGCGCTCGTCGACACGATGGTTCTGGTGACGGTTGATGGGCGCATGTACGGGATCAAAAGAAGCGACGGACCATTTTGTGGCGGCGCGAGGGCCTGCTAGATCTGGAGCACAACAATACAACAGCCGAGTCTCGGGGATGGTGTGGACAAAAGGCCGGCCGATTGCACAATCCAAATCGACCGCCAGCATGAAAGGGGCAGCGGCAGGATCCTTGCCAAAGTTAGACGCCGAGCATATTGTTGGCGATGAGGCTGACGAAGACATTGAGGACATTGACGACGAGGAGGAGTGGCTACTGGAGCAGGGCATTGACTGGCGGTCCGATCCGCAGGTGCTTCGGCAGCGACGTGAGTGGCTGCAGCGGCAAAAGGCCAAGGTCAGAGCACGGGAGAGGGCAAAGTCGGGGCAGTTCGGCCGAGACAGCAACAGCTCCTTCGGCAATTCAGGACCAGAGAATTTGCAGGATGTTTTGTACATCGCCGAGCCCGGCAGCGGCGGCGGCGCACTGTACTTGTACACGCTGGAATCGGGGCTGCACAGGCTGCCACTAACGATCCAAGATTTGGTGGACCGGTCGCCGGTGCAAGTAAACGGGGTATTGTACACAGGCACCAAGGATACGCACTTTGTGGCAGTCGACCTGAGCTCTGGGCAGCTGCTTAGCCTTTACGAAAGTGAGGGCAGCTCAGGCGCGCGCGTTCTGCTGGGCGAGAAACGCAACCGCGTGCGCATCACACCAACGACTGCAAACAGCAATGGCATACGGCAGAGTGCGTTGAATTGGGACTGGGAGCTGCATCATCGGTCGGTCGACGCGCCGGCGCTGGATGCTGAGATTGATGCGCTGCTCGTGGAGCTGGGTGACGCTGCGGAGACGCTGAGCGGTGCACGCGGGCCAGCCAAGTTTGTTACAACGCACGATGGCGGCTTCGTCATGGTCGAGGCACAGACCGGGATGCCGCTGTGGGCGCAGCGCTTTGACTCGCCAGTGGTTGTGCCTTTGACGTGTTCCGCATCGAAGGCGAGCGCTACGTGGCGCGGCGGCGCGACCTGGCACCGGCGCAACAGCAGGCGCGGTTCCGACGGTGGCGGCAGCGGCTGCATGAACTGGACGCCGCGCACGGCCTAGACGAGCTTCTGGCGCACAAGCAGCAGTCGCAGCAGAACCGTTGGCGTACGGGATCAGCTGGCGGAAATGCTCTGGCAGGCGCCTTCTGGGAGCGCGCGCCGCGGGAGGGCTTGGGGCGGCCACAGATGGCGTATGTGGGCAAACTGCGCGACACGCTTTTTATGCTGACTGGTGACGAGTTTCCGCTGATCGACCACGCGGCGCTAACGTCCTCGCTGCTGCTGGCGCTGGGCCAGGCGCGCGGCAATAGGGCACGGTACCCGGCGCTGCTAGACGCCGCGTGGTGGGATCGTTGGGCGTTTCTGACGAAAGACGCTGTGGTGCTGCGCGTGCTGCATGATGCACGCTCACATTGGTTGGCGGACTCTTCAGGAAGCAGTGCGCTGGCTGTGCCTCTGGAAGGCCGCTTTGAGCAGCTGGCGGCTGTTATTGAGCGGCACCACATGGAAGCAGCCGTGGCAGCGGCCGCCGAGGCCGAGCAGCTTGACGCGCGCGGTGACATTGTGGGTGTGCACGCTATTGGCTGGGCGCCTGATCTTGAGCAGCAAAGGGAGATTGGCGGCGCCGATGAGACGCCAGAACTCCCCGACGAGGGCAGCAGCGATGACGAGGCGCAAAAAACGCTTGCAGACGACGACTGGCCCTGGTGGCGCTATGTCGGCCACTACACCACGCGTGTGGCGGCGTTCATCGGGTACGCTGTGACATTTGCCGTCGTGGCCATGTTTGGAGGAGCGCTGTATCTGCTACGGCCGCGCACAAAGCGCCGCGCACGCATGTGGATCGATGCAGCCGGCGACGATCCCGCGGCACCGGGCAGGCGCGCGAGGCTGCGCATCTCGTGGGCCGTCATGCACCGCATGTGGGCGACGCTCAAGGAGGAATGGCGTCTGGCCGTCGACGACGCCTGGCGCAACCCTAATGCGGCCGCTGTGCTGCGGCGCACGGGCGTGCAGCGGCGGGCGAGCAGCGAGGCACTACTGATCTCCGTGGAGGCTGCTCCGAACACGGAGCCAAAGGCCGCGGCCGAAGAGGACTCTGGTGCTGATGCAATTGAGAACGAGCCCAGTGCGCGCAGCAGCAGAAGCAGCAGAAGCAGCAGCGGCGGTCTGGGCCTCCAACTGCCCGACGACAGCGACCACTCGACGTCCCTCGACCGCCTGCTGGCAGGCTCGGGTGCCGGCACGCCGCGGCGCAACTCGACGGGCACACGGCCGATGACGCCAATGACGCCGCTGAAGCTGGCCGGTGCAATCACGCTGACTGACCATGTGTTGGGCTATGGCAGCCACGGCACGATCGTTTACCGTGGCATGTTCCAGGCCGCGCTGTGGCAGTCAAGCGGCTGCTGCTGGACTTTTATGACGTGGCCGACCACGAGGTGCAGGTCCTACAGGAGAGCGACTCGCACCCCAATGTCATCCGCTACTTCTGCACCGAGCGCCAAGACCACTTTATGTACATTGCACTAGAGCTGTGCTGCGGGTCGCTTGCCGATGCCACCATGCGCGCCCCCAAGGCGCAGCTGGCCACACAGCTGCTGGCACATATGCCCAAAATGCACGTGCTGCGCCAGCTTGCGCGCGGTCTGCACCATCTGCATGCTTTGAAGCTGGTGCACCGCGATATCAAGCCGCAGAAATCCTTGTGGCGCCGCCACCGCACCGCCGTCGTAAGAGCCGCTCGGCCGCCGACCCTATCCTAGGCTTTGGCGACGCGTCTGACTATGTGGCTGGCGCCGGCGCTCCGCGCGTGCTGATCAGCGACTTTGGCTTGTCGCGCATTCTGGACGACGACGAAAGCTCATTTGCCAACACCTTCACCATGCACGCCATGCCCGCCCGCACGCCGCCGCGCCGGGCGCATTTCCGCTGGGCATGATCGGTGGCTTTGGGGGCGGCACCGTTGGCTGGCGCGCACCCGAGTGCTTTGACTCGCCTGACGCGCGCTTTTCCCGCCGCCGCCGCCGCCGACTCTGACCAGCCGTCATGGCCTCATTGCGCCCTAACGCGCAGCCGCCCTGCGACGAGCCCAGCCCCTACGTGAGCCGCGGAACCAAGTCGCGACTGCATCATCTAGCTATGCTCACCCAGCAGCAGCAGCTTGACGCCTCTGCTGAAGAGCCCGACAGCACGGGAACCAACCCAGCCACTGGCAGCAACATAGCCTTGCCCAGTGGGTCGCGCCGCCGCATGACTCGCGCTGTAGATATTTTCTCGATGGGCTGCGTCTTTTACTATGTGCTGTCCGACGGCGACCACCCCTTTGGCGACCGCCTGAGCCGCGAGCAGCACATCCTGGCAGGCACCCCCGACCTGCGGGCCCTGGAATCGAGCGGCATTCCGTCGTCCATAGAGGCTGTCGACCTGATTGCTCATATGGTGTCGCGCCAGGAGCGCGATCGCCCGAGCGCTGCCAGCGTCCTTGTGCACCCGTACTTCTGGGACGCGACCCAGCGCCTGGCTTTTATCCAAGATGTATCAGACTGTCTGGAGGCCGAGGCGAGGCTGATCAAGGCTGCCCGGGAGGATCTCCCCGAGCCCTCTCCTCCATTGCTATTGGCGAAGAAGCCCAAGGGCGCAGCCGCAAAGAAGAAGGGCAATGCCAGCGGTGCGCAGCAGGCAGAGGCGCCGGCTTCGGCGCCCGCTGGGTCTCATGCCATATCGAACGAGTCCATCGAGGACATTATTGCGCGGCTGCCCGTCGAACAGGCTGCTGCTGTGCGTCGCGCTATCACCCTGCTGGACATTTTCGAGCAGAACAGCGAGTTTGTCATGGAGGGCGCGCCGCAGCGGCCGAGCACCGATGATGATGGATTCCAGGTTGTCGGAATGCCGCACTCCCGCGCGCTCGACTCCATGACCGACGCTGTCAGCAACAAGTCCGGCGTAAGGCTACCGAGGCGTGTGCTGTGGGACCGCCGGCTGGATCCGCACCTGCGCCGTGATTTGGGCAAGTTTCGCAAGTACGATGGGTCTCGTTTGCGCGACTTGTTACGCATTATTCGCAACAAAAAGAACCACTACCAGGACATGCCTATGCCCCTGAGAGAGACCCTGGGCGACATCCCCGATGGTTACTTGCATTATTTTGACTCTCGCTTTCCATATCTTTTGCTGCACTGCTATTACTTTGTACTTGAGGATGACAGTCTGAGAACGGCGACCGTATTCAGGCCCTACTTCAGACCACCCTCTTCTCACTTTAGTTGACCTGTTTTTTTTACTTCTCGTTGCTAGTAAAAAAATACACGCACAATTTTAATGGCACTAAATTCTGAGGTCATCACTAAGCCGGTTAGCACAGATTTGACGAACCGGACTGATGGCAATATTCTATGCAAGAGTTGAATTGTCTCTTTTTAATTGCAATTGCTGTCCAAATCCTGAATCCCTCTTGTTGCCACACACATTCTTCTATTTTTTATTCACCCTTCTTTTGTTTATTAAATTTCCACTTCGCATCCTCACTCTCATCCTCACCCTCATCCCTTTGTTCATCCCGAAATGAATTACAATAGGCAAAACAACCCTGACTACAACATCGTGGTCGACGTTGACGACGATGAGCCGGCACTCGAATTCCAGGACTTTGCGACCACCAATCCACACACAGGCCGCCTGAACAACAACTCGTCGGGCTCTGCTCCGCCACCACCGCCATACCAGGCCCCTGGAGCCACATCTGCGGCAGCCGCCGGGTCGCACTCCATTTGGCACACGGAATACTGGACGCAATACTTCAACGTGGACTCGCAGGACGTCGTGCAGCGGAGCTATTTGGCGGTCATCCCCAAGGACTCGTTCCTCGATGTCTACAACGCCAACCCGGATCTCTGGGGCACCTTCTGGATCCCAACGTCTGTCATATTTATTATCTTTGTCACCGCCTCTCTGTCACAAAGCATAGCTGCGGCCCTGGCGGGCAAGCCACACCAGTATGACTTTACAATGCTGAGCTTTGCGACCTTCACCATTTACATTTATATCCTGTCTGTGGGCGCGTTTGTCTACGGAGCGACAAAGTATTTCGGCAGCCAGCCCGGTCTTTTGGAATGCCTCAGCGTCTACGGCTATGCAATGACCGTCTGGATTCCCATTTCCGTCCTGTGTGTCCTGCCTTGGGATTGGTTCAGGTGGGCTATGGTTGCCGTTGGGTTTGTATCCTCGGGTGCCTTCATCATGCGCTCTGTTAACCAGATTGTCGGCAGGTCTGGCGGCAAGCTTCACAAGGCTATTATCCCGCTGATCCTGATCGCTCACGCGTTGCTTGTCATCGTATTCAAGTTCAAGTTCTTCAGCTACTCGGTCGACACCGCCGCGCCTGGTGCTGGAAGTCCCACCACTCCAGCTCCGGCTCCCGTCCCCACTTGATCCAAAATTGCAAGTCTTTTTTTTACTCACTTGCATTCATCCTTTTCAACAACAAAAAATAAATGGCAAGGTCAACATAAACGCAACATACATCGGAATTTTAATTTAGAAAATATCCACTTTTTTCAATTAAGAAGTTAAGAAAAAACTGTTTACTTCTTGGCCTGAGCCTTGAGGACCTTCTTGACGATCTTCTGCTCCTCAATGAGGAAGGCACGCACAATACGGGTACGGACGCAAGTGCTGCAGCGGGAACCACCGTAGGCACGGGACACGGTCTTCTGGCTCTTGTTAAGACGGGCGTACTCGCGGGGACGCAGAGCGGGGATACCGGCAAGGGTGACGCCGCAGTCACCGCAACGGGGACCCTTAGCGGGCTTCTTCACATGAAGAAGACGCAGGTTGCCTCCGGGCGTCTTGCTGATACGGACCCGGTTGGACTTGGTGTTGTACGAAAGACGACGTCTGTAGGTAACACGCTGAACCATCTTTTAATAAGCTACTCTCCGTGTCGAATACCAAGATTAACGTAGCCAAATAAACACCGGGGAATAAGCCGCGTAAGGTTTTTGTAAAAAAAACAAAAAACAGGTTTGTTTTGTTTTGTTTCATCGGGTATGAGTGAATGTGAGTTCAAACGCAAATAAGGAGGAATTGTCGAGTAAAACACAACCACCGTTAGTTTACACCATAGAATCAAGCAACCGCGTTACGAAATCCAACGAATCCAAGAAAAAACCGCCATAAATTCGTTCCCAATCCAGAATCAAAATAACGGCCGCATCCAAAATTCCAAATTCAAGCAATTCCAATTTCGTTTCGTTCCGTAAAAAGCCGTATCCATCGTTCCAACCACAATAACCACCGCGCGTAGCCATACAAATAATAAAAAATAATATAGTTTGGTTAGTAAAAGGTGAATTTTCAATGTCTCCTTCGAGTCGCATCCGCGTCTCTGCCTGCTTCCTAGCACGCCGCATCCATTCCTCGTCGCGGTCGAATCCATCATTGATAAAACGTACCCAGAAAATTTATTCTTAAAAAGAAGGGGGAAAATAATTCGTGCTTGTAAGGGGAAAAAGGCTGAATCTATAGCTCTAGCGATTGCTCCAGCGTGGAATAACAACTGGAAATCCACTGTAATTCGACTTTTGGCAAGTACAGTGTAAAAAAATCGAATTGTTGCTTTTTTCCTACACTTATCGAAATCGTGAGGTACATGCGGGTAACATCCGAATTTTGGTGGCTCGGCTCGGCGAGTTGATTGGCTGATATTTATATATCGTATTTTTTCTACACTTTTTGCCACCTGCTGTTCAGACCGATTTGCAAATGAATTGTTCAATTTGCTTGAATTTTGTGTGTACTTGCGAAAAATAAGAGACAAATAAAAAACTACCGCGCGCGTGTAGCGCTCACTTTCTAGTGCGGCCACGGCGCAGGTAGAACTCAAATGACAGAGCGTGGAACTCTGGGGGGAAGGGCGACGGCACCTCGGTGACGTTGGGCCTGGTCACCGGCTCGCGCAGGAAGACAGTCGAGCAAGTGTTGTAGTTGACCTCAAGATAGTCCGGGATGAACATCCAGGCTGCTGGTAGGACTGCGGAACAAAGTCCAGCTCCTTTGCGCCATTGGCCGGGGCCTTCAGCGTGACGACAGCCTCGGGATCAACAGCAATGACATCGCCATCCTGGACAGTGTGGCTGGGGAACGGCAGCTTCTTTCCGTTGAGCTTGACCTTCCCGTGGATAATCATCTGGCGAGCCATCCAGATCGACGACGCAAAGTGGCTCCTGAAAACAATAAAGTCCAGCCTCCTCTCCATGCACGCATACATCAGAGACGCCGTGTTAGGGTGATTCGGCTTGTCATTGAGCTTCATGTTGAGCGTCGGCAGCTGTGGCTTGAACATCCTCAGCCATTGCTTCTCCGTGATGTTAGCATCGTGGTAGCCTCGTGTGTCGCGCTTGGCTTCCACATGTGCTGGAACAGCGTCCGCTGCTTCATCGTGAAGAGACGCTTTTTTGTTGCCAGCTGGTACAAGTTGCGCGGATTCCACGACATTGAGATCAGCTGCCGTGACAGTTTGAGCTGTTTTTCCGATTTGCGCGGCATTTGTGTGTGTGTATGTGTGAATTTATTTCTATGATTGAGCAAGCAAAGAACGAAACAGAACGAAACAAAAAACGAAAAAGGCTCTATTAATTAGTCGAAATTCGAATTCGGGCACAAGAAAGTTTATCTTTTCACAAAAAAAAGGTGCGCGCGCCGCCATTTCTGCACGGATCGTGATCATGCACAAAAATCACAAAGCTTGATCAGCCAGCTAAATGAGGTCCATTTTTTTGCTGTTCTCAAACTGCTTTGATGATGTGACCTCGACCGCTGAACAAATGTGCACCCTCATCATTGATGGCAAACTCAAGTTGCAACTGGCGTGGTTTCTCCTTTGAATGATGCAGCCCACCCACCTAAAGAAACAGTGCCCAAAATCAGACGGCGCTTTTGGAATAAAGATATTGCGGCAGACTTAAACATGTGTGGCATCATCTTCAACCGCTTCACTGAGGGATTGAAGATTCTGCTCGGTTCACTCGATCAGCGACAAAAGATGCTTGGGACGAATATGCGCAGAGTTTAGCCTATGCCTATTGTCTGCCATCAGATGGGCAAGAGCCCAAGTGGTGCAGAATTGAGGATGCGGCTCAGTAGCTAATTATTTTTTCATCATTTTTTTCATATTCCAGTGGTGTTAACGCCCCATTTATTCTCAAAGCAACTTGGAATAAAGATGATGGCTTTTGTTTGAGTAAAGGGAAAATGCTATATTATTTATTTCTGCTGCTTGGCCTCATTTCGAATTTAGTACGCTACGTCTTCTCTTTTTTGATTACACTTCTTGTTCGCAAGCCGCAAAAGCAAACCATTGCAGCAGCAGCATGGCATCAACAGTTACCCTTCCACTCGCGCCGCTCGGCATGGGCCCCGAAACGGGCAACGCAGTTATTATCCACGCCGCAATAAGCCCGCCTCGCAGCCTCATTTTGTATAGAGCTGGACAAGCCTACTCGGCATACCACCGGCGCAGACAGAACAACAGCACGGAAGCAGACGACTACGAGCAGCACATTCTGCCTCAGGACCTGGCCAGGACAAAGGTTGAAAGCGAAGTTGACATTCCTGAGGCCCTGGCTCTAGACGAAGTTACAAAGGATCTGCTGGATTTGGATCCCGCCGAGTGGAAAAGCAGGATCACTACCTCGTTTTAGGACTGTCATCGCTGCGGTACAAGGCGACACAAGCCCAGATCAAAAAGGCTCATCAGATGCGCGCTCTGCAGTTTCATCCCGACAAGTCCGCATCCACGGGTAACTCTCACAACGAGACATTTTTTAAGTGCGTGCAGCGAGCCTACGAGCTGCTGACCGATCCCGTGCGCCGCCCCCAGTTTGACTCTGTTGATCCAACCATCTCCGACGACATCCCCAAGGCCCGGTTGGGCAGTTCGGGACAGGACTTCTTTTCCACCTATGGTCCCGTATTTGAGCGCGAGGGCCGGTTTTCCAAAAAACAGCCTGTGCCGATGCTGGGAGACATGGATGCGCCGCGCGAAGAGATGGAGGCGTTCTACCGCTTCTGGACGCAGTTTGACTCATGGAGGTCCTACGAGTATCTGGACAAGGAAAACGACCAGCTGGAGAACCGCGAGGAAAAGAGATGGCACGAGAAGAAGAACAAGACCGAGCGGACGCGGCTGAAGAAGGAGGACACAAAGAGGGTGTCGACTCTAGTGCAGCAGGCCATGAGTGCTGACCCGCGCATCGGCAAGTACAAGGCAATGGAGCGCCTTGAAAAGGATAAGAAGCGTCTTGCGAGAGAGGCCGCTGTCAAGAAAGCAGAGTCCGAGCGGCTGTGTGCTGAGGAAGAGAAGAGGAAGCAAGACCTCCAGCGGGCCGAGCAAGAGGCACAGGTCGCTGCTGAGGAGCGGCTTCGGCGCGAAAAAATAAAAAAGGAGTATCGGTTGATTAAGCGGTCAGTGCGCGAAGCCGCCAAGCATTACAACTACCTTCTTGACGCAAACAGCTCAACGCCGGCTGCACTGGCACGGAGGTCGGCTGAGCTCGACTTGCTGCTGGAGAACATTTCACAGGACGAAGCTCTCAAGCTGCAATCTGTCTTTACAAGCGGCGCCCATGATCAAGCGCAAATTATTGCTGCCATGGTCGAGGCCATTTCGGGCGTGATTGAAAAGACGCCTGCTGTTGCGTCGAGCTTCACCTCGTTCACTCGTGGGGCAGACATTGCCGCCCGCGTCAAGCAGGAGAAGCGGAAGGAGGCGGATAAGGCGCAACTGCCAGCAAAGACGCAGCGCGAATGGACGGCCAAGGAGCTCGAGCTGCTGATCAAGGCAACAAACAAGTTTCCCGGCGGAACCATCGACCGCTGGGAGACTGTCAGCGCATGGATGGCGCAGCACGGCGGATTTACTCAGCGCACGGAGGAGGAGCTGCTGCAGAAAACGTCCGATCTGCGCAAGGGCGCCAAGTCCGGCAGTGGGTCGATGGTCAGGGAGCTACAAAGCAAGAAGCTCCACAACGACGACCAAAACATGAAAAATGAGGCTTCCGTGCGCTATGACGGCCCGTCAGAAGCAGCGATAGCAACAGCGACGCCCGCTGCAGCTTTGCCTGTGTCATCTCAGCCTGCGATCAAGGAGCCAACAAAGAGCAAAGCTGTTGCAAAGGTTGAGCGGCCCTGGTCGTCTGAAGAGCAAACACAGCTTGAGAAAGCACTCCGGGAATACCCCCCATCGTACAAGGAGACTGATCGCTGGGACAAGATTGCAGATGGAGTCGCTGGCGCACAAAGAAGGAGTGCAAGCTGCGAGTCAAGTTTTTGGCTGAGCAGGTACGCAGTAAGAAGGCGGGGGCAACGGCAGCCAATTGAGTGTCAAGTGTTGACTGGGGAGTTCTTGCACGTGATTCACCCATTTATGTCTCTCTATGCCTGCTATTTTAGAGACGAGTGTTAAGCTAAATGCAATATTTCGCCGATCTTTTCACAATAAATTTTTTTTGCTTTTTTTGGTTCAACGTTTGTAAACTTGTTTGGTATTTTTATCCTTTTTTAAAAAAAACAAATAGCAAAATGGCACCCACGCAGCTGGCACCGACGATTATCAAGGAAAGCGACCATGTTATTCTCCGCATGCCCAGCAACAATTCGAAGGCAGTGTGCATCAAGGCCAACACGACCATCAGTCTGGGAAAGTTTGGCAGCTTTAAGGCCAATGAACTGATTGGCAAGACCTTTGGCCACACGTACGAGATCGAGAAGGGCGGATCAATTCGGCCCCACAAGCAGTCTGGATTTGACGATGCAGACATCACCGAGGCCAACAACAAGGAGATCAACGACAATCCCAAGTCGCAAAAGCTCAGCTTCGAAGACATTGAAATACTCAAGCAGAAGAGCATGACCGGTGACGTTACCGCGCAGGAAATCATTGCAACGCTGACAGAAAACAACGAGTCCTTTGCAATGAAGACCGAGTTTTCCAAATCCAAGTACATCAAGCGCAAGCAGAAGAAGTTTATGAAGAGCTTTGTCCCTCTGGAGACCAACGTGTACAACGTCTGCGACTTTTTCTTTCAGTCGAACCCGATGAAGATCCGCGGTATCCGTACGGACACCCTCTCACAGGTGCTCAGTTTGGTCAATGTGTATAGCTCTGCGCGTATCATGGCCGTTGATGATGGCCAGGGTATGATCGTCGCGTCTCTGCTTTCACGGATCTCCGAAGGTGGATCTGTCTTTGGCATTCACGACGGCGATGTGCACAGCTACGACATTCTGCGGTACATGAACTTTTCGAACGAGAGCAGGGACCGGCTGCAGACGCTGTCCTGGTCGAAGCTCAACCACACCATGGAGCCGTTCACAGAGGAGCTGCGCGAGGGCTTTACGGAGCAGGATGTGCTTGGGCGCGAGCGCCGCATGCGCGGCCACGCCAAGCTCTCGGAGACGCTGGAAAACCTCAATCGTGGCGAGTTTGACGCGTTGGTCATTTCAAGCAACTACAAGGCCAAGTCGGTTGTGGAGAAGCTTGTTCCCTATTTGGGAGGTTCGAGGATGCTGGTCATCTACGACCAGAGCAAGGAGGCGCTCGTTGAGACGTTTGCATGGCTGCGCGACTCTCCGGATTTCCTCAACGTGCAGCTGACTGAGAGCTGGCTGCGTGAGTACCAGGTTCTGCCTAGCCGCACGCACCCGCTTATGAACACATCGGGTGGCGGTGGATACATTTTGAGCGCAATCCACCTTGCCCCGGCAGCTGTACCTACGCCTGCCCCGGTTTCGGCTCCTGCTCCAGCAGCCACAGATGCTGCCAACAGCAACTAAACTAAAATTTAGACGAGATAGCATCAGCTTTTTAATAAATGATACCACCAGCCAACAATAAATACAATTGATTGTATATCATATTTGTGGTTAAAAGTGGGCATGTTGACCATTGAACTGAACTGAACTTGATTGAGGTAAATTGAAATGAATTGTCATAATATAAAACAGACTATACGGCCATGTTGTCACCCGCTTCCACATCAGACTAGTCATTCTTAATTAAAATACGGGCCCTTATTATGATGGACATGTCCTTGGTTGCCTTCTGGTTTGTTGCCATGAAGCAGCGTGTGTGCCTTTTAAATACCAGATGAGTTCAATAGGTTGAAATTGACCGGCATTGCTGCTGCTGCTGCTTACTGCTAGGCTCGCTTGTGAACAAACCCTGAGACATCAGAGTTATCCTGGTCAGAGTCACCACATATCTAGTTGATCAAACCATGATATGTATTGGAAATGAACAAAGTCACAAAGTCACAAATACGACCACGAACATCGCTTGGTTATATTGAAAGCAAACTATTTAAAAAACGAAAACACAAAGTAGCACATTATCCATGCTTGAACGCACCATTTTGACTCTAGGCTTGCAGCTGCTGCCTGTTCGTTATTCAAATCGACACATTAAACTCTATTTCCTATGCGCTCAATATCCTCGATGCCCAGAATGCCAGATATGTGCTTGTTTCCAATTGCGCTGACAACAGCGCTGGCCACCACCTCGCGACAAAGTGCCGGGCTGGCAGCCTTTGCAAGAGGTGTGCTCTTGAGCAAACATCCGACAGGCGTCCGGTGGAATACGGCATTGAAAGCGCGAACTCCAGCGGCAATCGGAATCGTGATCGGGCGTGCCTGCGAATAAATAAACCCGGGACGCAAAATGATCGGGCGCATGCGATCAGAATGTTCAATCAGATCGTTCTCCACCTGGCGCTTCGTGGAAATGTACCGCGAGTCGAGAAAAGGAAGCACGTCACTGGCCGAAATATAGGCAAAGGCTTCGACACCCGGCACCTCTCTGGCAGCACGCGCCACAGAGAGAGCCGTGTCGCGGTTGGCCATCTCGTACGTAATAGTATGCTCCTGCTCCTGCTGATGTGCTGTGGCAGGGTTGCTGTTGCCGCCGCAGCCCATGTTTATAAACTTCTTGTAGCTATTCTCCATTAGCACGCCGACGGAGTGCACAACAGCAGTACACCCGACCAGGTGCTCTTGGAAGGTTTCAGGCTTAAGCGCGTCGCCCTTGATCCATTGGATGCCGGTGTTTGCTGTCGAAACCGAGCTTGGTGATGTTGATCTGGTGGGCGCTCCATGGCGGCTGAGACTGAGCACCTCCCAGCCTCGTGCCAGTGCGCTGTGGCAGATCGCCTGCCCGATAAAGCCGGTTCCGCCCACGACAAACAGTCTATGTACAGGTGCACTCATACTTTCAAAAGCAGCAGTTACAATATTGTAAAGTTTATTGGAAGAAATTAATGATTTTTGAAGAGCAGAAGAGCAGAAAACAGAAAAAAATGAAAAGCGGAGAAATTCGTGGCTTTTTTGTTAGAGCAGTTGGCAGATGAGTGCAACGTCAAATCAAGCGATTTGAGCGTGGGCTTAAATACGAACCGTGTCATCGTCGTCGTCGATTTACTCTCGCTTCTTTTGTTATTTTCTTTTGTTATTCTAATACCGAATTTCTATTTTGTTTGTCTGTTGCTCTCGCATTTAAATGACCGGTACATCTAATTCGCCAATCACGGTCGCCTCGGCGCCAGGCAAGGTCCTCATTGTAGGCGGCTACCTCGTGCTGGACCGCAACTACAGCGGTCTGGTGGTTGGCACCGACGCATGCCTGTATGCAGCGGTGCAAACACAGGCTGTGGACGTGGCCAACGGGCCATACACCCTAGGTGACCATAAAATAAACATTTCTGTACTGTCCCCCCAGTTCCAGTCGGCGTGGTGGAAGTACTCGTTCGATAACAAGGACAACTCGCTGACCCAGTATGCCAGTGCTGACAATGGCGAAAACCCCTTTGTTCAGGTGGTTATCCGAGTCGTCATGGGACTGGTCAACCAACTCGCTCCGGGAAAACTCCAGGAGCTGCTGTCCGCTGCCCATCCAGCTCTCTGTCGTCGTCGTTGTCATCGCCAAAGCGTGTGGGCCTGAAGATCGTTCTTTCCGCAGACAATGACTTTTACTCGCAGCGCGAGACACTGGAGAAGATGGGATTGAGCTTGGGGGCAGAGTCGCTGAAAAAGCTTCCGCGCATGTGCGAGACCGGAACCACGCTGAGGGGAGTGCACAAGACAGGCCTGGGCAGCTCGGCAGCAATGGTGACATCGCTAGTGGCGGCCATCCTAGTACACTTTGGCATTATCGAGCAGGCCGATCTCCAGCCAGGCCAGGCCGGGTCGGGCAAGCGCGGGCGCAGCCAGCAGCTTATTCACAACGTTGCCCAGTACACGCACTGTCTGGCACAAGGCAAAGTCGGGTCGGGATTTGATGTCTCGGCGGCCGTCTACGGATCACATGTCTACCGCCGGTTCTCACCGGATGTCCTGGACTCTGCTATGGGTGAAAACATCGGTATCGACGGGATTGAGCAGGCAACATCTCCGGAGAACCCCGGGTGGAACAGCGACGTGACTCCAGTGTCAATCCCGCCGCGTTTTATTCTCCGGTTGGCTGATGTCGATGCGGGAAGCAACACGCCCAGCATGGTCAGAAAAGTGATTCAGTACCAAAAGAGCAGCCCGCGGGAGGCCACGGCTCTGTGGAGCGCGCTTGATGTCGCTAACACCAACATCCGCACCCTTTGGGACCATCTCACTGCCGCCGCCCACACCGATAGCGCCGACTACAACCTGGCAGTTGACTGGTGCGCCACGCACAAGAGCTCCGAGTGGAAAAACGCGCCCAAATTTGCCGAAAGCCCATCGCACCAGTTGCTGGTCGAACTCGTTGAGGGAATTCTGCGCGTGCGGGCACTGCAGAGACAGCTCGGGGACAATGCGCAGGTTCCTATTGAGCCCCTCGAGCAGACTAAGCTGTTGGATGCCTGCATGGAGGTCCCTGGTGTTTGCATGGCCGCCGTGCCTGGCGCTGGCGGCTACGATGCTATATTCTGCATCACGCTGGGCGAGGCCGCGAGCAGTGCCGTTGCTGAACTGTGGTTAAGCTGGACAGAGATGAGCGTCGGGCCCCTACTCGCCAACCAGGCATCCAGCGGTGTACGCACTCTGGACCCGGAACTGTACCCGGAGATCATTTCGCAGCTGTAGATTGATTTTAAAGAAAAATTGTAGAGCAATATGTTCACTTCCTTTCGTATTCTACTTAATTGCATTTAACAAGAACAAATACCTATATATTGTTCTATTACTCTTCGTCTTCCTCCTCAACACCTCCCTTCATCACGTTGGCCATCGCAGCCTTGGAAATATCGCACTTTTCGATCAAAATGTCTAGCGCCTGGCTGACAAGCTTTTCAGGGGAAATGGCGCCCGTCGACTCAATGTTGAAGATAAAGTGGTCGCGCACACGAGTAAGACGCACCTTGCCTTCGAACTGCTTGTGACGCAAAACCTCACGGCTTACAGTGTCCTTGCGGGCATTGACAACCTTGGCCTTCTTCACGCCGCCCTCCTCCACAATCTCAACAACGCCCGGCGGGAAGCAATCGCGGAACAACTCTGCGTCCTCGCCGGTAATGTCCTCGAGAATCTGGATGTCCGGCAGCAGCCTGTAGGAGGCTGTGGCCACCGGAGAGTACTTTGCATGGTCCCTGCCGACACCCTTGTCGCAGTGCAGCTCGCAGCTAATCTCCTGTCCTGGGCGCAGCTTGGTAATGAGAATGTTGTCGTGGATGGGCCTGATCGGATCCATCGCGAACCTTTCCTCCTGATCACCCTTGGGCTCCCAGATCAACTGATTGCTGTACACTGAGCTGTTTATGTACTGCACTTTGGGATCCTTCTCGTCGGCCGATGCATTGGGGTTGTGTGTGCACTTGACCTCGAGCTTGAACACCACCGTGTTCACGTCCGTGGGCGATTCCTCTGGCCGCTTCCATTGGAACTGGTCCGGATCGGCCTTGATCGGAATCAGACCCAGGCGGTGTGCTAGTACCTCGTCTTGCACAATGCCCGTGTTGTTGACCATGTACACCTTTTCAATGGCCATTGTCGGGATCTCAGCAATCAGAATGCGGCGCAGAGCGTTGGCGATAGACGCATCGACGCCAATCAGGTCAAACTCAATGTCTGTGGGTGTCACGTAGATGATCTTGAGGTCAAATGACTCCTTGAACCCGCTCAGAGTAAAAGGAATCTGCTGTCCGTCGAAGCTCAAGGGGAAATCTGCCCCCGAGATATTGTCCACGCGGTCTTCCAAAATAATAACGCGATTGCGGTCTGCCAGCGCCATTTTGTTTAATAGGCCCTTTAAAAGTATAACGAAAGTCTAAAATGTTAGAGTTTGAGTTTAAGTGTGTGCGCGTGTGTGTGAATTGGTTAACAACAGCAGCAACAAGAAATAAAAAATCGATTTTGAAAGTTGAATTTTGGAAAGAAGAAAGCGAAAAAAATTGGCAGTGCTTAAAATGGTTTTATTCTCCTTCATCAGTCGTCAAAACTTTTTAAGCTGAACTGCACAAGAAAAAATATAATATCAACGAAAATTAAATCAGATTTTTGACACAAAAAGCACCCAAAATTTTGTCACACATTGTGATCGTGATGGGCGTTAGCATCGACATCGACATCGACATCGGCCTGCTGAATGCCAGCTAATGCTGAGGCCGGAGTCTGAGTGGCTCCGCGAGCGTCCATCCTACGCACAAACTCTTGGTTGGCAGAATTGTTGTCCAACAGGCTCCTCAGCGCGACCACAGCATACTCCTTGATAAACGGATGGTTGTCATCAATCTTCATGTGGTCAAGCACCAGAGCTAGCCCATCAAGGTCACGGATCAGATTTTGGGCATCGTTGTTCTTGTGCGCAGCGTTGCCGATAATACAAATAAGGTCACGCTTGAACATAAATAGCCTACTGATGCTGGATCCATCCTCTATGCCCTCCTCCCTGCTTTTTTGTAGCGCGCTGGCGTTTTCGATTCGCGGCAGGTGCATGCTTAACAAACCAAGAAGTGAGGTAACCTGGGACAACACATTGTGCTCAATCATCATGGCAACAGTCTCGGGGCTACAGTCCGTTGTTAACGACCCGAGAGCGGATAGAGTCGCGGCGATGCACCGGTGCGCGGAAACCACCTTGCTCACCTCCACCCTGCTAGAATTATCGCTGCTGTCGCTCCCGTCACCATCAGCACCGATCCAGACACTCTCTAGCACCGAGCCTACCTGCTTTAAAATGACACCGAACGATTTGAACAGCGCACTGCTGCTGGCAACCATAGCGCGATCTTCCGCGCATGTATTCTCATTGCAGTATACAGCCAGGGCATCAAGAAGCCCGTACATCTCCAATGATGGCGCGTCTTTCAGCAGTTGTGCTAGGCAGCCAAATTCAATAAACTGGCTGAGTATCACATAGAGCATAGTTTTCACGTCCGATTCGTCGTCCTCGTTGTCGCCGAACAGCTCGCCAATCTTGCGGGCAACCAGCAGGCCAGGCTTCACAGAGCACAGCATTTTGGTAAGATCGGGATCGCCCTTGAGGCTGTTCAACAGTAGCATGAGCCCGGCCATATTCGTTTGGCTGTTTATCGATGTAAGTAGACTCCAGAATATAGTTTCGGCACCAGCGCGACCTCCAGGTGCCAGCTCATCGCAAATCAGCTTCTGCTGCTGTGCCTTGTTTCCAGTGACCATGTTGGACAGCGCTTGGGCGGCTGCCGTGGCGCATTTCATTGCCTCGGGGTACTCAAGCTCCAGAGCAATCATGCTAAATATTGTGTTCCTGATGTCTTCTGATATTCCGGCCCTGCTGGCTGTATCCTGGTTGGTCCTGTCCATGGCCATGGCATTGCGCACAAACATGCACAGGCATCCGAGTGCCTCGCATTGTTCTGGTACAAGTTCGTCGTTATTTTCAGTGCTGTCATCGCGCTTCAGCAATTTGAAAAGGCCATGGATCTCCAGCCATGCCGCTGGATTGACTGTCGTTGAAATATGGGGTCGCGAAGGGTGCGGCGAGCGCTGCTTGTATTCGGCGCACTTTTGGTAGATATCGCGGGTGTCCTGGGCTGTACTGTCGAGTGTCATTTTTATTAGGTGCAGATAAATAATAATACTAAAAATATATATGCAAAACAAAAAATATAAAACAAAAAAGGTTATGAGACCTGCTTTCTTAACTCGCACGCAAACGTGTGTGGGGCTTTCTTATGAAGAGTGATCGATCTTGTGGGAATATTTTAATACTTTTTTGCGGAGACCGCTTCGTTACACACATAAATGGTGGCAAATATTGTTTTATTCTGTTTGTTTTAAAATGGTTTTGTTTTTGGGATTTGGCTTACACTATATCCAACTGCAAAGCATAGGAAAAAGCCATGTTGCAATCGGCGAAATAGAAGCCTTGTTGATCTTGGCGTGCTTTTCGGCACTGGCCATGGCTTGGGAAAAGCAAAATCCCGATCTTGTATGCAACAAAAAAAAGCAGAGGAATAAATCCCTTTGCGGTTCTTTGTGCTCCAGAAACCGGGCGCTCCATAAAATAGCCGGACCAGCAATTTGACATAACAGCCTTACTAGGCTTCAAAATGGAGACGGGAGCGCAACAGAGGGGATGGCGCCGCCGGAGCATGGTGCTGTGTATGCCCAGTGCTCTCTGCCTTCAACTATGGTTTTCCGATGCCTGTGTGCAGTGACCGCATCATATATTTGCTTTTTTTTCTTAAATTTATTTATTGAGCTCGTATCCCAGTACAACCAGATGTCAATTAGTGGCAGTCACATCCATCATTACCACTACCAATATTTGTAAAAAACAGTTAATGAGGTTAGATGTACAGTACCGTCAGCGCATGCAGGCTCAGCAGGGCGCCAAACTTGGGGTCAATTGTCGCCACCTCGTCGTCAATGGCTGTCTGGTCGATTGCAATTGTTGCCCAGTGTACCGGCCGTGTTTGATCAAGCAGATGAGCCACATCTTTATGTTGTACAAACACCGCCTGGAATTGCGCAATAGTGCCCGCAGTTACTGCTCCGCCGCGCGTATATATTACCCACTTTATATCGGCATCCATGTGCTTGATATAGCTGACCCAGTCGCCAATTCCGCTTGCAGTGCTTACCACCAGAACACGAGCCACAGGATCGCTGATACTATCCGAATCAACCACATCAAATAGCTTAGAATCTGCATCGGCATCGGGTGACTGAATGTACGAGCCGGTGCTATTGTCGGCAAACAGATCGTCAAGGTCGTCAAAAATGCTGTCAACATCATTGTTTTCCTGGTCGACAGCCGGCGCTTCTAGCTGCCACATGTGCCAATAGTTGCCTAGCATATCGTACATCAGCGCTGCTGCGTCTGGCCTCGCAAAAATATTAACCTCGACTGGCGTAGCGTATGCACTGCCCATTCCAGACACCACGCCAAAAGAGTGCAGCCCGATCTGTCCATGCATGGTGCCAGCACACCTGCCAGCCAGCGAGGCAGATGGCCCAGCTTGCCGCCATCGCGGCTGCACACTGCGATAGCGTTGCTGTCGTGCTGATTGTGAGGCTCTCTCACAAGATCCACGGTTTCTCCTATTGCGGCATTGGATGAGTAGTAGCGCCGGCCGACGATTAGCGCGCTAAAATGACCGTAAAGAGCGGTGGCGTTTGGGTTTGCCAGCATATTTTGTGATTTTATTTCTAATTTTTTGGAGTGACTATGCTGAAGATAACAGTATTGCATATATTACTACGGATAAGGACTGGCTTTAAATGACGAGACCCCACCAATGTATACATACATACACACATATAGTATGGCAACTTAGCGAGCGTATACGCTATGTTACTTATTTTAGGTGCGCGTACATGTAATGCGTGAGCTCAGCGCCAAAAAGGCTAGAGACCAACGACCAATGCAAAAAGAAAAAGGCTTGTTCCAGCTCACGTGTTTTATTTTGACCCCGCCCATCATACCTCGGCACGTAACCCAAAACTGCACCGGCCTATAAATATAAATCGCAAAATCCGGGCCCTTTGGGCCACAGCTTTTTAATGATTTCTTTAAGGATTCACGACGGCTGCCACGTTTTTGAGTCGACTTTTCGATGACTTAAAAATGCCATGGGCACTTTGTGCCCACAGCCTCGGAGACGGTAAAAGAGAGGACATTTTAGGAACCCGCCCGCACAAACTCTGTGTGCGGATGGGGCCATGCGCCTCTCATATTCCCACCATACACAAAACCAAACAAAATAACAAGATTAAAACAAAAGGCTGCTAGCGCAAGCGTTAGTCAACTCAATGACTGCATTGCGCTAGCATATTGCCAAATGAATGCGTTTTCGTGAGTTTGTGTGGTCGCAGCATCAGGACCAACAAGCACAGCTGTCAGTTCGGTTGTTTTCTTGCTTCAACAATTAAGGCAGCTTTACTTTTGCAAGTGGGGATTTCTGAAACGACGTGAGCAGAATATTTATTAATATATTTGTATGTGCTGACTGCGTGCAGATTTAAGCACTTCGTTTTAAACTTGGAAGCAATAATAACACTGCTGCATTCAAAGAAAAACATGTGTTTAAAGTTACAAATACACTGAAATAAGTAATAGTGCGTAAAGGCATGCCAAGATGACTGCTTGTAAAGGCACTCAAAAGCTGCCGATAAGGTGCATTTCTTCTTTTCATAGCCCCGTTTTATTGTTCTAATATATTTATTTCGCTAGGATGGATTAATTCATACATGGAAACGCATTACTCATATATGCTTTTTACCAGGCATACTATAATAGAAATGAGTTATAAACCTTCCAACTTGTAAAGCCTTTTGCTTAGCAGCAATATATTTTACACGGCGTTCGGTTGGCAAAACCGGATATGGAATATTGTCTCTACTTCTAGCCATTGGCAGTGAAATGAAGATGGCTCAAGGGTCAGGCCAAATAGTTGGCTCAATAGACCACCCCGAGCAGTTGCCGTGGATTATGAACGACGCGATGCGCGCAACCATTTTATTTAGCCGCAAGTTTGATAATCGGTTTTACTGGAAAGTCGTTCACTCGTGTGCGCCTACAGAGAACTTGAATGCGTGGCCTCAAAGTTGTTTAGCTCTTATTGGCAAGTGGGGAACAACATATCGGGTGGCCAGCATGCTCGGCTGGCCCTGGTCAGAACGGTATACTTGTGCGCAGACATTTACATTTTGGACGACCCACTATCTGCAGTCGATACTCATGTTAAACGCCATATCCTCGACACTGTTTTGCTTGGCAATGGGCTTTTAGTTGACAAGCTGCGTGTTGTTTCTACAAACCCAGAGCACATTTTTCCATACTGCAACCAAATAGGATCAGTCAGCGACAAAAGTATTGTCGTGAAAAGAAGGCATCCAAAAAGTATAGCCTAGGCCCACTGCCAAACAATGCATTGGCTATCAATACCAGCGTTGTCGATAACTGTCAAAATGTATTTAATGCAGAGGAAAATTAATTGAACAATGTCAAGATACCTAACAGCAAGCCAGCTTTTAATATAAAGTCGAGAATGTATTCTAAATCTCAAAAATCAACAAATAACAAGGCGTTGCCCACCAAGCGGACATACTAGGACGACCTCAAATTCATTATTAATATATGTGGGCTGCCAGCACTAACAATATCCGTGGTTTTGTCCATGTTAATCTCAATAACAGGGTATATAATCGACAAACATAAGATAAAAAGTATTAAGGGTAATTCAAACGCGGTTAAACTCGCAAAAGCTACCATCTCAACGTATTTTCAGATGATTTTGTTTAAAGGGTTTGTGCAAATGCCAGCCTTATATGCATGTCCGTGACTGTTTTGCAGCATATTAACAACAAATTTGTTGCAGAAAGTACAAAAAACAATTTACTCAAAGCATGATTATGGTGCCACTATCGTGTTTTGACAGCAAACCTCGACAACATATTGAATCAGCATACAACAAATGCACACATACCATTGCATATCATGTCCCGCAGTTTATCCAGTAGACACCATTGTATGCAATTAATACAGCACCTTTGTTATATTGCATACTCGGAATGTCGCCTCGGCTGTTGGTTATGTTCATTTTTGTCTCATCTATGTTTTCTAAGTGCAATTTTATACTGGGTCCAGGTATTTCTACTCCGCTGTGCAATGTACAACGGAGTAGCAATATCAGTCGAAAGCCCGTTTCAGATATTGTTGCTGACGGAAGGCAGATGATTCGCATGTTTAGCGTCGAGCCCCATTCCACATTGCTTCATATTGATAAAACTGATAATGAAAAGCACATTTCCAGACGGCTATCTCTTTTTAATGTATTAAAGCATTGTTTAACAATGGTGTTTCCAACGTCAGCGATATGTTTATTACCTGCACAATGATTGTGGTGTCAAACACCACTCGGTTTGGGATGATATCTGCAGATTCTTCTATCAACAGAGATATGACCCAAAATGCTATAGGCAGTGTAAAGCAAATAATTGATTTGCCAAGCAAAGCATGCCATTTTACTGACAACATAAATATTTACAGAAAGCTTATTGCCATACCCCGGAGGCTTCCTATGCCATTGGCAGCTGTTGTTCTGAAGCCAAGTGGCTGTCAAATAGGCACCTTGAATTTAAAAATTATAGCTTGAAGTATTGCAAAGTTGGATCCAGCGCTGAAAAACATTAATCTAACAGTTAACCCTGATGGGAGGACTGGCATCGTTGGTCGCACTAGTGCAGGGAAGTCTACGCTGGTCAAGTCGATGTTTAGGCTGGCGCACAGCAGCGCCAGTGGCTCCATTGTGATTGATGACCAGGAAATTGCTCGATTAGGGGTAGGTGACCTGCGGTCGAAACTGTGCGTCATCCCGCAAGCGTCGACCATGCTCAAGGGAGATGTGTAACGCTATTACCAAATGTAATATTGGCAGCCTTATCCAGCCTCCTTGCAAACACGGGGGTAAATTTTCAAGCAATTGCAGAGAATGCAAAATAGCCAAAGACAACGAAATCGCAGAAAATGAGGACGAGGATGACAAGGGCATCCAGAAACTGCTCAGAATATATTATTGTGTATGTTTTTTACTCGCCTTGGAACGGCAATATTAAAAATTGTCGCCACTAGTCTGTTTGTTTAATGAAAGTTTTATATATTTTAAATAACGAAAATGTTCAAAAAAGAAAACAGCCACGCAAAGACCACCCAAGCCGGTTGTGACAGCATCAACATCACGGCATGTGTCTTCAAAATTAAACCCCACTCTAGCTACTTTACATGGGAGTAGCAGTAGCATTGGTGAGCTGGGACTCCGATGGCGAGGCCAGCGACGCATTCGTCATCTTTTTATCCTGATAATTGCCATACGCAGCAACACTGGCATGATAAGCACCAACAACACCCGTGCAAACTATGCTGGAGATCAGGCTCGCTCGAGGCCCACCGCCGATCTTAAACAGCATGCCACTAATGGCAGCAGCGCCAAGGCTGTTGTACTGGTCCCGGGTGCCGCGATAGCTACCGATGGCCGAGTTTATGCTGTTGTAGAACATACCCAGAATACCCAACGAGTTTCCTACAAACGGTCCACGACGAGTCATAGAGTTGAGCACGCTGTTCAAACGGAGCTTAAAGTTACCGCCATGCTGGCTCCGCAGGCCCTCCAAGAATCCCCATGCGCCACCGCTAGTCAGACCAAGGATGTACATTGAGCCCGTGCCGTAGCAAAGATCGTCACTCCACCCACGGCTGGGCATGACTCCACCAGTGTATATCGGACCCTCTTCGAGGTTGAGATACTCGATTCCGCCAGGGCTGGCGATCTGGTTCAGCTGTGCCGAGGAAAAGTCAACCTGACTCAAAAACTCGGACACGCCGCCCTGCACCTGGTCAATAGCAAGCGATGTCACTGCAGAGCTTGGCAGCCGTGTCGATGATCCCTGTGCCGGGGACGGAGCTGTCTGGTAATAGCCCTTGCTGTTAGTCTCGACCTGCTGATCGCTCAGAAGCGTCGTGCTGCTGGTTGCCGATGTAGAGCCACCCTGCTGCTCTTGCTGGCCCTGCTGATCCAGGGACCCAGAGCCGCCGCGAGAAAACACTGAGAAAACACCCATGATTTTATTTTTGCGTTGCTGTTAGTACAAGCAGTTTGAAAGAAAAAATATTAACAAATTAGAAAAGCAGAAAAATATGAAAGGGGGGGCTTATCTCAAACCTTGCCGAAAAAATGTGCAACAGAGAAGAAAAACAAACGACAGCTACAAAAGATAAATAAAAGTGACGAGAAAGATAAAAAAAGAGTAACTAACAACGAGCAACGAGCAATGGAGCTAGACTTGTCATTTGGTTCTGCCGCTGTCCCGTATGTTCATCTCGAAACGCCAATTTTTTACTCTTTCTTTAAGCGCGCTTGCTAATCTCGCTCACGACCCCAATCAAAATTAGGGTAAGCACACCGATCAGATCATCTCAAATCAATATTTGTGATCAAGATACCATTACGTTTGCAAAATGTGCGTTTTGCGAAAATACATGCCAAAAGATGCTTTGGCAGCGTCGTCATCGAAAATGAGAAGCCAAATAAAAAATTACATTTTGTAAGGTACCTGGGCTGCTTTTCTTTGTTCGTCTGTTCATTTAACACTCTTAATTTCATTGAAGCGATTTATCTCATTCAGATTCCAAGTTTTCTGCCTTTATATTTATATTATTATATTACATTCCCGCTGTTTACATTCGCTACGATTCCAATTCTTTAGTTTCAGCTCCAGCTCTAGTTTCAGTTATAAACGCAGCATGGTATGTTTGCACTCTTTACCAAGCATTGTTTTTAAAATAAAACACTAACCGCTTAATTTTGGTGTTAGCCCAATCTATCCTGCCACTGCAACTAATGAATTTGAATTACAAACTTTTAGGGTAACGCTCAGTCTGGATTCCCCGGAGGTCCGCCAGGTGGCGGCAAGGACAAGAAGAAGGAGAAAGAGAAGAAGGCGTGGCAGCCACCTCTGCCTACAACTATTGGCCAGCGCAAAAAGAAGAGAGGGGGTGATAGCGTGATCAAGTTGCCCAAGGTGCACCCGACTACTCGCTGCAACCTGAAGCTTCTCAAGCTCAAGCGAATCAACGACTACTTGCTGATGGAGGAGGAGTTTGTGCAGAACCAGCAGCTTCTTAAGCCACAGGAGGAGAAGACGCAAGAGGAGCGTGCGCGCGTCGAGGAGATGCGCGGATCGCCCATGACTGTTGGCTCGCTCGAGGAGGTCATTGATGACAACCATGTCATTGTGTCGACGTCTACGGGGCCTGAATACTATGTGTCGCTGCTCTCGTTTGTCGACAAGGACCAACTGGAGCCTGGATGCTCTATTCTGCTGCACAACAAGACGATGGCCGTTGTCGGTGTGCTTCAGGACGACGCGGATCCGATGGTCAGCGTGATGAAACTCGAGAAGGCGCCCACAGAGTCGTACGCAGATGTAGGTGGCTTAGAACAGCAAATTCAAGAAATCAAGGAGGCAGTCGAGCTGCCACTCACACACCCAGAGCTGTACGAGGAGATGGGTATTAAGCCGCCAAAGGGTGTCATTCTGTACGGTGTTCCTGGTACGGGTAAGACGCTGTTGGCCAAGGCAGTTGCCAACCAGACGTCCGCCACGTTCCTGCGCGTCGTCGGTTCAGAGCTGATTCAAAAGTACCTTGGCGATGGTCCCAAGCTTGTGCGCGAGCTGTTCCGTGTGGCCGAGGAGAACTCGCCGTCCATTGTGTTTATCGACGAAATCGACGCTGTAGGAACCAAGCGGTACGACTCGAACTCTGGAGGTGAGAAAGAAATCCAGCGCACTATGCTTGAGTTGCTCAACCAGCTGGACGGTTTTGATTCCCGCAGCGACGTCAAGGTCATCATGGCCACAAACAAGATTGAGTCCTTGGACCCCGCCCTTATTCGACCAGGCCGCATTGATCGCAAAATCGAGTTCCCGCTTCCGGACGTTAAGACCAAGCGCCACATCTTTGGAATCCACACTTCGCGAATGACTCTTTCGCATGACGTTGATCTCGAGGAGTTTGTCATGTCCAAGGACGACCTTTCGGGTGCTGACATCAAGGCCATATGCACAGAGTCCGGCCTGTTGGCGCTGCGTGAGCGCAGAATGAAGGTGTGTAATGAGGACTTCAGGAAGGCCCGCGAGAAGGTGTTGTACCGGAAGAGTGAGGGCACACCCGAAGGTCTTTATCTCTAGATTTTTTCTTTGCAGTATTCAGTATTATTTTGCCCACCCTTTAAACATGACCACATTTTGCGGGCGCGCTGCTGTTTCCAGAATTACGAAATAAAAGGCTATTTAGGAGAGTGAGCAAAAAAGAGTTTAGCCACTATACGTTTAATTAGAAAACCAATGTGTTTTATTGAGCACAAGCGACGAATAGTAAATAAAGTAAAAAAATACATGTAAAATATGCCTCTTCACAATATGTTGTTCATCTGCTGTAAAAACTTTTGGTACTCGTCGTCAATCGAGCTACCAGGGCCCCGCGCAGCAGTCGTCGGCGGCTGAGAGTTGACCAAGTTTTCTGGCACTGCCTGCTGCTCGCGTCGCTGGCTCGACGCAGTGCTAAACTGAACGCCCGCGAGTGGTCGTATTGTGTCCAGCAGACTGCTGCTGGTCGCCACTGCTGTTCTCTGTGCATTGATCGAGCTGTTGCCAGTATCTGCATCAATCTCGGGAGCAGCATTGACAACCATCATCGGGGCCATGGGCACTGCCGCAAGCACTCGTTGCCGGTCATTTTGTTTGCTCTTGCGAGCAATGGCCGCGGGGACCAATGTCGTCAACTCCTTTTTGAGATCACGCACCTGTGGTTCAGCAGCAAGCACCGTGGCCGAATGGGATCTTGCTGGTCTCAGCGGCCTTATTAGGTGCAGAGGAGGAGGCGGCGGCATATTTGGCCTTGCGTGAATGAACGGCGGCACAGGTGGCATATTTGACCGTATTGCTCCTTGAGGATCATATGGATGTGGTGGCCCTGGCCGATAGCTGCTGCTCCTGGGGTCGCTGCCGCGCTGGAATAAAAAACGCTGCCTCTGCTGCTGCTGTTGGTTTTGATTTGTAAACGGCGGTGGTCGGCAGTGTGCGTATTTCTGAGGGTTGTTTTTAAGGTACATTGGTGATGGGCCACTGGGAAGCGGTGGCCAGACAGAACCACCACTAACATTCTTTTCAAGAAGCGGCGGTGTTCCCGGGGGCATTGGTAGCATTGGAAGAAGCAGAGCAGTGCCCTTTGTCGCGGTTGGCTTGACAATAGCTATTGTAGGTATCCCCAAGTCGTCTAGCTGAGTACCTTTGTTGTGATCCAAATCATCATCATCACTATCATCACTCGAGGATTTATATTGGCCACCAATTACAGTACCAGCAGCCTCGCTCTCAGCCATTGGGTCGTATCCAGCGATGACATCTGAGGTGTTTTGCTCGCGGGGCTCGATGCCAGCCTCTTTTTGCTTATCCTTCACCTCCTTAAGTTCATCCTCCATCCGTTGAAGTTTCTCCTTCTCGCTCGCAGTCATCTTGCGTGTGCTCAAAATGCCTTTGTATTGCTCGATTTTGCGCTCCATATTGCTTGTATCCTTGTGCAAAATCGCCGTTTCGCGCATCTTCTTTCGGACGTCCTTGTTTCGCTTTGAATCCCGGTCTTGAATCCTCTTTCTGTGTGAAGTGGACGGATTGGCGCCCAGATAAGCGTCATTGGCCATTGTTGCTGATCAATGCTCCAATTAGAAGTCAATGTGTGTGTATGTATAAATAAGGTGCAAGCGAGCTATCCATTGATAAAATAATAAATGATTTTGCAAAAAAAATGCAACTCAAAGTTAAAATAACAGTTACTGATTTCACGTGATATAAATCTAATATGGTTATATCACGTGTGGATATTGTTATATTTTTTGCCAGAATATTGAATTAAGTGCTGTTAACCGATCAAGCACGTTAGCTGCTGACTGCTAACTGTCGTGGCCAATTGCAGGCCGTGGCAGCTGTATCAGATTTGCCACACAAATTGCGGAACAGCCAATAAAAATACTAAAACCCAATTCCTGCTGGGCCATTTTAGACCAGCAGGAATTTAGTATTTTCCAGCTTTTCGCGTTTTTTTCTTCTTTCAATTTGAATGAAAGCGCGGTGTTGCAAAAAAAAGTTTCTTAAAAGACAAACGTTCTTCGACTTATATTTTATTTTTAATCAGCTCGTTCATTTTCTTTGCCTTTTTTCTTCTTGTTTTTCCACTTTCACCGCACGACCACATCGCCACTTTCCTTGCACGTTGCTGTGCAACACCATTCTGCTCACTCATTCTTCCGAAATCCAAGCCAAAATTGGCTTTTAAATTCATTTATTAAAAGTCTTTCTTTTTTCATTTCTAAAACGCGCCCTTACTTTTCACCTTAAATTGAAAGACAAGCCTACGCACCAGTTCATATTGCACACGCGTCTGTTTATTTTATTTTTGTTTATATATGCAAATGGGCCAGCCTCGCCTGCGGCTAGTAAATAAGGAGACCGATAACCATGATGACGTGACACCGCCGGTCTCCCCTCACGACTTACCGAGAACCCCGGTGACGACCAGCCGACCAAAGCGAGCGCGCAAATTCGAGGCACACGCCGATGCCACACTAGCGGAGAATGACCTTACAGAGGCAGACATTGTTGCCGCGCGCGTCAAGGAAGAGTGCCTGCGTCTGTACCAGGCTATCAAGGAGATGGAGAAGGAGTAAGTCATCTACATTGTGTATTTTGCACTTTCGGCATGCGAACAAAGACTGTACAAATAGGACGAGTATTTTTTGTGTTGGCAGTGGAGGATTGTCATGGCTGCGCCATTGTTGAATTGGCTTGCATGATTATATACTATTTGACCTTCTGACATCCTCATATATTTGTGTCGTGTATCGAGTGAGTTAGTGTGTGTGCACATGTACTTTTTTGTCTTTATACGGGAGGATCGCAGATGCATGTCCATATTAGACACGCTTTTTTGGCTGCATCTAATTTGTGTATGTTTACTGCCGCCTTTGTGGGTACAATCAATTTCACTGGTCTGATTTTTTCTCGACACAAATATTTTTGCTTATAATAATTGTAGCGGAGAGCCCGCGTGTATTCCTTTCAATAAGCTGCCGCCAAAGAAGGACTACCCGGACTACTATGTCGAGATCAGCCGCCCGATCGCATTAGACATTATCAGGAGCCGGATCACACGCAACATTTACAAAAGCGTCGCCGATTTTGTTGCCGATGTTAACTTGATGTGCAGCAATGCGCAGCAGTACAACATGCCGGGCTCGGAGATCTGTGAGCTGGCCGAGGAAATCAAGAGCAATGTGAATAGACTGTTTGCTGCCAGCATGCCCACGAACATGCCTCCTGTGACCAGCCCGACTTTTCACATAAAGCTTAAAGTCCGCGAGGAGCGGGCCGCTCAGAGCAATGTTGTCCCGGGTGACATCCCCACATTGCGTGATAATCAGAATGCCCCAAGCCAGACCGTCATCTCTGCGCCCAAGCCCAAGCGCAAGCGTACCAAAGACAATGTGCCAGACAATGCCGAGAGCAATGACGCGGATGATGCCGCAGCAACGCGGCCCGACGCTGCTGGGGTCATATCAACACCAGCCACATTAGGCAGTGCGATAGACGAGCTGTTTCAGGCCATTTACGATGCCGATCTCACCCAGGCACTCCGAGTCCTGGACACACCCGGGCTGCCCCTCAACGAGCATCGCAAGGTCGTGCTGAAGGATCAGGAGATCGGGTCCACCGCCAACGACAATTACACGTGGGCCCCAATGCATGCTGCGGCGTGCTATGGCAGGCTCAAGGTCGCGCAGGTGCTTTGCGACAAGGGCGCCGATATCGAGGCCGTGGACACAATGCATAAGTCTACGCCGCTGGCCTGGGCCGCATACACTGGGCGCAAGCGCCTTGCAAAGTACCTCGTGCGCTCATTAAACGCCAGCGTCAATGCGAGGAACGCGCACGGCCAGCTTCCCATCCAGATTGTGCTGGATCCCAAGAACCCCAAGTGGGCTGAGTTTTTGATGCCCACCGATGGCTCAAAGGTCGACCTGCCGCCACCCGATGAGCATGAGTCGTCGCCAGAGCCCAAGAAGACACCCGTCAAGCGGCCAAAGGCCCGCTCAAGCGAAAATTTGCTCGCCAAATCGCCATCGGTGACTAGTCCCTCGGGGTCGGCCTTGATATTGACACCAGCCTCGGCATTACGGCGTGCCAATGATCAGACCGCCCAGCCAAAAGTGGCCTTGCTTTCTTCAAACCCGCTAGCGATAGCGTCCGTCACATCTGTTGTACCTTCGCGGACTCCCGGCCAGCAAAGCCCGGCGCCCACAGCCTCGTTTCCCGGCCCGCCGATCCCCCAGTGCATTGGCGGCATCGGTCACCAGGAAGTGACACATTCGCAGATGACCGACGCGATGAAGGAGATTGTGGCACAGCTCATCAGCTTTGAGGACGACGAAGGCACTCGTTTGGCCGAGGTCTTTGAGGACCTCCCCGACCGCAAGGAGTACCCAGAGTACTACGAGGTCATTATGCACCCGATGGCGCTCAATCTGGTGCATTCCAGAATAGCTGTTGGCTACCGCAGCTTTGACGCCTTTAATTACGATATGATGTGGATATTTAACAACGCCACATTTTTCAACGAGTCGGACTCGCAGATTTACCAGGACGCGGTGGTCTTGGAGAAGGAGTACAAGCGTGTTTGCCGCCAGGTACTACAGAAGTACGGTATTCCGTTTGACACCTCGTACAATGATGCCGTGGCTCCTGAAGGCCGGTACGTCAACCGCATCACTGCCGGCGATAACGACATCTTTGTCGGCGACTTTATCTACATCAAGTCGGGCACCGAGATGCGCATCGCCATGGTAACCAGGCTGCGCATGTGTGGTCTAAACGATCGGCGAAAGTTTATCGACGGGCGCTGGTTCCTCAAGCCCTCCGACATTCCCGAGCTGGCTGGCCAGCCTGTGTACCCGCACCAGCTGTTTGCCGGCCCGATATTTGACAGCCATGGCGTGCGCGGTATCAGTGGCAAGTGCTACATCTTGCTCCCCAACGTTTATGCGCGCGCGTACCCACAGGGTTATGCCGCTCAGGATGTCTTTATTTGCGATAGCCTGTACGATCCAGGCAGTGGCGAGGGCCAGGCAGGCACGTTCAAGCTTATTACCAACTGGGCACACTGCTTCAAGACCCCTCTTATGAAGCCACCGACATTTGTCACGTACATTACACCGTTTGTGCCTAGCAGGCGGCCTATCGAGCTGTGGAACGCTATCAACCTACTGCCGCACCAGGGCCTCACTATGCTTAACCGCGACGCCGCACGGATACATGAGCAGAACCAGGCGCGTGCGCGTTCTCAGTCCCAGCAAGCCATCATACAACAACAGCAGCATCATAATCAGAATCAGCCACAGCAGTCCGTTGCGGAGCCAAACATGGTTAGACCGCCCATTCAGCTGTCGGCACCGATGGCTGCACCGATGCAGATGAACACACATACGGGCATGCAGATGAACACCCAGGCCAACATGCAAGTACCCATGCACATGCAGCAGGCTCTCCAGCCCAGCGGCAACGTCGCTCATATGCGCCCACCCAGCGTGCAAACCCCGCCCCCGGCCACTAACATTACGCAAACGTACAACCATATAGCTGGGCAGCATCAGCAAAACCTTTCCAAGCTGCAGGCGCAATTGAACCAACAGGAAAACAGCATTCGTCACCAGGCCATGGAGCAGCTAACACAGGCGCAGAATCTAAATCCAAACTACATCGGGTCGGCCCAGCACCAGGCGCTGATGAAGCAGCAGGCGCAGCTCATTGAGCAGGTACAGCAGGCGTATTTTGCCCAAGTAACGCAGCACCAGCAGGTGTACAACCAGCAGGTGCAAATGCTGACCCAGTCTCAGCGCTATCCTCCGCAACAGCAACAGCAACAGCAACAGCAACAGCAACAGCAACATCAGCAGCAGCAGCAGCAGAATCCAGGCATGGTCCCAACTTTATCGCCAATGATAAACATGCCTCAGTCGGTGGGCTCTGTCAACCATGCATCTCCGGGGATGGTCCCGCACAGCCCAGGAATCAACCAGATGATGATGTCGTCGCCCCTCGGGCGGCCAGTACAGGTGATGATGTCGACGCCAATGTCTTCGATGGGCTCGGTACCGCTGTCAGTGTCCCAGCCAAATATGCCTGTGGCGTCTGTAGGTATGGTCAGACTGAGTGCTATTTCTGGACTGTCGTTTGCCACTCATTCACCCAGCTCTAATGGACAACCGACATTCGGCATGGCACCCAACTTTAACCATGATCCACAGCACTTGGTCAATGGCAGCCACCCCAACTTGGTCGACAGGGCCCAGACACCCATGAGAGCCCCGAATGGCACTGCTGGAGCTGGACCGATGGGAATGTCATCGTCGACCCCTTCAGGCGCCAGTGCGCAAGCGATGATGTCTATGTTTCTCCAGCATAAGCAACAGCAGCAGCAACAGCAGCAGCAGCAACAGTTCCAGGAGCAGCTGCCCACCACGCCGAAGCCAACTTTTACGCCGCTGTCTCCGGATTATGGCAATGCAGCCAACGGTCATCATGTCGTCAATCAAAATGGCAGCTCGCTGTCGACCCCCACGCACGGCCAGACCCCAGGCATGCTTCCAGGAATGATTCCAGCCCCAAACCAGCAGCTGCTTGAGGCCTGGAAGAAGAGCACACGTGTGTTCCTGACCCACGGCAACGCCCGCATCTCCAAGGAGCTGGGAATTCAACTGGCAGCTCCGGACTCGAGCCTATTCATGCACATCTCTCTCGGCGGCATCGACACCAACCACGCGCTTTCAGTGCCGCGCTCTGCCAATTCCATTCTGCTGCGCCCAGTACCCGGCCCCTATAGTGCCAACGGCAAAATTATTGTCATGGTATCGGCCAACGGCTCTCGCCAGCAGCCCCGCGAGATTTCTGACAGCAACGCCCAGCCCAGCGACAACGGCTTGGCTGAGGACACGCCCTCCATGGCTAGCGAGGAGGCCGACAAGGACGATTCGCAGGCGGTTGGCGCGCTGATCAAGAGCGCGAACTTTGCGTATGAGGTGCCGCTACAGACCGGAATGAACTTTATTGATATTGAGGTTTTAACGAGCGAGTGGCGAACTGAGGCCTTTTCGGGCGAGGGCTCTGACCAGCAGGTGCCGCCGGCTCTGCTGCCAAACTCACCCAACCCAACACAGACGTCAAAGCACTACATGTTTTTCTTGACGCGCAACTGAGTCGTGTTTTCTTTTACATTTCTATTTGATTATCAATTTTATCCATCTTTAGTTTAAAAAATGAAATGAATTATATATTTTTTTGTAAATGTTTTAAGTTTGGGTCAAGTTGCAAGATATATTCCGCATTGTTATTGCTTGGAGTTGCCCAAATTGATCCACTTAATATAATGCGCAAATACGAGCTATTCGCTGTCTTGCAACTCGAAGTTGTCGAGGTTGTCTAGTGACTGAGAAACCAGTGCCACCCTATATTTAAAAAAATATGCACTATATGTGATTTAATAATATTCATATTGACATGTCCATTTGCAAATATCGTTAATTGATTAAGAGTGTAAATGTACCTTTTGGCCAAATTGTGAGCGTCGCGCTGTATATTCGAAAAAAGCTGTTGACGGCTGGTCGGTGTATCGGCCTTTGCAGGAAGATTTGTCGAAATGGGCTGGCTACAGAACCAATAAAAAACAAAATACGCATAGATTAACAAAAATGTAACTTGTGTCTGGTATAGCAAAAAAACCTCATTCCAAAAAAATTGTAAACTATTATTTTTAATACTGACCTTTCCAGCGAAACACCTTTAATCGAAAGAATAGCGGCTGTCTTTTCTGATTCCTCAGAGATGTTCCACTCATAGTCCGACACCATAAATGTAGACGTCAAGGAGCGCACCTTTTCCGGTCGGCATTCGTCACCTGCCATATTAACGACCACAGTTAATGTGCCATCGTCCGACCCCAGGGGCATTGGCTCGTCTTCGAACACATAAGTTATGTTGGCGGAAAAATGAGTCAGCCCCTGTGATTTATCTTGCAGCTGAATTTGGACTTGTTGTGGCAGATCGTAGTTAGACATTGTAGTAAATATATGAATTTAGATTGGATAATGTGACTGTAGTTGGGGGAGGGGGGAGGCGCCCAGCTTGCATTGCCCTATTAATTAATTAATTAATTTATTTATTTATTATGGTCAGTTATCGTGATAGGGGTTGAACGCTCAAATATGCTACAGAGTTTTGACGGAAAGACAGATAAAAATATGGTGTGGCCAGCAATTGGTTGGTATTCGCCAACTCTATTTGGTATTTTTTGCCATACATGGTTTATTTAAGACAAGTGCTTGTATTAAATAAACTAAGATACGCAACACTTTATAGAAAATTTAGTCAGCGGCCATTACTGATTGTAAATGTTCGATTGAATTTTTTCGTGGCTTTCTAGCCATTCTGTTATTATTTATAAATAATTACAATAAAAACAAACATCTACACTTTGAATTTACCACAGCAATATCCTGAGTGGCTATTGGAACATTTGAAACAAATCACTTTGCAAAAAATAGTGTTTTTAATGATATACATTTCAAATATATGTAAAATTATTTCAACCACTCATTCACTTATTCATTTGTTAAATACATTTTTTGTTTAATTAAATGTCTCCAGTTGAAGACTAACAATTGTCAATGTTTTATAGATTTCAAATCAATGCAGAATGAATCCACCATAGAAAATAATTTTTAAAACTAGAGATTGAGTTAAATAATAATGCTTTTTAATATGTAATTATAAATAAGATTATAATATTGTTACGCAGCCCGAGGATATGGAGGTAGACGCTAAGGGCAAGAGTCACGAGACAGATTTCTGCCAGCTTGCTGATAGATTTGATAATGGCCAAATTACAGGGGACTAAATCAGACGCCAGTGTTGATATCCAGACATACTTTCCGTCTCAAAATAGATGCGCTGAGCGCACGAATACAGGTACGCCAATAATTCCATATCAGGGACCCAGGTTACTTTTATAAGGACCAGTTCTCGCAAACGGAGCACACAACTTCCAGTGTGTGCCATAAAGACATTGAGACACATATATAGGATGAGGTCGACGATAATAGTACTTTGGAAACATTAGTAACAAACCTCTTTATAACTTAACACCTATCCTCTAACACTGTTACAATAGTACTTCCCACACACCCCCTTTTACATAACAATATTATAATTTTAGAGTACATTGTAGCTAGGAGGGGCACATTCCATGTTTGTTCTGTATATAGACCAGGTATTTTATTTTTTATTTTACAAAAGTGTAACATAAGTAAATGAAATGTCTCCAACATTCATTCTTCATAAGTATATATACATTTAAATTATAGCATAGCAAATGCTAACATTTAGAAACTTTGACGTATTTACCGTTGTTGTCATCTTTGTAACTATAGCCGCAGCAGTTTTTATATTGCAGGTGTGCAAAATATCTTCGAGCTCGCTGGACGATTTATTGGGAAACACACTTGGGCGTCTAAGCAACCTATACTACGAGTATATTATATTTACAGGCCAGATGGTTTCCGAATCCCTTCAGAGCAGCTTCAAATATGGGCCAATTTACCTCGCCCAACCCAACATAATTAGTATCAGCAACTCCAAGGATATCCGCAGTGTCCTTGGGTCAAGTAAATTCCACAAACATCACTACTACACTATAACGAAATTCACCAAAGTCAACAGTATAATCACCACGACTGATCCAAATAAAGCCGAAATAAAGCTTTGAATGATGCAGCCGTATTTTACTCCCCTCGTATATGGCCAAAATGGAGCCGTTAATTTTGGAGCACGGGATTCTCCAGATAAAGAAAATCTGGGACACGGCTACCGCAAACAACCAGGAGGTTGGCCACAGCCAGGCGTTCAATCTAAGTGCATTTGGTATTATTTCTCGGCTCGGTTTTGGAAAACAAATTTACCCAGATAAGGAAGGAGATGAAAATGCTACGGAAACTTTAGAGTGGATATACAAGGTGCCCCTGTACTTGTCTCTCCACGGTATGCTCTCTGTTCTGCCCGAGGCTTTGTTTAAAATCGCCAGGTAGCCCTGGGAACATCATTATAAGAGATTCAGTGGGTATGTTGACCAGGCTATAGGTGAACGCCGTGGGTCCTTGGATAAGCACAGGGAGCAGGTGGATTTACTCCAGGGATTACTTGATTGCGAAAAACCCGGATCAAAGATGAGGTTTACCAGGGATGAGATCCACGCCAAGGCATTTATTATTTTACTAGCTGGGATTGATCTCACAGCACAAACAATGAACCTGACGATGTAGTTTCTTTTGCTCTATCCTGAATGCCTCAAGAGAGCCAAGCAAGAAGTAAGGGATACATTCCCAATGACTAATTCATTATCTAGTTCATTCGGTAATTTGTTGAGGTATGCGGAAATAAAGGTACAGCTGCCTTACCTTGAGGCATGTATCTACGAAGCAATGCGGCTTCATCTAACCGCCTGCGTCCAGCTTCCGCTCATAAGCCCTCATAAAAGCTTTACACTACAAAACAACGAAGACCATTTTCCAGCAAAAACATCCATGTTCACTAATCTCTGGGAGGGGGGGGGGGTCTCACCACAGCTCAGCAAACTGGGACCATTCCAAGGTGTTTAATCTCCAGAGCTTCATCGATACACCGAGGGCCAAGCACTCTGTGCTTGAGTTTGGTTACAGCCCGTATGTCTGCTTGGGCATGAACCTTGCGTGGATGAATATAATGCCTATTTTGGCTAATATCCTTTGCGACTATGATATGGAGTCAGCAAAGGATTATACTTTCAGGGGACCAGGGGGTTCTGGATTCCCACGGGGTTCCTAAATTGGCACCAATGTCGTTCTTTCTTACTGCTAAAGTCAAGTACCCGGAGAGAGACTGCAGACTGGTCATTTCCCCCAATACAGAAGCGCACACAGCTGTGTGAATAAGAAAAAAGAAGAATCCACGTGATGCTAACCCCTAAACTCGTCTTAAGAGCAGTGGCGCGAGTATTATAAGCAAGGGATATTTTCTTTTTACGCGTACGCGCGCGGGCTTTGAAAGTGAAGTTTCTCAACTAATCTGGTTCCACAATATTATTCAACATTATTCGATTTTCACCATGTCTTCAGCACTTTACACGCCAGGAGCGGCGGTTGAGCAAGCGCACGACGACGATATCTGGCATTGTAGCTGGATTCCAGGGAAGCACCATTTGGTGACAGCAGGGTCAGACGAAGTGGTGAAGATCTGGGATGCACAAACCGGCGACTGCATTGGCACATTGAAGGACAACGACTATGCGATTACCTCTCTTGACATCAACGCCCAAGGAACCCGCATTCTGACATCCTCGATGGACAACAAAATGCGCATCTGGAACATCGACGACGCACTCTCACGTCCTGGCGGCGATGGTGGTGCGAAGAAATGCAAGCCGGCTTTGGTCATTGATTCGGGACCCATCAATGCGTGGAAGTCGCGGTTTGTGCACCAGGCTGGCGGCGGAGAAGCCCGAGGCAGCAGCAGCAACAGCAGCAGCGCTGGGCTTAAGGAGATTCTCGCGTCGAGTACGGACTCGGGCACGATCAAGCTCTGGTCAGTGTCAGACGGCCGGGAGATACGCGAGCTTAACACGTCGCGGCGCAGTTTCATGTATGCGTTGGCGGTGAGCCCCGACGGCACCAAGGCTGCATGCGCAGGTGTTGGCAGCCACATCTACGTGTTCGACATTGAGTCCGGCGCACTCTCCTGCACGTTCTCGGGGCACTCGGACAATGTGCGGTCGGTGAGTTTCTCTGCGGACTCTACTCTTTTGGTGACGGCTTCGGACGATAAGCAGGTGCAGCTGTACGATGTAAGGCATGGCGTGGCCGTCACAGCGTTCTCCGGCCATCACGGGTGGGTGTTGGATGCGGAAATCCACCCTGGTGGCATGTACATCGCATCGGCGTCGTTGGATACAAAGGTCAAGATTTGGGACGTGGGCCAGCGCAAGTGCATGGAAACTCATGGCCAGCACTCGTCGGCTGCGTGGAGCGTTGCGTGGCAGCGGTCGTCCGATGATGTCGTGACCATGAAGCCAATGCTGGCTTCGGTGGGCGAGGACCGCAGCATTCACTTCTACGACCCACTGCTGGCCTGAATAGAAAGATGGCTTTTTCTTTTGCTGTCGGCTTAGCTTTTTTTGGTGTCAAAGCATTTATTTAAATCAGAGAGCGGCGTGATGCCAGCGGCGTTTTCGCAGCGTCCCTTGGCTGTGTGCTTGGTGCATCGGGCGTTCTCTTGGCCGCGTGGCTACGATGCGACGAAATGGCCCTGCCCACACGCCTGCTGTGGTGCGACGCTGGCGCAGCTGCCCCGCCCAGCCCAAAGCCCGCGGCACCCATTGGGCCCCGAGCGCCGGCATCCTTGTCCTCGGCCATCCTGCGCACAAGCGGCAGCAGCGTCTCATTGGTCTTCTCGGCCGCCCACCCGAGCTTCTCGCCAAGGAACTGGCGCAGCAGGTCGAGCTTGGGGAATCCCCAGGCGAACGCCGCCTCGGGGGATTCGTCGACCTGCGGGTGGAAGTACGCATGCGCGACGCGCGCGTCGGGGAACGACGCCGGGATGCTTGTCTTGCGCACCACCTGTGCGAGCCTGCGCCGCAGCGGCGTCCCGACCAAGTCTCTGGGCACCTCGATGCCCGGCACCACGTCGCTGACCGCCCGGCACCACTGGCCAAACGCCCGCAGCGCATCCAGCACCTGCGCCTCGTCATCCCCAGGCCAGTGTCGGCGGCAGCAGCAGCAGCACTGGTACCAGCACCGGTGTCAGAAGCGGCACAGAAGCGGCACCAGAAGCGGCACCAGCGGCACCAGAAGCGGCACCAGAAGAGAAGCGGCACCAGAAGCGGCACCAGAAGCGGCACCGCCAGCACCAGCACTGGCACCACCGCCAGCACCAGCACTGGCACCACCGCCAGCACCAGCAGCGGCTGCCGGGCCAAACTCCGCCAGAGCCTCCATGGCCAGCACAGGGCCGATGCCCCGGATTCCCACAGTATAGTCGCTGCCGAGAAGGTAGGCCAGGAACACAAGGTCGCGCTGCGCCAGGTTCGAGTCCGCGTAGATGGCCTTGCTCGAGTACATTTCGACAAAGCGGTCCTTCTGGAAAAAGTGCCGGTAGACAACCGTCGACTCGCAGGACGAGAACACAAACGCATCCGAGTCGTCCGTGACCATTCCATCGACCAACCCGGCGCTAACCAGCGCAGCGCACTGCGACTCGGCCTCCATGGGCGCCGTGACATAGGGGATTCCAAACAGCGTCAGGAGCATGCGGATGTCCTCAACCATGTCGGCGCCGATCCCCGACGCGTCCCGCGTGCTGTTGCGCACCCGCGCCCGCAACGACTGCATCTCGCCCTCGAGCTCCGAGCGCATGGCCTCGTAGGACGCGCCCCGGTTCGTCGAGCCGTTGGCAGGCCCGCGCAGCTTCTCGATAAACAGCGCGTACTCGTTCTGCTCAGCCTCGCCGACATCCAAGCCGCGTCCCTGTCGTCGTCACCGCTATCTTCATCCTCGCCGTCGTTGTTTTCAGGAACATCTGCTTCTGTGGCTGTCGCTGGGCTGGCATCGCCAGCAACCGATGTGCCGTGTGCCGCTTCGACATTGATGAAATCATCACTGATCTCCGACCGCTCGTCGTCGTCGTCCGATATGTAATCGGCATCGCTGTCGATGTGCTGCACCTTGTTGGGACCCTGGCTGCCGCGGGTGCTGCCGCCGCCGCTGCCACTGCTGCCGGCGGCCTGAATGCCAGGCCTTACGCCTGTGGCTGCATGCTCTGCGAGCAGCTGCGCCTTTCTGAAGATGGTTTCGCGATGCGCCTTGGCCACATCCTCCTCGGGCTCCCTGGGTTCCGAGAATTCCTCCCCCAAGAGTGCATCGCCAGATCCAGTTGCTGGCTGCGGCTGCGGCTGCGGCGGCAGCAGCATGCTCGAAGACATCAGCAAGCCCATGCCCATGCCCAAGCCGCTGCCGCCGCCGCCGCCGCCGCCGCTGCCGCCGGTCTCCTCCGCCTGGTCAAAGATACTCTCGCGAGCAGCACTATTAGCACCATTGGCGGCATCCTCAAACCCGCGCATGCCAACGCGACGGCCATCATATTCTTCAGCAGACTGATACTCGCCGCCCCGCAGCCGCCTCCACTGCAATGCGCACCCCAAGAACCCAGACAATAGCGACAGGCACGCGACACGCGCCCGCACAAACTCCAGCCCTCCACGGTCCTCAAACACAACACACGGTCTCCCACCCATCGCTATCTCCGCCATCCACTCGTTATCGATCTCTGGCTGCTTTTCCAGTTGCCTATTGGTGCTCCAAACAACATTGCCCAGGGACTCCAATGCCTCGTCATGGAACCAATACCGCATTCTATCGTAGATCGACGGATCAAACCCATACATCTCAGGGGTCACCAGCCGTGACCACTTGTCCAGAAACTCTTCTGCCGTCAGTTCCATGATCAACTGCTGCTGCTTGTGCTCGCTATCTCTCATAGCTGCCTCCTGCGCGTGTTGCTCGGCTTCCTGCATGTACGTGTCATGGTCATGGTCATGGTCATGGTCATGGCCCTGGTTGTTGTTGTATTCGGAGGAGGGAGAGCTGGATCCAATTTCGTGGATGTCGCTGTTAGTGTTGGTGTAGATGAAACTGCCGCTTTCGTCGCTGGAAAGCGCATCTAGGTCCACAGGCTCCGACCCAAAGCCCCCTGGCGCTTGCACACCGGCAACATGTGAATGCTTGGCGATAATCGATTGCTGTAACTGATAATACTGCTGCTGCTTTGGCTGTAATAGCGGCTGGTCGTCTGACACTAGTTCGCGCTCGAGTGCGTCTTGGCGGATATCTCGGTCAGCGCCGGAGCGAGGATCTGCGTAGGGAGAAGCGGTCCGCAATGCTAGCTGTCCCCCAATACGCGCCGGCGAAACATCCTCGAACAACTCATCATCAGACTCATCCGATCCGCCATCAATGCTGCTGCTGCTGTCCACCACGGCTATCGGGTTCCTTTTATCGCCCGGCTCCGGACCTCCGCTCTGACCGCCTCCTCCCATCTTGAGTGTCCATCCTCCAGCCGGATCATCGCCCTTGATCAAAACATACTCCCGGCTCCTCTCTCCAATAACCCTCCCCCGGGCAACCTTCCCACCTCCACCCACTGCCGCCCCCATAGCCCGATGGGCATTCCCTGTGACCTGCAGCCACTGCTGTGTCAACGTATTGCGCTTAACAAGCAACTCAATCTGCTGCTTACTAAAGTCAAGCGCATTCCCAGAAGACCCCAGCATACGCTGGAGCCGATCATGGGAGGTCTGACGAGAGCGCACTTTCAACGCAACAATGATATCGTGTTGGTCTTCGGCGGATAGCGCTTGAAACTCAGCCGAGTCTATGTCGATGTCGATGTCGCCAAGGTTACTGCCAAAGGTGTCCGGGTAACGCGTAGCTAGATCGACCAGCTGCTGGAGATCCTCGGGGTGCGCCATGCGTAGGTCGCGCTCATTGGCCGTGCGTGTCGAGAGAACGTCTTCGTGCATTGGTGGTAGCTCGTATTCGTCGCGCTTGCGCTTCTTCTCGGGGCTCGGGGTCATCGGACCTGCCGTCTTATTGTTGTTGGCGGATATGTGCGCGCTATGTTGGTAATATTAATAACGAATGTTGTATGTGTGTGCATGGGATAGAAATTTTTTGTTTTTTGTTTTGTTTTGTTTAGCATGTATTTGCTCTGTCTCTTCCCATTACTTCCACAGTGCACCACAGCACAACTACACAGCATTATCCACGCACCTTTACTAAAACTTTGGATTATAGCGGGTTTGGGGGGGTGTATAGTGAAATGGGATGAACAATGGTAGTACAAAGCCAGTAAGGGGGAGCACCACCGAAAAAACATCCATATTATTTGCAAAATAACTCACCTTGCGTTTGTACCCAAAGTCGCCGCTGCCACCGCTGACCCACCACTAATCGCGTGCAGCTTAATCTGTGTCTGCAACAAAAGCCTTGCCGCCCGCTTCGCATCTTGACCCTCGCCTCTCTCGCCCCCTTCTCTCCCCAATAGTAATCCGCTTAAGCTCTGGTGCTGTACCATCAAAAACAAATACCGGCCGGATATCGTAGTAGAGTAGCTTGCAGATTCGCCGATAGAACCCAAGGATATGCGCGTCATCCAGGGGGTTTCCTTCGTCATCTTTCATTGCTTTGAGAAGTTGGTAGAGCCATATGGATGCGTCGATTGCCAGTCGTTTGTGGGAGAGCGTTTCGAGTCGGACTGGCCGCGCTGCGGGTTCCAATAGTGTCCAAAGTCCCTTGACTCCCATGATGTTAGTTTATTTAGAGTGCAAGCGTATGTTGAGGATTGTTTTTATATGAAATGGAGTTAATAAAGAAAGAGAAATTTATTTATTTATTTATTATTACGAAATATTAATGAAAATTTTATAAATAAAGAGAAGAGTGGAATTTTTTTATTGCGCAGCTGATTATTGGGAGGTGGCGTGTGTCGTTTTCTTTTTTTTTTGTGCACCACTTTTTTAATTTTTTTTTGTTGCCCAAAAAAATTGCAAATCTCTAAAGAAATATGGAAATTTAAAGCAGTAAATTAAAAACAACAAACAGCGAATCGTAAAAAGAGCCCCAAATATTTTATTGAAAATTTTATTTTATTTATTTTAAAACAACTCCCTTCCGAGTAAGGTGCTAAAAATAAATAAACTGATAAAAAATGTTTTATTTACATCGTTAGTATATTTTGAATAAGAATATAAAATAACTAAATATGAAAATGAATTTTTTTTACGATTCATACAGTTCATGGTTGATACGTATGTGGTGGTCGATCTGATACACGTCCAGTGCAAAGTACTCTGGGCAGTACGGGCAATGGTAGACCTTCAGGTTTGGTCGAATAACCGGGCGCTGATCCTGATTCTGCACCTGGTAGTCGTAGTGAGCGTCATGGCAGGGTGTTTCTTTTGTCTTGCACATCTCTTGCGTATGTGTGTTTAAATAAATAAATGAAAGTAGGTATTTTGTATAAAGATATTTGTGAAAACTCAAAAAATAGAAGAAACAAAAAAATATATATAGATATATAGATATTTGAACAGTAAAAAAATAAATGCAAAGGAAAAATTTAAAATTGAGATGAAAGAGAAACATGCAGCCCCAGTATCATCATTGAACAAGGAGAAACAGCAACATCAGTAGCAAAGAAAAACAGACAGATTCATTATGAACGAAAAAACAATAAACCACCCATTTTTTACCCGCCAGTTTTGTCAAATAAATAAGCACACACAAAGGTGTCAAAATCCAAACTGCCACACTTCACTGTGAAATTTTATCTTTCTATTTCTGAATAATGTTATTAGAACAATTGTCTATTAATTTTTTATTGGGAAAATGCGTGCGGATAGAATTTGAAAAGCAAAAATGCTGCAATTGTGTATATAGTCTTCCCCCCTCCTCCCTTTCTCCCCCAAAAATCTCTAATGGCGGCTAAAAAAGCCGTTGTAATTAGACAATGCTCGTCATTTACGCTGCCTTGGTGCCACACTGACATATGTAGAATAAAGTTGTTAGCAAAACACATTTTTTTAAAGCCAATATCAATCAATTAAATCGAATAACTAAATTTAAATAATGACAACCTGCATGTATGCGCATTCCACACCGCCCACTGACCTGTCTTTGTCTTTTTTCTTTTGCTCTCACGCGCCACTGATCCTATCAAATGCGCTAATAAAGTCTGACATACTGAATGCATCTGCAGATTGGTTCTGGCGCATGGCCGCCAACCCAGCTTCCCTGAACAGCTGCTCGAGCCCTGCTCCGCTATATCCTTCGGTCATCTGCGCGAGCTCATCAATGCACACATCATCATTCAATGGTGAGTTTCTTCCCAACGTCTGTAGAATGCCCACGCGGTCTTGCAGTGATGGCATATTCACTTTGACGAGCTGGTCAAATCGCCCTAGAAATTGCACATATAAAAATGAATTTTTAAAACATTGCATGGCGTGGCATTGGAAAGCCAGGTTTTAATAATAATAATTTTTCTTTCTGAAACGCAAAAAAAAAAACCGAGCCATCCTTTGTTGTGCAAAAAATGAACCAAGTAATCAACAAGCATACAAAGCGGTCGTCATATTTAAATTTGCAAAAAAAATTCTTACCTGGCCTCACAATAGCGTCGTCGATTCTGTCCAATTGGTTAGTGCATCCCACGGCAATCACGCCCCTTGTCTCATGCACACCGTCCATCTCATTAAGCAATGTGCTCAGCACACGCAACGCCGGGCCGCCACTTTCAACTGAGGACCACTCGCGCTTGGCCGCTATCGAGTCAATCTCGTCCATGAAAACAATACACGGTGCTGCCGCCCGCGCCGCACGAAACAGACGCCGAAGCCGGGCCTCTGTCTCACCAAGATACTTTGAAAAAAGCTCTGACCTAAACAAAAAAAGCAAAGAAATAAAACAAAAGTGATTAGTGTGATTTCTTGGATAGTTCAGCCGTCCATATGTCACGAATCTAGGCTCAAAAAAATTTCAAAACATCAGTTTTGGGGGGGGGAAAACCTTACCCGCGGATATATATCACATTACAGGCACTTTCGCCAATCATAGCCAGCGCCATGGCTGTCTTGCCGCACCCTGACGGTCCGTACAGCAAGATTCCCGAGGGCGGATTGATGCCCAAGGATGATGAATTTTCAGTGGTAGCCAGTCGCATAAACCGCTGCAAAGACTGCTTGATGGTATCGTAGCCGCCAATATCAGACCAGCGCTTGGTTGGCCGCACACCTTCAAACTCCATCTGCTGTGAGGGCCGCACCGCTTGCAGAGATGCCGCGAACTGACTCCAAGATGGCAGAGTGTCAACCTGACAAGTGCCGGATTGCCCAACACTTCTCTGTGCAATTGCCTCTCCGGGTTGCAGATTAAGTTGTGACAAGTCCGCCGCCAGGGCATCCACGCCATTTGTTTTTATATCGCGCGGGTTTCTCTCACTAAGCATGCGTAGGAACGCTTGTCGACAAAGAGCACTGATATCGCGGGCGACGTAGCCAGCAGTTGAGTTGGCAACCCTTCTGGACAAAGCATCGATCTCGGCATCGCCGGCCATTGCCTGGTTGTCAGACCCTGCTGCCGCTGCCGCCATGAGCCTCCGCATGATTGAGTACACAACTTCCTCGCGCCGTGGAAGCGTGGGCACAGGCACCAGCTGACAATGCTGCAGCGCGTCGCAGCGCTTGGCACCTGCCGGCATATCTGCCGCCTCAACGTTGGACTCGAGCACGAGAAACACATCAGCGGGGATGTTTTCGCCAAACTTGCAAAACTGGTCATTTAATCCGGTCAGCTCCTCGGTAAGCTCCTTGTCATTCAAGGTATCTATACGGTCCAGTACAATAACCGATGGTGCAGATGCGCTTGCCCTGTTGGCAAGATCAGCCAGTGCCATTGATATGTACTCGTCGGCAAAGTCCGTGCTCGTGGCATTTACGATGATGTCGCTAAGGTTGCCGTAGATAACCGGGTATTCAAGCCGCTCGAGCGCAGCATTGATTATGGTGGTTTTGCCCGACCCCGATATACCGGTCACGCAGACCGACTGCAGCGGGTTGATACATAGGTGTTGGAACTTATCCTTGTTGTTAAAGTAGCTGCGGATCTCGCTGACCAAATTGGCAGCCTCAGGTTCATAGCCCGGCACTTTATCCCGTATATTCTGATCAGAACCCCCTTTTATAATGGTGAACTGTGTCTCGCGTCCAACGACTCCGTCCGCAGCGCATTCCTGCTGTGATTCCGATGTCTCCCGTGTCTCCCGTGTTGCGCTGACGACAACAAAGCTGACATTTTGGCTGCCAATGAGCAATGTCACTGTCTGGCCCTGTTCTAGTTTTGACCCCAACAGCTGACGCCGGATGGTGCGCTGCCACCTCTCGGGGCAATACAGATGAAGATCAGCATCCTGCTTCGGCACGCAGCTTGCCTGACAATGCCAGGGTATGACCATGTCTTTGCATCCTTCGGCTGGTCGAATAACAACAATCTGCAGCGCCTGGTTGATATCCATGTCAATGTCTGATGGTGCAGATTTGGTATATAAAGAAATATGATTTAAAAAAGTGCTATTGGAACGGCAGATCCGCCACACAAGCTGGCTCGCTCGAGTTGATAGGCGCAGCCTGATCAAGCAACTTTATTCGAGGTTTATGGGCTGATCAAATAACTTTTAGCCCGAGCCCAGATTTTAATCGCAATATAATCTATTTTCTCTCTCCGAGCCCAGATTTCAAAAGGCGGTAAAAAGATACACAGACTGTGGTGCCACAAGATTAACCCAAAAACTTATATTATTTGTTTTTTGTTTTAATTATGAAGCACCACCAATATTTATACAAACAAGAATGCAAACTTACACAACAACCTTACCTTTACAACTCACTCACGCATAATCACAGCCTATCAGTAACAACATACAATGCCCTCGCCGCGCGTTGAAATTCAGTATTGCACACAGTGCCGGTGGCTACTGCGCGCCGGATGGACAGCGCAAGAGCTACTGACGACGTTCATAGACGCCCTTGGCGAAGTCGCCCTGGTGCCAAAGACAGGCGGTGTGTTTGCCATCTACGTCAATGGGGAGCTTGTTTTTGACCGCAAGACTGAGGGTAGGTTTCCCGAAATGAAGGAAGTCAAGCAGCTCGTTCGCAACAAGATCGCGCCAGAGATGGCATTGGGCCATAGCGATACAGCTGTCAAGAGCCAAGCACAGAAGCTAGAAGAATCGCACAGTTCCTCCGCTACCTGCGAAACATGTCCTGCGCCAGCACCAAAGATCGAATAAAGTACGGTTTTGAAAACAGCTTTGTCTTGTTTGGGAACCAGTGAGCAAAAACGATACATTGTCAATTCTTTTTTTGTTGAGCGTTGGTTTGTATTAATAAATTAAATATAAAAAAGAAGAGTAAATGTATAAATGATATATAAGCGGGCGCTCAGTAGTTCTGTGTGACGTGCTGGTTGTTGCTGTAGTAGTTGCCGAGCTTTCCAGCCATTGTCTGTTGCTGGAGCTGCGTTTGGTATTGTGGCTGGGACTGGGCGTGCACGCTGGCCATCAGCCCGCTGAAGATCGGCCCCTCATCGTACGACACCAATGGCACATTGCCACGAGCAAACAACGCTGGCTTGGCCGCAGTGTACGCGCCGATATCGAGCTCCGGGTTGTCCATCTGCATCAGCGGGAACTGGGCGCTCGTTATATGGGCTGCGCCGCCAACATGTGCCGGACGAGGCTTTGACTGCTCTGTGACCTGCAGCAGCGACCCCTGCGTAAATACATTGCCATCCTGCGCCATTATGTTCTGCATGGCGCGCGATGCGGCGAGTGCCTTGCTCTCCCGGGGCTGCGCTAGCAGCGAGCCCTTGGCGTAAAACTCCTCTTCTGGCGGCTGGTTTGCCCTGGCCTCGGCAGCTGTCTTGCGAGGCCTGGACAACAGCGTTCCGGGAAGGAACAGCTCCTCGTTAGCCTGCATGTCGTCGTTCATGTCTTCGGCATGTGTGCCGGCACCGGGCGTCACTTCCTTAAAGTCGCTGACGTCCACGCCGCCCTGATCGACTAGCCGCACGAGCGCCGACGGGTCGTGCTTGCTGGCTGCCGCAATACGATTTATCGACGTCACGAGCTCGGAGGCAAAGTCCGAGTTTTCTTGCCCTGGCCGTCAGCCTCGTTGCCCTGCTTGTCAGCCATCAGATCAACCAGAGGCTTATTGATGGGGGTGCTGTTGTCAGCACCCTTGATAGCACTAGCCTCGACAACGCGGTTCTCCAGCACTTGGCGGAATTTGATTTGGTTTTTGGCAAGCCGGAATACCAGCAGCCACTCGCGCAGACTCTCCAGGCTCTGCACTGCGAACCACTTTACGTAGTCCTCATCGGGCTTTTCAAACATTTGCATCGGCATCTCTGACTTTAGGCCAAACACAAACCTGGTTGGCGCTCCTCGCAGCGGCTCAAAGGGCGTGTATACGTCGTTGTTAGTCAGCGTCAGGTAGTGCGTGCCCTTCTTCGACTTGCTGCGGCTGTCCTTCACATAAATCATATTGTGGTCCTGCAGCCGGAACACGCCCTTCTGCCACTTGTTCTTCTTGACCCGGTAATACAGCATGCCCTGAATGGCATGGTCACCCGGCTGCACGCCGCCAAGAAGAGTCAGCGACGACTGCTGCGAAAAACCCTTGACAATAATGTAGTTATTGCTCCGCGGCTCCCAGCTCTCGACCAGCCCCATGAGGTTCTCAAAGTGGTTGAGTGGCCGCTCGATGCCAAAGTACTCAACCAACTCAAACAGCGCCCACGAGTTCTTTTGTGGATCAATGATCCCGCTTTTCTTCATGTCGTTGATAATCATCTCGCAGGTTGTGTACTTTGTCAGCGCAAATGTGTAGTAGCGCTGCGCGTCCTCCACATAGATGCGAATCGAGATCTTGCGCACCTCAAGCACTTTGAGCTTTTCCAGCGCCTTTTGCACCTTCTGGCCGCGCGTAAGCTCGACAGGATTCAGCGGGGGCATACTCAGTGGCTCCAGCTTCAGCTGCGTGTCCAAGTCACCAAGGTTGGCCGGTAGATTGGCTGTCAGCTGGTTGAGCGGTCGGCTGTCATCATCCAGCGCTGCACCATCATCGTCTTCGAAGTTCAGGGTCGACATGATAAGCTCGTCGAGTCCCAGGCCGCCTCCGCCAGTCACTGAGTCCTCCAAGCCCGTGGTGAAATCAGAAATCTCTAGCGGCTTGAACTCGATAATATGTTTGGGCTCAGCCTCTGTATCCCCACAGTCAAGGTGATCGCTCTGTCCGCTGTAGTCGACAGGTTCAACCAGCCCGTTGCTGATGGCTAGGCCCCGGCGCATGAGCGCGAGCGAGAAGCGCTTGCGAGCTGCCAGACTGCCGCTCATAATGCCGTCGAGATCGGTCAGCAGCTGGTCTATATCGCCATAGTCCTCAGGAACCACCCAATCGACAACTGCCTTGGAGCCTGAGTAATCGGTCGACGCAGTTAGCAGCTCAACAGGCCCGGCGCGCAGTATCTCCATTATTGAGTCACTGCTGGATGATGGAGTGTCAAAGTGCAATTCTACAGAGCGGGTCGCACCGTTGCAACCATCAAACCTGTTGACACCGCCAGCGGCCTTGATTGTCCTCCGGCGCAGCAATTCGGTGCTATTGGCAAAGCCATTTTCATCGTCGAATCCGTCGTCTTCAGCTTCTATGTCAGCTTCCATATCAAACTCTGCCGTTTGTTTGGTGATCTCCACAATGTCTGCCAGCGCGACGTACTGCACAGCGGCACGCGGCCTTGAGCTGGGCTGTTTAACAGGCAGGCCTGGGAGAGTCATTCCGGTTGGCAGGTATCCGGCCGAACGCCTTGTTTTCACGTCTTTCGCGGCCGGCTTCTCTTTGACACTCGATTCTCTTGACAGCGCGTTCTGCTCGTTTTCTTTGGAGTTGTGGCTAGCTGCGTCCGACTCGTTACCAGCGACATCCGTGGATGACGGCTCGTCTGTGAGCTCATCCTGCTTGACTGGCAATGTTGGAAGCGGGCGTGCTGGCGGCTGCTGCTTCTGTGAATGCGCGCGCGAGTGCGTGCGAGACGCAGCAGCGCTTGTGCTGGGCGATGCGCAGCTGGCTGCTGCAATCTCAGACTCGGAATTGCTGTGGCTGTCAGGGACAGGTCTGATCCCCGATTCGAGCTCTGCCTTGAGCCTGTCGAGGGGTGCATCCTCATCGTCACTCCCAAGGACCTGCGGTTGGTCCTGCTTCACCGTGCCCCTTACGATTTCGAGAGGCTTGGCCAACCGCAGCAGCTCTGTATCTATTTTACCCTGCTGGCAAATGCCCCTCGTACGAACAAGCAGGCTGCGTGATTTTGTGCTGCCTCGCTGGATGGAGAGATCGCTGTTGTCTACAGAGTCGGGCACACGCTGGTGAGATCCTATGACAGTCGGTGCGGTGCTCTTCGTGCGGCGCACAGCCGCAGCCAGAGATTCCCCGCTGGGAACAGTGCTGTTGGAGATGACCGACAGGGGTACGTCGTCGTCGCTACTGTTGCTGCCGCCACTATCGGTATCGTTGTGACTGTTATCATTTCTGCTAAGTGAGGCAAATGATCCAGACACAGCAGCGAGGTGCTTCCGATTGCGCGTGTCTTGCTTTGATGTCTGTGCCAGGGAATAGTTGCTGGCGCTGTTGACATTTGATGCTGTCGAGGGCACCCTCGAGACAGCGCTTGTCTTTGGTTTTGTCTTTGTCTTAAAATTGAGCTTCTGGCCAATGTCACCATATAAAGGCTTCTTCGTAACATTGCTCACCCTGTATATTGACTCGTCGGAAGAGTTTGACGCGAACGATTCAGATGATTCGGATGATTCGGACGCCGACCCTTCGCTCTTTGAGTCTTCCTCTGACGCAGCGACACCATCAGAGTGCAATGCTTTGCTGGTGATCTCTAAATGATTGACGCTTGGCTGCTGGCTGTGTATGTTGTTACTGTTCGTCCAAGGCCGCCCGCTGCTACGGCGAGACGAACCGCCGTCTCCAACTACCAGTGGCGAGTAATTCGAGGCGGCATCGGATTGCGCTGCAATCGGCGCAGCATACTGAGTTCCCAAGTTCGGGTTGTGTGGTGTGCTTTGGAAGCCCAGAGAGTAGGGAGTGTTGTCAAGCTCGTGGTGGCCAACAAATCCCTCGTGCATCCACTCAGCCTGGCCCTTGCCCTGGTATTGCTGCTCCTGCACCAGGCGATACTGCTGAAGGAACTGCTGCTGGAATTGCTGCTGCTGCTGTTCAAGTTCAAGCTCCAGCTGCTGCTGGGGATCGATCGGTTGAGCATAGTTCTGTGGCTGGTGGTAATGGTCGTACTGTGGATACGCCTGTTGTGAATAGTGTTGTTGTGGATACATCTGCATTTGCATATGTGGCGGCTGATGCTGATGCTGATAAGATGGTTGTCGCTGGTGATGTTGCTGCTGCTGTTGCTGGGCTGGGAAGCCGTGTGCTGCCATTTCGCTCAGTGGCTTGTGATCGTCATCGGTATTGGTTCCAAAGTCTGGCTGCTGTGGCTGCGGCTGCGGCTGGGGCTGTAATTGCCTCCGCCGCCTGCGCTGGTTCGGCTGGTGCTTCCAGGGACCAAGGTCCTGGGATTGTGAGTTTTGGTATGAGTTCTATAGGACCAAAAATAACCAAATAAGTAATTAAAAAACGCCTGATTAGGAGCGACATGCATGCTGATCAACCGGTTTAATAAATGAGAGTGTTTCCCTAAAACCGCACAAAACAGGTTTGGGAAACAGGTCCAGCCAAAATTGGGCACAGGAGAGAGGGGGGCCGGTGATCTAGTGCCTTGAGCTTTTAAAGGAAAAATAGGAGTCAAGCCAGAGCAATAGAGGGAGCTGCAATAAAAAAAACGAGTTTACAGTAAATAATACGTACCATTGCGCTATCAGCTGTGTGAATTTGTGTGGGTATAAGTGGGTGCGAGAAAATAATTATGTGCTTGTATAGGTGCGTCGGTGTGCGAGCAGTTCAGATAATGTTGAAAAAACGTCGATGTGGATTATTTATTTATTTATTTTTCAGATATGATGAGCAGAAAAGCGAATTGAAAGGAAAACAAGAAATCATCGGCTTCCGTCTACAAGAGATATGAGAGGGAGGGAGAGTGAGCGACTGAAAAAAACTGACTGCCTCCTGCTTGCGATGGATAGTAAAAAAGACTGATGGTCTTGTTGTCAAACGTGGCCATGCATGCATGGCAGTTTCCTTATTGTATTGTTTCTTTCCTAAACAAGAACATAAAAGTGGTACCTGCTTGCATTATAAACACGCTTACAATGCCAACTCAAAGAGAGAGAAATGTCTTGGCGACCGCGTGTCTTTCTACCTTTCACACAAAGCCGCGCTTTGCATGTCGTCACCCCACACGCTAATCTCCGGGTTTTTTGTGTTTTGATTCAAATTTAATAGCCAGGGGGTGGTTATGAACACACAGCCATGCTTTGGCGTGTTATTCCCATCCCAGAAAAGTGGAATCAGAAAGGGAAAGGCGGGGAGGGAAGGGAGGGGTTGCGAATCTGCATTTGCCCGCGAAGTATGCCCGCCCGGGTGTTGGCTCACTGCCTTAATGTTTCAACTCAAAGAACGCAAATGTCATCACAAAGACAAAGACAAAGGCATGTTACTGTTTTTAAACAATTGCATTTTCTTCCAAAAGGAGAAGTAACATTGTGTGCGGCCTCGCACCCTTTTGCCACTAGAATTGTGGCAAAAATATAGGCTATGTTGCTTGCCCAGAGTTGCCAGACAAGTCAAAAAATACTAAGCTGAGGACAATGTGTTTCTTGTCAATCCGAACTGGTCCCAACTATAGACGGTTCCGCATCCAAATCGGCTTCACTGAAGCTGCATTCGCATAGTTTGGCCGCACCGATGCGCATTCTCTTTTTTTCCTTCGATTTTTCGATTTTTCATTTTTAGTCCCTTTGTGTGAAGAAATACGGGCTTTTTTTATCCCCAGATTCGACCACCCTTTCTGCTCTCTTCCTGAAAATATAGTGCAAAACCCGTCCCTTTTTATTCTTTCGCGTTTTTATTTTTATATTACTAATTCTTATTTTGGCCCTCTTTGCACACAACATACGGCTCTCTTTTTCTCTATCTCTCTTTTTCATTATTACGTGCCAGCCAATACCGCATTTCCTTCTTTTTCACTGTACAACATTCAACAACTCACACATCCATGAACTTCCAAGGCCTCGAATTCGACGGTGTGCCCACCGACCCGGACAATGTCTCGGACGATAACGAGTCCGTGTCGTCCTTGGTCGACGAAGATGTCGACTTTAGCTACGTATACGCGCTGTTCCACTTTCCACAAATGGTTGACGGCCAAGTGACCGTCGACGAGGGTGAGAAGCTGACGCTGCTCGATGACTCAAACTCGTACTGGTGGCTAGTGCAGAACCTGCGCGACAACCAAATGGGCTATATTCCGGCAGACAACATTGAATCAGCGTTTGGAAAGCTGGCCCGCGTCAACCGCAGAAAGAACATCAAGCTATGCAAGCCCGACCCCGAGCACATAGTTCTCAGCCGCATACCCACAGTGCCCAATGCAGAGGCGCGCCGGGTCAAGTTCAACGATAAGCTTGTCACCCAGGTATTTATTAACAACACGGACTCTGATGACGACGAGGAAGAGGAAGACGACTACTATGACGATTACGAAGACGATGAGGAGGAGGACGAGATTGAGGACGAGATTGAAGACGATGACCGGCGCGTCGTGCCCTCCCAGGTCGAGATTGACCATGACGAAGCTGAATTGGACGACGACAGTGGTGATTATAGCTACTACTATAGCTCCAATGCCGGAAACTCTGGAGGCTATGGCTCACAAGACGCACCAGAGGCGGCCAAAGCATCTGCATCCACTGCTAACGACCCTGTGCAGGCGAGCGGCAGCATGGCCGGCCGCCGCATCAGCCTTGCCCCCAACCACATGGGCCAGATCTCTGGCGAGCACTTGGACGACTCTGACCTTGACCTTGATGACGATGAAGTCAGCGAAATTGAGAGCCGCCCTGTTCACAGCAGCATCTATTCGGCCTCAGACACAGCCCATTCAGCGCCGACTGCCGCTGGCGTCAGCCTCGATATCCGGCCCTCGTCGATGGCCGATAGCATGTATTCTGGACACCGTGATAGTTCAATGTACTCGCACGTGGGTCCGAGCAATCCAAACTACTACCCATCCAACGACGCATCTGACGATGGCGACTCGCTGTCGGGTGCTTTGAACCGGATGAACGCTTCGCACGAGTCTGTAGAGGCCGGAAATTACTCCGTGCGCATCGTCCACAATGATACGTTCGGCAGCTCCGAGGCCATCGTCACAATTTTCTTTGACGAATTGTTTGGCGAGGTTCTGCACCGCGCATTAGTGGTGTTTGGCCTGACGCAAGCAATGAGTGAGAGCCTCGCAATTTATGCGCGGATTCAGCAGCGCGAGCTGGTTGCCCTCACCGCGGACATGCAAGTTGCCTCTTTATTCGACAGCCTGCGCAAGCAAAACTCTGCTTGGCTGCCCGAATATGGAAGCGTCAATCCCAACGTGTGCACATTTGTTTTGGCGAACAGGTCGGCGCCGCGGTCCCAGCTGCTTCCGGAGAGCGTCAATGCCGAGGACGACCCGTACATGAGTTTGGAAACTGGGCCGCACAATGTCTTACGGACATCTATCTCCGCATCTGCCGACGAGGGAATATCCTCATTTGGGCCATCCGCCGGCCAGTCGAACTATGTGCCGACCGACCCGGCGGCAGCTCAAAACCCCGGTGGCACCGCAAATGGCTCAGCCAAGCGGGCAACCAAGCTCAAGGCACTGTCCGCATCCTACTCATCTCGTGAGCAGGCACCTAACGAGTCTGGTGACGAGCAGCCCCTTGTAGAAGCCAGCAGCAGCAGCAGCGCTGGTGACCTTTCCGATTCCAATGCTGATGCTGATGCCGATGCCGATGCCGGCGACTTGCTGCCCGACTCTCGCAAGGTGGTACAGGGCTTGCTTCGCAACATCCAGCCACCAAAATCGCGTCCATCAGACACCGCAGTCAACAGGGCCAAGCGCAACACAGTGCAGATATCAGCGCACGGCTCGGTGGTTGACAACGACTACCAGGTGTCGAGGGCCCCCTCGCAAACGCGCAGCGCTCTTTTGCGCTCGGCAAGCACTCGTGATTACGTCGAGACCGACTCTGGCCAGCATCCGGCCGATGAGCTTCGCCAGCCGCTCGCTACCTCCAGCGATGTGCTCATGCGCACTACCCCGACCGAGCCCGTCATTGCTACCAACCTCCTCACGCAAGGGCTGGGCCACAGCGCATCCACTTTGCGCCCATCATCAGACACCTTTGCGGGCGAGGGCAACACATCAGATGCTGCTGAAAATGACAGCCAGGAGAGGAGCGTGACTGCCGAGGCCGAAGGAGAAGAGCCATTGTCACCAACCAGCTCCTCAGACACTGCATCCATCCACCACAATGAGGCCGACGACCGAGGCTCGGTGGCTGCTGGCAGCACTGCAGCTGCTGCTGCTGTCGCTGGCGGCGCGGCTGCCTCAGTGTTCAGTAGTGCCGTGCTGCATCGCTCGCTCAAGACTCTAGCAGCCGCGACTCGGTGCTATCTCGTGCGAGCATTGTGTCGAATTCCACCAGCATTTTGAACGCTAACCGCCTTTCCATAGTGTCGCTTGCCAATGATGAGCTGTCACTTGACGACTGGCTGGTAATTCTGCGCGGCTGGAACGACATGCATGACATCAGCGCGACCACAACCTCATTCTACCAGTCTTTCCTCAAGGACATGCAGGGTCTCGGCGTGACCGCCCCAATTCAGCAAACGGCTGCTGCTGCAGCCGCCCAAAGCGATGCCTACGACTATATTCAGCGCCATGTGACCGAGTTACAACTGGCAAACAGCGACACGCAGGCGGCAATCGATGATATCCTCGGTGTCTCTCAAGGTGTTGGTCGCCGTCTAGATTCGTTAGAATGCGAGCTGGACGACATTGCTCGGGTGCTTGTCCATGCAAACTAAAAAAAGCTATTATGTGTGTTTTTTTCTTTCTACACCTGCTTTGCGTTTATGAAGCCCGCTCAGTGACAACGGGCCATCGTATTTTTATTCACTTTTTCTCACTGACTTAACCTTGTCCTACGCCACCCCCCCCTCTATCCTCATCCCTCTTTTTTCCACAATATTTTTTCATTTATCGCCATTTTGTAAGCGTTTTTATTGTTGTCCAATTTCTATATTTCTTATCTCGACTTTGTTTTTCTTTCTCTTACCCCATGTATTGTTTGGCAAATATCACTTGTATCGAATAATATAGTATTGTTGGTGCTTGAATAGATGTAATATGATGATGGCAATTTACGATTGACAACAATATTCGAATAGTAAGAATGTGTTATAATGGTCGCCGGATTATTTGTCTTTCGAGTGGCAGTTGCAATGTATAAAAACAACTTTGCTCTGCTTTGTCTCTGTATCAATTTTTTTCTCAGTATTTATTTCTTACAACAACCAGCACTAATGGCCCGAGTCTGGAACACGTATTACTATCCTATTTACATTCAGTGCTTCATTCCGGAGCTAGAATTCAAGACCAAATGGGAAAAAGTAGATGTTTTGCACGATTTCAATTTGCCCTCGTATGTTTACCACACGGACTGCTATTTGCTAATTATGTGCAAACAAGGCTTGACTATAGCCACAATCAGCGAGCCAGATGCGGAAATACATGTGTTAATAAACAAGGACGGATCATTAGAAACCAGAATTATAAACATGGACCACGTTGGCGGCACGTTCAACTTTTCGTGCAGAGTTGCCCAAACTACACTTTTGTATTGTGACTGCGATTTGAGCGAGCTGTCTCTTATAGCCTACTCATTGTCGGCAGCGTTGGAGTACAATTGAACATTTTCTATTATGCTTTTTTAAACTTGAAAATAAATATGCAAAATCAATATACATATTCCAATTGAGATTATTTGTCAATTGTTTATAGTTTTACGAATTGGCTTTTTTTGCACGCAATATAACGTGCATTTTTAAATGTAGGAAATTTAGATTTGGTATCAATAATGATAACGATAAAAGTAACTGATTAATCAATACGTATAATACTATCATAATTATCGACACAAAATACGACTACTTACAAGTAGAAATCAAGCTAATGCCAATGCGAATGCAAATATTTAAATGACAATTGGAAACATCGTGTAGACGGCCCCAAATTAACATTGTTTTTACCATCGATAATAGCTTAAAAATACATACATGTGTGCATATATTTATTACTTTTTATTTACTTGAAAGTGATTTTATTACCAACTCGCTTTGCTTCGTATACTTTCTGAGCCGCTAGCAGTTTGCAACATGTTAAAATGTTCAATGCTAAAAAACTGAAAATTCAACCAAAATCATTGTTGGAGTAAAATAAAAGAATGAGTTGTAATAAATGGAAATTGAAAAAGGAAACGAATATTGTAAAAAAAGTCAAACATGTCTATTTTGATGGCTCGGCAAGTCCAACCAGCGGCGGGATCTGCCCATACCACTCAATCGGAAATCCCTCAAGGCCTTCCTTGACATTTGCCGGCAGCTCCTCCCAGTCTGCTGTATTGGCCTTGGGGAACAGAATCCGCTTAACACCCGAGCGACGCGCTGCAATGGTCTTCTCCTTCAGACCGCCAATCTTCAGCACGCGGCCGGTAAGTGTGAGCTCGCCGGTCATTGCAACGTCAGGGTGAATGGGCTTGTTCAAAGCCAGCGACAGAAGTGCTGTAGTCATGGTGACACCGGCACTCGGACCATCCTTAGGCGTCGCGCCCTCGGAACGTGCAAGTGGATGATGTTCTTGCTGAAGAACTTATTCTCTGGGTGCTGGCGGTTCATCAGTGAGCGCACGTACGTGTATGCCAGAACCGACGACTCCTTCATGACGTCGCCGAGCTGGCCAGTCGTATGCAGGCGCCCGTGCTGCCCACTGTCGCCGCTGACATCGTTGTTATCGCTGGAGATCGTGGCTTCGACCACCGATTCAATGTACAGCGCAGATCCGCCGAGGCTGGTCCACGCCAGGCCCATCACCACGCCTGGCGGCGTGTTGTCGTACATACGGTCGGACTCAAACACTGGCGGGCCCACGTACTCTTTCAGCGTATCAACGGTGATTTCCAGTGAGTAGGACTCGGGAATGATCATCCGCTGCGGCAGGGCTGCCGGTGCCTTCTCCTTCTTGTCGGCAACCTCAGGTGTCTTTTCGCCAGGCTGGTCAAGCACATCAGCGATTGTGGTCGGGGCAGGGGCAGAGTCGGCTTTCTCCTCTGTCTTAGTATCGGCAGCAGCTTCCGGGGCGGCATCTGACTTTGCATCGACCAGCTGAGGCGCATCCACGGCGACCCCACTCTCGACGACTTTGAGTGCTGCCTTGCGGTAGATCTTCTCGATGTGCTTTTTAAGGTTGCGCACTCCGCTCTCGCGGCAATAGTTGCGCACCAGGGCATCGACGGCCTCGTCAGATAGCACAACCGACGAGCCTTCCAGACCGGCAGCCTCCTTGGCCTGGGGAGCCAAATACTTTTGCGCGATCGAAAGCTTCTCGTCAGCCAGGTAGCCGCTCAGGCGAATTATTTCCATGCGATCAAGCAGCGGGCCGGGGATAGTGTCGGTGACGTTGGCTGTGCATACAAACAAGACCCGCGACAGGTCCACAGGGACATCCATGTAGTGGTCAAGGAATGCGTTGTTCTGCTCGGGGTCGAGCAACTCGAGCAGTGCCGACGCCGGATCGCCCTGATGGCCGCGGCCAAGCTTGTCGATCTCGTCAATCAGCAGCAGTGGGTTCTCGGTCTGCACGCGCTTGAGCGCCTGGACCACTTTTCCGGGCATTGCACCTACATACGTGCGGCGGTGACCCTTGATCTCAGCCACATCTGTCAGACCGCCCACACTGAAGCGGAAAAACTCCCGGCTCAGCGATCGCGCAATGCTCTTGCCGATCGATGTCTTGCCGACGCCAGGGGGCCCCACAAAGCACAGAATCTTGCCCTGCACAGCGCCTCGCAGCTTGCCGACGGCGATAAACTCGAGAATTCGCTGCTTGACATCCTCCAAGCCATAGTGGTCCTCGTCTAGGACCACCTTTGCCCGCTTAAGGTCGTAGTCCTCGACCGAATACTTGCCCCATGGAATCTGCGTCAGCCAGTCCAGATAGTTTCGCGTCACATTGAATTCGGACGCCGCGGGCTCCAGGTGAGCAAGCTTGCTAACCTCCTCGTCAAACACCTTTTTGACCTCGGTCGGCATCTGCAGAGCCTCAGCCTTGGCCTTAAACTGCTCGATGAGCTTGTCCTTGCCGTCGCTCTCGAGCCCCAGCTCGCGCTTGATGCCCTTCAGCTGCTCCATCAGATAAAAATCGCGCTGCCTCTTGGAGATCTTGGCCTCAACGTCTTTGCTAATCTTGTTTTGGAGCTGCGCGTTCATCAGCTCTTTCTTGAGCACCACGAGTGCCTTCTCCAGACGAGTTGCAACGTTCAGGTCGCTGAGGATATCCTGCAGCTCCTCAGAGCTCCCGCCCGACAGGGCGGCCGCAAAGTCAGCCAGCTTGGACGGGTTCTCGAATACAGCCTTTGACACCTGTGCGCTGGCAAAGTGGTGGATCTGCTCGCGGAACATGGGGTTCATTGTGGTAATTTCGCGTAAAACTGAGACAATCTCGGACATGGTGGCACTGATTGTCGCGTCCTTGGCGTCGTACGGCTCGTCCTCGACGTTCTCAACCTCGATGGCTGTAAAGTCGTAGTCGCTCTTAATGGAATTGAGCACCTTGCTGGCATCAATAGCCTCGGTGCCGCTGGGTCCAGTCACGCTTTTGGACTTGGGGGCCTCCAACAGGCTGTCTACATCGGTCTCCGTCGCAGCCCTGGCCGCGGGGTCAGCGTTGCCCAAGATACGCTTCATACGGACGCGGCGCCAGGGGTAGAGCGCAACTGTGAGGTGCTTGTCCTCGGGGTTGGGCGACACATAAATAGACATGATGCGCGAAAACACGCCGATCTCGTGCACCTCGCTGGTCTTTTTGATCGCGTCAACATCCTTCTCGTCGTCCTTGAGCATAAATGTGGCCACATAGGGCTCGCCACGATCGACCAGCTCCCTTAGCGCGCCAATAACCTGCGGGTCCTGCACCTGGATCGACTTGTACAGCGAGGGAAACAGTGGCCGCCTAGTTATCGGGAGCATCATGACGTTTGGGTAGTTGTCAGGGATGAACGACTGCTGACCCTGCGCGTAATCAGCCACGCCGACGGCACGCTTCAACTGCGTCAGAGGATCACGCTGCACCTGGGCGCCGCTGGCGTCGCCACCATTGTCTGCTGCAGCCTTCTCGTTTTCAGATCGCCGCGGGGCCCGCCGACGCCGGCTGCCCTTCTCATCAGCCTCGTCGGCAACCTTTTTGTCCGCATCGTTCTTTTTTTGTTCCTTCTTTGGCGTGTCGCCACTTTCGGGATCGTCGTTATCGTCAGACTTGCCGCCCTTCTTTTTCTGCGAAGCCACAGAACTCTGGAACCACCTTCTGGCACCTGTAGCCGGAAGTGCGCTTGACGACACAAGCACATGTCGCTGCTGCTGGTCTAGCAAAAGAAACTTTGTTCCCAAAACCTGGCTCCCACCCACCACTTTGCTGAGTGCAATGCTGTAGGACCTAGTGCTCACCTTAGACGTAGCTGTGACAGGCACTAGTGTGCTGATTCTGGCGCCCCTCCGGCCAGCCGTGCGTACGTTTTCAAAACAGATTCGGCTGTAAATTTGAGACATTCTTTAAAAAATAAAGGACTGACAGCGGCTGAACTAGAACAAGCGTTTGACTGCGTCTTGGCTCGACCCTCGCAATTTATAAAAGTAGAAAAGGATAGAAAAGGGTAGAAAAAAGTAGAGCGATATACTGAATTTTAAATATAATTATAAAAAATGGAATTAAGCAGTTTAAAGTGCAAATAAAATAAGGGTTTTTATTTTGTTACAGTGAAGTGTAAAATGAGCCTTATCGACTTGCCAGGATGGCCCAGATTGCATCATCGGCTGCAGGCATGCGCTTTCAGCTTATCGTCATGGACCAACTGAACAGGCAAAAGGTGATTGGTATCGGGTGATTAAATATTTTGGTAATCGGAAAACTGATCGTTAAAGTTTGGGTAGTACGGTGACTGGGTTGATGATGCGGCCTTCCATCCCAGCGTTCACGTCGACTACATGCCCAGTGATATTGCCCGCAGCGCGCTCGCTGGCCAGGAACAGAATGCAGCGGGCGACGTCCTCGGGCTCCGAAATCTTGTTCAGTGGCGACGTCGCAAAGGCCCGCTCAACCACCTGCTTGTTCGCCAGCGTTGGCTCAGCCATGGGCGTGCGAATCCATCCGGGCGCCACAGTATTGACGCGACCGCGAGGGCAGAACTGGACAATCTCGTTCTTCAGGCTCAGCGTCAACCCACCCATCATCGCTGACTTTGTCACCGCGTAGTCGGCGTGGTACCACTCGCCGAACTTGCCTGCTGTCGAGCCAATCATCACCACAGCCACATTGTCCTGCACCCGGTAGTGAACCAGCTGCTGCATAAATGAGCGGATCGCCAGGAAGCTTCCCGTCAGGTTGACGCTTAGTGTGTGGCCCCAGTGTTCCAGGCTCATATCCTTGAGCAGGATGTCCTTGGCCGGCCAGATCCCATGGTTGACGATCAGCACTTGCACGGGGCCCAGTGCAGAGTTTGCCTGCGCAAATGCCCGTTCGATCTCAGCCTCGTCGTCAATGCGCGCCTGAACCATGCATGTGGTGCTTGGGTATTCGGCTACCAGGGGTGCGAGTGTAGTGCTGGTGGTGTTGTAGTGTAGAGTTACCTTGGCGCCCTGCTCCAGGAATGCGCGCGAAGTTGCGAGACCCACGCCGCCCGAGGCACCAGTCACAAACACATGAACCCCAGAAAGACCTAGAAAATCGGCAGTCATTGCGCCTACGTTTTTTGGAGTGATATTGAGAAACTGAAAAATGAGGGGTGTGTAAAAAAATATATTTAAACAAAAATAATTTAGAGAACCTTGGTTTTTGATTTGCAAGACACAATTTGGGACGCGCACAAGATACTCCCCTCGTTTCGGATGACTCACTGGGTCAAAAAGTACTTGATAGCCGCCAAAATCCTTTTTCGCGCAATGTCCACGCCAAAGTCGTTTCTGTTGGACGAAAAGTAAAAATCGGTGACATGCGACGCCTTGGGCATGGTGATGACGACGTTGCGATTTCCTTCGGAAATTTTCATGGCGATGCCTGGATCAGAAGCAACCGACAGCTCGCTCCACGGGTCCATCAGCCCGTTCACAAAAACCACGCGGGTAACATTAGGGAAAAGACCGCCGAATTTATTGTTGATACTAGTAGTATCTGGCTGGTTTGGAATATCATCTCCAAAGAACTCCCGGCATGGTCGGTTTTGCCATTCGGCAGTCATGTACTTGGACCGCAGGCGGCGGAGCGGTGCCCGCGGGGCCGACTGCCAGTACCCAAACTGCGTGCACGTCTGGTAAAACCACGAGCGACCATCCTGGTAGAGCATTGTGTTTTTGGCACCCGAGTTCGAGGTGTATGCGAACACTGGGTTGATTCCATTGTTTCTTATGTAGGCGGCAGTCATGTCCGCCAGGTTCTGCAGCGGGATGTTTTCTGGGTGCTTGAACCAGCTGCACAGCGTGGCGATGGAATCTGGGGCGTTGCTGCCCTTGGCTGGCGGCATGTAGTATTGCACTGTGTTGGACAGCTGATCGGTCAGCGCGCCGGCAAAGTCCGAGTTGTCACTGAGCGCTTCCAGGCCAAATGCTTGCTTCCATCTGTAGATCAGCAACTCGTTTTTGCTGTCCAAAATGGAATCCAGGGTGACAATCGCATCGGAGATGTTCTGGGCGCAGGGAAGTGCGCGCCCGACAACCTGATCATACTGGTAAAAGTCGGCAAGTGCGAGTATTGGCGCAGAGCTCGCATACGCTGCGTGGAACAACTCTGGGTATTTTTGCCTTAACCAAACGGCAATGTTGGCCGAATACGAGCCGCCAGTGGCCACCCACTTGGACTGCGGGCTAATGGTTACGCCAATAGTGTCCTTGACAAACTTTGGCGCGTTGCGCACAAAGTGTGCAATGTCCTCCAACGAGTTTTCAATTGTCAGGTATAACATGTTGGGCCCGGACATGTCGCTGACTGGATACGACGTGCCGTAGTACCGGTGCTCCATGATGATGAGCATGCCACCAGTTGCTTTTGCTAACATATAAGGCTGACCGCCGGTCAGATACGAGGGTAAAGCCGGGGTTTCTCCGCTATTAAACAGGTAGATTGGCCCTCCAGGAACGTATGAAGCTCTATTGATGTAGAAGCGCTGCTTGAACGTGGAGTTGTCACGCAGCCCAAAGTGGTCTACTTTCTGATCAAAGTAGTAATCTTGATAGATGCTCTGGCGAATATGGCCAGAGACCTGCTGCAAAGGCTCTGGCGACGACGCATCCGCCAGTACTGCTGACAGAGCTAAATCTTGGTTGTCCTCCGACATTCCATCGTTAGTGAGAAGGTATTCGGCCCACGCACGCTGCACCTGGGCCTGGCGCATGGCTAGAGGTTCGGCTTGGCAGAATATGCGCTTCGAAGTAATAAAAAAACACAGCGCTGCTAGCAGCAGGTGCGTTGGTCGCGACAGCATGCTCGGCAAATATCTTATTAATAATTTAAATTTTTAATATATATGTGAAAACGAGTGCAATTAGTACACCAAAATGTGCAAGATTAAAGTTAATTAAAATACTAAAAATAAAAAATAAAACGTTAAAAATAATGGATATTAAATTAATTTAGATATAGGCGTTCAAATATGAGTAAAGTCTGAAATTTTAGTAAACAATTCCATAATTTTTTGAATAATGTACAGAGTTTGAACATGGCAATTTATACATTTATTGTCCAAAAAACAAGCAACTTACAATAAAAAGTGCACTTCCAATGCCATATCAACTACAATTTTATTGTGGAAGCTTGCATATTTTCAATCAAGTAATCTGTGCTACACGCCTATAATTCTAAAATGTTATTTAGAAACTATGCAGTCATAAAGCACATGTGACATTAGCAAACAAAATAACATCAAGCAAAATGGCTGCTGATAATTATATACCCGCACTCAAAAAGAAATTATACGCTTTATTGCACTCGTGGTTTTTTTGCATTTACAATTAGTTTATAAAAAAACTTTTCTTCCGCAATAAATATATTACAAAATAGAGGCTAGTGCCCACGTGTAAATTTGCAAACTATCAAGTGTGTCAATAGACTATTTATTTCATACGCAAATGCATGTATGACAAATTATGAATGTGTATTTCGTTGATGAATGAATTTGGGCAGCTTACTATGAGACGATAGTGCGCGTTAAAACTGACTGCGCCTACCCATTAGCCGCACTGATCAACAAAATTACATTTGCTCTCGTGGTATAATCATTCGCTTTGTAATAATTGGTGGCGCACATTCTACATTCCGTTGGTCGCAAAAGAACAAAAGAACAAAAGTTAAAGACGCAGTGTTCACTGTTCAATGGAAAAAAGTAATAACTAAATAGCCAAATAAAGTAAGCATACTTGAAATGACATAAATGTTGAAAATTTATAATTGTTTTGAAAGAATATATACCCGAAATCGGAAAAACATAATGCCGACTCTGAATTTTTTATTTGCAATTTTGCACTTGGTGCGCTTTATGTACCAAGCAATTTGGGTGATTTTTTGAAGAGAATGAATATATTTTTCAATCAGACATATCGCCGTATGTTTGCTCGACCTCGCCGTAGTCGTCTTCCTCGTAGTCATCATACTCATCATCGTCATCCGCAACCTGGGCAAGGTTAACAGCCGTGCTCTGCGGGTCATGGTCGCCCTCCTCATAAACAATGGTCTCCTCAAGGACATCCGCGCCGCCATCCTTGCCGGCGATTCCAGCAAGCGCCGCAGGCAAACCAGACATATCGTAGCCGTTCACCTGCGTGGGCGAAGCTACCGAGCCTTGCGAGGGCGTCGCATACCCCGAGAGCATGCCTGGAGTGCCCGCCACAGACATCATGCGCGAGGGCGCCGCCGACGGAATCATTGTGGCGCGGTTGCCCTCAGTCTTTGGCTTGGGCGCGCTGGTGTTGTCGAACAGCTTCCCCAGTACATCATAGTTGATTTTCTTTGACAAGCGCCGCATAGCGAGCATGTTTTGTGCCGATTCGAGCGGCGTAGCGCCCGCAATGACCACCTTCTTTTTCGTCGATCGGCGCCGCTTGCGCCCGCTACTATCGGCCTCCTTGGCCATGCGCTTGCGCTCACGCTCTTCCATGAACTCCTTATTCTCGCGGTCCCAGATTTCGGTTTTTTGCTTGACTTCCTCCTCAGTCAGCATGATGTTGCGGACCTCGTCATCGTCAAATTCGTTCCACGTGCTGACGTCAATGTTAAAGTCATCGTCGGCCAGTTGCGAGGTAACAAATTTCAGCGAGCTGTCATGCAGGTAGGTCTCGAGTTCCTGCTGGAACGCCTGGTCGACAGTGTTGTTGAACGCATCATCGTCGATGGCGCTCTCAGCGTCCTCGTTATCTTCACCATCCTCGTTGTCTTCGGCAATGCTGTCGAGCGCCCTCAGCATCCGGCTCTGTGGGCCTTCAGCCTGGCGGTGCTGCGCCAGAATGGCCTTTCGCGCATTCATCCGGCTGTTGATGAAGGCCGGCGGGTCGGCCGACTGCTCGAGCCACAGACTCCTAAAGTCAGAAACCGTCAGGCTGCCCGACGGCGTATTGCGGAACTCATCCAGACGGCGGCGCAGTGTCCCGTCGGCAATCTTAACCACCCTAATGATCTCCTTCTGTGTGCGACGAAAGTTATGCATGCGCGCGGCAACAAGCAAGCAGGCGCCGCAGATACCTGAGGGCCGACGGCCTGTGCGGATCCAATCACGGTCCATTCTCTGCACCAGACGAATAGCGTCGTTGCAGACCTGCTGCGTCTTGTCGCCAAACTCAAGCATCGACGCAAACCGCAGAATGTACAGCGACGGGTCGACAATCGGCAGCTGCAGGTTGAGCACATTGACGAGCTTGGCGAATGTGGCACCAAGCTTGAACACGCTCACCTGCAGAATGTCTGAAAAGTCAATAAGCATCTGACTGCCCTTCTCCAGACGACACACAATGTAAAGGCAGGCCGTTGACACGTACGTGGACCGTCGGCCGCGGGTAAAGTTGAGGTTCAGTGCCAGGGTAAAGTACCTCTGTGCAGAGTCCACGTAGTGCTCAGATAGGTTCAATGCGGTTGCCAGACGCTGGATGCGCCGCCGTGAGTTGTAGAGCGTTAGTTCGCGCGATTCTTGCCCGTTGCCGTGACGTCCCGGACCGCCCATGTTGGCCCTGGTCTGGCCCGCGCGCACAAACGAGCCCTGCACGACGGCTGCTCCGCTGGAGGCCTCACCGAACGTCACCTCTGACACAATGGTGTTCTCTTCGCACACTTCACCACACCCTGTGCAGTACGATATTCCCCTAGACGAGTCATGCTCGATTTCTGTTCCTCCGCACGCTCCGCAGCCCATGTCGTCTGTGTCTGCGTGCTAAAAGTGATGAAAGCGAGAATACAAGGAGCTGAAGTAAAAAATAAGGCTTGCGAGTTCTGTTTTTTAATAAACTTCTATGTGCGTCTAAATTTAAGCGAAACGCAAATAAAGTAATAATGTCTAAATAAAATACTTTTTAAAGTTTGGAGGCGAGTATAAAAAGTGCATTTGTGTGGAAGGAGGGTATTTGTGAGAAAATTATTTTTGTGCCCTCTTTCCTGCTGCCTCTTGGCTTAAAAAATTTGCAACTTCGCTTCACCCCCGCGTTCCAAAGCAAAAGTAGAATTCGCCAAAAAGTATGCGAATAAATAGAATAATTTACGCGCTTTCCGCTGATTGATCTTTGGTTCGACTCCCACTGCTCAACAACAAGCAAGTAGAAAAAATGGACGAATTTAAAAAGTAGCATTTCTTTGATTTGATCTGGACGAAATCGCACATTGGGCGCCCTTGGCTTTGAGTGCAAGTGAAAAAAATAATAAGCAGCGGGCGTGATAACACCTTGTAAATTCTGTTTCCTTGGATGAGCCGATTCATTTGTCTCAAGCTTGCCTGCCTGCTTGCCAATTCAATATTTTTTATTTTATTTTTAACTACTTTTTAGCTCACATACCAAAAATTCAACATAAATCTTCACAATGATCCAAATGAAAAGTCGCCTCAATGTCATTGACAACTCGGGAGCCATTGTGGCTGAGTGCATCAAGGTGCTGAAGAACGCAAAGTGGGCCGAGGTCGGTGACGAGATTGTCGTTTCGGTGAAGAAGGCGCGGCCAATTTCAGACAAGACATCAGCGAGCCAGTCGGCCGCCAAGATTCGCAAGGGAGATGTCAGACGGGCAGTTATTGTGCGCACAAAAAAGGAGATCCGCCGTCCCGATGGCCGCTACGTCCGCTTCGACGATAACGCGTGTGTGCTCCTGAACAACCAGCAGCAGCCGCTGGGCAGCCGCATCCTGGGTCTGGTCTCGGCAGAGCTGCGGTTCAAGAACTGGGTCAAGGTTGTGTCGCTGGCTCCCCGCGTTGTATAGACTTGATACGCCATATGTGCCAAACACAAAATATTTCTAGAGAAAAATATATATATTTATAAATGTGTGCGAATAGGGGGTTAATGTCAATAAAAGTGAGAGAAAAGGAGTAGAAAGCTTGGCGCTGCGGGCCAAAATGGTCTTGTAAAAGTATTTTAGAGGAAGTAGTCGGGCGTCTTGCGCGTGACATGGGGCTCGCCGCGTCTGGGAGCTGGGTCGAACTGGAGGAATGTGTGCTTCATGTTCTCGTCGATCTCCATGATGGCAGCCTGGTTGCCGCAGCGGTAGCAGTAGTTGGGCGCGCTGAATATGGTGACAACGTTTTTCTCCTGGCTCCAGTTGTACCCCTCCATGACCAGCTGGTGGGCGCGGGCAATCAGACTGAGCCCGTTGTTGTGGTTGAACGCCTCCGAGATGTCTTGGCCGAAGGTGTAGCCAGCACCGCGGGGGGAGATGCCCCAGCCGCAGCGGTCATCAGGGTCCGACCACAGCAGGTCGCACATTGGGCCCTCATGAGGCACCTCCTGCACGCGGTCCAGTGAGCGAATGTGATCCAGAGTGTCGATGGACGGCGACAGGCCGCCGTGCAGGCAGAACACCTGCTCCTCAATGAGCGCCGTCAGGGGCAGGTAGTCAAAGAGGTTGGTGAAGTGCTTCCAAACCTCGGCGTTGCCGTATTTACGCAGGCACTCATCGTAGAAACCGTACACCTGGGTAATCTGCCGGCTCTCGTGGTTGCCGCGCAGAATAGTGATGCGCTCGGGGTAGCGGATCTTCATGGCAACGAGTAGGGTGACGGTCTCGACCGAGTAGTAGCCGCGGTCGACATAGTCACCCATGAACAGGTAGTTTGTGTCAGGCGAGTTGCCGCCAATTTTGAACAGCTCGACGAGGTCGTGGAACTGGCCGTGAATGTCTCCGCACACAGTGACTGGGCAGCGCACGGGCTGGACGTTGGATTCCCGCATGAGCACCTCTTTGGCCTACAGAGTGAAAAGGGGGAGGAAGGGGAAGTGCGTCATTTTCAGTCGCTCGGTGTGCAAAAGGTTGGCTGTAATGGTATTAGTGAAGTGTGAAGTGTGGTTTTCTTTTTGGGATTTGGCGTACGCCGACGCAAATAGTGCAAAAAAAAAGTTGCAAGGCATGCAGAAAGAATGGCACTCAACAGCTGCAAGCGCAACACAACACCCGCCGCCCGCCTGAAAGCGGCGGAGAGTCAACTGGCAAAAGTCCTGTTTGGGAAAAATAGAAAAAGAGGGAGCAATTTTGGCCTTTCGCAAATTCATGGCCGCCAATCTGCTTGGCATTTTAAGAGCAATACGGCATGAAACACATTCATAGAAATAAATCTGTGTCATCTCGAAAGCGACATTCAAATAAATAATAAACTTGCCTTTGAGCACAGGTTCTTCACGCTGGTCTCGCTCAGCTGCTTGCACTCAAAAAGCTGCTCAATCCAAGAGTCGAGGGTGCCAATGTCAACGTCAATAATATCCATCTTGAATGACAACAAGCCGGGCTGTTGTATAAATTTATAGAGAAAAGTGGAGTGTGGTGGTGGTGACGAGAGAAAAAGGAAAAAGTGACAAAAAGGAAAATAAAAAAGATTGCGGATTTATATAACGCTCAAGAAAATGAAAGAAAAAAGGAAAATGAACCCAAACCAAACTTGGAAAAACGAACGCGCCAAAATAAAAGGTCAAAAATGCTTGTGGTTACACCCTCTCGCATTTGAATTTTCCACCCCCCATCCCATTTCAATGGCACTGTGAGTGAAGAGAATGCTCGACGTCAAAGTCACGTGCAACAGCTATGATTCTATTGCTTTGCTTTTTTGGCACCCGATAGCTCACGGGCGAGGTGGCCAGCGAAACACAACCAGCAACCAGGCAGCAGGTAAAAAAGAAATCCTCTTCAGTTCGGTTCACAGGCCCCACATTAATTCAGAAAGAGAAACGCCAAAGCTGTCTTACATGTTTAACATCCATAAAGCAATTCTTTTTATCCATCCTAGTCCGGTTTTAATCAGGTTTGGTTCGTATTTTTCGAATTTTTCGAATTTTTTTTCGTTGACCCCACCAAAAAATAAAAATCAACTCTCGTAGCCTCAATTCGGGACAAAGTGGGGCGAATAAAATCCGGCGTTCTGGCCACGTCCCCTCCTCTTTTTCCCTTCCAACTGCAACGAACAATTATTTTTCAATCCTCTCTTTTATTTTGTAAAGACCATTCACCTTGTTTTGTCTTCATCAAATATCCCCTGGGCGGTATCTTAGCATCACTCGATCCATCACTACATCTTTTCTACTCAGACAGCACCACCAAAGCCAAGCGCCTGCCAAAATGTCCTCCCCTGCCAAGCTCACCCATCCCAACGTTACTAACGGCTGGTTCAGCGAGTCTGGCGCCATGTGGCCTGGACAGTCGATGAACATCGAGGTCAACCAGATCCTGCACGTCGAGAAGTCCAAGTTCCAGGACGTGCTCATCTTTGAGAGCAAGACCTACGGCAACGTGCTTGTCCTCGACGGTGTCATCCAGGTGACCGAGCGCGATGAGTTCAGCTACCAGGAGATGATCACCCACCCGGCACTCTTCTCGCACCCCAACCCCGAGCGCGTGCTGGTTATCGGCGGCGGCGACGGCGGCGTCCTGCGTGAGGCCATCAAGCACTCCCAGGTCAAGGAGGCCGTGCTGTGCGACATTGATGAGGCCGTCATCCGCCTGTCCAAGGAGTATCTTCCGGGCATGGCCGTCAGCTACGAGGACCCCAAGGTCTCCGTGCACATTGGCGACGGATTCGACTTTTTGCAGAACAAGAAGAACTACTTTGATGTCATCATCACTGACTCGTCGGATCCCGTTGGCCCCGCCGAGAGCCTGTACCAGTCGCGTTACTACGAGCTGATGCGCGATGCTCTGCGTGAGGGCGGCATCGTGTCGACCCAGGGTGAGTGCCAGTGGCTCCATCTGCCCTTGATCAAGAACGTCCTGACCTTTGCGCGCAAGCTGTTCCCCGTCGCTGAGTACGCGTACACCACTATCCCGACCTACCCTTCGGGCCAGATCGGCTTCATCCTGTGCAGCAAGGACAAGGAGACCAACTTCAAGGAGCCACTGCGCCGCCTGTCGCCCGAGCAGGAGCTTAAGCAGTTCAAGTACTACAACTCGGAGATCCACCGCGCTGCCTTTATTCTGCCCAACTTCACTCGCCAGGCCCTTGCTGACATCAACTAGACTTTTCTTTTTTAGGTTCTTATCAGTATTTTTTTGTTGATCAAAAATTTAAATTTTTGTTCACTATATTTGATTGCCGAGCCGGTTCCACGTTTGTCCAACGCGTGTTTAGAGCGTATTATGCGCTCGTGAGACTTTTTAAATGTTCTTTTTTGAATTTCAGTTCATGCTCTCTTTTTTATCTTGCATTCCGTCTCCTTGCCATTCACTTTCACAACCTTTACAATTAACAATTCATGATTCCTCGCGCAAAATTGCTCCAGCAGCACTCAGGAATTGCCGCTGCCCGCTTACTGTCGACTAAATTGGCACACCGGAGCGCAGCGGGGACTTGGCCTTGGACTCGGGGGCTGCCAGGAGCACAACAGCAGCAGCAGCAGGCAAACCAAATACGGAAGCGCTTTATCAACGTGCAGTTGCTTTCGGAAGAGCCAACAAGTGCTGGTGCCACTATCCAGCGGCCGAATGCAGAGTCGCAGCTGCATGATCTGGCTGCCGATATGGTAGCGGCGCTGGAGGCAACACAGTCAGCGGTGCTTTCTCGGTGGGCCAACCGCATACGCACACTATGCACTGGCCACGGCTCCGGGGGCAAAGTCGGCGTTATTCACTCCGGGCCACACTCAAATGCTGTGGTTTCTGCAAAGGGCGCCAACATCGATTACATAAGTTTTATGGATGCCGAGGCATCCAGCACAAGCAACGACGCGTTTGTTGACTGGCTTTACTCCTGCGACCGCGTTGTCATAGTTGCTGAGCGTGCAAAACTCGTGCAGACACTGGCTAGCTCAGCGATGATTTACGCTGCGCTGCGGTTGCACCCTGGTGTCGTGCTTATTGTGGAGGGCCTTGAGGTTAGCTGCGATGCTGTGGATGCTTTTTCGGGTCTGCTGCGCGAGTCGCTGCAGATGCTGGGGGTTGTATCGCCGACGACAGATAATGGTGTATTCTCCGTTGCTCCTGCCGAAGATGTGCGCTCTGTGTTGGAGAGATTGCACAAAGAGCGTGCCCACAGCGGGCTCTTGGCCAGTGCAATCAGTGCTGCTATAGCTAGCGCAGAAACCGGGTATGTGTCGGCGCCATTTTTGCCTGGCTCGCCAACAGTTGCCTCGAACGGACGCATTCCGTCGCCCACTTTCTCTTCAAGAATCATGCAGTTTTTGTCAGCGCACAGCCAACAAGATGCGGAGACTACGCATATGACTGCGACCAGCAAGGTTATCCAGCGAGACTTTGAATGCGGCGATCTTACAACCGTCGATGCCAGCGCTGGTGTCATCAAGTATCGCACCCAGCAGTGGTTCGCCAGCGGCAAAGTGTGGCAGGCGCTGTTTATGCGTGTGTATGAGGTTGCCGACAACCTTATAGACAATGCCATCCTTGACCGCTCGTTTGAAGCCGCCGATCTGGGCATGATCCACGCCGCTGGCCGTCTCAACGAGTCCATTCCCCGGGTGGCTGCCGAAATGGCCAACGAACTGGAAATGCTTTCTCGCAACCCTGCTGCAATTGAATCAATCGACTCTTCGGCGCTAGAATCGGCAATCAGGGCGCTGCGTGCTATGGCCTGCCAGGCCGACTGCGTAGATCAGTTTGTGCTAGCGCAGCACGTATGGGCTGCGCGCAAGGATCTGGTAGACAGTGACGTGCTGGAAAATATCCCCAGACACATGCACTGGTCGCTATCGCAGTTCTGGGCAATTCACGCCAGCGCATTTGCAAGCGCCACGACTGCATCGGTGTACTTTGAATTGCCCCTGCAGTATGCTGCGACTGGTGGTCTGGGCCTGTCGCTGCTGGCATTTGTCTGGCTCGGAAGACGGTGGAACCAGCTTGAGCGCATTGTGTACGGCCAATTGGACGCCCAGACAAGCTCTTTGCGGAAGGAGCTCATTGACGCTCACAAGCAAGTTCTCGAGACAAAGCTTGATAAGCCAATTATTGCGTCTCTCCAAGGCATTACTGACTCGCAGCAACTGATTTCTAAGTCCTTGTCGCCAAAGCATGACGACACCAGTTTCACTTGCGATGCCATTCCTTTATCAGAGTGGAAGTCACGGCTGGAGTCAGCAACATTCAAATCCTCGTAATAAAAATTAGGCTGCTATAAACAATAAAATAAATAGAAAAATATTTTTGCACTAAACTTTGAACAGCCATTTGTAGTCATCTATTGCTATGACAGGCAGCTATAGCCGCTGAGTTATTGTAAATTGAGTATATATTGAGACTAAAAATATAGTTATGTGAATTAAATAATTAATTGACTATATATACCCATCATATTGCTGTCACATTGCTTTTGGAAATGACCGCCTGATGGGTCACCCCCTAAAAGGTTACAAGGTGAGAAGATAAAATGTGTACCTGGCACTATAGCCAAAAAAAAGTACACTGCTTCTTGAAAAGCGTCACTATAACAATGTAAATTGAGGTACAATAGAAACAAGATATTTTTGTCACAAAAAATGTGACAAGACAATAGCAAAATCGAAAACTCCGAATAAATGAATGCGTCAAACATATCAACGCTTGTAATCCTGCCCAAATATCCAGATGTGAATTTTTATGCGTGCCATCCGATGATTTGACGTAACCAGCAAAATATTAAAGAGCTTTGCGCTCAAAATCGGTTAATAACAAAATCAAATTATTGGTAACAGTCTTGATATCACAATCGTGCTTCGTCTTTTTCCCTATTTCGCTCTCTTTTTCAAAAAAACAATTTTTTTACAATTTCTCATAATTTAAGCTAATTCAAAATGGTCGCCGATATCACTGGTCTTTCTTTCGGCATACTCATCGTTTTGGGCGGAGTTATTGGTTTTTTGAAATCCAACAGCATAGCTTCGCTAATCAGTGGGCTGGTCTTTGGCGCACTAATTGCTGTCTCCACGCAATTTGCAGCCACTCATTCGAACAGATACAACCTTCTTCCCGCTGCAGTCTGCCTCGCACTCTTCTCATCATGGGAAGCCGTTTTATGAGGAGCAAAAAGTTTATGCCTGGCGGCATGGTGACCTTTTCCAGCCTGTTCATGGCCATCCGTTACATTATAAAATATTTCTAGCACTTATTTTTTTGTTTGTTTATTTATTTCCATATAAAACATTTTTATTTATTTATTTCATTTCATGTTTTTGAGCTGGGCCAACAGCTCGACTTTCTTCACTAGCCTCTGCTGGACCTCGCCAATGGCATTTTCAAGCTCCGTGTGTGCTCCCTGAACCATGGTGTGTGCCTTGGTGTTGGGAACTTGGATAAAAAGTCGCCCATGTTGACCGTGGTCGTGGCCATTCGGCTACTGGGCTTCACCTTTTTCATTGCCTCTGCCAGCTTGTCCAGTGCTTGGCTGTTCTCCTGGAGCTTGCGGCCATACTCTTCCAAAAGCTGCTTGTCTGTAAGTATGTCCTCGGTGAGCGCTTCAATCCTAGCCAGGCGTTCGACGGCTTCCATTGTTGTGATGTGGGTATATCAAAATATATAGTTGCTTTTTAAATAAAAAAAGCAAAATAAAATGACACAAATTTGATTTATAGTTTTATACCACGAGTGCGTTGAATGTGGGCAAATCCCGTTTTTTTTGTAATTTGTGCCACTGTCAATTCAAATCGATTTGTATTTACACGTGATTGAGTTTTACACAAACCCCAAAAGCCAGTAATAATGACGATTGTCGGAGCTGATGGCGCTCTTTTGCGTTTTGCTCCTCGGCTTATTTTTTTATCCTCTCATTCTTTGAATTAGAATTTGACTTCAAATATTGTAAAGCACTTCTTTCCGCTCCTTATCTATTTATTCCCCTTTTCTGAAAGTTTTTGCAGAACAATCGAAATGTCGTTTATGAAATGGATGAGCGGTAGCAGCAACCTTGGCGGAGGAAACAACAGCAATGGGAACTCGCATTCGGTAGTTTATTGAACAGAATGAGTTACACTTACAAATAGAAGCAAAGCCCTCTTGTTTTTTTATATAAACAAGCACTAAAGCATTGAATACATTTTTATAGGCCAACAGCGGCAACGGCGCCGCGCACAGTGACTGGCCAGATAACGACGACAGATACTTTGGACTGATGAACGTCGGCAACACATGTTACTGCAGCTCAGTTCTTCAGTCACTTTACTTTTGCCGGGCATTCCGCGACTGCGTCAACAACTACCCTTATCCCCGGGCCCTGCCTGGAACACAAACGTGTGCATCGGGGCCGTACCAAAGACGTGCAGAGATATCGAGTGGCAGCAAGACAACGTTGCAGGCGGCAGAGAGGTCGGCATCAACGCTGGGAATTGCGCAGACGGGAAGGGAGGAGCAGGAGGGCGGAGGTGCGGAGAGTGTGGCTGCGAGCACGAGCAGCAAGGGCCGTGCGCTGCTGACTATCCGCGAGCGGGCGTCTGGGTTGCGCAGGAAGAAGGGACGGAGTGGCAGTGATGCGGGTGATTCAGCGAATGGTTCTGGGGACCACAAGATTGTGGGCGCACTACTGGACTGCGCCGACTTGATGGCAAACGGGAGCAGCGAACATTCCGCCCTAGTGCAGCAGCAGCCACCACCAGCAGCAGCAGCAGCTCCGCCGGCATCACTGCTGGAGCGCTCAGCAATCGAAGCCCAGGCTGACAACGTCTCGAGTGCGGCCAAATACGGGGTGGCCAGCAGCATGTTCACAGAGCTCAAAGATCTTTTTTGGCAAATCTCCACGCGCACGCAGCGCACTGGCAACCTGTCACCGCAGGGCCTGGTATCAAAACTCAAGGAAACTAACGAGTTGTTCCGCAGTAACGCGCACCAGGACGCGCACGAATTTCTCAATTACATTTTAAACGAGATTGTCGAGAATGTCGAGGCCATTTACCGTGACAAGCGTTTGCAGTACGGCGCCGGCGCGCCCATCCATGGCGATAATGTGTTCCATGGCAAAACCTGGGTCCACACGCTTTTCGAAGGTCTGTTGACCAATGAGACGCGGTGCTTGAGCTGTGAAAACGTCACCAGTCGTGATGAGCGCATTTTGGACGTTTCTGTGGATATCCACGAGAATGCCTCGGTGACCCACTGTCTCAACCAGTTTGCCGCCGGCGAGCTCCTATGCCATAACAACAAGTTTTACTGTGACAATTGTGGTGGATTGCAGGAGGCTGAGCGCCGCATGCGACTGAAAAGACTGCCCAATATCCTGGCACTGCACTTGAAGCGCTTCAAGTACCATGAGGGCCTGGGTCGCTACGTCAAACTGTCTTACCGCGTAAATTTCCCGACCGAGTTGCGCGTACCCAATACTACGGAGGAGACGGCGGACATTTTGTACACGCTGGCTGGAGTCGTCGTGCATTTGGGCGGCGGACCCTTCCACGGCCACTACATCTCTATTGTGCGTAGTGGCGACACATGGGTGCTTTTCGATGACGATTCAGTTGAGATTATACAGGAGAGCGAGCTGGGAAACTATTTTGGCGATCATCCCAACTTTGGATCCGGGTATGTCCTGTTTTATGAGCGCGTGGATTTCGATTCCACGGAGTATGATTTGCCACGTGCGTACAGCTCCGAGACAGCAGCAGCAGCAGCAGAGGCAGAGGCAGAGACGGAGGTGGAGCCCGTGGTTGTGGCTGGGAAAGATGTGCAAGATGAAGAGGAGGAGGAGGAGGAGGCTGTTTTGATGTCGCCGAGAACCCAAGCAAAGACCTTGAATTCTTCTGTGACCATGCCCAATTTGGAACAGGCAGCGAAAACATCCTTGGCGCCGATATCAGCACTGACGGCGAGCGGCGGCGGCGACAACAATGTGGACAAGCCGAAATTCAAAGCGCCCATGCGTCCGCCGCCGCTGATATCAACAACCAGGTCTTTCCGCGGTAACCTGGATGCTTCGCAGATGAGCCCAGGACCATTGCGCACGCCCACAATGCCGAACAGTGCCATGATGCCAACAATGCCCACCCCGCAGATGAGCACGTTCATGGGACAGCAACAGCCAATGCAGTCGTTGCAGCAGACTGGTTGGTCTGCTGCCAGCGAGGGCCCGGCTGGAATGCCAATGTTGTATTCTCCGTTGGCTGCCAGTGCTCAGTCTAGCGGCAATGGCGGAGGCGGGCCGAGTGCTGCTGCTGCGGCGGCAACGAATGGCTCGACTGAGGCATCATCGCGCATTACTATGGCTAAGAGTCGGTCATGGTTCAGCCGACGCTCCAAAAAATAAAAATAATACTATTGTTTCTTTTTCACGTGTGCTTGTTATTCGTCACTTTCTTTTTTTTCTTTATTTCGTCGTTGCTGTTTTTTCTCTTATTTTTTGATAAAAGGAATTGAAGGTTTATTTTTTTGTATTTCATAAATTTCGCTCGCATACAAAATGTTGCAACAAGACTCAGACTCAGGCTCGGACTTGGCCGAGGTCAGCGTACAGGTACTGGAAGAGGGACCCACTCGGCGGGCGGTTGCGTTTAAATACCCGTTCTCGGGACAACCAGACATTGTGCGGTCAGCGCAAAAGGATCTCTTCTACCAACAGCGGCTGCAAACCGACCTCTCGTCCATCGCGCAACAAACACTAGGCAACCGGTTCAGCGCAACGCACCAGTCAGAAATACGAACAGTCTCCAGACTGCTCTACCACAGCCTAACGACGCTCTTGGGAGCACAAACTCTGGGCGAAGAGTACTGCGGGATAATGCAGGTTGGTCCGGACCAAACGTACCCTGCCTGGGGGCGTCGCGTCCTGATGGTTCTGCTGCAGTCTGGCGGGGCATTTGGGGCGCTCAAGGCTCTGGTGGGGCTGCGTGGGTGGCTGCGGCGGCGAAGGGAGCGGCAGAAAAGGGGTGAGAAAAGGGGTTGGGCGGAGCGGCTGGCGGACTGGAGTGTTTTGGCGGCTGGCCGCGGTGACGGGTGGGGGTCGAGGGTTGCGATGGCGCATTTGGCGGTGTTTTATTTTACCGGGGCGTATTACGGATTGGCGAAGCGAGTGACGGGGATCCGCTATGTGCTCACGCGTGGGTTGCGGCCAGGCGAGGAGGCATCCGGATACGAGGTTCTGGGTGCACTGTTGGCTATCCAGCTGGTCGTGCAGACATACATGCTGGTGCGCGGGCGAAAAGGCGCCGCCGAGGAGGCAGCGTCCGAGGAGGCAGCGTCCGAGGAGGCAGTGTCCGAGGAGGCGGAGGAGGAGGAATCGGGTGAGAAGAAGGGGACGGTGTTGCGCAACTGACGACCAGTCGGCACAAGTGTACACTGTGCTTGTCTCCGCGATCGCATTCCGCGGCCACGCCTTGCGGGCATGTCTTCTGCTGGACCTGCGTCTTCGAATGGTGCCAGGCGCACTCTGATTGCCCATTGTGCCGGCAGCCGCTAAAGACCAGCCGAATCCTACCGGTGTACAATTTTTGAGAATGAGCAAAATTTTTCTATTGATACAGCAGCGCGTATTCTACAGGCACTCCTAGAAACGACTTGTCACAGATATACTCAATACACTGGAGGACACGGTAGTTCTCTCGGGCAATGTCTTTGGCCAGGAGCATCTGCAGGAGTGAGGACTTTAACGTGGGCCCTTCGTCTGGCTCGCTTTGCGCTTGCTGCTGCTGCTGCTGCTGTTTTTTCTGGATGGACTCAGGGTGCAGGAATGGGCAGCGGGGGCCTTTGGTGCACCGGCCCATTGTAAAGTACTTGCATACCCGGAGGCTGCGCCGATCAGCCTCGGGTGCGATAGTCGAGGGGCGGAAGGGTATTTGCTTAGAAGCATAGAGCTTCGCAGGAGCGATTTCAGGAGCATCGCTGCCACTATCGCTGTCCTCCTCCTCCTCTTCTTCTTCTTCTTCTTGACTGCTTGCGTAGGCGGACAAGAGCGACGCAAGCGGATTGGCGCTGGTGTCTTCGTGCTTGCGCTTGTTGGGCTGTTTGGCCGGCTCCTGGGTTTGCTCTTGTTCCTGGGCTTTTCGGCGGATGTTGGCTTCGGTCGGGTATTTGGCCTTGCGCTCGGCTATCCAGGCGGCGATCTCCTCGGGGGTTTCAAGGCGTCGGTTGCGGATCAGCGGGTGGATCTGGTCTACTGAGGCATCAGCGATTGGCTTTGACTTTGGCATTGGTGCTGGCTTGGGGTGCTCATTATCTTTGTCTTTGTTTTTGTGATTCTGCTGCACCTGAGCCTGCTGGACCTGCGCCTGTGTCTGTTGCTGCACCTCGCTGGGCACGTGGATGTGGGCGGCTAGGAAGCTGTCGGTTGGTTGCGGCCTTTGTGCGGGAGCGGCGTCTGGGAGTGAAAAGAAGGAAATTGGATGGTCCATTGTGGTTGTGTGTTGTGCTAAAAAAAGAAAGTCAAATGGCCCAAATTAAAATAAAATACGAAAAATATGAAAAAGCTGTTTCGGAAAAGTAAAAGGAAAATATAAGCAAACAGGGTCCCGGTTAGATCAAACAATGATTTTATTGTGACAAAAAACCTCCGTGCTTCCCCTTTCGTCCATTTCTCACTTATAATATTCCACTTTATTTTCTAATTTCCAATTCCAAATTCCAAATTCCAATTCAGATGAAATGGCGCTGCTCACCGACCAGACGTTTCTGATATACCAGCTGCGCGTGTCCTTTCTGCGGTCCAGCGACCCGACGGGCGAGCGCATTCTGACGTTCGACGACCTGAGCACCATCACACCGGGGCGGCGGCGGCAAAGCAGCACGCCGCCAGGCAGCAACACGACCGGGCGACGCAGCACAGCGGCGTCCGAAATCCGACACCACGTGCTGCACGCAGCGCAACCCAACGCATATATAATTGCCAGCGGGTATTGCCCAGAAACCGACCAGCCGCACAGCCCCGACATCCACCCCTACGACGAACACACGGCAACGCCGTCGACATCACGGCCGACACCGCGGCTGCAGGGTGAGTCGTCAGGCGGGCGGCGCGCAAAACAGTCGAACCGCAACGCCAAGGTTGCACCGACGCGCGAGGGCCGCGAGGAGGTCGTCGGATTGGGTGTCGTACCGCAGCACCCGGACGTTTTGGACGCGTACAGCGAGACAGAAACCATGCGGCGCAGCCTGGATACCGTGCGCCAGCGGCGGCCGCAAGCCATGGTGGCCGACAAGACTTGGTCGGAGGTGCCCGTGGTGGTGCCGCCCAGGCGCTCACTGGATATCCTGTCGCCTCCGCCGATGCTGCCACCGCAGCTGATGCCTGGCGTACTTGCCAGCGAATCTGCAGCTGCAGAGGCCCTGGTGGCGCGCAACCCTGGCGTCGCTACCATTCGGCTGCAGCGCCCTAGCGAGGTTAAGCGCAAGGGCTCGGTGCGCGACGCTATTGCACTGGGTATTGATTTTGACCTTACTGCCTTGGCACCGCCCACTGCTGCGCGCACGTCGTCCAGCGCAAAGTCCTCCGAGGAGAGCACCCGCGATGCGCCCAGGGTATCCCTCTCGGCCTCGACCGCCTCGCTAAGCGCGCCGCGGCCGCAGCCGCAGCCTCAGCCGCCGAGATCCACCAAGCGCAGCGACGCGTCGTTCAAGATCCCGCTCTCGAACCTGCGCGAGGACCGGCCGCTGGGCTCCGCTTCCAACACGCTGAAGCGCAGCGCGACGCTGCCGACCAAGCGACCCGGCGGCGTGGCCGGGCAGCGCAGCCGCTGGGCGGACGTCTCCGTCAAGGGCAAGGGCAAGGGCAATGGCAGCGGCGAGCAGCAGCGGCAGCCGACCAGCCAGGCGTCCGGGTGGGTGGGCGGCGCGCAGACCAGCTGGGACCACAGCAGCAGCGACGGCAGTGATGACGAGGCCCGCCGCCCACGCCGAGGCCCAAACACCCACACATGGTATGGCCCGCGCGCCGGAATCCGCCCCATCAGCATGTTCCCGCCGCCCATGCCCAAGATCACAGCACCGTACGCAGTGCCACCGATGCCGCTGCTGTTTGGTGCTGATGACAGCGACGACGATATTGACCTGGAGGGCGATGAGGGCTCGTCGCGCACGCCAGCGCTCATGGGCATGCCGACCTTCGCCAGTGCTGCCGCCGCCGCCGCCGCCGGCCGCGCCACTGGGCTGTGCGCGCTCATGGCCAGCCCGGCGCTGCAGAGCCCGCCGAGCCACGCCGAGTCCCTGGGCAGGGAGAGCAGGCTGGTGGCGCGGCTGCGCGCTCTGCCCGGCGCCTCGGTGCCTGCGGCCGTGTCGCCACTGGGCGCCACCCTGGTGGCATCCGCTGTGGCGGCATCGTCGAAGTACGGCCACTTGGCGCGCGAGACCAGCAGCCCGCGGCCGCGCGGCATTTCTGACCCCAACTCAGCTGTCAAGGACACTTTGCAGCTGGAGTCTGCTGCTGCGCCACGGCTACGCACGCCGACGATGGCCGGAAGCTCTGCCGTGCAATCGCCTGCGAGGGCCATTTCCGTTGCCGCTGCTGCTGCCGTTGCCTTGGAAGTGCCTATTCGTTCGGCCAGTAGCTGCGACCTTCTGGTGTCCGGCCTGGCATCTGGGCGTACGGGCGCGCTGCCCCAGGCAGCCGACCCAGCGCCCCGTTCTTCGCCGGTGTACGTGCCGCCGACGCCACCCAAAACATCCGGGCTGGCAGCGCTCCTGGCCAGCAAGCTCGAGGTGCGCACCAATGCCTTTGCTGAAGAGTTTGCCACTATTGGAAGCGCTGGAGGCTCGGCAACGGCGGGTGGGAGCGGCGGGCGTCCGTTTGCGCTTAAGATCTTTATGTTCCATGCGGCAGATGCCAAGTCGCAAGCGCTGGATATCAGCGTGCGGGCGACGGCCACAGTGGAGCAGACCATCGGGTATGCACTCTACCAGTACATCGAAGATGGGTGCGCGCCGGGACTGGCCAAGGATGCGCTGGATGTTGTTGAGTGGGTGCTGCATGTGGCTGACGATGGCCAGGTTGACGATGATTTCCCGGTGCTGGATCGCACAAGGCAGGTGTCACAGTTTGCCTGCGACGAGTTTGCGCTCTGCCGGGCTTCTGCCGAGCAGGTCAAGCTCAACGAGGGCATACGCGTGCGGCAGGGCCGACTGCCGCGCATGGCGCGGTCACACGCGAGCATGCTGCCGATGCCGGTGCCGGTGCCGGTGCCGGTGACTTCCATCGGAGACACCCAGGAGGCCGAGGAGGATGTCGAGGGCGGGGTGCGGGAGCTGCGTTTCCGGATAGTTCCGCGGAAGGAGACCTCCGCCGTCGTGCTGCAGCCTTCGAGAATTGCCATTGCCAGCACTGCGGGCATTTTTGTCGGAAACTCTATCCTGGCAGCAGCTGCCGCCGCCGATCCCACGGCGCTGCCGCCGATCGATGCCCTGCGGTCACCGCATGTCCTGGGCTCGCGTTTCCTCAAGATCCGCGTCCTGGGTGATTCTGCTTCTGCCGAGTCCCTGCGCACCACCACGGTGGTGACTAGCGCCAATGCCACGGTGTCTGCGGCTCTGGCACAGGTGCGTCGCAAAAAACCCTTTTCTGACGAGCAGTATGTTCTGGGCACCATCGAGGGCGGCAGATTCGTTGTCTGCGACCCTGATCTTCTTGTCTCGGATATTCCCTTGTCCAAAGAGCTCTGCCTGCATAAACCCAATGCGCCCTTGCCTTCGCCCGAATCCCTGGCGCTCTATGGCAAGCACTGGTCTGTGCCAATCGACGACCAGCATCAGCAGTCATCTGCAGTTGGGGCGGCGGCAGTGGAGGGAACTCACCACCAGCACCATGACTTGCCGCATACATCCTCCCTGTATTACACTTTCCCCGTTGTGCGTCGTGCGCAAATGTTCACGCGACATGACCGGCTCTTGGTTATTGACGGCGAAGTGGTCACGCTGATGCCGGCGGATCACCGGACGGAGTCGGCGAAAACCCTGACATTCCATATAAGTAATATCGTGTGTAAACGTAACCAGAGATCTCCGAAGAAAATTCGCTTGGTGGTTTTGCGTAGATCTAGTTCAGCGGAGAAGTCGGTTGATTTGGAGACGGCTTCGGAGGAGGATGCTGTGAGTATTTGCTCGATCCTTGTGAGAATGCGTGAGATTTACGCTAATAATAATGGAGGTAGCGTTTGAAGAAGAATAACAAGAAAAAAATTGCCCCTTTTTTTGAATGGGGTGGAGGGGTTTTTTTCCTATTCGCTTTTTTTGTCATGTGCGTTTAATGATATTGTTGCCACAACTATAATATATTTTTATGTAACTTTAATTTATTTTTAAAATCTTTTTTAAAATAAAAAAATGGTATTTCTTCTATACATTTGTTCTTGTTCAAATATAAAAAAGCCATTTTTTTATGTTATGTCGCTAAACGATTATCTCGCCAAACACTACGGGTCGGTTTCAGAAGACAAGGACACAAAAAAGCAGAAGAAAAAGTCACACAAACACAAGCATACCGACCACTACCACCAACAGCACCAACAGCAACCAGCACAGGGCAGCAGCAGTGGTATCAAAGTAGTACTTGAGGACGATGACTTTCCATTCACACCGATTCCTGACAACCAATCCCGCCCCATATCCAAGTCCAAGCACAAATCACAATTCAAATACACTGACTCTACCTGGCACACCGTCCATCCAACCAACCAATTGAATTTCCAAAACGAAAAAGAAGAAGAAGAGGTAGTGGCAGAAGACGAACAGCCTGTTATTCAGCATATCACACCGGATCATCCTGAGGAAACACCTGAAGATCCCGGACCAACCATGCACTACGGGTTACAGACAGCGGAGACAATCAAAAGAGACTCTGACCTACAGCACGCCCGCTACCTGCGCAAACTCCAAGAATCCACTGACGACCAAAGCGGCCGCACGGCGCAGACTATATACCGGGACAAGCATGGCCAAAAGATCAATATCGAGGATGCGCGGAAATCCGAACAAGAACGGTTGAAAATAAAGGAGGAGGCAAGGAGAAACCAGGTGGAGTGGAATAAGGGGTTGGTTCAGCAGAGAGAAAAGGCTACTAGGAGCAGAGAAATAGAAGCGGCGGGAGATCAGAGTGAGTTATTGAATAGGGAGCGCAGAGAGAAGATGCGCTGGGACGATCCAGCTTTGAGGTTTTTGGAGAATAAACCGGAGGTTAGGAAGGAGTACCCGGAGTATAAGGGGTATGCGCCACCAAATCGGTTTGGTATTAAGCCAGGTTATCGCTGGGATGGTGTTGATCGGTCAAATGGATTTGAAGCTGATTTCTTTAAACGACAGGCTAACACTTCGTCTAGAAAAACTGAGAATTACTCTCATTCTGTAGCCGACTGGTAAAAATGAAATAAAGTTTTATATTTTAAAGTGGTTTTTATTTTAGTATATTTTGTTTGTTTTAAAATGGTTTTGTTTTTGGGATTTGGCTTACACTATATCCAACTGCAAAGCATAGGAAAAAGCCATGTTGCAATCGGCGAAATAGAAGCCTTGTTGATCTTGGCGTGCTTTTCGGCACTGGCCATGGCTTGGGAAAAAGCAAAATCCCGATCTTGTATGCAACAAAAAAAAGCAGAGGAATAAATCCCTTTGCGGTTCTTTGTGCTCCAGAAACCGGGCGCTCCATAAAATAGCCGGACCAGCAATTTGACATAACAGCCTTACTAGGCTTCAAAATGGAGACGGGAGCGCAACAGAGGGGATGGCGCCGCCGGAGCATGGTGCTGTGTATGCCCAGTGCTCTCTGCCTTCAACTATGGTTTTCCGATGCCTGTGTGCAGTGACCGCATCATATATTTGCTTTTTTTTCTTAAATTTATTTATTGAGCTCGTATCCCAGTACAACCAGATGTCAATTAGTGGCAGTCACATCCATCATTACCACTACCAATATTTGTAAAAAAACAGTTAATGAGGTTAGATGTACAGTACCGTCAGCGCATGCAGGCTCAGCAGGGCGCCAAACTTGGGGTCAATTGTCGCCACCTCGTCGTCAATGGCTGTCTGGTCGATTGCAATTGTTGCCCAGTGTACCGGCCGTGTTTGATCAAGCAGATGAGCCACATCTTTATGTTGTACAAACACCGCCTGGAATTGCGCAATAGTGCCCGCAGTTACTGCTCCGCCGCGCGTATATATTACCCACTTTATATCGGCATCCATGTGCTTGATATAGCTGACCCAGTCGCCAATTCCGCTTGCAGTGCTTACCACCAGAACACGAGCCACAGGATCGCTGATACTATCCGAATCAACCACATCAAATAGCTTAGAATCTGCATCGGCATCGGGTGACTGAATGTACGAGCCGGTGCTATTGTCGGCAAACAGATCGTCAAGGTCGTCAAAAATGCTGTCAACATCATTGTTTTCCTGGTCGACAGCCGGCGCTTCTAGCTGCCACATGTGCCAATAGTTGCCTAGCATATCGTACATCAGCGCTGCTGCGTCTGGCCTCGCAAAAATATTAACCTCGACTGGCGTAGCGTATGCACTGCCCATTCCAGACACCACGCCAAAAAGAGTGCAGCCCGATCTGTCCATGCATGGTGCCAGCACACCTGCCAGCCAGCGAGGCAGATGGCCCAGCTTGCCGCCATCGCGGCTGCACACTGCGATAGCGTTGCTGTCGTGCTGATTGTGAGGCTCTCTCACAAGATCCACGGTTTCTCCTATTGCGGCATTGGATGAGTAGTAGCGCCGGCCGACGATTAGCGCGCTAAAATGACCGTAAAGAGCGGTGGCGTTTGGGTTTGTCAGCATATTTTGTGATTTTATTTCTAATTTTTTGGAGTGACTATGCTGAAGATAACAGTATTGCATATATTACTACGGATAAGGACTGGCTTTAAATGACGAGACCCCACCAATGTATACATACATACACACATATAGTATGGCGACTTAGCGAGCGTATACGCTATGTTACTTATTTTAGGTGCGCGTACATGTAATGCGTGAGCTCAGCGCCAAAAAGGCTAGAGACCAACGACCAATGCAAAAAGAAAAAGGCTTGTTCCAGCTCACGTGTTTTATTTTGACCCCGCCCATCATACCTCGGCACGTAACCCAAAACTGCACCGGCCTATAAATATAAATCGCAAAATCCGGGCCCTTTGGGCCACAGCTTTTTAATGATTTCTTTAAGGATTCACGACGGCTGCCACGTTTTTGAGTCGACTTTTCGATGACTTAAAAATGCCATGGGCACTTTGTGCCCACAGCCTCGGAGACGGTAAAAGAGAGGACATTTTAGGAACCCGCCCGCACAAACTCTGTGTGCGGATGGGGCCATGCGCCTCTCATATTCCCACCATACACAAAACCAAACAAAATAACAAGATTAAAACAAAAGGCTGCTAGCGCAAGCGTTAGTCAACTCAATGACTGCATTGCGCTAGCATATTGCCAAATGAATGCGTTTTCGTGAGTTTGTGTGGTCGCAGCATCAGGACCAACAAGCACAGCTGTCAGTTCGGTTGTTTTCTTGCTTCAACAATTAAGGCAGCTTTACTTTTGCAAGTGGGGATTTCTGAAACGACGTGAGCAGAATATTTATTAATATATTTGTATGTGCTGACTGCGTGCAGATTTAAGCACTTCGTTTTAAACTTGGAAGCAATAATAACACTGCTGCATTCAAAGAAAAACATGTGTTTAAAGTTACAAATACACTGAAATAAGTAATAGTGCGTAAAGGCATGCCAAGATGACTGCTTGTAAAGGCACTCAAAAGCTGCCGATAAGGTGCATTTCTTCTTTTCATAGCCCCGTTTTATTGTTCTAATATATTTATTTCGCTAGGATGGATTAATTCATACATGGAAACGCATTACTCATATATGCTTTTTACCAGGCATACTATAATAGAAATGAGTTATAAACCTTCCAACTTGTAAAGCCTTTTGCTTAGCAGCAATATATTTTACACGGCGTTCGGTTGGCAAAACCGGATATGGAATATTGTCTCTACTTCTAGCCATTGGCAGTGAAATGAAGATGGCTCAAGGGTCAGGCCAAATAGTTGGCTCAATAGACCACCCCGAGCAGTTGCCGTGGATTATGAACGACGCGATGCGCGCAACCATTTTATTTAGCCGCAAGTTTGATAATCGGTTTTACTGGAAAGTCGTTCACTCGTGTGCGCCTACAGAGAACTTGAATGCGTGGCCTCAAAGTTGTTTAGCTCTTATTGGCAAGTGGGGAACAACATATCGGGTGGCCAGCATGCTCGGCTGGCCCTGGTCAGAACGGTATACTTGTGCGCAGACATTTACATTTTGGACGACCCACTATCTGCAGTCGATACTCATGTTAAACGCCATATCCTCGACACTGTTTTGCTTGGCAATGGGCTTTTAGTTGACAAGCTGCGTGTTGTTTCTACAAACCCAGAGCACATTTTTCCATACTGCAACCAAATAGGATCAGTCAGCGACAAAAGTATTGTCGTGAAAAGAAGGCATCCAAAAAGTATAGCCTAGGCCCACTGCCAAACAATGCATTGGCTATCAATACCAGCGTTGTCGATAACTGTCAAAATGTATTTAATGCAGAGGAAAATTAATTGAACAATGTCAAGATACCTAACAGCAAGCCAGCTTTTAATATAAAGTCGAGAATGTATTCTAAATCTCAAAAATCAACAAATAACAAGGCGTTGCCCACCAAGCGGACATACTAGGACGACCTCAAATTCATTATTAATATATGTGGGCTGCCAGCACTAACAATATCCGTGGTTTTGTCCATGTTAATCTCAATAACAGGGTATATAATCGACAAACATAAGATAAAAAGTATTAAGGGTAATTCAAACGCGGTTAAACTCGCAAAAGCTACCATCTCAACGTATTTCAGATGATTTTGTTAAAGGGTTTGTGCAAATGCCAGCCTTATATGCATGTCCGTGACTGTTTTGCAGCATATTAACAACAAATTTGTTGCAGAAAGTACAAAAAACAATTTACTCAAAGCATGATTATGGTGCCACTATCGTGTTTTGACAGCAAACCTCGACAACATATTGAATCAGCATACAACAAATGCACACATACCATTGCATATCATGTCCCGCAGTTTATCCAGTAGACACCATTGTATGCAATTAATACAGCACCTTTGTTATATTGCATACTCGGAATGTCGCCTCGGCTGTTGGTTATGTTCATTTTGTCTCATCTATGTTTTCTAAGTGCAATTTTATACTGGGTCCAGGTATTTCTACTCCGCTGTGCAATGTACAACGGAGTAGCAATATCAGTCGAAAGCCCGTTTCAGATATTGTTGCTGACGGAAGGCAGATGATTCGCATGTTTAGCGTCGAGCCCCATTCCACATTGCTTCATATTGATAAAACTGATAATGAAAAGCACATTTCCAGACGGCTATCTCTTTTTAATGTATTAAAGCATTGTTTAACAATGGTGTTTCCAACGTCAGCGATATGTTTATTACCTGCACAATGATTGTGGTGTCAAACACCACTCGGTTTGGGATGATATCTGCAGATTCTTCTATCAACAGAGATATGACCCAAAATGCTATAGGCAGTGTAAAGCAAATAATTGATTTGCCAAGCAAAGCATGCCATTTTACTGACAACATAAATATTTACAGAAAGCTTATTGCCATACCCGGAGGCTTCCTATGCCATTGGCAGCTGTTGTTCTGAAGCCAAGTGGCTGTCAAATAGGCACCTTGAATTTAAAAATTATAGCTTGAAGTATTGCAAAGTTGGATCCAGCGCTGAAAAACATTAATCTAACAGTTAACCCTGATGGGAGGACTGGCATCGTTGGTCGCACTAGTGCAGGGAAGTCTACGCTGGTCAAGTCGATGTTTAGGCTGGCGCACAGCAGCGCCAGTGGCTCCATTGTGATTGATGACCAGGAAATTGCTCGATTAGGGTAGGTGACCTGCGGTCGAACTGTGCGTCATCCCGCAAGCGTCGACCATGCTCAAGGGCACGTTTGGCAACAATATTGATCCACTCAACCAGTTCACAAGGGAAATGTGTGACGCTATTACCAAATGCAATATTGGCAGTATTAACCGTTTCTAAAAAACAAAATACATACCAAGCGCTTCGGGGGCCTACCATCTGCTCAGAAGTTTGTGCCAACCACAAGTTGGGTAACTGATTTTTAAAATATTTTTTTAAATGTCATCATCATCACCCAAATGTTTTACTGTTCCCATGCGAGTGATTATATTCAACTAATCATCGGAAAATTATTGAATTGGAAAACCATGCTTTATTTGTAAACTTGATCGTGTTACATTTCTGCTTACCGCATTTTATCCCCCCTCTCAAATAACACCATGTCATCGGCCAAACCGCAGCTCTTCGAGCAGACCTCGCAATACCGGCACTGGCGTTTTACGCCTACGTCCTTGGCACAACTACGCGCAGCCAACAACAAGCAGGGCGTCGAGCGCGTGCTCCAAGGTCTTCGCGAAGAGGCCCAAGTTGACAACGACCGCAATACATTAGAGACCCGGATATCTGAGGCAACCAATAACCTTTTGTCTCCTGAGGAAGAGCTCGAGCTCATCGACTACTATTTGCAAGTGACGGTTGCTTACGCGCGCATGTACGGAAAAGGAGCGATATTTAAACCGGAAGCTCTGAACAACATTAAATCCACAGCAGTCAACTTTATGAAGCGCTTCTACCTGCATAATGTGGTATTCGACTATCCGCCCAAGAGCATTATGCTGACATGCTTTTATTTGGCAACCAAGGTGGAGAATTCGTTTATCAAAATTGACGATTTTGTTCGCCCGCTGAATGATGTTGTGGATAAGAATAAGAAGGGTGTCCGGACAAAGAACGAAGATATCTTGGACTTGGAGTTTGTCGTTATACAGAGCCTGCAGTTTGAATTGGCCGCCCACCATCCGTATAGGCCATCGTATGGCCTGTATTTGGACATGCAGGCTTATATCGAGAACAACTTGCTGAAGGAGGTGTATGACAGGACGCAGTACTATATCGACCAATCGCTGTTCACGGATCTAATATTCTATTACCAGCCGCCACAGATTGCGCTTGGTGCATTCAAGCTAGCTGCCAAGAGAAGAACTTGGATATTGACATGTACCTCACACAGCGCTTCGAGGCGCGCTCACTCGAGCTGCTATACCCGATCCTCGACGATATACAGGAGGTTATCGCTAACAGGATAAATGCATCTGTCGTCGATAAGAAGGAGGTAAAGGAAAGGGCCGCGCTCATTGATCGTAAGCTCATTCTGTGCCGCAACCCAGAGAAGAACCCCAACAGCAAGCTGTACAGAAAAAAGATTGCTGACCGAGATGAAGCGCAGTATGTATCAGACTCGGGCTCTGAATAAACTGATTGACCCTTTTTAAGTTATTTCAGTTAATTTCAGTCATATTTTTAAGCACTCTATTACTTTCCATCTTTTTTACATTTGAAATTTTGTATTTGCAGCCGATGTGGCGCTTTGAAACGTAATTATAGGTGATTTGACGTTGGTGAATAAAATAAAAAAACAGGTATGTGACAGTGGCAGCCTACCCATTTTGAACAAAATAGTGGTGGTGGTTGCCTTGAGAAGAAAAATAAATATATAGATACGACAGTAGCAAAAGCTATCCGTAGTAGGGGTTCTGCTGGCCCATATACGCCTGGAGGTTGGTTGCGTTTGGTTGCGCATTGATCTGGTCCGCAGAGCCCGCAGAGTTGGAAGCAGCTGCTGACGTTGGCATTGCACCCAAGGGCACCATTTCCTCGCCAAGCCCATCGACAGAGTCTTCCTTTGTCGGCACGTCCTTGTCGACCTTTATGGAATCTCTATACTTGGCCAGATAGATCTTTAGCGCCTCTGTGTAGTTCTCAAACCCAAGTGACTGCATGGCCCACAGGATATCCTCGCCATTGATGGTTTTCCTCTTCTCCTGATGACACCGGTCGCTAGCCTCGCTAGTAATAAATGATATGAACTCGGATACGCATTCCTGAACTGTCTCTTTGGCCTCCTTGGCTATTTTGGCGTTGTCAGGCAGCGCTCGCTTCATGATCCGCGCCACATTAGCTATGGGCAAAAAACGGTCCTGTTCCTTGATGTCTTCGTAGTCCTCGCCCAAATTCATGTGTTGGTCGTTTGCTGACATTGCGGCTATCCGATAAAAAAACTGCGTTTATAAGTGAGGGCGAGTGTATTGAATTTCGCTGAACTAAACTGAACTGAACTGAACTGAGATAGACTGAATTTTCAAAGAAATAAAGATATAGATAAAGCCAAATTGAAAGGACAAAATTTTAGCGCAAAAAATGAAAAAATAGTGAAAAGGTGAAAAGAGCTGGAAAATGGCACGCGAAATTCAGAGCTGATTTTGAAACTAAGGAGGGGCACACGCTTTTAGTGTGATAAAAATAAAAAGGCGCCAGGTTGGGGGTTGAAGCGCCATATTGATATCACGTGGATTTAAAAGTACAACTCGACTCGGCTCGTCTGAATTGCAGCGAGTTCCCTGACTGACGTAAGGACAGTCTGGATATAGCACACTGGTGTAAGTGAATTTTGGAATTTCCAGACATTTATAGGGAAAGTCCAGATTTTTAAGCGGGGGATTTTCAAAACCTGTTTTTCACGCAAAAAGACATCGTCAGAGTTGGCTGAATCCGAGTCTACAGCAATACCCGAGACTTTGCTCAAGTCAAAATCTAAGTCCAAGCGTGTGCGCAAGAATACATCTGCCCCTGCTTCTTCTCTTCAAAAGAAGCAGCGAACTGAATGATATCGTCAACCATAGTGGTATATTGCCACTAGTTTCTAAACCATTTTTAGGTTGCTATTCAAACTGGGGGAAGGATGTCGATTTGCAGGCTACTTGTAGTTTTATTCTTTTCTTTTAGTGTAGCTGACTGAGTCAGCAATGGGTGCCCACCCACTGCGCTTCTGCCCTTCTCTTTCTTGCAGTAAAGAGCAGACGCCTATGTGGGTAGAGAGACACACTTTATCGGCGCTCTGCCCGTGTAAAATATATATTTCTCTTAATTTTAAATTTTCTCTTATTGGTTTCGGCTGATTAATAGATCAAGATCTCCCATCACCCACTACTGACGAAATCAGGCTAATACAAATCAACCGATATTTAAAACGTAATTTCACCCGAGACAAGTGCCATGCTCTTGAATTATTTTATCAGTAAACAGGTATCATGGGGAGTTTGTTTAAATCGGACTTGCCAAGAGCCATCGGGTCATTTTTATGATATACACGTGTGCATATTATACACGCAAGGTGACCAGACTGAAAAGTGTTTGGAGCATCCAACTATACCTGCCATGTAAAGTACGTTTTTTGGTCATTGTTTTTGGGAATCTAAAAAAAGACAAAGAAACTTGGTTTGTTTATGTGTGGTCGCCGAGGGCACATACATTTCCGATGCTTTCTCCACTATTTCTTAGCGCATATCCGCGTGGTGGTGTTCAAGGATAATCAATTTTGTTGAAAGCAGACAAGAGCCCATTTATTTGCGATTCACACAAATTAACGTTAAAGAGTCACTTTGTCACTACAACAATCATATGTATAATTCTCATAGTCAACAGTCAGTTGATTATTCACATTCTCAATATTAAACCGTTGTCTAATAGTCTTGCATCCGCAGATCATCAGCCGACTTTTTGTCCTTGGCAACAGCGCATGCCAACAGATAAAGCTTGGGTTTGGATTCGGATTTAAAATAAAAAAAGCGAATTCACCTGTTCAATTTAATAATCTCAGGTACTGCTTCTCTCATGCACCTAGAATGCGGCTATTTTGTTTATCCCCTAGAACACATTGGGGGATAATATTGGATTCGTTCTCTACAATTTATAGTTGACATGTTATTGACAAGTACGGATTGATTGTCCCCCAAAGTTTTGTGTTTTGTTCTGTCTTGTTTTGTTTTCATCTGCATTAAAATTTCTTGTTTGCAGCCGCTGGCCTTTACAGTTTTGTCAATACAAGTGCGAAGTACCATTATGTTGTTAATTATTAACCAACAGCTCCTACAAAGTATCCTGTTGATACTAGCTATTGTGCATTGGATGTTTTTCACTTTCTTTCATTTACCCAATCCAATTTTGCACAGGTTTAGCGTGTGTACATTAGCCACCCATTTGTTGGGATGATTTTATCGATAATGGCACCCTCCTTTTCCCTGATTTCTTAAAAGATGTAAACAGATAAGCCCAAATTATTTTATTTTACAGGCACTCTTGCCATCATTTATTTATTTATTTAAATAAAACAGCAACAATCCCAACAAACAATGCGTGTCCTCTTCAATGGGTTTTTGTTGCCTGGGAAAGTGTTTACACAATCGGCAAATATGTGTATGTAAAAGACTTCTAAGGACATGTATGTTGCATGAAGATTTACACATAAAAGTGCACATTGGTGCAAGTAGTGGATCTGGAGGAAATAAATATATGCACGAGAAAATGAGAAATTCAAATTAAAAATGGTTTCAGAAAATAATCTGTTATCCTGGTCACACCCCATCCGGCTAATTATCAGGGCAAGCTTGTGGATACGGGCAAAAAACTTTTAATTTGCACATGAGGCGACAAACAATGCAAATTGATTCATTTTTAAACAATTAAGGACAAAACAGGGGAACAAAGTAAGGAATATAACAATGTAAACGCAGTGTGGCTACAAGTTGGTGAGTAATGAGATATATTGATTGTGTATAAAACTGTAGCGCATAGACAGTGATTTTATTGTTTTATTTTCATTTTTTATCGACACATGCCAATAAAAGTTGAAAAGCGCTAGTTACAATTAAACATGGCTTTGCCTTTACATTTTTCGCCAGAACAATGCTTGCAGTTCGGAATTGTAGCAGTAAATTGTTTTAAACAAAAGTCGTTAGAAAATGGTGACAAAAAATAAAAGACCGAAATTTATGATTGAAGAAAAATGAAAAGGAAAAGAGAAACCAAATGAGGAAGACATAAGACGTAGAAACATAGAAACATAGATTAGTTTCTTACAAAGATAAAAAGACAATGATAATTCAGTGTTGGATGGATAAACTTTTATGGACCTCGTTGCAAAAAAACCGTTGCAAGAGCAGGTGCAAGCAGTATAGAGCACAAAGACTAGCCGGCGTCTGAAAAACTGTCCATGTCGATGTCATCCTCAGGGTCGTGATTTTCGTGGTGGGCGCGGTCGACAGCTATGTATTCCGGGTCAATCATAAATGCTGGCATATCTGTCGGCGGCGCTGAACCCCCGCTTAGATGTGGGTTGCTCGACCGTGGCGTGCGTTTAGGACGCAGCGTGTCCAAATGCCGAAACAGCTTTGTAAATGTGTATGCCCGCCAGGGCAAGGTACCGACCCGGACCTCGCCATCGCCCTCTTCGTCCGTGTGTTCCGGGCTCATGGCCGACGGCACAAAGCACGATTCCGCATTGAACTCCTTTGGAAGAAAGGGAAATTGCGACTGGTCAAACACCTTTTTTCGACCGATCGACTTTTTGATGCGCCGCGCTCGCCGCCTATCGCGCTGCTGCTTGAGCATCGCTTTATCCTCAGTGGTGCGGTGTTTGGCCTTGAGCGAGCTGAAATACACGCTCAGTCCGTGTTCAATGCGATCGTAGGTCCCACCATGGTTGGAATGGAATGCCTGCACGATCTGTTGTGTGGTATGAGCATTGCGCGGCGCCTTGAACGACTGCTGGTAATCCCACTGTGCGTTGTGCAAGTCTGTAAAGTACTGGTCCACAAAGGCGCGTATGTTAGCCTGAAACCGGTTTTTCTCGACTTTCAGCAACGTGCCACCACTTGAGGCATTGCTTAAAATGCCTCTAACGCTGCTCGGCGTGGCGGAGATCCGAGCGCCCGACAACCCACTGACCGGCCCGGTTGGTGAGTCCAACATGGCTGATGTCGGCGTGCTCGCAGTCGTACCCACCGGTGGGATGCGCGCGTACCCGAAACCTGGCATAAACGGCTGCGACGGCGACGAATGCTTGGCCGTGGTCGGTGTAGAGTCGAGAACCATTCCAGCTGCCAACGCCGATGCAGGTGAATATGTCGATGGCCCCGCGCCCAACGCACCTTGAATTGCAGAGCCCCTGTGTTGGCTAGCTTGCTGGGGTGCTGACGTTGGATTTGTGCGGATTGGGGGCAACGATATCAACTGCTCAGTGCCCGAGAAATGATGCGCTCTGTGCGGCGACACGGATTCCTTTTGTAGCCCACTGTAATAATGATGTTGGACTTGGTGGCTCTGTTGATGCAGGCGCTGCACTGCTTTGGGCGTTTGCTGTGCGTAGAAATGTGAGTGACTGTGATGCGGGTACTGGGCCAAAGAAAACGGCGACGACGACATAGCTGGAGCAGACATTGGGGCAGATAATGGCGGAGGAAGCATCATTTCGTGGTGCTGAATTTGAATTTGTCGACCCTGCTGCTGATGTTGTTGCTGCGACATGGGCAATGGCGGAGAGTGCTGCCTTGGCGGCTGGGTGCCTGACGATGAGGCTCGTGAAAGTGCGGCGGATGGCGGCAGACTTACTAGTCCTGCAGATGTCATCGACACTAAGGACATTGCCGACTGTATTCCCGAGCTGTGGTGCGGCGGGGGTATATGTGGAAGTGTCGGGTGCGAGTGAGGTGTCTCTGTGCTGGGAGATGTCTGCGATTTTTTTGTTGTTGCACCAGAGTTTGCCCCAGAGAAGGGCTGATCGGGCCGCTGATGGTTTTGTAAAGAAATGATATTGGCAAGTGTCGGCGGCATTCCGCCGGCGCTTGCGGGCGACTGTGACCTGGCACCGCGCGTACCCAGCGACGGGCGCTCCGATTCGGGCTGTGTCTGCTGAACGACGATCTGCGACCGTCGCATTGCGCCCAATACCTCGTTAACAGTGGTCTGGAGCTGTGCAACGTCGGCTGCTAGCCGCTCCTGTGTAGCTAGCACCTGGGTGAGAATATCCCGCGTCCTCCGTTTGGGCTGTGGCTCTGCCGGGACTCTATCGGTATTGGCTGCAAATGAAATTGCCGATGGCGATACTGATGCCGACGTTGATGCCGACGGCCGATCATCCGTGCGCTGCCGCTTGCTGCCATCGAACCCCAACATACGGGACTGTGGACGATAAGTGTATATAACTGGTGAAGGCGGAGAATATAATAAAAACACAAGCGCTCAGACAGGGGATGACAGGTTGCTGCGAGTGTCTATTCTGGGCGGGTTGTTAAACCCTTGACGCGAATCTTGTTGACAAAGGTTGGGCTGGCAAATGTGCGCAGGCGTGTGTGAGTGTGGCACTGTGTTGTATTCTGGAAAGATGGATTTACACTATGTCTACTGTTTGTTTTTGTCTAGAGGCTGCGCGAAATCGATAGAGCACCAGTGTGGGCTGACAAACAGAAATGCCGACTGCTTTGTAGAGTATAAATAGAATGATGTTGTGGCGGGGGAAATCTAGCAGGTGGTCAAGATAAAACAAATAAGAAAATAGAAAATCCAGCTTTGTGGCCCAAAAATAAGGGAATACAAAATAAAAGAAAACAAGAAAAAATAACACACTAACCAAGGGAGTGTTGAAGAGTTTCTGGACCGCAAAAAATAAAAATCGGAACCCTATAATGAGATGTGCTGCAGGCAGCCTAAACCAAAGTATCTGCTCCCACCAACCACACAAAAAATTGTCTACAGAAATAAAAGAAAATGATTAAATAAACAATTAAATATATGTATTTTTGGTCAGATATAGTAAATATATGCAGGTGTGCCAAAAGTGGAGATGTAAAATCTGTATACAAATATTGTCTATAAACAGTGCTCCAATCAAGAGTAGTATAAAAGAATGGAGAAGAAAAAGCAGCTTCCGACAGTCAGCCAATATATACCAGAGCTCGGCGAGCTGAGAGTGCAAATGTAAATGTAAACAAAACAGAAACGCGGTTGCAGAATGACAAAGGGAAATGGATGATATAAGAAGAAAAATTAAAATGTAATCCCAACAAGAAAAAAAGAAAAAAAGGGGCGCATAGATGTCAATTATCGATAGTTGGAGCCAGAAAAAATAGTTTTCGATTATAGCAACAAAGTGGGGAGTACAAAAAAATAAGAATTGTTGTGAGCTGTACAAAAGTGAAGGAAAAGGTCGGAGAAGAGACGGAAGGGAAAGGAGGCAAAGCGGCGTGTCGTGGGCATCAAAATTACCAGCCAGGCACTGGCTGGGCGGAGGCGGCGGATGACCTGGCTTTTTATAAGCGCCCGCCAAATATGCCTGCTTGGTTGACTGCGACATCCAACCAACCACCACTACGCACTACCCCCCCCCTTAACCCCTCCCTCTTCCCCTTCCCTTCCCCCCTCCCTCTACCCACAGACTTCGCGGACAATTCGCATTTGGTCGTGCGTTATGCACATGTACTCCATTGTTTGCTGGAATCGCAGAGAATAAACAAGGATGCTCGTAAGTGATCGCAGGTAGCAAAGCGACTTAAAAACATGGGCGCGCTCGAGCTAGGTAACTTTGCTCGCCATAATAACTTTTTGTCCGTTATTTCTTTGTGGCAATGGGGTAATTAGTTTAAACCAAAAGAAAATGGCGACAGGCGGCTTGATTTGCAAGTTTAAACCCGCCTTCACATTGGTTTCAATTAAATGCCTGCACCTGTAGGTACCTTGACGGTAAAAAAGAGCAAGTGTTTCTTGAGGGACGAGAGATCCAACATAAAATACTTGACACGATATTACACGGTCCACATTTTCTTGTAATAGATTCAAACGCGCAAATGCAGGGTTCGTGTCAGAGACAAAACATGGGTGAGTAGATACAATGTCAGATACAGAGTTGGCTCCAAATGTTGCGCAAAACGAATTTTTTAGAATAAAAAACTGACTGATTCTTAACAGAGCGGGGCGTGGAAGTGGAGAATTTAAAACAGGAGCACCACAGCTCCTGTTGATTCAATGTATGCAGGTGCTAGCAGAATGTTGCAGATTTGGGCAGATTCGGGGCAGCCCTGGTTACGAAGTGGGAATGGACGAATAAACTACAAAATGGGCAGCTTGAAAAAACAAGACAAACATGGCCCGCTGGCCAAGCATAAGCGCGGAAGGCATGTGTGATAAAGCAAAGAAAAATTGGGACAACAATAAATCAATCAATCAAAGGACAAAAAATAAAAGGTCATAGTCGAGGGGAAAAGTGAAAAAAGTTGTTCGTACCTGCTCGGCAAAATGTTACTGCCTTTCCGTGTATTCCAAAATGTGCAAAAATAATAATTCCTATTCTGACGGATGACTCAGATGCTGATTGCCAGTGCTGATGTCGATGTTGGCGTCGATGCGGATTTCGGAGGAAAAAATTGGCGATTTAATATGGGAAAATAAAACAAAAACTATTGAGGTCCACGGCTCCAAGGGCTGGATATAGTAACAGGTACTGCCTTGCCCGTTCGGTTGATGTGTATGCGGGTTTCAGAATAAGGGCCGAAGAGGTGTTGCAAATAAAAAGCAAGTGACAAAAGAAAAAAGATGGCAAAAAAGCAATAGCAAAGTAAAATAATCAAAAAGAGAGGGAAAAAAATCAGAAGAAAAAACAGAGAAGGGTTGGTATTCCTGGGTGCTCAAGAGGCATGATGAAATCCAATGACATTCACAGTCCAGTAAAATAAAAAACAAAGATTGCTTAGCGGCGCTTAGGTGAGGCGATGATGCGCAGAGTTTGACAAAGTTGTGAAACACCCCTTTGTCTACCCCACGAGAGCAAAGAAAATTTTGACAATGCCGTTTTTAGTTATTATTTTTTTAACCATTTTGGCTGGACGGGGCTGGTGAGAGGCCCGCTGCTAGCGCAATCAATAGGGCGTAGTGCCAAATAAGGAAGGTTGTTGTGTACAAAACTAGATATATGTAAAAAAAAGTGCTCTTCGAAACCATGCTTACTCTTTATTTTCTGCTTCTGTGCAGGCATCGCAATAGGAAGGTCACCAGCAGCTACTTGGTCACTCCGCACTTACCAGCAGCTTTGTTTCGTCAAATAACAATGGTTTCTGTGTCCGACTAAAACCGGCTCTGTGCGCTTGATTGACACAATGGATGGCCGGCCAGACAGTGAAAAACGTCGCACTGAATTAGCCTGCTGGCTCGTATGATGCTAGGATGTGGTCGGAAGAAAGAAATAATCATATTCAGGGTCAGTTTTTACTGGTCTTGTTTAAAACAAGAAGCCTAGTTTATCTAGACGGCTTAAATTTGCACCACGGGCATTTTCACTTATTAAAATTAATGGCGTTTCAACAAAAAATTTTCAAGCAATTAGCAATTAGGACTTTCAATTGTAATTTCAAATGCAGGTGCGCTTGCTCGTGTTTGTTTTTATTATATAGTCGCTTTTCGCTATTCCATTGTGTCTACTTGCCTCGATAATTTTGTTCAAATAAAATACTCTATTGAAAAAGAGGCAAACGCGATTTAAATACTAGGTAGACATTTAGGGGGTGGTGGCCAACCTTCACTACCATGGACCGCCCCAACGCTGCCGTCCGTAATTTGTTTTTTATTTTGGACTTGAAAGCTGGCAAGTATTTTGATTGCAGTCTGCTCGGCAACTGCCGCAGCCAGCTGCATATATCAGCAATGGTGCTCGTTTTGGCATGCTCTAATGGTTGGCTGAGCATCAGGTGCCTTTTGCTGGAATTTTGCGTGGGGGGCTGCGCACGCTCTGTTTGACGGCCCAGGCAATATATGCTTCCATTTTGTGCTAACTGTGTGAGAGGCATGTAATTGGTGCTGCATGCAATTCATAAAACAGAGCACAGCCAGACAGCCATATTTCGAGAGGAGCTGCTAACAATGCATGCAATTTGCTGGCACTGGCCACTATTCTGCTGCGCAGTTATGCAGCAATTAATCCGCGACCGGACTTGATGCTTCTGCACACTATATTTTGTTTTGCTGCATCATGTTTTCAAAAGCAATAGCCCAGAGTACACGGTAGGGACTCGCCATTGGATGAAGTATGCGCAAAAAACTTTAAAAAAAACTAGCCAATGCCATATCTGCATTGCTCTCCCGTTTGACGATCAACGGACTATCCCAGCGCGCCTCCGGTAGGAAAACCGGCACCTGTTTGTTTGGTTTTTTTATGATGTACTCTAAACTTGTCTTTTAATTTTAACAGATCCTTGTTGCTCCCTTTTTTCTCTGTGGCTGGACTGGATTGGATTGGGGCGGGTATGATTTTCAGATTGACATGAATAAAACCATTTTCCCGTGAATTTTGCTGTGGTTTTTCAATCCAGCCCAGTAATCTCTCTCTATAGCCACAGGCGAGTAAAGGCAGACGGCTCCAGGACCCGCAAATTGCATGTGAATAGGGCTTGTAGAGAATGGAAAGTATGAATAATTTTTTGCTTTAATTAATGTCATACTTTAAAATAATTTGAATTGCGTTCGGGCTTGACGGTTTTGGCGACAAACACGCTTGGCTCCTGAGACCATTTCGATTATTTTAGCATTCAATTTAGGAAACCGAGGAACACTGCCCCTTTCTTTTTTTTTGCAAAATTTTGGAGTGTGGCTGTTTACAAAACAAAAGCGAATTTCCTTTATGGAATGTCCAAGCAATGGGTATTTTCAAAAAGGCAAAACAATGACTGCATCATGGAAAAAGATGGGTAATCTTGGAGAAACGATAAATTACACAGCCTGTTTTTTCACAGCACTTTGTGGCACTTTTGTACAAAAAACTATCGATTGGATAGCAAAAAAACAACGATTAAGAAATGTTTTTATTTGGTGACAACATGTGTGCTGGATGATCACTCTGGTTTTGCGGCTATATTAGTGGACGCCTTCCATGGAACCTATTTTCTCCTTTTATCTTTTCTCTTGTCTTTTGAGTCAGTGGTCCAGATGGGCCGAAAGCTAACTCGGCATTGCTGAAAATTGAATATTATTGCGGAACTAATTTAGTGAAAAATAAGGAAACATCGAACAAGCACTAGGAAGCAAGGTCGGCATGCATTTGTCAGCCGGCAATCTAAAAAATTATAATAAAATTATGATGGCGTTTTGGACAAATTCCTCCATCCATTTTGTAGTCACTGGATAAAGCTAGTGGAGATTGAGCTGTTAGGCAGTAATAGTCGCCATGGTATGGGAAAAATAATAAAAAAGTATTCAGTCTTTTTACGAAGAAATGTACTCAATATAAATATAAACGCCTAGCGCCAGTCTATTTGTGAAAGGTCCTAGTTTTTAAGCATTTACTTTTCTATTTCCAACTATAGCTGCTGTTGCTCAATGAAGGTATTGCAAAACCGGCAGAGTGAATATTGCCACTTGATCTGATGCTGTTACCGAACTCCCGGATTTGGGATGATTATGAATCAGATTAGCATTTCTCAGATGACATGTGAGAAATTGCTCACATCCAAGTTGAAAATGTGGGGAGGAGCGGGTATCAGCCTAAAATGCGTACGCTGTCTAGTTTCAATTGCAAATTATGTGTCTTGTGTTATTAGGCATGACTGAGTTGTCGCCCAGTTTTTCTATTCATTTATTTGCTCGCTTGCTTTCTCTTATCAAGTTGTGCGCATGTATGCGGACACGTCTGTAGAATGGCAATATAAAAGTAGTTTATTGTTTTCCAAAAATTTCTAAAGATTGTTCTTTCGTGTGAAATAAAAAATTCCACAGTATGCAGAGCAAACACATGTAAATTACTTTTCTTTTACAATACCCGTCGAAAGTGCACAACAAAATGACAAGATATTTACAGCCTAGTAAATTTACAATACAAAAAAAAGTTTTTTTTGGCATTTTAGTGCTTCCCAAAAAAACATTAATTGATAAAAAAGGAAAACTGGTCCTGTACCAACTAAAATGTGCAGGGCCAAAATGCAGAAAAATCTGTTAATTTTTGCACATTGCCTTGCTGAGACGAAACTTCTTTTTTATTCTTTTCTCGATTCTTGCTTTAGCAACTAATTATTCAATGTTAAAAATAGATGCTTTTCTCTGCTACAATTAATTATTTTGGCCAATCCATTATTAGCACATAAACAGTCCAATGGGAACGCAGGCAATGATGTGTGGTATAACATTGATACGCTTGAGATTTTCCTGACCCAGCCTTCGCAAAAGAAAAAGAAAAGCATTCCAAGCCTCTCTGCTCTGGCATGTTTAACAATTTTTGAGGAGACAGATACATATCTGCTTTTGTCGCCAACACCGCTGAAAGCAAAAATAAACGCGGGGGGTGGGTTGATGGCTAGCAGCACATTAACTGTGCTGTTTGATTCCCAAATGGTTGGTACATACTGAAGGGTGGTGTTTATTTTTAAAGTCACGTCTGTCCACCTGCCACGTATAATTAGCAAGGACAGCAGCCAAACGCTCTCGGGTTCTCTTTATAATTTCTTTTATTGGCGCCAGCGCATCAAATGGAAAAGAATAAGCAAGAAAAATAGTAAAATCCAAAATAGAAAATGAGGCGAAAGATGCGGGCAGAATATTTTTTACTTATTTTTTTCCTCTTCCCCCATCGGCATTCCTGCCTCTCTTCTTTTTATCCTTTGTTCTGCGTGTAAGAAAAATTTAGTTTATTTTTTGTTACTTTTTGTTTAACAATTTCAGCACTACTTATTCCTTATTTTGTTTTTTTACTGTTTCAGTTGCTAGTCCTGCCTCTTCTCCGAATACGGAAATACACGCACGGCTTATAGAAAGTATAAAACAGCGCGGCCAGCTGAACACGCTAATCCTGCCTCTGTCGCTGCTGTTTTTCGGTACAGTCTCCACTCAAATTTTTATATACTTCAACTTTGCTCACCCCCCTCCCATCCCTTCTCTCTCTCTTTTACTATATTTTTATATTCTCTTGCTTTTTTCTCTTCACTTGGCCAATTAATGAATTCAGATTTCCCAGCTGACCTCAACATAAAGCTAAAGTTGCCAGCAACACCCTAGACCAGATATTCCGAAATTCCCCTCAAACCACACCTTTATTTTTTTACTATTTTCTTATTGTTGCTAAACTGTCACAGAATAACTTTTTTATTTGAAAGCTAGCAACTCAATGTCTTTCTCACACAATACCAACAGCCTGTCAAACCTTTTGGAAAAGAGGAACAGCCCCACAGACGCCATGCCAGCTGGCCCAATGCCGGCATCATCATTATCAGCACAGGGCAACAAGGCCTTTGGATCCGCTGGGGACACCGGGCGCAGTAGCCATCCGATGACATCCGAGCATAGTCAGACGCTGGCCAGTGTATCAGCCCAGGATTTTGCAGACGGACCAGGGTCCGATGTCGCAAGGCACATGCGCACACCGAGCAATACGAGCAGCACGCATCTTAATCAATCCCCGCCATTCATATCACACTTGACCTCAGGTCTCAGTCATACCTTCAGCGGCCAGCATCCCGGGGCCGGTCGGAGAGGCAGTGGGGGCATCCAGGGTAACACATCGCCGCCGAGAATCAGGCAGACACGTAGCGAGGTGCATCCGAATACCAAGCGCGCGACGAGCAGTAGCGGGAGCAGCGCTAATGGCCACAGCGTTGCAGCAATCGCCCACATGGCAGGTACTGACGATGCGTCGAGGGCGAACTACTCGCTGTGGCTCCCCTGGGAGGAGACTGCGCTGATAGACTGGCTGTTTGAGCCCAACAACTGCAAACTGTTCAACGTCCCAAGGCGCAAGAAGGACTGCCACGAGAAGATTATTCGCGATATTTTGCCCAACAAAACCAGCCGAGCGATTGAGGGAAAGATTCGGACGCTTGAAAAGCGGTATTTGAAAGCTGCGTCGGAGATCCAGCGGCCAGATTTTGCCACAAAGCATCCCGGAAAGCGTGCCGATGATGTTTCTGAGGCACTATGCAATAATTTTCACAAGCTGGAGACCATATTTAACCCGGCGCAGGCGCAGGCACGCTCGCACCTGGCAAACACCCCTTTGGTATCGCAGCAGCACAATCATCATAATCAGCACCAGCACCAGCACCAGGTCCAACCACAGGTCCAGGCCCAGGCCCCGCCCCAATCTCGGTCCCAGTCCCAGGTTCAGGCTCAACCGCAGCAGCAGCAAAACAAGATGCCATGGATCACGGGTGCTCCGGTCGCCTCCGAAACAGCTGGTGCCAGCATTTCCGCTGTAATCCCACCTACTTCGAAATTTGGCCAGTCGCCTCACTTGCCTTCGCCCGTACTTGGTAGCTCGGGCAACACCGGCTCCTCGTCTGCAGTTGCCGCAGCCGCAGCAGCTTCAGCAGCAGCAACAGCACCTCCCAGCGGCATGATCAGCGTTCCACGCGCCTCCCCACCACCTATCACTTCAGCAGAAACCATGCCACATCGCTCTTCGACGCAGACACGCAAGATTGCGCCTAAGCGTGGATTAAACAGCACCAGCGAGGGTGGTGACTCTGACGGACCCGTGATGCTGGGCAGCACCAAGCGTAGCCGCACTTTCCCTACCGTAATGCAAAATCGCCATAGTCCCGGACACCACCAGCCAAGTGACCTTCGGATCACGCCCCAGTTGCAGATTTCCCAACAACAACAGCAGCAACAGCAGCAACAGCAGCAACAGCAGCAACATCAGCAACATCAGCAACAACTTTCCCAGCAGCATATGCCTCGGCCACAGCGCTCACCCCTGAGCTTGCAGCAACTTTTGCCACAATCCCAGCATCAGGCGCAGGCACAGTCACAGCTTATGGCACAACATCAGCATCAACAACAGCAGCAACAACAACATCAACAGCAGCAACAGCAGCAACAGCATAGGTTCTACGAGAACAGTCGGTACCAGTACGACACAGCCAACCGGCCAGCGACAGCCAATCTTCCAATGATGCCCATTCCATCGCCATTGGGCAGCGGGCCATTGTCGGTCGCGTACTCGCAAATGCCCAACTCTGCCTCTTCCGCTGTCGGCGTCAATATTGCCGGTGCTACCGTTGGCTCCACTGTCATGCCCAGCATCAGCGAATCCAACGACACCACAATCCCATTCCAGCAGACATCCTACACTAGTAGTCGCGAGGAGCTCGAATGGCTGCAATTCAACTTGCGCCGGGAAGAACTGGACTTCCGCAAAAATGTTTTCGTCCACGAGCAAGGGCTGGAATCCCAAAGGGCGATATTGGAGACGCAGAGGCTGGAGATCCAGAAGAGGGAGATGGAGCTGGAGGCTAGGAGAGTTGAGATGCAGCAGAAGCAGATGGATATTCAGCTGGAGTCTATAAAGTCCCTGTCGACGATGCTCGGCCAGATGGTAGGTCAAATAGGGTCGTTTTTGGGCGGCGTTCGGTTAGTGCCTGATGGTGCAAGCAACAACATCAGCAGCAGTCGGCGGCAAAATACCGAGGTTACCGCTGCGGATGAGGGCGAGTCCTTGGAATAACATCCACTTTTTTACTTCAATATTTCAATTATTTTTTATACACATGTAACATCCGTCACTAAAGAAATACAAATAGAACCAAATGTATGACAAGAGCTTGAAAGATACAAATACTGAATGTAAATAAAATACTTCTAAAAAAGGGATGACAAGATACAAAAAAACTAGTGGTAGTGCTCGGGCGCATCAAGGTCGCGGCGTCCCAGCCATGCCTCCTTGATTGGCTGCGTCGCCTGGAACACGCGCTCGCTTCTAATCTTGGTCGTAACAGATTCGAGATCCAATCCCAAAACATCAACGATGAACTTGCCAATCTCTGTGTTTTCATGGTTACCCTTCAGCTTCTCCGCACCATTACCGTAGGCATACAGGTTGACGTCCACCGCGCTATGTCCATGGGTGGCCCATCCGATCTGCGCGCGGTTGGAAATAGCATTGCTCAGCAGCTGGCGCAGAACAACCGAGTCGGTCTCTGCAGCAATATTCATAATCTCCTCATGCGTGGCATCCTTGGCGCCAAACCACTTGGGGAACACCGTATCCCGAACAAACTTATACTTGGCCTCTTGGTCACTGCCGTCCATTTGCTTCAAAAGCTGTGCTGACATGTACTCGATAGAGTGTTGGACGGGTTCCAGCGCGCGCGGGTTCCAAACGTACTCTGGGTACTGTGGTGTCAGCTGCTTGGCAACGGAGAAGCCGCCGGTCTCGTGGTCTGAAACACTGATCAGAACGGTGTCCGGGTGCTCGTCGACAAACTTGCGCACTACCGAGACTGCGTCCCAATACGCAACAATGTCGCGGAGATGCGCAGCGGGATCGTTAGTGTGCGCGGCCATGTCAATGCGGCTGCCCTCGATCATCAGGAAGAAGCCCGCATTTTTGTTCTTCGTTGCTGTGTTCAAAATGCCCAGCGCCTTATCGGCCATCTCGGCCAGCGATGGCTGCTCCTTGGCATTACGGTCAATCTCGTAGTCCAAATGCGAGGGCGCCATGGCACCTAGAAGCGGCAGGACCCAGGGTCGTTGACATCCAGGGCATCGAATTCCTTGCGTGTGCTCAGCGTGTGGTAGCCGGTGGCCTTGGCCTCCGCCCACAGATCGCGGTTGTCCAGGCGGCAACTGGACTCGGGTTTTGTGTTGGGCATAAAGTGGCACCGGCCGCCGCCCAGCATCAGGTCCATAATAGGCCCGAGTGAGTAATTCCCCACCTGATATTCTGCAATCAGGTCCTCCATATTGCGGCTCGCAGCATGTGCCGAGAAGGCAGCCGGCGTTGCGTGCGTAATGCGGCTGGTGACTACCAGCCCCGTGGCCATCCCGCGTTGGAGCTTGGCCGCCTCCATCACTGTTCCGCATGGTGTCTTTGCGTCCGTGACCGAAATCGCCCCGTTGTATGTCTTCAGCTGGCAAGAGAATGCTGTGGCTCCGGCTGCAGAGTCAGTGATCAGAGAGTCGCTTGAGCGTGTGCGCGAGGACCCAACGAGGATCTCGTCCAGTGGGCTCTGATATCCGATGGGCAGGCCCTTGATCTGCTGCACAAAATTGCGCGCCATGGTCTCGGAGGCTGGTCCAAAGCCGTCGCTGACCATCAGAATTACGTTGCGCTTCTTGGATTGCTGCGTCCAGCTGATTCCGTCAAAGTAAAGCCAAAACATGCCCACCACTGAGACCAGAACCAGCGAAATGACAGTGATCCAGAACCCACGACCCTACCCGAAACCACAATGAGAGAGACAGAAATAAAAAACAAAAGAATTAGCAAATCTCTGGACTATTTATAGACATTAAAATAAAAGGAAGGGTTGGCAAAGAAAAATACAAACAAACAAAAAGCAAGGGAGAAAAAAAGAAGTGGGTTTATAAATCCACCCATCCCTGCAGCGTCATTACCTTGTGCAGCTTGCGGCGGGTTCCCAGGCTCATGCCATAGTAAAGGGTGTCGTTGTCGGCAACCTCCATGGCATCGATGGTGTTCGCGGAGCTGTCAAAGATGTCGTTGTCTTCGATATCGGCAGCAGACTCAGAATCGCGGTGGTCGGCGTTGAAATGCACACGGCCGGTCTCCTGGCTATTCCGCGCGACGGCCGAGTAGGGTGCATTCGCCATTGGTTTCTCTGAGTAACGGGATGGCATGGAGCTCATTCAATGCAGGGAAACTCGAATGAATATAAAATAAAAGAGTGAAAATAGTGCAAGTTTGGTTGAGGTTTAATATAAGAGGTGAAATAAAGGACGAAAAATAAAAAGTAATGAGAAATAAAAAAAGGGTAAGCCTGAAAGCACTGAAAGAAGCTGGCTTTTTCCACAATGCGTGCGCCTTTCATTTTCATTTTTCTTTTCCCTCGATGTTCGCGTGACTTGATTGCTTTGCGTGCAACAATGATATTCCGCATTAATTGCTCAATTGTTATTATTATTATTTTCCCAGATTGACACATCCGTTTAAAACGCAGCTATACAAGCGGATTCATACAGGTGAGTATTAGTTTCATTTTTGCATTCTTTTATATCTATATTATAAATTTTGTTTACAGCCAGAATAAAAAAGGGATTCAAACACAACCCAATCACACACTTTGTGGCTATGTTTTTTTTCTTTCTTCTTTTCGTAAAATCTAAAATTTAAGTGCAAAAATGTTACTGCTTCTCCAAGAGCTCCTTGACCATCTGGCGGCACTGCTTAGGATTCAAGAACTCGGAGTTCTTGATAGCATTGGCGACCAGCACAGTAGTAGCAGGCGAAGCAGTATTTATCCATACACGGCCATTCAATCCAACGGCCACCTCAAATGGCACCCCAGCACCCAGCGCGCCCAGCACCGGCGCCCTAGAATCCATCAACCGGCGCGCCAATCCCAACGAGCATTTGAACATAAACCCCTCAGCCATCTCACCATACCCCTCAGCCTTCCCAGTCTTTGAATTAAAGCATTCGATTTCCGGATCCATCAGAGAATTAGCCACTGCGACGCGCGCATAAACGAGGGTGCCGAGGGCCAAATTGGGCTTATTGCGTTTTGTCGCGCCTTCAAAGGCCAAAAGCGGAAGCAGGGCGTCGTGCGCTGAGCCAATGTCCACGCGGTAGCCTTCGCCGTGCCTGGCTACGATGACGCCAAGGACGGGCTCGCTTTCGGCTGGAACGTAGCGTCTTTTGTTGCTGACTACCCAGTATTGCGTGTTGTCCTTGGCGCTGTGCAGGACACCGGCAGTAGTCACCCTTGTGTCGTCGTTGGTTTGGGTGAGACCGGGACCCAGCCGCAAGATTGTTTGGTCGCTGTCTTCTGTGTGCGTGTCGATTATGTCGCCCGGTATGACTATCTTTGTGTCGCCCATTTTTAAAAAATTGTTATGTAATAAAGGTAAAAGAAAGGTGAAAAAAGAAAGGTTGAATTTGAAGAAGGAAAAAAAGAGGGTTTGCATTCAAATTTTGTTTGTAAATGATCTCAGAAACAATAATAAGTGATATTTTTTCTTCCTACTCTGAACCGAATCAAATTGACTCTGTTTTTTCAATTTCAATTCGAGTCGAGTCGGCTTGTGCTTTTTCCAACGCATGTGACACTGACGCAGCAAGTAAAGACGGGGGAAATGTTACTCGAGCAAAACTCGACCAGCATGTTTGTCCGATTATCTGTTTGTTCGTTTACTCATACAATTTTATTTATTTCTCAGATAATAATTAATTAATTATTCCCCCTCTTTCCCTCTTTTCACTTTTACTTTTAAGCATGACTAGTGTTTCTCCTACCGATGATGAGCTTGACGGGCTTTTGGACGACGCCTTTGAGCAGTTTACGGCGGAAGCGGCGACGCCCAAGGCACCGACAAACAACAGCACGAATGGCAAGCCAACGACCAACCCTCCTCCTCCTCCTCCTGCTGCTGCCTCTCGTGACGCCACAGACAGCGCTCGGTTTCAAGAGGACTTTGCACAGCAATTAGCCAAAGGCATGGAATCCTTGCTTAAGGACGGCGGTAACCTGGAAAATGGCAGCGACAAGAACATGAAGAAGACGCTGGACGACTTGCTGCAGCAACTGGGCACAATCCAGGCGGACATTGGTTTGCACACCTCGGCACCAGCACCCACACAACAGCAGCCGCAGGCAGCTTCTTCCGCCCCCTCGGTATCTGAGAAAGCAGCCCCTGGGTCGTTCCAGGATAAAATCAAGGCAACAATGGATAAGCTGAAGGAGAGCGCGTCTGAGGCGGATTCGGCGGGATCCGCGGGCGATGCCGGAATCTTTGACGAGCTGATGCGGCAGATGGAGGGAATGGAGGGGCTAGGCGATGACCCACAGCTGGACTCCCTCGTTGACGATGTCATTGGGCAGCTCATGTCCAAGGACGTCCTGAGCCAGCCCCTGAAGGACTTGGATGCCGCATATCCTGCTTATTTGAAGAAAAACAAGGACTCGTTGAGTGCCGAGGAGTATGCACGGTACGAGAAACAGCATGCGTATGTGCGGCAGATTTTGGCGCTGTTTGATGCGACAGAGGGAGATACGGTGAACCCAAGGATTGCCGAGCTGATGCAGGAGATGCAGGATTGCGGGCAGCCGCCGGATGAGCTGCTGAAGCTGCTGGCGCCGGATATGGATATCAGCAAGGGCGAGGTCAAGGAGCCCGAAGTGCCCAACTGCTGCGTCATGTAAGATAGATACACCCCCTTGGTTATTTAGAATTTGCGAGCAGTATTTTTCTTCAAATAGACGGGAGCCATTTGTGAACACGTGCGCACGTGAGCATTCAGCAGTTACAAAATAAATGAAGTGCGAGCAAAAAATCAAAATTAAAGAAGCTCGTGAAAGTAGCAGCAGCAGCCAAGACGCAGCCACCGCCCACTTTGCTCCTCTTTTAAAGTTATAATAAACCACGCTTTATTATTACATTCTGAATTCGCACTATCACAACTATCAAATGCAATGCAGTGTGTGCAAAACGGCCAATCCCAAACACTACTACTGCGGGGCGTGCGTTCACGACCGCGTGTACCAGCACGACTGGGTTCTAGGCACAAGGCATACGGTAGCTGAGCGGGCTCACCCGGTACCCTGCAGCAGCAATGCCATGAGCACCAGAGTGGGCGTCTCCAAAATCTCCATCAGCGGATCACCCAGCTGCGCGCGCAGATCAGCAGACGACAGCAGCAGATCTCCGTAGCGCAGCGGCTTCGTCACCAACTGGCTTCGGTGCAGGCGCGGCGACAAACACAATTAGAGGAGGCTCTGGCGCAGAGCGCAAGCCGGGCAGCCGAGAGGCAGGTTTTGGTAGCGCAGGAGGCGTGTGCGAAGAGCCTGGAGAGATGTCAAAGGATCGAGCGCGGGCTGGCAGGCGATCGTGGGACATTGGCTCGGGCATTGAGCTCAGTGGTTGGGCTGCAATTGGACGTACCAGAGGATGAAGTCCTGGCGCTGCTGGATGATGGGCGGCAGCTGTTTGGGCTGCCGTGGCCTGGGCCGGAGGAGTGGACACGGTATCCGGCGGAGTACATTAACGCGTGCGTCGGCCATTGCGTTCATGTGTTTAGCGTTTTGGCGCATTACTTCCATGCTGATCTGCCATTTCGCGTGTTGAAGCGTGGGCCACGGCTGATGATTCGCCCGCATTGGCGGTCAGTGGATGCTGGCGAGGCCCTCTTGAGCCTTAGTGGGGGTGCGGGGAGTGGTGTGGCGGCGTTTGTTGTTGGCTTGGGAATGTTGCTGTTTAACGTTGCGTATTTGTGCCATTGCCGTGGCGTCTCGGTGCCTGTGGAGCAGGTGGCGGATGCGGTGGAGAATCTGCGCTTGGCGGTGGTTGGCGAGCCTGAGCCTGAGCCTGGGCCTGAGCCTGAGCCTGGGCCTGAGCCTGAGCCTGGGCCTGCAGTGGCACAGCGGCAGCAGGGGGCGTTTGCGCTGGACGTCTATGCGGTGATAATGGAGGCGGCTAAGATGTATGCGGGCCCGATGCTAGGTGGGGACGGCGAGGGTGCGCTGAGGACGCAGGTGCATGGTGTGCTGAGGTCCTTGCATTTGTGCGACGATGCTGTAGATAGCATCGATTATGATGACGAGAACTGGGCCATCATATGAAAAAGAGCAGGCGTTTTCTTAGCGTCTTTGTGAGAGGATTGGCCTTTTTAAAAATTAACAGCTGGGAAAGGGGTTCTGATTGAAATATGTGTAGGCACCTCTTTTCTTTTTTCCTTCCTTTCTCTTTTGCATTCACATTTACGTTCACGTTCGCGTTCATTCTATACCTTTATTAATTCAAACCCACCCAGTCTATTTCAATCAATTCGAAAAGCTATCGCCCCACCAGGTTCTTCTATTTGAATTTCCATTATTCGATGTCGCGGTCTTCTTCTTTTGCCAGCTACGCCTCTGACGATGACAGCAGCGTGCCTCTGTCAGAGCAGGCCGAGTGGAAGGACATTGTGCCGATCGACCAAGACGACGGCGTTCACCCGATCTGCCCAATCGCATACACGGCCGACTACAAGGAACTCATGGGGTACTTCCGGGCAATAATGAGCACCGGCGAGATCTCCCCTCGTGCCTACAGGCTAACCAGCCGAGTGATTCAAGAAAACCCAGCGCACTACACAGTCTGGGTATACCGCAAGAAACTCCTGGAGGAGCTGCAGATTTCAGTGGAATCTGAGCTTGATTGGCTCGAGGGTGTCGCACAGCAGTACCCGAAGAACTACCAGCCGTGGCATCACCGGCAGATGCTCCTCACGATGCTCCTTGACCCCGCGGTGTTTGCCGGAATGAGCGAGGACCAACGGGTGTGTCATCCGGCGATCCGCCGTGAGCTGCGATTCCTGGCGAACGCAATTGACGTCGAGTCGAAGAATTTCCACGCTTGGTCGTACCGCCAGTGGCTTGTCCGAAGGTATGGAATTTGGGATCAGGAGCGGGTATTCCTGACAACCATGATTGACCAAGATGTGCGCAATAATTCTGCATGGAACCAAAGGTACTTTGTGTTGGTGCGTGGAGCTGAGGACCCCCAAAACGTTGAATTGTTGGATCAAGCCTCCCTGATAGAGGAAATTGAGTTTGCCCTGGAGATGGCCAGAAGGGCGCCGAATAATGAAAGTCCCTGGGCGTATATTGTTGGACTGATGCTAAGGCATGCACCGGAGAAAATGACAACGGAGTTGTTGCCTCGCGTTCAGGCGTTGGCTGCGGCTGGGGAGGAGTGTGCGGTGGCGGTTGGTGCGTCGGCGTTTTATTGGTCAGCGCTGGTGGATATCTACGAGAGGCAGGCGGAGCTGGCGGCAGGCAACAAGGAGCGCGAGGCAGCAATTGCGTTGGCGCAAAGTGCCTGCGAGGCATTGGCGGCAGAATACGATCCTGTGCGCATGAGGTACTGGGAATTCCGCGCAAAAGCACTTGCGCTTACTCAGTAACAAAAAATATAAAGTATTTTAAATGTAATTTGTTGATTAAAGTTGTTGGTGTTTTTGAGAGAGCGATATGAATGACGGCTGGTTTTCGAGCCTGGTTATTTGGACTTCTTGGGACCGCGCATCGTACGCAATACGGTATTGTGTGGGGCTGGGCTCACTCACGTGCATTTTAATGAAGTGTAGAATTTGGTCAGCAAAATTCATGCACACAGCAGGCTCCCACATGTTTGGTTTCCCGCGGACTCTGCGCGGCATCTCCCTGGTTCTGATATCCTCTAGCGCTTGCAGAACACCGTCTTGGTCACGAAACCCAACAGTGACCACGGGGATGCCAGCAATGAAAGACTGAGCCCAGAACTTGAGCAACTTGAAGCGCTCAAAGGACTCTGTTTTTCTCCGAGTATCCAGCATATTGGCGGTTTTGAGCTCGCGATACTGCCTGGAGGGAAACTCTGCTGGCTTGATGCCATCGATGCAATCGATTTCGGCACCAGAAATTATACTGTGAGAGCCAAGTTTCGTTCGAAACACCGAACAGTATTCGCTGTTAGTGTTCACCACAGCATCGAGTCTCTCCTCAAGCTGCTGTGTGCTGGGTGGCGGCAGCTTGTCGAGTACGCAGAGGGTTTCGAACTTGTATCCGCTGTACATAAGGTTCTCGTGCATCTCCGAGATCGGCTCGGATTTGGCCTTTAGGTCCTCAGGGCTGAGATTATCCTCAATATAGATTGTGCCACTTCCATCAGCTGCACGCTCTGCATTCATTGACCAGGAGTCACGCAGGCTATATGGTGTAGTGAACAGCCTTGTTATCATACCACGGTACATGACAAAGTCCGCAGATATGTCCTGCTGGTGCTGTTTGTCAGGTAATGTTTGGAGCGCATTTAGCAGCCCGTGGATGTGTTCATTGATGGTGGTGTCGCGTTTGATCTGGCGGTGTTTGCCCTGGAAGAGGCTGGGCGGCGGGGAGAGCGACGGTGGGTGGTAATACTTGAGTGAGCGGTCGTCCATGTGCTGCGTGCGTTGGTCGTCGTAACTGAAGCTCGTGAGCTCTTTGGGCTCGGCAAAAGTCGGGAACGCCAGTCGGTATTTGGAAAGCGGGTGGACGCTAAAGCGAGGGGCCATAGTGGGAGTTGGAGTGGGAGTGAGAGTGGGAGTAGGGATGGCGGCGATGGTTGGGCAGTTGGGGTCAGGATCCGGCGAGTGCTTGCGCTTGTTGGAGTTCATTCGGCTCCCACAAAAGAGATAAGGGACTTGGTGGATAAGTAAGTTTGTAAGTGACCCTATAAGAATAGCTTGAAAAGTGTTAGGGATGACTGATGTTTTTATGCGTTTAAAATTTTTTGGTGACTCTGCTTTGGGAGGGGGAGAATAGCGTGACTGTTTCCTGCGCATTTTTGTTCATTAACGTAATGGGTTTTATGTGCCTGGGTCTTGATCAAGCCCCGGTGACTCACAAATCAGCATGGGGATAAAAAAAAGTCAAATGAGAATTGGCCCAACTTTCCAGCCCTGCCATTTAGTTGGCGAGGTATAAAGCGTCAGAGCGCACATTAACTTTTTATTTGTTCTTTTTGTTATCTCAAATAAAAAACACTTTTTTTACCACTTTTATTAATCCACACATCAACCATGAGCTCTGAACAGCAGCACCAGCAGCAGCCAAAGCAGAAGCTGTATCTCCTGGACTACGGAGCCGGCAACGTTCGCAGTCTAGTCAACGCCGTCGAGCGGCTGGGCCACCAAATCGAGTACATCCAGAGTGCCGATGACTTTGCCAAAGCAGACAAGATCATTTTCCCAGGCGTTGGCGCCTACGGCTACGCCATGCAGGCGCTCAAGGCGCGCAACTTCGTCGATCCGCTCCGCGCGTACATCGCCTCTGGGCGGCCGCTCATGGGCATCTGCGTCGGCATGCAGGTGCTCTTCGAAGGCTCAGACGAGTCTCCCGAAGAGCCCGGCCTGGGAATCTTCCCTGGTCGCGTCGCACTCTTCAACAACACAACCAAAACTGTGCCGCACATGGGTTGGAACGCTGCCAACATTGCGCACGCGCAGAAGGCTGATCCGCAGCCGGCGGTGGCGGCCGAGGATCGCTACTACTTTGTGCACTCATATGCGGTGCCGTACATTGGCCAGGAGCAGGCGCAGTTTGTTCACACAGCGACGCGCTACGGTGATCAGGCGTTTGTCAGCTCTGTGTGGCAGAAGAACGTCTTTTCCACGCAGTTCCACCCGGAAAAGTCCGGCGCCTCTGGGCTCGTACTCCTGCGCTCCTTCATTGAGCGCGATCTCGTGCGTAGCGCACCCACTGCAGGGGATGCAATGGCGGCGCCAGGGGACGTGGCCGAGGCCCTAAGCGTCCGCGTCATCGCCTGTCTGGACGTCCGTGCCAACGACAACGGCGACCTTGTGGTGACCAAGGGCGACCAATACGATGTGCGCGAAACTACTGGCTCTGGCGATGTCCGTAACCTCGGTAAACCCGTGGACCTTGCCGCGCGTTACTTTTCCGAAGGCGCAGACGAAATCACTTTCCTCAATATCACCAGCTTCCGCGACTGCCCGTTTGCCGATACCCCGATGCTCAAGGTACTGCGCGAGTCGTCGCGCCGCGTCTTTGTGCCATTGACCATTGGCGGCGGTGTCCGTGATATTGTCGATCCCGATGGCTCGCGCGTCTGGCCAGCGGTCGATGTTGCCGGGGAGTATTTCCGCTCTGGTGCAGACAAGGTATCCATTGGCAGTGACGCCGTGTATGCCGCCGAGCGGTACTGGCAGCGTTTGGCCGCCGGCCTTCCTGCATTAGATGGGTCCACGGCGATTGAGCAGATTGCCGCGCGGTATGGCCGCCAGGCTGTTGTTGTGTCGGTGGATCCGCGTCGTGTCTACGTGAAATCGCCCGCAGACGCCCCCACTCACCACGTTATTGAGGCCGCCACACCTGGCCCCCAGGGTGAGAGCTTCTGCTGGTACCAGTGCACGGTGAAGGGTGGCCGCGAGCCGCGCGACACTGATGTGCGCCAGCTTGTTGTTGCTTGCCAGGCCCTGGGTGCTGGTGAGATCCTGCTGAATTGCATGGATAAGGATGGGACAAACTCTGGGTATGATTTGGAGCTCGTCGCTGATGTTAAGGCTGCTGTGTCTATCCCGGTTATTGCAAGCAGCGGTGCTGGCTGCCCGGAGCATTTTGAAGAGGTCGTGAGGGTGACTAATGTGGATGCTGTGCTTGCCGCAGGTATCTTCCATCGCCGGGAGGTGCCGATTGGTGCCGTGAAGCAACACATGTGTGAGAAGGGAATTGCTGTGCGAATCGCTCAGCCAGTAGAATAAAACAAGTATTTTGTTTGAATTATTAGATTTTTTTTAGATTTTGATATGAAGATAATCTGATCACGCTCTGAGAGAGAGCGCGCGCGCTGGACCATAATCTTGATCGGTGGGGACGTGCCAAACAGACACGTATTTATATTTTAAACATTATTTTGCGACAAATTTTTTTAAAACATCACCTCCTTTGTTTTTTTCTAGCAGCAAGCAAACAACACTTTTTATATTTTTTTACCACATCATGGAGGAGGTCGACACGAGACTTTACAATGTGCTTCTGCAAAAACCCGACGGTGTCGACAACGACACCCTCCATGAGGCGCTCCCTGACCTCAAGCAAGAAGACATCGTCAACAGCATCAACCGACTTTTGCAATCCGGCCTCCTCGAGCTCATGCAGGTCGGCACCCGAATTCTCTACCGCGGCGTCAGCCGCAACGAAATCGAACGACTTTCCGGCCTAAGCAGCGACGAAAAACTAGTCTTTAAGCATATCGAGAACAGCAACAATGAAGGAATTTGGGTGCGGACGCTTAAGCAGAAAACCAATCTTCTCCAGGGTGTCATTAACCGGTGCCTTAAGGGTTTGGAGCAAAAGGCATTGATTAAATCCGTCAAATCTGTGAAACACCCGACGCGCAAACTCTATATGCTTATTGAGCTCACTCCGTCGTCGATATTACTGGTGGTCCTTGGTTTACTGATCAGGAGATGGATAGTGATTTTATTGATCAACTTGCTGGCCAATGCTACCGTTTTATTTATGCCCACAGTTATCCTCGTCATAGCCAGAAAAGCGTCTATTCCGCAAACCACACTGGGTATCCGACGTCGTCGCAGGTCAAGAGGTTCATTTCCGAAAACCGAATCACTAATGTGGATTTGTCTACAGGAAACGTCGAGGAGTTGCTTACTATGTTGGTGTACGATGGGAAAGTGGAGAGGATTGCTCCGTCGTTTGATATGGGAATTGGAAGTTCCTCCTCGGCAGCTGGGGGATTGGGCACGAGAGGGGGAAAGACAGATTGGATGTATCGCGCGTTGAGGGTGAGTGCGAAGGATTCGCCGTTTACTGATATCCCATGTGGTCGTTGTCCTGTCTATGAACGCTGTGGAGCTACTGGTGCTATTACTCCGGCCAAATGCGACTACTTTAAAAAGTGGCTAGAGTATTAAGGTATATATGAATTCTTTTTTAAAAAAAAAGTAGAGTATATTTGAATTTGGAATATACAAAATGATTATATCTAACAAAAATAAATATATGCCAATTTTAGTTATGGTTTAATAAAAAAAGGCGGCTGAGCAAATATCGTTAGTGCCAAGCAAACAAAAAACAAATAATATTGCAGATAACAAAAATTCTCAATGTGGATGTGGCCAACTTTGGTAAAAAAATGTCATGAAAAAGAAGTGCGTCTGCGCTTGTTACATTCTGCATACCTAGTTAAAAAAGCACAACAAATACTCAACTAACATATTATACAGCAACCATTAGAATCACAATTTTTGCAACTTTTAGATTTGGATGTGAAAAGATTTTTACACTGACGACATGTATTCTTATTATAATATCTTTTTGAGTTCTCATCTGCTATACTCTTTTTTGTCTGCATCTTGTGTTGTCCGCTAGCTAGATTACTAAACGCCATGTCCTGTATGAATGTATGAATTGGTTAGTGTAATAAATGTGCAATTAAAAAGTGTGGTTATAGTGTATGGATGGTGAAAATATTATTATTGGAAAATTAATTTTTATTCCTGTCTCCCTCCACACAATCCTTATATTTGTATGATTCCACATATAAGTAATAGCCAAACATTTTCCACATTTTTCTTTTTATTATTATTCACTTTTACTTATTATTCACCTTTTTCCTTTTTCATTATTTCTTTTTACCTTTTAATTTTCAACTTGTGTTTTATCTTTGTCTGCTAATTATTTGTTGGGTATAGGATAATGTATCAGCTGGGCGCCCTAAGTATTCATTTATTTAATACCTCAGTTTGGTGCATTCAAACAGGTCATGCACAGAATTCACTCACTCACATGAGCTGTCTTTGTATGCATCAAGTACATCGAACAGTGTTGGAGGTGGAGTAAAGCGGAGGTGGATGTAGAGGTGGAGTTTCTGTCAAAAAACATTGATTTGGGACATTATCACTATTCGAATTATGTAAAAAAAACTAGAATCACACATGATTCTGCCCAAAAGCAGAAAAACGTAATCTAAAAAATATATTTTTTAAATTGTTAAATAAAACTAGCATTTTTAAAACCCACGCACTCGCCATTACTTTCATAAATATTTTTTAGTTCAACAATGGGCCGCTGGACTGACAAGCCGTTTATCTCGCAAGGCGAATGGTCAAACTCGCACGGTGACGAGGGAATGGCTTTTGGAGGCAAAAATAGTAACCTCCGGGGCAAAAAAGAGACCACTCAGCAGCTGCCATTCGACTGCTGCGCCCTGTCCTTAAAGCCATTCGCCAACCCCGTCTGCACTCCTGATGGCTACGTGTTTGACTTTGAAAACATTACAAGTTATATCAAAGACCACAGCAAGCACCCATTTACTGGCGAGCCACTAAAGGAGGGCGACCTGACCCAGCTGCATTACCACAAAAACGCTGACGGGGACTATATCGACCCAGTATCGTTCAAGCAGCTGTCTGGTTTTACCAAAATTGTGGCGAACCGGAAAAGTGGACATGTCTATTCCTGGCCGTCTGTCGAAGAGTTCAATATAAAGCCCAGTTCGTGGACAGACCTGGTTACTAGCGAGCCATTCGCGCACGTGGATATCGTTGTGCTGCAGGATCCGAGCACACCCAAGAAAGCCAGCAAAGCATTAGCCGATACCGGCAGTGCCTTAAAGGTGGTTGCCCAGGCAAAGACAAAGGACGCACATCAGAAGGATGTCAGCAGCAACAGTAGCGAGGACAAAGCCAACCAACCGTATAATGCCGCTAGCTATTCAAAGGGCCTAACCGCAGCTTCATTCACCTCAACGTCAATGGTGCCTGTAACCAACAATGAATCCCAAATAGTCGACTCAGAGGAGTACATGTTTGGACGGATAAAGGACAAAGGGTACGCGCGCATAGTGACGAACCTCGGGGACATCAACCTGGAGCTGCACTGTGATAAGGCACCCCGCACCTGCTACAATTTTATTAAACTGGCCACCATCGGCTACTACAAGGGGATAAAGTTCCACCGGTCCATCAAAAATTTTATGATCCAAGGTGGCGATCCCACGGGCACCGGGTGCGGCGGAAAGTCATACTGGGGCAACGACTTTTCCGACGAGATTTCCAAAAAGCTATCCCACTCAGAGCGCGGCACCCTTGCCATGGCCAATCGTGGCCCGGGGACCAATGGCTCCCAGTTTTTTATACTATACCGGGCGGCCAAACACCTGGATGGCAAGCACACGGTATTTGGCAGGGTCGTCGGCGGTCTGCCCGTGCTGAGCAAAATGGAGGCTGTGCCGACAGACGACGACGACCACCCGGCCTCAGATATAGTCATAAAGGACATTGTTGTGTTTGTAGACCCGTATTCCGAGTTCAACAAGCGGCTAGAGCGCAAGCTCGACCATGATAGAGATGTGCAGGACCTTGCTTCTGGGAAACGCCGCCGCACGGCTGCCGAGGAGGAGCAGAGGGACCGTGAAACGACCACGTGGATGGGGACCAAGATACCATCGTTGAATAAGACAGCGGGCGATATTCCTAGTGCAGATAAGGGTGGCAGCACAGCAAAGGGCGTAGGCAAGTACATGAAGAGGCCTCGGTTCGAGCTGCCCAAAAGTGCGGTTGCAAATGGGGACAGTGAGGCCCAGAGTGATACGCTCAGTGCTGGTCAAGGTGGCAAAAGGAAGCCGCCGTCTGGATACAAGTTTGGAAACTTTTCTGGATGGTAAGCAAGACCAACTATAACTGAGAACCGTCAAAAGCTGCTGCTGTTTTAGTTTTTAGTTTTCAATTATATAATCATTCGTTCATTTAAACATGAGAATACCCTAGTCGTCAGAAATGGCTGTGGAACTCCAAACTCCAATGCCGTAGAAGAACGCATGCTCGCCAAGCACCAACTCCTCCAAAATGCGATAGGCGTGGGCATTGGCATACGGGACCTTGGCTCTCGGGTGGAAGTAGCGAGCAGGAAGCCCAGTCACAGCGCACAGCTTTGGAGGCACAACAGCGACATGCCGGGCCCAGGGATTCAGCGGATAGTCCTCATCATCCACTATATCAAGCGCATAATCAGTGCGTACCACTCTTTGGTCACCAGTATCATGAACGTCTGCATCGCCAATATTTAAATTTTCGACCGAGGATTTATAGTGCACAACCGGGCGGATTATAAGCGGCGCCTTGCGGGAGGCCAAGCGGCGCTGCAGAATCTTATCCTCGGCCTCTTGCTGCTGAAATGTATTTAGTTTTTCAATATTCTCAATCTCCGTCTGCTTTGCCTCCTCCAGCAGCTGCTCCTGCGTGAGGTTATTGTGTATCACCGAGGAATCTTCAGATCCGTCTGTGTATCTGTGTCTTTTACGCCCGCGCTTTATTTCGGCTAAAAACTCGCGCTCCTGCACCAGGGCCTCCGACTCCAAAGTCTTGCGTAAAACTGATGAACGACTGGAAAACCTCACAGCCTGTTCCAGCATTTTGTGGCGCTTCAACCCCCTAGTCTCCGCCGAAATATCACCCCCACTGTCGGGTTCTAAGCTCTTCATTGGTTCCTTTGGCTTGGCTGTGCGAGTAATGCGAGTGGTGCTGGCAAACTGAGGCACAATTATCCGGTTCTTTGTTGCCTTTCGCCGCTGCTTGCGCTCTGCCCGCTCAAGCATTGCTTCTGCAGCTTTGCTGGCATCCTCTTCAACCTTTTCGTCTTCGGAGTCTGTTTCTGCAAAGTCGGAATCAACTACATCTTCGATATCCGCGTTTTTGCTAAAGTCCTCGTCGTCATCGCTGGCTACAACCTCGCCGCTCCGCATCTTTGCGCGCTCCTCTTCGACCATAGCGTGCATTTTATTTCCGGCGTTTTGCCGCCGCGAGCGCGTGGTTGTCAACTCCATTCTGCTGTATTAAAAATATTGAAAAATATTTGAAGGGCATAAAAAATAAGTACGGAGTTTTTCGCGGATGTAAATATTTTTCAGCGCGTACACGCATGTATTTTTCATAATATGTGCCGCGCATTGAGCAGAATATGTATGGGAAAACCAAAGAAAATCGCGTGCTTCAACAATCAATGAATTTATATTATATTAATGAACGATAAACTAAACAATCTTACTTTGAAATATATAAAAAGATAGCTTTGCACACAATGTACAGCAGACAAAAAACTGTTTTATTTTTATTTCATCTTTTTCAGCTTATCCTTAAACAAATTTGCTTCTATTCGCTTGTCTAAAACTACCATTGAAAACAAAAACATTCACTTTCTTATAATATTTATATTAGTTACAAATTGCTTGTGGAGGGATAATGTAATTTTTAAATGGCAATGTATTAAAAATTAAAAATTAAATTATAAAATCATTAAAACTATGATAAATGGTTTGTATCTAATAGATATTTTTCTATGTTTTAAACTGGAAACCCTCGTGAGGGGCTAACTACTCCTATGCGCTTGGATATTGAATGTGCTAAATTTTGTATAATAGCAGCTGGAATATCTGTCCAATAAATTTGTGCCTGCTCGAATAGTTTAACAATGTCTTTTCGGACGACTGTCATAGTTGCAGAGAGGGGTTTTCAGCAGGGTCCAAATGTTTTTGATAGGATTGAGGTTGGGAGATTGTGATGGCCATGGCAAGAGGTTAATATCATGATTCTGTAGCCAGTCTTGAGTCCCGCGGGCTGTGTGCTTAGGGCCATTGGCCTGCTGAAAATAGCACCGACTCCATTTATGAGATTGATACTCTCCAAAGCGGGTACCAAAATTTTCCAGTATTTAAACGTACATGGTATCGTTCATATTACCCTCAATATAAACCAAGGGAACTGTGCCATTAGCGTGGAAAGTACTCCACACCATTAAAGATCCACCACCATATTTCATAATGGGGTGCATATATTTGGCCTTCATCTCGTTGTTGTCTCCTTTAATTGCAAACCTCCTGTGGCTAGTATCAAAGCACATAAGCTTAAACTCATCTGTCCAAAGAATCTGCTCCCAATCGGATTCGGTCCACTTGTGTTATTTTTCCCATCTGTACTGCAACTTTTGGTTATTTTTGGTGACAAATGGGTTTTGCCTCACAACACGAGAGTGATGCCGAATTTGAGCAAGATATCTCTGAACTATCTGCCTATTTAGTTGAAGCCCTCTCCTCTGACAGCTTTTTGGTAAGTGTAGCAATGTTGATCCCTTATGTGTAATGGAAAAGTCTTTGAATAAAGATTTCGTCATCCTTGGTCAAAATTGTAGGACGACCTCCCTTGGGTCTTTCGCTGCAGATACAGTGCCGACTAAGGTACATTATAATTGTGCTAGGATTGACGTATATTTTGTTGTTAATTTCCATAAAAATGAAGCCGTTGTGAGCTATTGACTTGATGATATTGCCCTCGTCACAAGTGATGACCATAATTGAAAAATAGTAAAATTATGAAAAATAGTTGCAATTGCTATATAAGTTTAAATATATTCTTGGTAATGTTGCACAAACTGAAAATATGGAAGTGGATGTTGAGGTTGTGAATCGCGAAACAAGTTTCCATCTGTATGCCGATTGATAGGGTACTAATTGGATTATGCAGGCGTAAATTAGGGAGGCATTACATTGATGCCCAGATACGCTCCCCATGTTACAATGCATACGCGTGAGTGCACACATACAAAAGCCACAGCACTGACTTGCCAAGATAGCGGTCTGCACGCAGAAGAACCAGTTTTCGCCAATGGAGTGCACAACTGGAGAAGTGCACAACAAAGCCAACAAGATACATATATAAGACAAGGCTAGTCCTAGTTCTACTTTTGATTCCCTTGGTAATAAAAACTATAACAAAAGTCAAACACACTTTTAACACTAGACGACTAGTGCTCCTTATACCCCCTCTTACATAACACCACTTATTGTTTTAAAGCGATTGAATAACATGAGTTTTATTTAGCTTAGCTTATCTTAAATTTGTGCAATGCATGGTGTATAAATGTAAATGTAAATGATATATATTTAATAAATAAACATAATATTTGTAATTTATTTAAAGTTATAAAAAGGGTCATAAAACCTATAGCTAATTTTGGTATTGATTATTATAATAGCAGAGTAATCACGTATACATAATACAGCTTAATGGTGATATACCAGCAATAAAAAAGTGCTAAATGGCGGCTCAAAGCATTGTCATTATTGGTTGATGGCGATCAACTGATTAACCAGTCTTGGCTGTTTAGCCACACAAACAATAAGTCACACAGTGACCAGAGCAATATGCTCTCTTCTTTACCTCACACAGTGCATAGCACTTGTTATTAAATAAACTTCATAGCATTATACTTTATATACACGTTCATAGAACGTCCTATATTCCAACACTACACGTTCATAGAACGTTCCTATATTCAACAGCCATGCATTATCAACGTCTGAGCAACAAACATATACACTATAATTTAAAATTCAAGTAAATATGTATAAAGCACTAAAATTATGCTGATGGTAAAATTAATTGTTGTGTACACACTAATTTGTAAATACAATTGTGGAAATACGTGCACAATAATCAATGAATCGATATACGGATCATCTAATATGTGGTGTCCAACATACATTCCAAGCCACTATCTTCCCTTTTCAAGAATCAAGATCGCCCTCATGGCCACTATACGTATTTCTGTTATTGCTGGCTAACATCAAGGAACAACATGATGTTTACAGTGCTGCCATACAGCGCTGCCCCTTTTTTCAGTTCCTTAAGTAATTTTTGAGACTTGAATATATTAATTTAGACCCACATTTTTATAGAGCACGACACATGATGGGCAAGGTGACAAAGTCGAATATCGGTCTTAATCAATAATTTCTTAGTTCATGGTTTTTTGTTTGCTTTATATTTCGCACAATGGGTCCATTTTATCTCTGGTATCAATATCTTTTAATAACTGGTAATCAGTGGAAACGGGCTGTTGAATAAATATTTAAATGTGCGATAACCCTATTGTATCATTTGTATTATTCATTGTCTTGGTTACCATTGTTATGTAAGAGGGGGGTGGGGAGCACTACTGTAATAGTGTTAGAATAATGGGTGTGAAATTATAAAGGGTTTTATTACTAGTGTTTTTAAAGTGCTATTATCGCCGGCCTCGCCTTATATATATATATCCTTGTCTTTGTGGCACTCACTGGCAGTTGTGTGCTCCGTTCGTGAGAACTGATCCTTATAAAAGTAACCTGGGTCTCTTATATGGCATAATTGACATGTCTGTATTCTTGCGCCCAGCACATCCATTTCGGGACAGGCAGTATGTCCGGACGTCAATTGTGGCGCCTAATTTGATCCCCTGTGATTTGGCCCATATCAGATCCATCTGTGAGCTGACGAGAATCCGTCTCATGATTTTCGCCCTCAGCGTCTACCTCCATACCCTCAGGCTGCGTAACACCATAAACATTATTCGCTAGGTATGGGCAATTGTTGTCGTGCCATCAATCATTTGTTTATGAGATCTTGCTTTCAAATAAATTCACACTCTACCGTCGCACGCTTTACTCATCGACGACGCCGAGAGCTACCGCCAGTGAGAGTCAACGTCATCACCTTTTTGCCCTTTTTTGGTTGCACTGCGACGGCCTTCTGTCGACCAGATTGCGAGCCTGTATCTTTTGCCCGAACGTAAAAATCGTCGAGGTCGTCGTCATGGGCACCATGCTCAAATTCATCTTCGCAGTCATCATGGCGACTGGCTGCAGCGCGGTCAAGCTCCTCCCAAAAATAATCGTTCATTGGGCTGCCGCTGGTACCAACGGCTGTATGTGACATTGGCTGGCGAGGCCAGAGCGGTTTTGGTTGAGACGCGCTTGCCACCACCGAACCAATTGCTGCGTCGGCATCATTCTCAACAAGTGCCGGAAAGCTATTTTCGTTCGGTGTCCCTTGGTTGTAGTTGACCGGCGTGCCCGTGCCATTAGCGAACCTATTCTGGCCACTGCGCGACCATTCCTCTTGGTACCTGATGCTTGTATTTTCTGCCTGGGCAGCAGCCGCAGCGGCCAAAAACTCCGACTTCGCCTCGTCCATGGCAACATGTCTGGCATGCGCCGCATGCTGCTTTTCGCGATGTGTCAGTTGAGCCTTGAATTTGCCAATGCTCTCGCGAGAGACAATGCCCTTGAGCTCCGGCTCGACAAACACCACGTCGCAGCGCAGCGACAGATGATCTAAAAACTTGAACTGCTGCCGAACTTCATCCGTGATGGTCGACTCGATCGAATGCCGCATCTTGACCTGCAAAGAGTCTGGCAGGGCAGTGTAGTCCTCGTACTGGTGGACCAGCACTCGCATGTGTAGCGGATGCATGTAGATGTGCTGGCCGTCGTCTGCCTGGTAAAAGTACAAAAAGTCGTCTTCGTTCGCATCATCCATATCCGCATTGCTTGCCAAGTGTTGTTGGGTCATTTGCTCCTTGACAGCCCGTTCTTCAAGTTTCCGGTCGCTGGCAACCGGCATGACTGCACATTTCAGCGCGCTCTCGACACTCATAATAGCTGATTCAACAAACAGCCTGGTATTTGAGTCGTTGGACTCGTCGTTCTTTTCCTGCGCCAGCTCGCTCAACTCGTGCTCGTACTCGTCCTTGCAGTATGCGTGGCCGGCCAGCATGAATTTTGCAAATGGCAACGCGCCCTCTGTAAACGTCCACGGGAAATTGTAGCTCTCGAATGCACCGCACTTGCCATCGTCCTTGTTGGCTGCATGGTGGTTCTTGACCAGTTCAGAAGAGTACACCTGGGCAGAGGTTGATCTCGGCAAACATACCGTCGTTCCACGAAGGCGCTTCATCAGCCGCATGGTAATGTGCGCTCCAGTAGCCAGTTTCGCAGCACTATGCGAGACGTGGTGCAACGCCGAGTTGTCGCTGCCATTTGTGCGGTACTGGGCCGACCAAAAATGAACGGGCAGCAAGTCGTCATATGCAATGGCAGCCCAGCAGATGGGACACTTCTTGGCATCATGCTCGTCTTCAGTCACATAAGACAGATACCGCAGGACGCATGCGTAACAAAAAATGTGGCCGCATTTTGTGACTCGCGACGCGACCGGCGGCGACAGACAAATTGGGCAAGTGACGGTCTCACCTGTGACCGGCATGATCACGCGCTCAATCCATTCCCACCGGAGCTGCATGTCTGGCCGCACGGTGATTGGCATAAAGTTGGTCCAGAAATGGGGCTTTAGCACAAAACGAAAGTTAGCGTTCATGAAAATGGTCTTGTTGATTTGTGCCTGGCGCTCGCCGCCAACACCAGGATCGGCAGCAGCCCGGCGCCGAGGCCGCATAGGCTGCGGTGGCAAGGGCAATCGTGCGGGGAGTGAAAAGTTGAGCAGATGTGTGAGGTTTGTGCGATCGCGGTTCCGTCCCTTGGAACCCTTTGGTCCCCTGCCATTGCTGTTCTTGTCACTCGATGTGGCATTATCCACACCCAAAACCAAATTTTCGTTGTTCCTCTGATTATGCAACGGTCCGTTGCTGCTCTCCTCAGGGTCGCTGCTGGAAGCAACCAGGGTCATGTCGGCAACTCTGGATATCAACCCAGGCGATTGAACACCTGCCGTGGCCGCACATTCCAGCGCCCACTCTTGGACAAACGACTCAATATCGCTGCCAACGGAAATGGTGTTCCGGGAAGAGCTGTCTAATGCAGATACCACTGCCGACCACGCATCCGAATCGCCCTCTGCTGACCCAAGTATCACGAGGAGGTGCACACCGGCGCTGGCGTCAGCCTGTGCCAGTTCAATCGCTACTTGGGCATTGGGCACTGTCCTGAACACGTCAGGCACCAACCCATTCTGGGCCTCCCCCATCTTCTTGGCGAGCATCCCGCGATCGCCGCACACCTCGCAGGCAACCTGCTGGCCGCACATTGCTTTGAAGAGAACGGCCTGAGTAAGCTGGCACTTTGCGCTGCACTTTGCGCACATAAACTTGTCAATACAACCTCGAACAGCAACAATCCGCGACTCAATTTTAGTCAGCTGGTCGTCACTGCCAGCCACTTTGCCGCTCTGCCTTGTGAGTAGCAGCGGCATGTTTGCATCATTAGTGTAGACCCGAGCGAGTTTGCCTGAGAGCGCCAAGTGCTTTAGCACCTCCTGCAGTTTCGGTTTGGGTGCTCTGGTCAATGTTCCACAAAAGGTCGATAGTGCGCTGTAGACATTGGTGGGCTCGGCCGTCAAACAAGATGCGTTGTTTGTTGCGGCCTGGATCGCAGGATCGTCTAGCGCGTCTCCAAGCCCAAGCTGCTTCGACAAGCTCGTGTCGAGGAGAACCACGCACGAGTCTGCCTCCTCGATAGCCTGAACCACCAGCTCGGGGGTTGGCCGGCTGTAGGCCTTGCTCCGAGTGTCTGTTGGGGCCGACATTTTCTTTGTGTCAAAGTAAAACTGATGACGGCAGTTATAGAATTTATAAACAAATGGGTAGATAAAATACAGACAAGATAATTAAATTCAAAAGTGTAAATCTATAGGTGTTTTTTTGGTGGAGAATTAAACAAAGAAACAATTTCTTTTTTTGAGGAATTGAAAGACATGCGACAAAAAGTTGATTAAAATTTTCAAAGACCCCGCCGTATATGAAATCAAAAAAATTGCCTTCCGAAGATCGATCTATCCATTCTTGCGTTTTGCGGATATCCGAGACAGCACATGCCTGAAAACAAATCGGTTTTGAATTTTGTCAGTCTGACTCTGTTTCTCCTGAATAATATTTTTTGCAATACTAAATTCACCTACCTACTTTTTTCGCAATGTTTTGGTTACAAAGACTAGCAGGCTCAGCCAAGTTTGGACCAGGAAATATGGCCACAAGTAAGCGCGTTTTGACTGCTACGGGCATGCAGTTTATAGCTCGCAAAAGTTACTCGTCTTTGCCGCAGCTGCAGCCACAGCAAGGACATGAGCAGCAACCAATGCAGTACAGACCACACGAACACTTACAGCCAAGGGGTCCTGCTAGCAGCATTATGATTAAACAGGGTCAAAAGCTCACATCGGTGGTAACCAGACAATCCGATATGCACTCGCCACCAGTAACGCATGATAAGGGCAGGGATAAAATCGATCCACGTGCCAACTGGCTTCTGATGACAGTCACCCGCGCACCTGGCCAGACCCTAGACCATGGCCCCACAGAATTATTCGGCAAAGACAAGAGCATTGTTGATCGAGTACGGCAGTCGACAGACACTGTCGTCCGGGCGTTTCTCCCGGCCGACTATAAAACCTCAGTGACACCCGAGTACATTAGCTATGCCAAGTGGCAGTTTGTTCACAACACACTGGGCTCAGCCTCCGGAGTGCTGGCAACCCAGGCAATGCTTTACGCCATGGGCATGGGCGCAGGCGCCTTGCCCCTATCGGCTGCGATAAACTGGGTGATCAAGGACGGATTCGGACAGCTCGGCGGTGTGCTTTATGCCACGCTAGTCGGGCAGAAATTTGACAGCGACCCAAAGCACCAGCGGTTTTGGTCGGGCGTCTGGCTTCAGAGCGCGACCTGGCTGGAAATGCTGACGCCGCTGGCACCACACCTGTTCCTGCCCATCGGGTCAATTGCAAATATCGGCAAGAATATCTCGTGGCTGGCCATGTCTGCCACAAAGGCTGCTATAAACAAGTCATTCTGTCGTAAGGAAAATCTCGGCGACCTGACAGCCAAGCACGGCTCGCAGGCCACTGCTGCAGGCTTGCTCGGCACTGCAGCTGGCATCCTTATTGGCGCCACTATGGATGTGTCGATTTATACATTAATAGTCGGGTTCGTGCCACTCAGTCTCATCAGCCTGTGGGGAAACTACAAGTCGCTTCTCTACACGATCACACCGACCCTAAACGTTGAGCGCATGCAGCATATGGCTGAGGACGCGGTGGCTCTGGATCCCAGTGGTCATCTGGTACTGGACCCGCAGCTGCTAAAGACCCCGCGCCAGGTCTCGGCGGTTGAGAGGTTTATGCGTGAGATCCGCCATGTCAAGCCTCGGGGTCAGTTGCCAGGGATCGTGGTTTCATCAGACATTGGACAAATCCACAAGGAGCTTCCTCGAGCAGCTGACCCCGAACTCCAGAAGATGGAAGTATCATCTATGATTAGAGACGCATTCGACCAGACAAGCGTCGTATATCACGGCCAGCCCGAAAAATATTACATTGGTTATCTCATGGCATCGACCGGACGGGGGTCGACCAACGGTAATATCTACCTATGGTTTAGCACGCAGGCGACTGATCTCGACATGCTTTGTGGTTTCTACCAGGCAATTGCATTCCGCCAGCTGCTCGGCGCAGATGGTTCCGGCAATGCAACTGTGGCCGAACTGAGAGAGCAGGCCTGCCAGTTTGCCCTGCACACATTTTCTGCCTTCGAAGAATCAATCGTGCGCATGGGCTGGGACATTAGCACAGTGTACCTCACTAAGAGAGCCAAATGTGTAGATGTAGAAAGTACCTCACACTAAACAGCCTATAATCGAAAAATGATTAATGACTGACAGGACATCATCTGTCACTTCTTTGCAGTAACCTGCAATACTATGAATTTGTTTTACTGCATTGTATTTATATAGCCCATATATCTATATCATAATGAGTAAGTGGCAGGTTATTGCCCAACAGAAATTACAGTAAAATAAAAACCCTTGGCTTAAAATATGGCTTTTGGGCGAGCGGCTGTTGGCCCGTTGCAAATGGTGGTTATATATCAAGCACCCCGCACCCCGCACACACATACTTTTCCATTTGTCCAACACATTTCATATTATTTATAAAAATGTCTATTTCTCAAGCATCAGTGATCCAGGACTACGCAAATCGCACACCAGGGACCGACGGCTGCCCAGGCCACTTTACTGCCGGCGAACAGCGCAAGCTCGGCAGGCTGTGGACGCTACTTCTGAAATACCTGGATGAAGTCAAGGATAAAAATGTCAAAGTAGTCGGTGAATTTCTGCAAAAAATCGACCACGACTGGTCCACACTCAAGCCAGACGAATCACCCAATCCTACCGAAGACCCCGAAGCTCTAACCAAGTGTGCATGGGAGCAGTTCACCAAGGGTGACAACAGCACTCGCCTAATGGGTTTTTTGGCAAAAAAAAACTGACTCACGAGCAGCTTATTTTGGACCGCTATGTGAACGAGACCACACAACAGTTCATTGACCGTATGGCCAGAAAGCACGTGCAAATTGTGCCGGATGAGTATATCCCATCGTTTGCGCATCCTGACAAGGAGACCCGCAATCTGCGCGACGTATTCTGGGAGGCTGTGACAATCAAGGTGCATCCAGACATCTGGGTGCACCGATTCCTGAGGTCTTCTGGGTGGGACGTGGACAAGGCATTCGCCATGATCAAGGGAGTCATCGATTGGCGCGCCACTGAGGCTGTTGATGTGATCAATCGCAATGGCGAGTTGGGCATCGGCCTAGATGAGCTGCGCTTGGGCCTTTCACAGCTTGTGGGCAGAGACCGGCTGGGGTTCCCGCTGTTGTACGTGCGCGTGCGCCGCATCATGCCGCGCGCCAACGAGGGCTTTGTATTCAAGCGCTATCTTGTCATGCTTTTTGAAGCCATGCAGATTATAACGCGCAATTACGGCAGAGTTACCATGCTATATGACTTTACTGGATTTACCATGGATAACACACCGCTGTCCATGGTGCAATTCATGGTTCTTCTAGGGATGAAGCAGTACGCCGAAGTCTCCAGCGTGCTGATCCTTATGGTCGACAGCTGGCTATTCATCAATTCTTGGAACCTTATTCGCCCATTCCTCGATACCAATCTTAGCGCTCGAATTGTTTTTGCAAAAACGGCTGAGGATGTCAGAAATTTGTTGACGATGACCAGTTGCCGATTGAGTTGGGTGGCAAGAACTCGTACAAGCCCAGCTTTGTGCTCCCCAAGGAAGGCGAAAACAAAATGATGTTTGACACGGAGGGCCGCAGGGCTGCTGAAAACGAGTGGCGGGCGCGCATATCGAACTTTGAAACAGCCACCAAGCTGTGGTCAGAGCAGATCATGTCCATCAGAGACGTTGACGTTGTAGACCCACAGTTTCCGTGCACCGCTAAGCGCGATGACGCTGCCAAGATTCTTGGAGATGCCGAGCTTGAATTGAGCAAGTTCACAAGGTCGCGCAATAACTTTGAGCGTTTGGGGTTTGTAGGCTCTGATGGATGTCTGCAAATGCCATGAGTCAAAAACTTTAGAAATAATAAAACGATAAAGGTAAATTTACGTTTTCTCGCATCTATTTTTAAATTTTATTGATAGACGGTGATCTAGAGTATTTCTTGTTTATTTGGATGACAATATGAATTTTTATATAAAACTTAGAAATAAATAAAAAGAATATCATCACTTGAGGAAAAAATAAGTGTATTACAAAACAATAGTGTTTGGCCCATCTAAAAAACAAAACAAAAATACAGACAATATAAGGATATAGAAAGTGGACTGCAAGCAATGTTTTAACAAAAATGCATATTTAATAGTTTAAAGTAACGAGGTTATTGTTATGTAAACTATAGGCAAAATGAATTTGACAAATGCTTTGAAGAAAAAATGATTTAGGGATATTTTAGCAGCACGAGTAGATATGTTTATAAAATAAAATAATTGAATCAAAAAGATATTAAAATTGTTTTTAGAAATATTTTAAAAATGTATTTTAAAGGTTTCTTGCGCTTGCATATTTTACTTTGCTTGGATAGTATTGGCTAGCCAGTCTAATCCCCTGTACAATCCTTCACTCTTCAGCGCGCTGGACCCAAAATATTACACTGTCTGTTCTTCAAATTTGGCAGTCTTAATGCCTCGGCTACCCCAGCAACATCCATAGCCCCTTCTCTGGCCTTCTTGTTAGCAAATACCAAAAGCACTGCATCTTTCAAGTCATCCTATTCTAACACAGTGCCCAGCTCATCCTTTGACATGCCAATTATATTTCTATCGCAGCTGTCAACCACAGACGATAACGTCTGTTTGGGTAATGGTGTTTATACATTAGATTGAATTTTGGTTGGCTGCAAAAATTACACGTTTTGAACTTGATGTTCTTGTATGATATCGTTTCCAAAATAGCCCCAATTGTCGGGATCGTTGAGACCAGTTTGCCTACTTGCAGTCGGTAAAGCATTGTGGTATTTCCTACAAATTCAAGTCCTATGATTAGGATTTGTACCTCCTTATCGTCACCAAGGAGCCCTTTGAACATTGTGCTAAACCAGTTCCCTAAAAAACGAGTGAAATAAGTGTCGAGCATGTTTTTATTCTAAACTGTTGGTTTGTAAATGTATATGATTGTTTGCGTTCGTGTGCATGCGTGCGTGCGTGTGTTTGTGCTTATCCATGTTTGCAAATGTATTTGTAAAAACCATGTCAGATTATAATACTGCTAAACGATAAAAGTATATAAATTAAATAATTTGTTGATAAGATAATAGGAAAACAAATGTGTTGCCGTGGTTAAAATACACACAGCACAAACATTGAAAACCCCTCACTGATAAGCAATAGCCCACGTATACAATTTTTGATTGCATGAGAAATACAATGCAATCATGCAAATAAGGGCTGGCCACGTATACCTGCTCCACGATTCATTTTCCAATTGTATATAATTGTTTAGATTTTAGTTTATTCTGCATGTCCATAAAAAATGTTTCAAAGGGGAGAAAGAAATTCCAGGAGACGCGATTCAAAAAATGTATATAAATGAAAAATTAGAAAAACCAGCACACCATTTTTTTAGGTGGAACATTTGGAGCGTTTTAATTTCGACGAGCCATCGGGAAATATATATATATATAATAAATAGGCATGTGTTTATACCATCCATATCATTGTATATTCAACATTGCTTTTCAAATACTGCTTTTTGTTTTGATGTGCTTTTTCTGAATCATTAAACACATCCATTAATTGAGCACATCTTACGAAACACAAAAAAGCTAATAATTACACTCTTATTGGCTTTAAGTGTGGTACAAGTTAAGCATATTGCTTTAAACACTGGACATACTTGTAGTGACAATGTCCGATAATTTCCATTTTTCCGTATACTTTTGTTAATATAAAAATAAAATTTAGACTTTCTATTGTAAAATAAACAAATAAAAAACATTTATTTCAAAGCTCGCAAACATGAATGCATTTTTCAACATCCGGTTGATCGCAGACCCATTCTAGAACTTGAATACCTGGTGATCAGGCTTGGAGATGACCTTGACCTTCTCGTAACCCAGCTCAACAAGCTGACTGTCCATGGCCTTGACCATAGGCGGCGGGCCGCAAATCAAGACCTTGATATCATCAGCGGGCGCGGGCATGTGCTTCTGGAGCAGTTCCTTGTTGATAAAGCCAATGCCGCCGGTCCATCCCTCTGGTGGGTTGTTCAGCACATAGTGCACATTAAAGTTCTCGTGCTCAGCGGCCCACTTGTCGAGCTGCTCGCGCAAAAGAATATCATCCTCATTGACATTGGCAAACAGCACGCTCAGCACAGTCTTGTCCTCGGGGTTATCCAAAATGTGCTGGATGATCTGGTACATCGGGGTGATCCCAGTGCCACCAGCAATCATACCAATGGCGCGGCTCATGTTGGGAGTGTACCTGAAAGCACCGCTGGGGCCGCGGACGTTGATCGTGTCACCAATTTCCATGGCAGCCAGGTACGAGGAGATCAAACCATTCGGATAGGTCTTGACGACCAGTTCAAAGTAGCCCTTGTCCCTATCCGTCGATGTGGGTGTGTAGCTACGCATGACATCCTTGTCGTCAATCACAGCCATGAGCTGGATGTGGCGACCGATAGGCAGACCGAGAACAGATTCAGAGGAGGGCAGTTCGAAGCGGTAGCGTGCAGTGTTAGGACTCAGCTGGATCTTGGCGGTAAGCTTGAATTTACGGTACTCAGAGGAATGCAGAATGGCGTCGGAGACTGGCGCCGAGAGCTTGTTGGCGTTGGCGTTGGCGTTGGCGGCCGGGACGCTGACGGCCTTGGACTGGCCCCCGCTGGGGTTGAAGAAAAAGTATGCGATGCCAACGGCAATCAGCGCGCCCAGTAGGTACGCCATATGATTTGACTCGGAGGCCATTTTTTTAGAAACCCGCCAAAAAGAAAGAAAGAAAAAATGAGAGAAAAATGATTAATGAGAAAGACAAAGGGAGGATAAAGAGGAGAAAAAGGGATGATGCACACAAGACTTCGTTTGCTGGAGATTTTGCTGTGGCTGGCGAGCGGCGCGCTTTTCCATGCTTTTGGACATGGTTGCGAAATAGTAACAGAAATGATTGTGGAGTTTGATTACTTTTGATTTGATCCTCCTCCCGCACTTTTAGCGGCTCGATGTTTTGATTCCACATGCACACACGCATCGAGGTCCATCCTCATCATAGGTCACCGGAGCATCTTTGCTGCTGTGCTTGCTAAGAGTCGGCCGGTAAGCGGCTTTTTTCTTCCTTTTTCTGTTGCACTTGTTACATCACGACGCCTAATTCAAAGTAATACACTCGCATTTCTCGTGCCTAATTCTTCACGCCACACAGTCGAGGGACACATTTGTATCAGCACACATACACACATACACACACATATACACACAAATTCTCACACAATGGTCGTGGTCACTGATAAGGAGAAGAAGAAGCTCGCAGAGAAGCACAACAAGATGCTCGCTGAGCTGGCCAAGCAGCCAGACAACTCGACATGCGCAGATTGCGGTGCGTCCGGTAAGTACAATGCATTCAAATCCAGGTCGCCCCTGTACAAGATGGCACAAATGCCAAGCAGCAACAGCAAGCACTGAAATGTATGGATTTATCAACAAATACAAATGTAGGTCCGCGCTGGGCGTCATGGAACCTGGGTGTTTTCCTGTGCATCCGGTGCGGCGGCTTCCATCGGCACATCGGAACGCACATTACAAAGGTCAAGTCGATAAACCTGGACAACTGGACACCGGAGCAAATGGAGCATTTCGGGCGCATCGGCAACAAGCGCGCCAACGCTTACTTCAACCCACACCCTGAACAGCATACGGCGCCTCGCTCTGACCGCGACATCGAACGCTATATCCGCGACAAGTACGAGCACCGCCGCTTTGTCGACCACCGAAATGGTGTTGCCGATCCGACAACGGCTGATGGGCAGTCCGACCGGCCCATGTCCCCACAGCAGCAGTCGCCATCGACCTCCGACGAGGCATCGGCACTCACGCGGCTACGCGAGATGGGGTTTGTCAATGTGCGCGACAACCACGCGGCGCTGAAGCGCTTCAACTTCAATGTCGATGCGTCCGCTGCGTATCTTCGCGGCGAGGCGCCCACGCTGCAGATTAATGCGGCGGATTATCGTGTGCAGCAGCTACTCAATATGGGCTTTGACCATATCGGCCAGAACATCCGCGCCCTGGAGCTGTGCGCTGGTGATGTCCACCGGGCCATTGAGCTGCTTCTCAGCAACAACCCGCCGCCCCGCTCCAGCGCATCGCCTGCGGCTCCCTCGCCAAGCATCGCCGCCCCGCCGACACAAGCGCAAAAGCCCAGCGCTACACCAGCCAACCTGCTCAGCGACGACTTCTTTGGCGCCAGCCCTGTCATGTCTCCACCCCAACCCAATGCCGCAGGAAACCTGTCTGACATGTTTGGCGGCCTGTCTATGGCCACAGCCTCAGCCCCAGCTGCTGCAGCAAAGCCACACGACCCATTCGGTGACTTTGGCGAGTTCCTCTCGGCCACGCCCAGCGCAACCCCTGCACCAGCACCAGCACCAGCACCAGCACCGCCCACTATCCCGAGCGTAGCTATGGCACCGGGGACGGTTTCGACTATCGCCCGCAGGCGGCGATATCATCGCCGACTAGCCAGGGCGGGCAGAGCATGTTCAACAACGCGTTTATTATGTCACTATACTCAAAGGGACCGGCCTCCTCTGGCACACAGCCCCAGGCGCCAAGCACTACCACTCCGAAGAGCCCCTCCAACGCCGATGCGTTCGGCGGACTTGATTTTTTCATGTGATTTTGAACACTGTTTTTTTTGCTTTTACGCACAGAAAATTGTACGGCTTAAAACCACTATTGCTGCCATCTACTGGTCACGCATGCATTGCGGAGATGGGGCAAAGTGCAGAAGAAAAATTTTTCATATCAAAAAGGGCTCATGCAACCTTTTATATTGCGCGAAGAAATATCCACACCAAGAGATTTGTTTTCTTCATTTTGTTCTTCAATTCTGAAGTCTAATTTTTATTTTAATAGAGCGCCCGCGCATTGGATTCATTTAACTTATATACTTTTGCGCCCTACTGCCAACTCTAAAATACCACACAACCATATTGACCACACCACAAAGTTTTAAACATGGGTAAAAAGAAGGGAAACAAAGCTGCCTATGACGACGATATCTGGGCCGACGATATTCTACAGGAGGAGGCTGCTCAGGCGGGGACTGCTGCCGCCACTGATGCCGCTGATGTTCCGGCTGGGGGCGAGGAGGGCACCGGAGGGCTTATGAGCATGCTCATGCGGGCGAAGAAGAACAAGAAGAACAAGGGTGGTGCCTCGGCCCCGATGTCCAATACTGATGCTGACGCTGACGCTGACGCAGACGCTGATGCACCTGTCTCTGTTGCCGCCTCCACAGCCAACGACCAGGACGATGAATCCGGCCCCGTCGTCAAAACCGCCAAGCAGAAGGAGCGCGAGAAGAAGGAGAAGGCGAAGCTACTGAAAAAGCAAAAGGCCGATGAAGCCAAGGCCAAGCGCGAGGCTGAGCTCGCAGAGCTTGAGGCATCTCTTGGTACCACAAAGGTTAGCGACTCTGTTGCCGCCGCTGATGACAACGAGGATGGCGCAGCTTCCAAGAACAAGAAGAAAAACAAGAAGAAGGGCAAGAAGGACGATGGTGCCGAGCACCCTGCCGAGCAACCCATCGAGGCCGCTGCAGCCCCCAAGAAGGACGACAAGAAGGATGACAAGAAGAAGAAGGCCAAGAAGGGAGCCCCCATTGCCGCCCTGCAAAAGATGGTTGAGCAGCAGCGCCGCATAGAGGAGGAGATGAAGCGGGCAGAGGAGGAGGAGCGCCGGAGATATGAAGAGGCTGAGCGCCTGGCTGCCGAGGAGGAGGCCCGCATTACCGCCGAGCGCGAGGCCAAGAAGGAGACCGACCAGCTGCGCCGCGACCAGCTCAGGCGCGAGGGCAAGCTGCTGAGCAAAAAGCAGAAGGAGGCCAAGGCGCGCCAGGAGCGCCAGCTCAAGGACCTTCTCGCATCAGGTGTTCAGATCTCGGGACTGACTGGTGATGGCAAGGACAGTGACCAGGCGCCTCGCCGCGGCAACCGCAACGAGGCTGAGGAGCGCAAGCGCAAGGCTGCTGAGCGTAAGCGTCAGGAAGAGGAGGATGAGAATAAGCGTCTGGAGGAAGAGGCTGCACAGAAGGCGGCTGAGGCAGCCGAGGCCAAGTCCGACGGATCCGACGTAGAGGGCGATGACTGGGAGGCTCTTCTTGATTCTAGCGATGACGAGGAGGAGGACAAATCTACTGAGAATGTCAAAGAGGAGAGCGGCAGCGACGAGGACTCTGAGCCCGAGTCCGGGTCCGAGTCTGAGTCTGAGAGCGAGTCCGAATCTGAGGAAAGCAGCTCAGAAGACGAGGAGCTCACTGCCATGCAGAAGCAGACTGCTCTTCGCAAGCAGGCTGCCACGGCCCGTCGCGAGCAGCGTGTAAAGGAAGCCATGGACGCGCGCTCTGTTGACAACCTGCGCTCGCCAATTTGCTGTATTCTGGGCCACGTAGACACGGGAAAGACCAAGCTACTCGACAAGATCCGCCAAACCAACGTTCAGGGCGGCGAAGCTGGCGGTATTACGCAGCAGATCGGCGCCACTTACTTCCCTGCTGACGCGATCCTGAAGAAGACGGCGGCCATCAACAAGGGCGGCAAGCTTGAGATCAAGGTGCCGGGTCTTTTGATCATCGACACCCCGGGTCACGAGTCGTTCACTAACCTTCGCACGCGCGGTTCCTCCCTTTGCAACATCGCCATCCTGGTTGTCGATATTATGCACGGCCTCGAGCCTCAGACGCTCGAATCCCTGCGCCTGTTGCGCGATCGCAAGACGCCCTTTGTCGTGGCACTGAACAAGATCGATCGTATCTACGACTGGAAGGCCGTCCCTGACAGCCCGTTCCGCGACTCGCTTGCCATTCAGGCGCAGCATTCACAGTCCGAATTTGAAACTCGCGTTGCAAAGACGATCACTGCCTTTGCCGAGCAGGGTCTCAACTCTGAGCTGTACTACAAGAACAAGAACATCGGCAAGTACGTCTCGCTGGTTCCCACGTCGGCCATCACGGGTGAGGGTATCCCCGACATGCTGGCGCTTTTGGTATCGCTGACTCAGTCGCGCATGTCCAACCAGCTCATGTACCTGTCCGAGCTCGAGTGCACGGTTCTCGAGGTCAAGACTATTGAGGGCCTGGGCACCACGATTGACGTAGTCCTGTCCAACGGTGTGCTGCACGAGGGAGACCGGATTGTTGTGTGTGGTTTGGAGGGACCCATCGTCACAAATGTGCGCGCGCTGCTGACCCCACAGCCCATGCGCGAGCTGCGTGTGAAGTCATCCTACGTGCACCACAAGTCCATCAAGGCTGCAATGGGTGTCAAAATCTCTGCGCCTGGGCTCGAGATGGCCATTGCCGGATCGCGTCTGATGGTTGTCGGCCCTGATGACGATGAGGAGGAGCTGATGGACGAGATTATGTCCGATTTTGCCAACATGATGGATTCGGTCGACAGGACCGGCAAGGGAGTGTGGGTTCAGGCATCGACGCTCGGATCTCTCGAGGCGCTTCTGGAGTTCTTGCGCACGTCCAAGATTCCGGTTTCCGGAATCAACATTGGCCCTGTGCACAAAAAGGACGTCACCAGCGCGTCAACCATGCTTGAGAAGGCCAAGGAGTACGCAGTCATGCTCTGCTTTGACGTCAAGGTCGACAAGGACGCGCAGGAGATGGCCAACAAGGTCGGTGTCAAGATCTTTAATGCCGAGATTATCTACCATCTGTTCGACCAGTTTACCGCCCACATGAAGACTGTGGCCGAGCAGAAGCGCAAGGAGCAGCTGGCCAAGGCTGTCTTCCCCTGCGTGCTCAAGATGATCAAGGGAGCTGTTATCAACAAGCACAATCCGCTCATCCTGGGTGTCGACGTTATTGAGGGCCAGCTTCGTTTGGGCACACCCGTGTGCGTCGTCAAGGTGAACCCTGAGACCAAGGTCCGCGAGGTCATCAGCCTGGGAAAGGTTGCCAGTATGGAGATCAACCACAAGACCGTCGATATCGTGCGGAAGGGCGAGTCTGGCGCCGGAGTGGCTGTCCGTATTGACTGCCCGTCCAACGAGCACCCCAAAACATACGGTCGTCAGTTCGACGACAGTGACGATATCTACTCGCGCATCACTCGCCGCAGCATTGATGTGCTCAAGGCGCATTTCCGCGGGGATATGAGCAAGCCTGATTGGGGTCTGGTCGTGGGTCTCAAGAAGATTCTCAACATCCATTGATTCGCCCTTGTTTTGTTTACTCTTACTCTTTACAAATATAACCGTTTTTAAAATCAAAACACCGCATGTCGTTAGTTATTTTTTATTATGTAATATGCTCTAAAAAGCAAAGCCAACCAGTCTAATATATTATTTGTAGCCGAACTATTGAGAGAAAATTGATTCATTTATCTGCATCCAAATTATTTTGACTATTGTCGTTACCCATACCACTATTGAGCCGACAGTGTCCTTCGTTGGCTGTTTTTTTTGGCAAAAATGGAACAAGAAAGCCATCATTGTTAGCTTCACAGAATTTTTAATATGGTCATTATCTCATTTTTCACTCGTATATCTCTACAAAACAATAGCCATTTATATTTCTAAATATGCCTGCGGCTTTATCCACCCTTCAAACCCTGCCTGACCACATCTAGCCCATAATAGAATCGACATCCCAGATAACAGCCTTAAGAATATGCGTCCCATGTATGATGAATTTGATGTGCTTTTAACCGTTTGCCGCAAATTTCGTATAGCCACCATTGAAAAATGCTCAGCCGGCTTTCGATTTTCATTAGACATGGCTGTGGTATATCTATCCACACATGTCAAAAAGCTGCCAGGAGGAATATGTCTGTTCAGCAGTTTGGTACCAGACTTGTCAAAGAGATCACCGTGGCTATGGATTACAAGTGTGTGCTTGACGACAGATTAATCGACGTGTTTTTCAACAATACCGTTGTTCAGCTGCAGTTTTTCAAGGCCCGCAAGTTGGGTATGTATCTTGAAGGAGATAGCAGCCAAGTCATCAATTTTTCGTACGCGCAGATTCGGGTTCACAAATTCATCGCGTGTATCAAGCGTATGGCGCCAGCAGTGATGAGCTTTGATATCGGCAACCTTATTAGAGAGCGAGACAACCTTGAGATAACTGAGGCATTTATTGGTGAATCTTGGAATGAGCTGGGCCGAGGTGCGACGGAAATGTAATTCAACTCATTATTCTCCGACTCCAGCAAATTTACGAGCTGATGGACTGACCCAGTTGACATGCATTATTTTTTGGCAGGCGACCATTGGCAGATATTTCAGATTGCCCGTCAGAACGCGCCGACTTTGGTTGACTTGTCGACATTTATATCAGACCATGCAGACTTTTGTAACTTGATTATCAACGAGCAGGCCAACCCTGTAGTATACTCTAGTGTGACGAGCCTTGGTCTACGCATACGTCATGAGCACCAGAGCAGCTTGATCTTGGCCGTTCTTGACACGCAGCCATTTTCCCATCTGCACAAGCTCTCCCCAACGGTCACATTTGTGCTAGGCGACGATCTTTTGTTCTGAGGCAACATTGCTAGGCTCAGGGCTTTAGGCACACAGATGGATGCAAATATTGTCAAAATGATGAAGCAGCATGGCCTGCTAACAAACATGAGTTTTTCCAACCTGCGCCGCATCTGCCTTAGATCGGGTGCACTCTCCAGCGAAACAACGGCCGTATGAGAGACCAACCTGGTTTAATTTGTAGCTGACATGCCTGCCTCAATCCAGACGCTGCAACTTCGTTATAGGGGCGACCCAGTTGCTCTTTGTGATGTGATGTCTTGGACTCCTTTCTTTGAATACCTTCAGACTCCGACTCTCAAAAATATGAAACTGAAGATTGTCGACAGTAAAATTTGTTTTTCCTGTCACTCCTCATTAATTTGAATTGCGACGGTGATGCCGAAGAACAATTTATCGCAGTTTTAAGCATGAAAGAGGAGCCCAAACAGTGGACTAATCGGCAATTCTCAGGCAACCAGTACTTTAGTCATTTGCGAGTAAACGGTAATATTGCTAACTCTGGAATGGCATACAGCATATGTGCTGTGCTTTTGACATTTGCCTGTCCAAACCTTGTATCTGCTGGAGTGCTATAGGAAGTGTGATATAAGAAAACCCAGCTTGTCGTAGGATATTGATTAATGAACCAATGACCAGCTAATTCCTTACTTTGATATGCAAGAATTCATACGCATACAAAAATACTAATGAATATGAATAGTAAAGGCTGTTCATCCTTTAGCCTTCTTTTAGTTCATCTTAATAAATATACTTTTATCATAACAGTTGTGGCAAAAGCTTGCCATCAAGTTAACCATATGGTAATGGAGTTTGTGGATAATCCTGGGTTTGATGTTGTGATAATAAAATACAATAAAATATACTAATATCAAAATCCACTATTAGAGAGCTTATGATTCTCGCCTTATCAATCGAAAATCCAGTAGTAAAATATAATCACAGGTATCACGTGGTATTGCCATGATTGATGTCACACTACCATCGCCCTTTACTAAATTGTAAGCAGCATGGGCGGCCCAAACGGCAGACAGCACTTGCGGGATATCCCGAAACATCTTATTCTCGAGCCAACTGGCTTTACGCCCGAGCACACAGCCGACGGCCTGCGCTTTATAATGCACGGTGAGGCCAGAAATGCTCAGATTGGCGGCTTTCTGACAGCACTGCGGCTGCGTAAAGTCAACGGAGACCTCAGTATGATCGCAGCCCTGGCCAAGGAAATGCTCGGTAGCGCGCTCATCCCCTCAATAGAGACAGAGACCAAAACTAGATCAGGGCTTGGCATCCTGGTCGATATTGTTGGTACCGGCGGTGACGGATGGAACACATTCAACACCTCGACCACGTCCTCACTGGTGGCCGCCGCCGCAGGTTTAAAAATGGCCAAGCATGGCAGCCGCGCGTTGTTGTCTAACTGTAGCTTCGCAGATTTGCTTGAGAGCATGAACTGTAATTTAACCATTATCGCGCCCTCTGACGTGGCTGGTCTTCTGGACAAGCACAACTTTTGCTTTTTGTTTGCCAGCACATTCCATTCGTCAATGCGCTACTTGGCAAAGACCGGCCGCAAGCTGGGGTTCCCGACGCCATTCAATGTCCTGGGCCCGCTGACCAACCCAGTGGTTCCCAATCGCGCAGTCATCGGCATCTACTCAAAGCAACTGGGTCCAGTCATGGCCGAGGCGCTGAGGATTCTCGGCCGTCGCAACTACGCTGTTGTGTGCGGAAACGAGAATCTTGACGAAGTCAGCATTGCTGGTTTGACACATGTGTTGCACATCCAGGCCGACAGCGAAATCAAGAACTACACAGTCCATCCAGGCGACTTTGGAGTTGCCGCCCACCCGTTGTCGACGGCTGCTGGGTCCACGCTTAAAGAGAACAATTCCACGCTACGGCGGTTGCTGAGCAACAAGCTGAAGAAAAAGGATATCCTAATTCGTGACTTTGTTCTAGTCAACAATGGGTTTTTGCTGTATGTAGCTGGTGTTGCTGCATCGATGAAAGAAGGTGCTGCGATTTCCAGGCAAACTCTCGAGTCAGGCAAGACAAAATAGTTGCTTAAAGGGTTTCCCCTGTATACACAGGGTTTGCAAAATTCAAAAAGTTTACTTACTACTAAAAGCAAGGATTGATAATGTCAAATAAATATATTTGATTTCAATTTTAAATTTTGGCTTGTTTAAGCTCTTTGCATTTTTCATTACACCTATTTACTTTTCCAGTTCAGTGAATATCTGTTATTTGTATTTTTGCCATTCATTTTTATTTTTACTTACTGTTTGCTTTTTTATTATAATAAGATTGTGTACTCGAGCATTGTAAATACTCTAGTATTTATTTGCGTGCAATTATTTTATTTGTAAAACTGTTTCACAAAAGAACAACTGTAATGCTGGCAGCTATATGCCGCAAATTTGGATACATTATCGCTCACAGTTAATTTCTGTGAGCTCTGCATTCGTATATTGCTGTTGGTTTTCAATTGTTGACATTCCTACAATAACTTTGCCGCCCTCTCCTTTGGTCTTTTTGGCGTCATACTTTGCTCGCAGCTATGCCAGTACTTCGACAGTCTGGATCATACTTCTTTATAGTACTGTAGCTGCTGTTGGCCTCCCCTGAACCATTATTAAAATTTCCAAAATAGTTTTTCACTCTCTCACGCATCTCGCTGCTTCTATTAAATATAAGTTGCTGTGTTATTCACGCTTAAAAGTCTATTTATTGCTTACATTGTCACCCGTTGCTGCGCCGTGCTTGACGCTCATATTGTTGTGCTTAATTTTATTTTATTTGTCGCTCGATGCTTATTATATTTCAGAGGCCAAAACTAGCCCTTCCCAGGCGCTCCTCACAGTTATTTACCCTCATCTTCAGTTCATACAATTTAAACGTTTCTTAGAGCTGTGCACCTGGTAGCTTGTCCCGACGCCTGCAATCCAACTATTGTTTCTCCAAATAATAGCATACTTGTTTTTGGTTCTTTTAGCGCCTTTTGTTTCGGTAGCTGAACACAGTTAACAAGAAAAACTATTGTACAAAGTAACAAAGCAACAAAGCAACATACCAATGATCTTGCTTTGCTTTTTTGCGCATTTAATTTCCAAAAGAAAGTATTGGTTGATGGCGATCAACTGATTAACCAGTCTTTGCCGTTTAGCAACACAAACAATAAGTCACACAGTGACCAAAGCAACATGCTTTCTACTCTTCACCTTTCACAGTGCATAGCACTTATTTATTAAATATACTTTATATTATCATAGATTATCTACACGTTCATAGAACGTTCCTATATTCCAACACCATCATGATTCAGCGACATGGTAAAATAAATGTGTAAGATAAAATAAAAATGTGTTTAAAGTGCTTAGAAAATATTTGAGAAACAGAGGAATTGATGGATTGGATTGAGGATAAATTGGGGAATAGGAGCCGTTTTAAATGAATTGACGTTGGAAGTTTTGTAACACTATTGCGGTGAAATGCGTCGTTTCGGGTTTGGATGGCATACTTTTAAATAAAAAATTTACTCATTCTTTTTTGTGATTTGAGTGTTGTGATTTGAGGAGAGCACTAGTCGTCTAGTGTTAAAAGTATGTTTGACTTTTGTTATAATTTTTAGTATCAAGGGAATCAAAAGTAGAACTAGGACCAGCCTTGTCTTATATATGTAGCCTGTTGGCTTTTTTGTGCACATTGTCAATTGTGCGATCCGTTGGTGAGAACTGGATCTTCTGCGAGCAGACCAGTATCTTGGCAAGTCAATTTTGTGGTATTCTTGCGTGTACGCTCATGCGTGTGCATTGAAAAATGGGGAGCATGTCTGGGCATCAATGTAATACCTCCCTAATTTACGCCTGAATTATCCAATTAGCGTCCTATCAATCGGCACGCAGGTGGAAACTTGTTTCGCGATTCTCAACCTCAACATCCACTTCCATATATTCAGTCTGTGGAACAGTATACCCATTTGTATTAAAGTCAACTTACTCAATGGTAATACGCACATGTCACTCTATATGTAACACTAACAAAGGTGCGTATTGTAGACCTGATAATATTCTTCTATTTAATGTCTTGTGCCATTTACAAACAATTCTAACCTCAGGCCCATGCTTCAATTATGGTAGCAACTCTCTTTTTTAATTTTCTCACTCTTATTCTTGCAATTTTGTGTTGGCTATGTCGCAATATTGTTCTTGCATTTTTCTTCTCGTTTTGTAGCCATCTTTTTCTTTTACTTTCTCGCTCTCTGGGCCAAGCACCTTTATTTTCTCGCGTATCTGATATATCAGTTATTCTAGTTTAAACTCTTGTTATTTTGCACTAGCCATTGCGCTCTTCTTCAGCAAAACCAGCACCAACACCAGAAAACGATTAAGAGAAAGGGTAAGAACATGTTACTCAATTTGATTTCGTTTGGTTTATGCATTTATGGATTTTTTGTAGCTGCCGCCGCCTTTCATTTAAGAGCAAGAGCAAGAGCAACCACTGGCACTGGCATTGTCATTATCATTAGCACCAGTACCAGTATTGGTTTAAATGCCTAAAACGCCCAAAGGCCAGCGCCCTGATGCCCTGGTATTTTCAGCCCGCAATAGTGCTAAGTAATAGGCGTGGGTACAGGTTGCGCTGAATACCAGCTATTTTATAGAATTTTTAAAGTATTATTCTGTAAATAAAGACCCTAAAAAAGCTAAACCAAAATATTGAACACCTGAAATTTTATATGGAATCGCTCTGTGGAATTGTTCAATGGAAAATTCATTTTCTTAATTCGGGAATGGATAAAAAACATAATTTCTTAGGCACTAAATCAAAAAATTTTCATCTTTTCTCCAAAATGTATTATTTTTATTTTCAGGCAAACAAAAAATGGAGAAATAAAGTATTTCTTCACCTCCACATGTTTATTGTGCTTGTTGGGATTGGGTAAGAAATGTGAAGTAGGCACCACAACGTGTACTGAAGAAACAATCATTATGCCGCGGTATAAAAAATTAATGGGGATTTTAGAAATACAATGAAAGTGAATATATTTATATTAGAACTTTCAATGTAAGCAAAAGTACTTTGTGCTTTGTTAGTTGTAAATATTTTGGAGTGTAATATTTCTTTAAATCAAAAAACAATCTGTGCAATCAATAAATTAGTAAATAGTACAAAAATGAAGTAGCGAAACGAATTATTAAGGATTTATTTGATGAATTTATTTAATTAATTTCCCCATTCTTAGAAAAAAATACAGCACATAGAACATGACACATAGCACATAGCACACATACATAAAAAAGCAAATCCATAGATGGCAGCAAAATTTTGTTTATGACGGAAATAAAATAAGTGAGTTCTGAAGTTTCAGAATGGTATAAATAACCAATAATTGCCACATCTGTTGAATAATTTTTCTTCATACAATCACCAACATTTAATTTCATATTAATATCAGTTAAACAACAACCTAATTAGATCAATGTCGCCAAGAATAATTATAATCAATGCAATTAGATGCAAAAGATGCGGATATATCCATAAACCAAATACTCCGTGTGAATCTCGTTAACCAAAACATAAATTATTTATTATGTTTTATTAGATAATCCGTATATTGATTCATTGGTTATTGTGCACATATTTCTACAATTATATTTACAAACTAATGTGTACACAACAATTAATTTTACCAACAGCAAAATTTAGTGCTTTACACATATTTACTTGAATTTTAAATTACAGAATATGTTTGTTTCTCAGACGCTGATAATGCGTGTCAATGCTTTGAACTGCCATTTAGCACTTTTTACTGGTGGTATATCATCAGTAAGCCGTATTTTGTAAACTTGATTACTCTGCTATTAGAATAAGCAATAACAAAATTTGCTATAGGTTTTATGACTCCTTTTATAACTTTAAATAAATTACAAATATTATGTTTATTTATTAAACATATATCATTTGCATTTACATTTACATTTACATTTATACACCATGCATTGCGCAAAGATAAGATAAGCTAAGCTAAGCTAAATAAAAGATGTTATTCAATCGCTTTAAACAATAAGTAGCATACTTGAATTAAATATAGAACATTCAAATTCAAACATAATCCCAATTTAATTTAACTATTGCTTCAATTGTTTGCAATGAGTCCGAAATTGTTTTTTATTTCTGCTCGGCCATTTTTCAAATCAAACCCATTAATCTGATTAACCCACGTGGACCTATAAATAAAAAGTTGGCTATGGAAAAAATCTCACGCTATCACCACAATTTTTTGTATTTACAATTTTTTATTTGCTAAAAATGGAAGGCGAGACCCAAACGACAGTAGACGCTTCAGAACCCATTATTGTCGACCAAGACGAGCATCAATCTGTTGCAGATTTATTCCCCGAACTCACCCGCGACCAGGTCCTCAACTGTGCTTTCTCCTCTTGGTACCCAAAGCTTAAAAAAGTAACCTTCAAATCAATTGTGCTCAAGCCACTCCAGGCAACCTTCCTCGAGTACCTTCTCTCCGACGGCATAGTGCTTCCGGACAATGAAGCAGAGCACAAGTTCCAAAGCATGATTGCAAACGCTTCTTCCGACGATGAAGACGAAAGTGACTGGAGCGACGAAGATGACGAGGACAGTGGTGCAAAGATAATGGTGGATATTGACGCTTCGGTTCAGCAGATTCGCAAGGCTATAGAGGAGCTTGGCGGGAATGTGTTTCCTAGAATGAACTGGAGTGCACCGACGGATGCATCGTGGATGTCCTGTGATAACACTCTGAATTGCCGCAACCCGTCGGAAGTACTCTTGCTGCTTAAGGGGTCGGATAAAATCAGTGGTGATCTTATTAATGGCAAGTACTTGGATATGCAATTCTGGGAGCCTGAGCTGGTACTCAGACAGTGGTGCAATTTGATTCCATCACTTGAGTTCCGCTGCTTCGTGCGCGATGGACATGTTGTTGGGATCTCGCAGATTGACATGCAGCATTATTCGTTTTTGGAGGGTATGGCTGAGGATATCGAGGACAAGTTGATGGATCTGTTCACGGATCATGTTTCCGCGGCGTTCGAGTCTGAAAGCTATTGTTTTGACGTTTATGTGACCCGCGCTGAGGGCCGCGCCTATGTTATTGATTTCGAGCCGTGGGCGGCAGCGGTGGATAGCTGCTTGTTTGAGTGGAAAGAGCTTTTGGAGGTCGGCCAGGAGGGACTCGGTCTGAGGCTGTTCCCTGAGGGTATCGATGCCATGGGCCACTTCTCGGCTAAATTCTCAACCAACAGGTTCCCAATTGAGCTGGAAGGCAACGCATTCATGGAGGCGCTGGCAAGGTTCAAAAAACACAGCATCCACAACATCATCAAGGAGGCCGAGGAGACCGATGAGGCCGAAGAAATGGACGAGACCAATGATTAATTTCATTTTTAATACTTAAATGGCATTTTTCTATATTCGTAATTTGCTGATGGCCATTTAATACATAGCATAACATTCACACGTCTTCAAAATCATCATCCTCCTCCGCGTTCTCAGGATCCGCAGCCCCAGAACCATCTCCGCCAATAGCATCAGGGTCTCTCTCACCCGAGAACGATCCATTTGGCGCATCCACGTTGATTTCAGCCACAGCATCCTTGCGGAACTCGGGCTTGAGGCTGTACATGGCAGCATAAGGGCCGTGCTTATTAAGGCTGGCAACCTCAAGGAGTATCTCCTTGAGATACGCCGATGGCTGCCTGGTGTGCTCAATGAGTCCCTTGAATGGCCAATACGGGAACCGCGCAAAGGCAGCAAACAGCATATCCATAAGCTCCTTGCGCTCCATACGGGCCATCTTTGTATCCGCGGTCTTCTGCTTTTTCTGCGCTGTGTCGAACCCACTGGTATTGAAACCAACCATATCTGGCACATACTTGTCGAACGGAATACTCTGCACCCGACGCGTATTCTCATGCTGATCGATAACCCGTTTATGCATAATCCTCTTGTACTCCTCGCTATACTCGGGCGTAACCGAGCACTCATGGTGAACTGTACCCGTCATAGCTATAGGCACCGCCTTGTTGGCCATCGCCGACGTCGGTTTGACTATTTCCCGCGGATCGCGCTGCTCCGAGAATATAAACATATTGCGCACTTTTTCGTTCGTCACTTGCATCCTGTATTCCTTGGGAATCTCCTTGTACTCGGGTGTGTCGTTGAGAATAATGGCAATGTCACTGGCAGTTTTGTCCGGCTTATGATAGATGCGCATTTTGCCTATTTGAACTCCTTCCTTGCGCTGCTGCTTCCACTTGTCGGCAAGAAAGGTGGGCACTTTGACCAGCCACACTTTGCTCCCTAACTCGTCCATGTTTAGTTCTCCAATATCGTCATCTTCAAGCTCCTCGACGGGCTTTGCGGCCGTGGATGCGCGTGGGTTGTCGTCTTCTTCGTCATCATGGTAGAACTCTGGCCTGCTAGATTCTTCGTTGTCTGAGAGCGCCATTTTGCTTGGATTTATTTATATGGTGTGTATGAATTTAGATGTTTTAATTGGCGATTAAAGCGAAAAAGAAAAAGAAAAAGAAACCAAAAAGGTGAAAACAATAAAAGGGGCCACATCTTTTATTTAGTTTCTTTTTTTCAGACATTATTTTATCCCCCAAACTGAAGAAAATAATGAGACTACAAATATCTAAAATATAAATTAGAATTAAAATATCCTGTAAATCGGCGTCTTTCGCATCCAGATTGAATAGCAACCCAGCATGTGCTTAGAAACTAGGGACAATAAATAGCCGCCAGCTATGCTTGAAGATATTAATCATTGCGCTGCTTCTTGCAAAGAGAAACTTGGGCTTGGACTTTGGCTTGGGCAAAGTTTTGGACAAGATTTACTGGCATCACTGTAGACTCGGCCTCAGCTGGCTCGAACAGTGTCTTTTTGCGCAAAAAATGGGGGGCCTGCTCGCCTATAAGCAAGAAATTAAGGACGATGCGAAGGTTAAGCACCGCAGTCATGTCACGATTCCACTTCTGTCTGCCTGATGGCACTTTTTTTGCCATCCTTAATCTGCTGCTAAAAATGCTTATGAATATTTCACATGTGTGGTACTACTGTACTACTATTACCTTCCCTCCCCCCTTTCAGTCCCTGCACTATAAAAATCAACATAATCAACGCAATCAAATGCATCGGACATTTTACAAAAGCATGTGCAAGTATGCTGCGTCAAAAGTTTCACATGGTTTGTGCTTCAGTTTTTAATATTGTAAATGAACCTTGGTGATAAAATAGTGTCCCGCTTTCCTGTACATTTTCCTTCTCTGAATTTTCCTTCCTGCCCTTATTTTTTATTTAAACTTTTCATCCATATTTAAACTTTTTTGTAACTTGTATAACTTTAACCCCGCCATGTCTCTCATCGACCTACCTCATCTCAAGCTTAGCCAGCCCTTATCCAAAACGCCTGGGATATTCCTTCTTGAACTAGCTCACTCTGATGAAAATCGGTTCACAATAGAATTCGTCCAAGAAATAACCCACGCCCTCGACCGCATCGACGAAATCCTCGATACACTCCCGCCAACCCAAGCCGAACTCGGCGGTGCTCTAATAACCACAAGCAAAGGGAAATTCTACAGTAACGGGTTAGCCATAGAAGCAGCCATACATCAAGGAGATGCATTTTACTTACCATATATGAGAATGCTCGCTCGCATATTGACTTTTAGAGTGGCCACGGTGGCGGCTATCAATGGTCATGCGTTTGCTGGTGGTTGCATGTTTGCTTTGGCGCATGACGTGCGCGTTATGAGGTCTGATAAGGGGTGGATGGCTATGAATGAGATTCAACTGGGGATTCCACTGATTCCTGGAATGGCCGCTATTGTTCGGTGCAAGATTAATAAGCCGGATGTTTTGAGGAACTGCGTTATTGCTGGAAAGAAGTTTACTGCACAGGAGGCTGTAGATGCTGGGTTTGTTGATAGGGCTGTGTCTGTAGAGGACCTGGACAGCGTGGCGTTGAAGTATGCTGAGCAGATGGCCCCGCTCGCAAAGGGCCTTACTGAGGTCATGTATTTAATCAAGGCTGAGACTTATCGGGATACCGTCGAGTTACTTTTGAGCGGTGGAACCAACCCCGCTGGTTACATTGGGGCTAGGAAACTACTTGCCAAGCTATGAGAAATTGGATATTTCGCATTCTATAATTGTTTTTCTCAAATAAAATGACTTTTTTATTTTCTAAAATGGGTGATCCAGCGCTGTGAATTCAGCCAGCGCACAGCCATGGAGGGCATCTGCAACACCGACAAAAAGACACTGCGAATCAGGCGAAAACGCAGCACCAGCGACTTCACCCATGACCTCAATCACCTGCGACCGTCCAAACCCAGCGGTCTCCCACACATGCACATAATCAGCAGGCTCCGCAGCAACCAAGAACCTACCACACCCACTAAACCTCACACTCCGCATAGCACCCAAATTCCCACACATAACCTCCACCGGCGCTGCAGTCCACCGCAGATCGAAAATCCGCACCGCCGAGTCCTGACATCCCGTAGCCACAATTCGCGAATCAGGACTAAAGTCGCAAGCAAATATATAATCCTGATGGCCGCCCAGCAGACTGACCACAGAGGAGGACATGCGCGAATCCAGCAGCTGTCCGCTGGTATCGTCTCCGACAACGCACTGCATATGGCTGCCATCGCGCGCCTGCGCACAGCTATTGACCGCCCATGGAAACGTCCTCGAATCTGCCGCCTGCATATGCTCTAGATCCACTGTATGCATGGCCCCGGCATTGTGCGCCACCAGGACGCTCGCGGGAGAAAGCGAATTGGCCGGCGCAATATGGCTGATTATGTCCGCCCCTAAGTTGATCTCTGCCGGCCACCGGCCGCGATCACCCCAGAGAGACTGCACGCAAAGGCGCCCGCGGTGGTCACCCGCCACAGCCACCCCGTTGTTAACGCACAGTGCGCTGATCTTGAAGCTCTGCGGCATCCATCGGGACTCCAAAACACACTCGACTGTTTTCTGCCACGGATTCCATCTCTGCAACCCCTTGGCATGCCAAAAAAACACATCGTAGGAGCTCGTTGGCCAAATAAGGTCGCGCAACTGGAAGTGGCTAATCTGGCTGCGCACCGCGTCCCCCAGCTGCGAAAACCGAAACCTAAAAAACTCGCCACCAGTCATCGCCCTTGCATGCCTCTGCACATCCAAGGTGTTATGCGGGATGCCCTGGAATCGCGGGTACACGGATCGCCGGTACTCCATATACAGCCTCTTGTGCTCCTCTTGTCCACGCCAAAGATACCCCTGGATATCAAAGCCACGCCGCAAATCCACAGAACTCACCTGTTGCAGTTGCGGAGACCGCTCGAATGCGTGTGCTACATTGCTAAGAAAATCCACCCGGTTACCATCTATGCTTTGCTCGTTGTCTACTACGAGCTGTTGAAGCTGTCGTACCATGTCGGTTGTTCTTCTTTCGGGCCTTTCATTTTGCGCTTGTACTGTCGCTTGCTGGGGCCTGTCGCCTTGCAGGGTTTGCTCTGTGGGAATTGTGCTCATGCAACCTTGGGAGAGAAGAGTCTTAATGTAATTCTATAGTGTGTGGTTGGAAGAATGATAGCCACCACTGCTTCCAAAAGGGGAGGTTTACGCTGCGTTGCGGATTAGCAATTGCTATTCTAGGTGTAAAAAGGATAGAATTGTAAGGGAAAAAGGATAGGAAGAGGAAATTAGAAATGTAAATTAAAGCTGACAGAAAGAGACTCCAATATCACAGTTGCAGCTTATTGGACAAGAATGAGAAACTACATAACCATTTTTCATGTCGCTGCATTTTAATGCGCCACGGCGCTGCCAATAGTGCAACTACTCGGGTGGAATGGCGTCCAACTGTCAACTCGCACTCGCATTTCCACTCGCGAGCGTGCTTGAGTGTAAAGCTGGCTGAATAAAATAAATGAATGGGAAAAGTGTAATAATAATGAAGATAAAAAATGAAACTGAAAATATCAAAAGTCGAAAAAGAAAAGAATTGCAAAGTGAAACTAAAAGTAAAAATGAATATGAACGTCAAAAAAACAAAGTAGGTTTTGGTTTTCAGCTTTTTCACTTCCACCATTCAACAAGAACAGATTCCTCATCATTGCCTTGTGCTCGGCGTGCTCTTGGGCGACCCACTCGTGCCACTTTCCCGTGCGCTCGCTCCAGGCCTCATTGTAGGCCTTGCGAGCAGCAACTGCAGAAGCATTGAGAGCAGAAGCAGATGTCACCGACTCGCCCTCCTCCTCCTTTTCACCTTGAAGCGGAAGAAGCAGTTTGGCGCGCCGCGAATGGTTAGCGTAAATGTCCTCGGTACCCGTCAGGAAGCACAGCTTGTATGTGTTCACGGCGATCTTGATCTCGAGGTTGGACCGCGAGCTGATCACATAATCGCACTCGTCAGGGTGCAGGTGCCGGGACAAGTAGGGCCGCGGCCGCTCCTGCGTCGTGCGCCCAACGCCCTCTGTCGGTTCAAACAGCACATACGAGTCAACGTAGTACGCCCATCGCTCCTCCTCGGTCACCGCTTCGTCCAAAGTAATGTCCTCGCGCCGCAGCAGCTGGATCGCCATTGTTTGCGACGAGTAGATATACCCAACGCGGAACACATGCTCGTCTGCACCCACTAGCGCCTCGACCTTCATGCGGTACGCAATGTGCGACCGCAGCGGACTCAGCTCGTGCACCGCAGGCAGTGTGGTAAACAGCTCCAGGATGTCGACGCAGCGGCCGTCACTGATCAGGTGCTGGATGTTCTTGGACACAGCCTGCACTACCTTGTCCACTGTCAGGATGCGGTACGCATGCGTGCCGTACAGCACGCGCATGCCCTCATCAAAACTGTTCGTGTCCAGCTGGCCCTGCAAGAACTGGTCGACGAGCTCAAGGAAGATGGCGTAAAAGTCCGTGTTCTCCAGGTCGTACCCCTTCAGCACCTCGGACTGCGCGCGCATCCCCAGCTTGGTCGCCACCGATTGCGCCTGCTGCGCCTGCTGCACTTTTCCCTGGCACTCCGGCCCCAGCTCGCGCAGCTTGCTGAACCGCTCGTACAGAATCTGGAACAGCCGCAGGAACACGTAATAGCTGCTGTTGGTGTAGAACGCGCGGGACACGCTCTTGCTCGGCAATCCTGCGGCGGGTGCAGCGGACGTGTCATGCTTGGAGGACCCGATCTGGATCCACGACCGTGAGGAGATAAGCCCAGGTGTCGACGGCTTGCTGACTGCATTGTCGCCATTATGCTGCGCCTTGACTGCGCTGCTACTAGCAGCAGCAAGAGAAGCGTCCTGATCGACCTCCATCGCATCGGGACCGCTCTTATCCTGGCCCTCGGTAACAGCGTCGTCCCGAGCCTTCTCACCCGCAGGAGAAACCCCACCATTAACCGCCGCCGGAGATGCTGCAGCAGCACTGTTGACCTCTGCCTCTGGAACAACATGACCGTCGGCGGTCGCGTCGCACACAGGAGGAGAAGAAACAGCAGCGATAGCGCTGCCAGCGTCCGATTCAGTCAGAGCCTCAACCTTGGTCTCGGCCTCAGCCTCGATCTCAACATCAGCGACAGCCTCATCCTCAGTAGGCGACGACACGGCCGCCGGGTTCTCCAGGCCAAACAGACCACCAAAAAGCTCGTGGAAGAACTTCTCCATCATCTCCTTCTCTGACGGCGCAAACTGCGAGTTGTTCCGACCAACATGCGCCAGAATCGCATTGATCACGTCGAAAACAACCGTGGGCTCTGAAAACTGGTACTCGAGTTGATAACGATGCCGAAGCGCTGAGGCCACCTTACGGCTTTGGGCTCGAGCAGTATTGCCGTTGCCGCTACCAGCATCGTCCGTCTGGTTCTGCTGCTCGCGGCGTCTGGTTTCGATCTCCGTAATCAAGTGCTTGGGCGAGATTGTCTTGCGGTCTGCAGACTTGAATGTCAGTCCCTGGTGGTCCAGCGCGCGGTAGTAGTTCTTGGCATCAATCTCGCGCCACACCTTAGCAAACTCGCGGCGCTGACGCCGCCACTCCTCGTCCTTCTGCTTGAGCCGCCGCAGCACTATCGGGATCGCTGTCGCCGGGTGCGTGTGCATGGCCTTTATGATCTCCAGCGCGCGGCTCGAGTCATAGACCTTGCGCAACGCGCGCCGCGGCAGCGCCTCGGACATGCCCCAAAAGTTCTCGGCCAGGGTCAGCTGCGCCTGCTTCTCGGGGTCCATCTGCTCAATCTGCTGCGCAATCGGCGTCAGCTGGCGGATGACTGAAAGGTTGGTGTCGATCTCAATGTCCATCTCGTGGCGGTCCTCCTCGCTGCGGAACATGGCCTCCTCGTACATGTTCTTCTTGTGGTGCACAAACTCCGTGTCTTCGGACGCCCACGTCGGGTGGGACGCCCAGCGGTCGTTGAGCACCTCGTAGCACATCGAGTCGCGCCCAGAGCACTTGGACTGCGCGCTAGAGTCAGGCAACAGCCGGTAGCTCGGGCCGTACGCCTTGCAGTTTGCCAGCTGCACCTTGGGCCGCGCCGGGCGCAGCATCTTGGCCGCTTCATCGGGCCCCATGTACGGCCCGGGCTCCGCGCCGAGAATCGACTCGACGATGGCCTCGTCGCCCGACCGGCTATCCTCCATCGACTGCTGCTGCTCGTCAAAACCGACAAACTGCTTAAACCAGCCAAACAGCTCCTGGTCGTCGCCGATAAAGCTCTCAGCGCGCTCGACCAGGGTCTTGGGATCGAGCACCTGCTGGTTGTATAAGTTGAGCAGTTTGAGGAACTCGTTGTACGTGCTGGACTGCCCGATGAACCGCTTCACGCGCTCGAAAAACGCCAGCTCGTCGGGTGAGGCCGTCGCAGGATTGGCCGCCTGCTGCATCGCGACCGCGGAGAGAATGTGCTGCCCGTACCCTGCCGCCGCAGCCTGCTGGTGCTGCATCTGCAGCGACTGGTCTGCCAGCACGCCGTTAGCCATGACAGCGTCTGCCTTGGCGGCCTTGTTGCGCCGTTTGGATGATCCTGATGCCGCTGGCACTTGGCCCGCGGCAGCAATGCCACCCTTCCTCTTGCGCCCGCTGGTTGGCGTGGCGCCCATGGCCTTGCTGGTGTCATAAGCCGCGCTGCTGCCGCCGCCAGCCGCCTGAGCAATAGCGACTCCGCCAGCCGCAGTGACACTGGCAGCGCCAGGCGTAGCACCACCCGCAGAGTTTGTCGACACTGGCGTCGAGGCGAACGGGTCAGATGGGTGGCTCGTCGCCCCCACAGGCGTGAAATTTCCCACTGGCGGCAGACGGCCGCCCGCAACAAGCGCGTCAGCAGGCGGCATGGCAAGCTGGCTGGATGCTCCGGCCGGCAGCTGTAGGCCGGGCGGGACGGCGCCCGCGGGCCGGCCGTACGCCATGCTCGGCGACCCCACAGTGTTCCCACTGGCTGGCTCACTTGTGTCCGGCAGGAACTGCTTGAACTCGTCCAAAAGATCCGGCGCCTCCAAGAACAGAATTTGCACCTGGGCATAAACCTCCTGGATGGGGCGCGACTCCTTCTGGTACGTCTGCAGGATCTCCAAAAACTCCTTGTAGCGGTCGGGCTCGGCGGCAAAGCGCATCTTGATCTTGTTGACGTAGTTGATAGCGTGGTTAAACTCCATCGGCACCTGGCGGGGGCGCTGCGCTGATGCTATCCCTGGTGACCCCATGGCGGCGGGCGATCGCACACCCATATGCGCTGGGGTAGTGCCAATCGTCTGATAGCCCGTGCCCTGGCCATTCATCGGCGCTGGGCCGCCAGATGCCTGCTGTGCCACAGCTGAAGATGCTGATGCCGATGCCGATGCTGATGCCAATGCTGATGCCGCCGGCACTGGCTGCACGCCACTCGAGGACGGCGCGGGCGACATCGCCTGCATGGCATGGCCCTGCGCGGCCCCGGCGTTCAGGGGCGTGGACGACGACCCGGCCCGGCGAGGACCGAACTGGTCCCTCGGGGCGTACTGCTGCGGGTGCCCCTTGGGCGCGGCCTGCAGCGGCACGTTGGGCGACTGCGCCTGCGGCTGCGCCTGGGCGTGCAACAGGGCTGCACTGCCCGAGCGCCTGTGCATGTCCGGAATGATCGACCCACTGGGCGTTGTGACGCGGACGCCTTCAGATGGGTCGTCCGAGACATCGATGCGGTATCCAGGCGGCAAGAACGTGTTGAATCCTTGGATCAGGCTGGGGCTGCCGTAGAAGAGCCGCGAAACGCGTTCAATTACGCCGGGCGTGTCGATTGCATGGCTCTTGAATTCCTTCATTATCTCCAGGAACTGATTGTATACCTCGGGCCGATCATTGAACTGCGACTTGACCAGATCGAGGTAGTACAGCGCGTCACTAACGTTCAGCGGGCGAACCGCCGAGTCCGCAGCCACAGGATGGGGGGCCCTGCTGATACAGTCGCTGCCGCGCCGGCGGCAGCAACAGTGCTTCCAGCAGCTGGCGCACCATTTTGTACCAGAACGAGCGTCGGCGCGGCTGTGGCCGTGGCCGTGGCTGCTTGTGACGGCTGTGACAGCGCCCCTGCAGGTGCGGCTGGCATGATTGGCCTCGCGCCTGGGGCCCTGGGACCATTTGCAAAGGCAGTGCCTGAAACGGCAGCAGGCGCGTTGGCGTTGGGTGCTGTAGGCACGTGCGCGACAGGCCGCGGCATCGGCTGCGCGATGGACGGAATTCCAGGCGTGTTCTGCGCTGACGCTGTGCGGTGAACGCGTGGAGACTGGAGCTGCTTGAGCGGGGGCACCGACGACGTGTTGTGCGCGTGCGGCGACTGCATCTGCGGGGGTGCAGCGCGCATGCTGGGCGACGTCAAGCCGT